TTAACAGGGGGTGGAAAGGGAAGCACTTTGCCAAGTCACTCTGAAACGGCAGCCCCTCACTATTAGATGCTGCTGGAGTGCGTTTTCTCAGAAGGGGAGAGGTGCTTCAGAGAGCAGTTTGCCAGCCCACTTTCTGACGTGCCTCCCACCCTCCTTTAAAAGGGGTTAGGGCAAGCTGTGAGGGAATAGGCAAGGAAATGGGTGTGGTGTAAAGGCAGGGGATTTGGTCAGGTGTAAAGGGATGAGGGATTAGGCAGGTGTGGTGAAAGAGGGTTGGCAGGGGATTGGCGGGTAAGTGTGGTTCACAAGCAGAGCAAGCAGGGGCAGCAGCCCCTACTCTCTCTCTCTCTCTCTCTCTCTCTCTCTCTCTCTCTGTGTGTGTGTGTATCTATATAGTTATTTCTTACTTTTCCTTCCAGCAGGACAATACAGCATCTCCCTCTGCAGAATGATAGGAAGTAAACCCATTAATATTTGGGATATTATTACAGCAATATGAATCACTCGAAAGCTGGCCATAAAAAACACTTGCAGTTCATCTGTCTACCGGGAGTTGACAAGTATTCTCCAAAGACCAGATCTCTAGGGCAACGAGAAACAACATTTCCTTGCTACCATGTGTACTGCTAGCGGCACCGGCCTCACGCAATCCTCACTTGATCACATTTCAGAAAAAGTCTACATGACTGCCCCCACTTTTTCAGGAGCTCATTTGTAAGATTTAAACTCTCTCTCTCTCTCTCTCTCTCTCTCTCTCTCTCTCCCCCCCCCCCCTCTGCCTCACTCCTCTTGATTCTACAGCCCCAAGCAACTGCTTGCTTATTGCTGCTTCACGGAAAGGTCTTCTGTCCTGCACAAAATGTTTATGGGATGAGAAATCTCTTTAACAAACACTTATGCATTTTAATGCAAGTTGAAATAAGTGTAACATTTAACATGCTTAAGTAGCTTTCAACACGCTGATGAAGATTTTATGATGTTTTTAACATGCTTACACATTTTTTTTTAATGATTGCATTTTTACTCTGCTTGTAAATTGCTTTGGGATTTTTTGTAGTGGGAAGTAATATATAAATTTGTCGGCCCTGTCCAAATGTCAGGACTGGTCCCAGCACAACACATACAGCAGAGCAAAAGGAAACCAAGAAAAGAACAAAGAGGGGGAAAGATCTGTGTGGCAATTTCCTCCATCACAGTAAACACAGAAGTGTATAGAACTGCAGTTTGTGCCTCACAAAGCAATGCAAATCAAGAATTTAATCTGTTGCATTGCCTGATACCTCACTACTGTAGGCTTCAAAATACATTGGTTTACCAGACAGTGCATTTATGCAACCTTATCTCTGACTTCTCCAAATGTTGGGGAGGGGGGGTGAGAGTGGGGGGGGCCTCCAGATGCACAGAAAACCCCATTTATTAAACTTTATTAAACATATTTAATGTTTATCAAATATCTTATTTAGGGACACTATAGGTGCAACCAGTTTGTCTCTTGGGTCTCAATAACCTTTTTTAACAAAGCTGGAGCCTAAAGCATCCAGTTGGTTGCACCAAAAAGTGCCTCTAAAGAAGATACTTGAAACTTTTGGGATTCAATAAACATATTTCTCTTCCTCCACGCCATTTCTGTATTTGATGCCTATTTTGGATTGTCCTCCCCTCAGATTTTAGCCGAATCATCCTGCACCCCATACCTTTGAAAAGAATCAGCCAAACGGCTGCCATTAAAGGCAAGGGGACCAGGCTCTTGGGGACTTCTGGGTTAGCGCCTCCGGCAATGGCGGAATTCCTCTGATCGGGAGGAACTCGCTCCGTGGAAATCAGGGTCTGGCCGCCACGGCGAAGGCGGAGACCCACCAAAAACCACAGGCGGGAGAAGCCTGTGGACGTGGGATTCGGCTGGCACCTTTTGCGCCCCCCCCACACTCGCGGGGAAACCCAGTTTCGGGGGTCCGGAGCGACGTGGGGTGAGTGGCGCGGTGCTTTGAATCGACTGCTTTTTTCATGGAGTGAAGCCACATTGCCGTTGCCGGAGAGCGCTGACTTTTTTCCTGTGGACAATTGGACTTTAAACAACTACCCGTGAGTAGAACGGAAAATTGGACCTTTAAACATCTTAATTCGGTACCGAAACGGGAAGGTTTCAAACAGGAAGTCCGCCTTCCTCTTTTGTAAATAGATAGAGCAAAAACACTGCAAGCTAAAGTCTTGGAGACCCTTTTGTAAAGGACTAAATTTCCATCAGTTAAAATTATTAAACCCCCCTTGGAAGCAGGAGAAAAGGGGGGAAATTTTAGATTGCCAAAGCCTGCAGGAGAGAGAGTGAAGAAAGACAAATCACCACTGTTTTGAACCTGGGAATGGGCTGTCAGTAAGTTTGACGTTCTGGGAAACTCCATTGACTGTGAATAAAACATATGTTGACAGATAGTTAAATAAGAGAAATATATTGTTTCCATTGTTTCCTTTTGCACTTAAAAAGGAGCAAAAGTAACTGAAAGATTGAAACTAACTTTGCTGCTGGATCTGTGTTTAAAAGGACAGATACAAATAGAAATTGTTTCCTCTAGATGGAGCTTTTGAAACTGTTGCAGGAGTGGAGCTGGGGAATTTTCCAGCTGCAGAGATACAAAACCGTGAGAATCAGAGATTGACCTTGGACAAGAATGTTGACAGAAGAAGCCTTAGTGATTGCATTTTTCAAGACAAGTGCTTTATTGGAACAGCTTCATGAGAAGATGGATGTGATGGCTATTAAAATTGATAATTTGGGACAAAAAATGACTGATTTGGGACAAGAAGTGAATATCTATACAGAAACTACTCAGGAATCGATCCAGGAATCTACTTCGATATGGCAAGTTGTGGAGAAGACGAGGGAGAAAGTTATTCTAGAATCTCAAGTAATACAAGTGGAGAGAGCCTCAGTCTTACAGAGACAATTTGATAAATATAAGCTGTTGCCTTTTATGTTTGAATTTAGAGAAAGCCAATTGAAACACGTCCTGAAATATCTTTTGGACTCTAGTTTTGATTATGGAGAATGGGCTGACCAGCCGAGAAGGAATAAAGACATTGTTAGGTTGGAGCTTCCCCGAGATGTACTCCTCAATGTCAAAGGAAGGAAATTAAGAATAAGATCAGCAGAAGATAAAGTAAAGTGTACGTACAAATATGAAGAAGATCTGCAGAAGGGACATGGAAAAGAGTTAAGAGCCTCGGACAGAAGATCACCAGGTTGATGGACCATATGGATTGATAGAAAGGACTGGCAGAATCCGAGACCAGGGAGAAGAGACGGTGGAAGAAGATTGGAAAAAGTTTTAAAAATTTATTTATAGAAACATTGTAAAATTAATGAGTGTTAGAAAAATGTTGGAATGAAAATACATGGCTTTAGTAGAAATGTTATAAGGAGTTAAGTACAAATAAGTTTCAGGGTATTAATGGTAAGATAAGGTTAAAATAAATTATGATAATTATATGATAGAAAATAGTGAAAGATGGAAAGGATTTGCTGAAACAATTAATAACTAGAATACAAAAAAGGGAGGTGTGAGGAGGTCGATGAAACAAGTTAATGAAAGACAAAGATATGGAAATATTGGATGTGTTTTTAATTGTTTTTGCTTTTGCTTTTGTTTTGATGTATTGTGTCTTTTGTTTTTTTGTTTTTTTATGTATAGTATTGATTTGCATTGTTTATTTTTTCTTTTTTTCCCCTTCTGTAATCTTTAAACCTTGAATAAATATTATTTTAAATAAAAAAAAGGGGACCAGGCTCTTTTTACCTCACTATGTAGTTTGAGAACTAATGTTTTAGTGTTCATATAGGACATACTCCATACACAAGGCTCACTTCATGCCATGGCAAATCACATTTGCACATCTGGCTGCCTATTAGAAAGAACTCTCTTCCCTGCAGCTGCATGGCAGCAGACTGGGCTGAGCAGACTGACTCAGCAGCAGTGAGGAAATGCTGCTCTCTGCACATGCTCCAACAGACTTTCCAATCTCAGAAAGAAATAAAAACACTAGCCTGTTATTTTGGGAAGCACAGATTTCTGAGCATGAATTCTGGGTTCCGTATTAAGCACTGAATGTGGTTATCTGGTCCATGTTAACAGGGTCCTCAATAAAGTTAGCAGGGGGACAGTCCCCAGTGGGATTGCCCACCTTGAGACAGATAGCTATAGAGATAGAAATAGATAATAGATGATTTAGGTCAAGGGTGCCAACTAGAATAAAATATTGGGGAGGCCCAGGTAAGCCCTGTCCCACATAACGTGGTGCATGCACACCATTTGAATGGCAATGCCCATCAACTTTGGGGGAGGGGTGGCTCCCTCAAATATTTTAGGGGGAGCATATACCTCTTGGCCCCTAATAGTTGGCTCCTATGATAACAGGCCCAGCAGCAGCACTTGCAGAATGCCAGCCAGAGATGGGAAATCGCCTTTCAGCAGGATGTGCGCCTCCGAGGCTGGCCCTTGCACGCCGCAAATTATATCCTGTGCCACACACGCAATTATGGAATTAAATATTTGCCGGAGGTGGGCGGGGTTGGAAGTCTGGATTTTTTTTCCGTATCTCGAATTGCCTAAGAATGTAAACGGGCAGGGGAGGGGCCGAGCCGGAGATTCCCCTCCTCTCGTGCCCCGCGCGACCATATGTCCCCGTCCCCCGCCCCCCGCAGCCCTCACCACGGGGTGCGCCCAGGGCAAGCCGACCTCCCGCCCACCCAAGTGTTGCAAGGGACCGTCTGAGCTGGGAGCAGCCGCGCCAGCTGAGGAAGACCACGCATTATGGATGCTGCTTGCAAGTCACTCTCGCAGGCGCTGACTGGTCCTGGCAAATGAGGTAACGGCGGAGAGGGGGGAGGGAGGGGGTGCCCCCATCTCTCTCTCTCTCTCTCTCTCTCTCTCTCTCTCTCTCTCTCTCTAGGTCCCTGGAACGTTGCGGGGGGGGGGCGGAGAGGGAGCGCGCAGGGAAAGGGAGGGGAAGGGAGGAGCACATCCTAATGCAGAGATGCTGCAGTGACTCAGGGCGCGCACACATAACACAGGCAGGCAGGCAGGCAGCAGCACAAGGCGAAGGCTCACCTGCAGAAGGAGGGCAGGCGGCAGAGAGGAAGGTTGCTGCTGCTTCTGCTGCTGCATCGAGAGCTCCCGGGCTCTCCTCGCCCAGGCACGCCACACGCGCATACACGTGCCGATCCAGCCACTCTCTCTGCCCAAGGTAGGAGGAGGGGGCGCGGGGTGTCCTTTTAGGCTCCCCTGACTCTGTTCCCAAGATTTGGGCTGCTCCGGAAGGTGCAAGCTAACTTTCAGTCTAGGGGGAGGGGAGCGAGAGAGAGATGGAGATCATGACATCAGTCGTTCAGCCACGCCGCCGCACCCGAGCAGGGCTGTCTAGTGATGGCAACGGGTTTGGCGTGGGCGCATGGCACGGGCATGCCAGGGAAGGGGCTGCCGGTGCCAAGGGAGAGGTGCCCAAGAGCGTCGCCAGTCAGTGACAAGGGAAGGGTTGGCGGCGGGATGGGGTGCGGTCCCTGTTGAAAACGTGTTTATCTGCGATGCTTTGCAAGGGGTGTCGGAAGAAGTGGTGGCAGGAGGGCCCAGGTTTTTTGACTTGCTTTTCTGAACCGGTGCCACGTAGGTGTGACCAAAGAAAGCGGTGTCGAAACGACCACCCACACCTGAACTGGAAGAGATCAAGGGCAGGGAGCGAAGCAATAGGATGGGATCAGTTTGAGTTTTCCTACTGCAAGCAGAGTCTGTCTCCTCATTAGGGCTCCAGAGAGAAGGGAGCGCTGGCTTCTGCTCTGTGTGGGTGTTGTATTTTTCTCTCTCCAAGGCTATTAAGCCACTTTGGACACCCACCCACCCTTCGTAGAGCAACTGTAGAAGAGGCTGTTGGGCTGGGAGGGGGGCTACTTGATGGGATGGCCTTCAGGTAACAGAACGGATAAGTGCCCAGACAGTCCCAATCTTTACTGATTTTGTATTTCATTCGGATCTGGAGCAAACCCAGACAACTTTGTGACCCACCAGGCTGAATGGAGCTCCTTAGTTTTGTAAGGTAGCCCATCAAGCACTAGATCACTCACTTGGTTTTTCTTCCTGCCTGGAAGTTTACTCAGAGCCTTGGGGGGGGGGGGGAGAGGAAAGTTGTCAGGAACCTGGGAGGCTGCACTACTTGCCTTCATTTGACGAGATGGGTGACAAGTTGTGCAGGCCTGACCTATGCAAGTTTCAACTTCTTCGGCGTCAAGGCTGAATGAATGAGTTGCTAAAACGACAGTTTTAAATATGAGAGCTGTTTGCCCTTTCTATCCAGAGCATCTCTGCTTGTGATTGCACCAGATCCATCCGGCATCATGTCCAACCATCTGCTAATGCTCCGACCCAGGCAATAAGATGCCATACTAGCCTTTGCATTTCACAGCTTGTCTGTAAAGAGTGGGGCCGGGGCCAAACGCCTCTTCTCTACACCTGTTTGTGTGTGCTGTGCATTGACAGCCTGCCAACTGAGGCTAGTGCAACATGCTTTTGAGAAAGTGGGCTCTGCTGCTGTTTTCTGAAAAGCCTTCTTCCTCAGTAGGTGCCACTGGGTTGTTGTTTCTTGCAGCTGAGTGGGCGAGAGGCAGCCTGGAGGCTTGCAGCTTCAGCCATCGCTTTCTGGATCAAATAACTGAAGTGCTTGCATATTCTAGCATAGACCACACACTCCAGAGCTCCATGATCAGGCATTTGTTTGTGATGCACAATTTAAATAAAAACTTGTAAGGTCAGCATTTGGTTTATGCTTTTCAATTCAATAATAATCAGTAAACATATCATTGCCAAAGGAGCCATTTATTTGTCTAATTCCTCCTGGTAGGTGCTAAGGTTTTGATCCCAGAACCTGTGGCACCATGAAGGCAGCAACAGATCCCTAACCCTCTAGTCCAGTAGAAGGTGGTCTCACTTACACAGTCCACAAGACTCTGCAAAGCGCCGGGGCTTTATAACACCAGCCTCCTTCCTCTTTCCAAGCCAGGTCCTGCCTGCTTAGCTGCTAGCAGTTGGATCACTGTCCTTTACCCAGACCACATTTCACATAAACCCTTGTGGATTTAAACTGAACATATTTCTGCTCCCCATGCAGTCACTGGCCCATCTGGCTACAAGGAAAGCCACCTGGTCCATTTCTCTTTACTTATATACACACAGCTGTTAAGAAGGCTGCTCTGAATAAGTGGGGAAGGGGGCAGAGGATGAGAAAGCATGCTGAGACCAGCCTGAAATATGAATTAACTTGAAAACAACACAGATGCTTGTGAAAATACATTGCATGGCTGACTGTGAAGGCGGCACTGATCATATGGGAGTCCTGAACAGATAGCTACTATTGCTGTGATTGATTTGGCCAGTGATAGTTCAGCCGATTTGCAAGCAATCCAAAGTGTAAAGGAAGGTGACAGACTGGACGTCTGAATCTAGAAAGTCCAGCATCCTTTTGTTCATTCCATCTTGTCTCTTTCTGATCTAGCGACAGGCACACAAGTGGCACATGGTCTATTTAGAACTGCCAACTTACTCCTGTATGTTTAGCAGGCAGATAAGAGGCAGTTCAGGAAGTGGATGTTTTCCTAGTGTGGTGATACAGTGTCAGGCAGGAGAAGCATCGCCTGCTGGTTGTCATTCTGTCACACAGCTGTTAAAAGCACAGGAGCCATGTCCCAAAATAAGCACTGGCAGCTCTAAGCTTCTTCTCCCATCTGCAGGATCAGAAGCAGGTTTTCCCCATGAGTTTTTGATTGTGGGTCATCTGTTGTAAATGATTGGGGTTGAGAGGCAGGTATTACATATGTATTACCCCAACTCCAACCCACTTCCCAAGTGTTATTTATTCTTCAGAAGAAATTCTGAAATATGCAACCCCTAAATATTGTCATGGTATGCTTCCTTGATTATTTTTTTTAAAAAAGGAAATAATTCCCTTTCTCATCTAGTTTTTACATCAGAGATTGAGTAGAGTGGCAAATTATTGCTTGAACTTCTCTTTTGCCTCTTGGGAGCATTATTAGGAGTCTAAACAAGAGGAGGTGAAAGTTAAACAAAAAGTAAGTGAGAAGCAACCTGTGACTTCCTGTGTCTTTGCTCTCTTTAGCTAAATCTGCTTAGCTGGTGGAGGTAAGTGAAGTGGATGTAAGTTAGGGTGCCCATTTATGCATCACTAAAGAAAAGAGAGCAAATCTGCATAAACTTTGCATGTGCTCATTTAATATACATAGATGCAAATTCAGAAATGATTTAAATAGAAACCAGTGTAGAGGGGAAGAATGTGACCAACTGATTTGAGTGCCTGGTCGTTCTGCTCTGCTGTTTATGTGTTCACTGTTGATGGGAACTTTAAGGACCTTCTTCTCTATAAAATGGACTTGGACCAGACAGCCCTTCAAGTAGAGCAGGGGTGGAGATCCTGTGGTTACAACTTCTATCCTCCCTGACCATGGGCAATGCTGACCGGGGCTGAAGGGAGCTGGAGTTCAACGAGGGCCATGGATTCCTCACCTCTAAAATACAGGGCATCTTTAAATAGTGGTCTGTCCTCTCTCAAATAAGACATATGACCACTGTGAGCAGCACTGCAGGAATGAGTCCTGACATAATTGAGTTTAGGATTGGGCTTAGAGGAAGAAACTAGACAGAATCCTGGGCCGAAAATAGCAGCGCAGCAGGAAGTTGCTTGCAGAATATTGAGGGAGCCTAAACAACAATAGCATATGACTGATGGCATTGGTAAAGAATGACCAAAAAAAGGCACTATGGATTTGTACATGCTCACTGTTAGAAAGCTGCTAGCATATGGATAGAACTAGCAATTGTCAGATACAGACTGCAAAACCTTTGATCCTCATACTGTGATAAGAGTGCTTGTTTCACCTACCTTTCTTGGGATCTCTAGTAGCTGTTCTCCACTTGGAATCAAATGACCCTGCATGCTTTGTGGTTGCTGAGGAATGGCAGCTTTCTTCTCTTATTCAGTAGGGGTCGGTGAGGTTTGTTCCACTGGTTTCATTAGCTAGGTATGAGTAGCACTGGGTTTGTTTCATAGAGGCAAGTGTGAAAGGTTGTGCAGATTGATGGGATATTATGTGGAGGGAGTACCTTCACTTATGTGGACTACAACTGAGAAAGGGAAAGAGAAAAAAAGGGTGTGTGCATTTTATTTTTAAAAAACCCTCATGCCTGGTAGGATGATGCATAAATATGAATATATGCAAAAATATGCATTTTTTTTAATGCATAATTGGCTACAACCCTACGTTCAGGCTGCAGAAAGTCTGCAGAAAGCAGAGGCTAGGAGTGGAAGAAAAGCAGATTTTAGAAGTCCTCTCATATTATCGAAGCTCTTGGGAGCCCACTAGATAGGGGCAAGCTGCTGAACCCATAGCGTTACCAAATGGTCAGAGAGCTTGATATCTTATTAGAGCCCACAACTCCACCATTGGTAATGGGTTCCCTTGAGGTGGTGCCCTTAAGAATGAGTGCTGAGAGAAAAATCATTGCCCCGGGCAACATTGAACCAGCCATGTGCCATTTCACTTGCTTTCTGAGCTTCACTCTGTGTCCCATAGCAGAGACCTTTCCCTTATGCAGTTCTTGTTGCCTGTTATTTCTGATGTTGCATGAAGGTAGATTAATGAAGGAAAGCCTCAGAGTGAAGCAAGGGCCTCACGTACGTAGCAGGAACAAATGCTTCAGAACTAGGATATTTAAAAGGAGCTTCTTTGAGGCTTTTTGTTCCAGCATGGGAGCAGACAGGGGGCATTCAGCTAGCTCTCTAGCGGATACTGCTGTTGCTTGCTGCCTCATCCTAAGGTGTTTCCCTCATTGACACTGATAAGGCAGACTTCTTTGCCAACAGTTCGTACAGAGTTTACAGGGAAGAGACTAGCTTCTCTAGGCATTGCAGGTTAAACGAAGAGGCGGCGGGGGGGGGGGGGGAGAGAGCTTTCTACTTCAGCTCCCAGCCAGCCAGGCCAAAGAGGCCAAAGACTGGTGACTGTCCTGGGAGTTTAAGGCTGCCTAGTGGGATGTTAAGAGAGCAAGTCCACATTCCCATAAATTCCATTTAAGCCTATCAAGGCCCTGCCCTCAGCAGTGGCCTTGCCAATATGAATCTTCACTATGAGAATCATAGAAACATAGAATTGTAGAGTTGGAAGGTACCCTGAGGGTCATCTAGTCCAAGGAGACTCATAATCTATTTCTCATTTGGCTTCTAGGTTCTGGCGTTGTTTTTGTAGCCTTGTTTTGTATTAAAAACAGCATAGCCTTGTCATTGTAACTAAGGTTTAATTTTCTGCACCACACTATTTTGCTGTTCACTCTTGGTTTCCTTTACGTTTTGATTATTCCAGTTTAAGGGACACCAAAGACAGGCCTAAAATCCCTGTGTGTTTTTTAAAAATAATTTTTTATTAAATATTTTCTTGGTTTACAAAAGTACCTGCCTTGTCTCTTTTTTCAAGTTGTACAGTCTTTTCTACAGATCACTTACATTTGTTATGAGACATTAGTGTTGAATACAGAATAAGGTCAGGAAGAAGAGGAGTGTGTGTGAGAGAGATGGTTTTGCTAAGCCATTGTTCTTCCCTTCCCTTGCCTGCCTCCGCCTTCCTTGCTCACACACCCACTCCAGGTCTGTGAACAATTCCACCCCCCTCTCCAATATATTCACCAAGCACCATTGCTGATTTCCTTGAAGCACCCTGTTCAAAACACAGCTCTATTTACTGAGAATTTTGAAGGACTCTGGTTATGAATAATCCTTGGACTACATTTTCTGTAAGACTGTGCTTTTTGGCTTATGATTTCTGAGACAGGAATATTGTTTGTTGTGAACGATTTAGATGGGTTTTTAAGAGGAAAGATTTGATGCAAGCCTCCTTGAACGTTTACTTACTGCAAATAGGAAGTCAGAATATACATCTTTTAAGTGTAGTCCAAGCAGTGTTTCTTATCCAAGGAGACTACAGTCCTGTTGTGGCTTTATGATTCGTCTTTCCCCCAGCTCCTTGTCCCAGCTTTATAGGGCTGGAGCAGGGACAACACCAGTGCCTTGAAACTGGTCTATGTAGGCACTAAGAGAGTGTAGCATGCCATGTGTAAAACAGCCCACCCTCCTCTCAAAGCTGTAAGTAAGGACACGGTTGTACGTAAGCACACTTACATGGCAGTAAGCCCCATTGAGCATAGTGAGGCTTACTTCTGAGGAAGCATGCATAGGATTGTATTGTACGGCTGACTCACCTTCTGTAATGATTCCTGTTAAACAGGCTTAGCTTATAGGAGAAAATAGTGTTTCAGAGACAGCAGTTCATTAGGAGGCCTTTCTGGAGAACTGCAATTGTGGCTCATTACTTCATAATACTCCTTCCTGACTGGCAGATACTCCTTGCCCTACTGGCACAGAATATCCCTGACATTTCTTTTCTGGCTCTTTTCCTTAATTGATTTCTCTGGGTTTTGATATGCTGCGTTTTGATGCATTGCCTTCCATATTCTCCTAGTCATTGTTAGAGGATGACTAATTCCCTCCCCTCCCCCCTCTCTCCTACGCCATTAATTTTTGTGGTCTCTTCTCTGCTGTGTCTTCACTCTGTCCTTGTATTCATAAAAAGGTAAACAGAGACCTTAAGCAGATGAAGCCCTGGATGGTCTCTGTCCCTGGTGGCTTATAGCCTTCGCATTTCTCTCTGTTCAAGTCAGGCATCCATCGCTGCTGGAGCTCAATGTCAGGGCAGATGTCTTGATCAGAAGATTTGACTGTAAAGTAGTTTGGAGGGTTTTCAGCCTTAATACTTGCTTGCTCCCCCCCAAAAAAATCGTGGATGCTTTTCCCATTTCTTGCAATTGTCTCCCAATACAAAGACAAGGCAATACAAAGTATATATATTTTGTTTTTTTTTAAGAGAAGAAAAAAAGTGTAGCATGCCCAGGAGTTTTACCCAGAAACTGTAGCAGAGCATTTCATTTCACATTTAATTTGTATACCGTCTTTCTATTTTACTATACCCAAGGTGGTTTAAAAGCTGAGGAAACAAAGAATGTACACCTTGTAACAATCCAATCCAATACAAAAATGTAGTGATAAAACATAACTTTAAAATAAGCAACCAGTATCAATTAAAGTAATATTCAACAATCCATTAGAATAGTAAAGGTAAAGGGACCCCTGACCATTAGGTCCAGTCGTGACCGACTCTGGGGTTGCAGCGCTCATCTCGCTCTATTGGCCAAGGGAGCCGGCGTACAGCTTCTGGGTCATGTGGCCAGCATGACTAAGCCACTTCTGGCGAACTAGAGCTACGCACGGAAATGCCGTTTACTTTCCCACCGGAGTGGTACCTATTTATCTACTTGCACTTTGAGGTGCTTTCGAACTGCTAGGTTGGCAGGAGCAGGGACTGAGCAATGGGAGCTCACCCCGTTGCGGGGATTCGAACTGCCGACCTTCCAATCGGCAAGTCCTAGGCTCTGTGGTTTAACCCACAGCGCCACCTGTGTCCCATTAGAATAGTATAGAATATGAAATATCAGCATATCAAAATTAAACAGAAATCCACTCTTAACAATTACAATAAATAATTTCTAAATTATAATCAATAAAAGCAACGGCAAGTCACAGTGCATAAAACAGTACAATACAAATTGAGAAGCAGAGACTGGAGGGTGGGGGCAAGGCAGGTGGAAAAGGCCTTGCCTGATGGACGGTTGGAAGTCTCTCCCCTCACAGTTCTTCCTCTAAGCACAGGGATGGAAAGGACTTTTCTAGCAGAAAGCTAAACTGCAAACTGTCGATTTTGGCAAAAGTGGCAAGGGCCAAACTTTGTCATATTTCCACAAGTCCTTTAAATTTTGTGTGTAGCATTTCTTTGTACAAAATTACAAGATTTTTATATCTGCATTTGTAGTATTAGCATTCTGGGAGGGTTGCACAAATCTGTGCATGAGAGAGAGGTGGGGGGTTGTGGGGAGAAAAGAATGACTCACTATTCCCACAGGCTCAGATGAAGGAAAAGGCGAGTTCTTAAAAAGTCTAATTGAACTTTAAAGCAATGGGAACACTCTTTTGTCCCACCCAATCTACTCCTGTCCTTTCCCTTAGTCCTTACCATCCCTAAAATATCCATCTCTGTTTTCTCATTTCCGTAGTTAGCTCCTGGAAACACAATATAGTCAAAGCACATCCAACATACATTTGAAACACGTCACTTCCCCAAGGAATCATGGAAACTGTAGTTTGTCACTGGTGCTCGGAATTTTAGCTCTGTGGTAGCAAAACTACAGTTTCCAGGGTCTTTGGGGGGAAACCATTTTATGGGAAGGTGTATTTAGTTGTCATGTATTGTCAGATGATTAGCAGGTGGGAGGCTGCACCCACATGTCATAGTTGGGCTGTGGGGTCTAGGAGACGGAAGCATCCAGTCCTCTGGCCAGAGCCAGCTCCTTACCCCTAGTGTGTCTGAAGGCTCTCTCATTGGTGAAATGTTCCCACCTGTTACCTTCCCTTCCCCCTCAGCTTCCAGACAGCACTTGTCCCATTGCAATCACAAATAAGAAACCAGAATCTGTTTCAACTTGTGCTTCAAGTTATCTGTTTCAAGTTATGCAATTTTTAGTGCAGTTTTAATATTTAGGGTGAGATGGAATCATTTTATTCCTTTGTTGTTCTTTTCTATTGTCATCCATGTTGAATATCTCCAAACAGAAAAGGGAGAGGGATTTTAAAAAATATATAAATATATGTGTTTTAATGTGGATGTCCAGATACCATTAGCATGCACAGGGATTGGGTACTTCATTGTCTCTTTCTCCAAACTCCAACCAAGCCAGTTTTTGCAGTTCTTTATAAATCATGAACAGAATTTCCCATATTAGCTTCTAATCTTACTAGACCTTTCAATCCCAGTACTAGGTGGAAGTCTGAATTGCTATTTGTCCTGCCTGTGAATGTTCTGTGAATATCATTCACTATTGTAAACAGCAAGACAGGGGAATGTTTTTCTGAGACGTTGTAGGGGAGAACCTAGGAATCTGTCTTATACCTTTGGATTAATAGTCCATCTATCGTTGGCACTGACTGGCAACAGATTTCCAGGATTTTAGGTAAGAGTCTTTCTCTGCCCTGCCTATAGATTTCAGGGAATGAATTGGGAATCTTCTGCATGCAAACCATTTGATCCACCACTGGGCCATGCCCCTTCCCTCGATTATCTCCTGTGCTGGCATTTTTGACCCAGGTGGGATTAGCACCACCAACTTGCTCAAGGCAGGGATTTAGGAACACTTATTTCTGGTGTTCCCAGAAGCTGCTTCAGTTTTGAAGTTTCTGCCTAAAGTTCATCACAGCAGCACTGGAGATACTTTCTGCATTCCCTGCTAAGGCTTGTATTGTTCAACACTTTCAGCTCTCTAATCCTTCCGTACCGGATTACCAAGACAACTCCTTTAAACTAAATATTAAATACCTCTGAAGCACCTCTTTTTATTTCATCTTAGATATCCTGTAGATATGTGGAAAGTATGTCAGCATTTGGCCTGAGATATCTAAAACACAGGATTGGTCAGTCTTATTTGGGTATACCTTCATATCAGAATAACTATCATCATCATCATCATCATCATCATTTATAGCCCACTTCTTTCTCCAAGAAGCTCAGGGTTGTTTACATGGTTCTCTCACTCCACATTTAAGCCCAACAACAACCCTGTGAGGTAGACTGGGCTGGGAGGCACTGGCAGGTCCGTGGTCACCCAGGGAGCTTCCTGGCCAAGTGAGGATTTGAACCCTGGTCTCCCAGCTCCTAGTCCAACACGATAACTGCTACACTACACTGGCTCTCTTCTTATTTCTTGGGAAAAGATTACATGTAGGTCAATTTCTGAGAGATGTCCTCAAGTCACAAAACTCTGCTTTTGTCCCAAGTCCCAAACTGGGTGATGATGATAATTTTTCATGGTACTAACATATTCTCATGAAACATGGCCGACATAGTCCACATTTCTCACCCACCTCCACCACATCTCCAACATTATCCAAGTAGCCTTGTAAGGTTACTGTACCTCTCATACAAATCATAGCAAAACAGCAAGAATCGTACTACTGCAACAAAACACAACTCCACCCAACCAATCTAAACCTATTTTTATATCCCTGAATCTGATAAGCTGATCCTTAAAAGTCAAGGTGATAATCCCTTAAAATCAGGTTTTAAAACTGAAAATTGAAAGTGTTCAAATTGTAAAACGAAGTCAGATTTGAATTATATTTCTTCCCACCTGATATTGAAGGGTTGGTGGTGTCAACAAATTCCTAGCCAGATGGCAATCCTGGCACATTAAGACTGCAGTTCTATGCACACTTGCCTGAGAGAATGTCCCCTGGCAATCAATGGGGAATGCCAAGTAGGTATAAATCAGAGTACACCAGGGGTAGTCAACATGGTGCCATCCAGATGTTTTGAACTACAGCTCCCATCAACCCCAGACAGCATGGCCAGTGGTCAGGGATGATGGGAGTTGTGATCCATACTATCGGGCACCAGGTTGGCTAGTTCTGCAAGATGTCTTTTCTTAAGCTCTTCTTTTTAAAGAAACCTTTTCACATTCTTCAATAAAGTTGATGCCTTATAGCTGTGGAGGAAGCCAGAAGCCAGGAGGCATCTATCAGTAGCTGAATTTGATCAGCAGTCAGTATCCATTAAGGAATTAAGAAATCAGTTACCTATAGTACGGAGTGAGCAACGCCAAAAATAAGTCATGGATGCATCTTGGAACTATTTTATGCATCGAAAAACAACTATAATACATAGCCAAGGAGAGTTAACAAACAGCTTTAGGTTCTGCCATTCCAGCCAGAAAAACAGTCACCAGGAGCCTGCCAAATGGCAGCAGCAAAGAACAGCTGAGGGTCTTGTGAAGAAAGGCAGTGTTGCTAGCATAACATTGAGCAAGGAGCACGGAAGCTACACCCCTTTTATTCCCCAATTCATTGTAGATGCATCCTGTGCACTTATAAAATTAAGACCCTACACTCTTCAGATCCAACCCATCACACATCAGTCAATTATTCAGAATAACTTGGTGTCATGTGAATTTTATTAATATCAAAATTATGATCTCTCACTCACACGCATGTCGTCCAGAGGGCAATCACTGTTGACTCTGCCAAGATGTTGGCAAATCATCATGATGGTTCTATACAGAAACTAATGCCAAGGCCATCTCCTTGTGGATTTGCTAAAGCCAGAGCTGTCTCCCACAATGTCTAGTTCCTCAATACAGTTAACAGCACAAGTCCTGTTGGTTTTAATAGGACTAGCTTCCCATTACAGGAGGTGGGCTTGGACTTGGGGTGCTACACTTTACCATATTTACTGAGGAAAAACATAAGCTTGTTATCTGTTGGATAATCATAGTTTAGACATTAACCTGCAGGAGAGGCAAACTGCTTCCATATGGTGGCATTTCTGAAATTACCATTCCATATGGCACATTTTCAGTTAGGAGGCAATACTAGAAGCCTCACTTCCACCTATGCATCACAATGCAGAGAGGTATCTCAGTGTCCATCCTCATCCAGTCTGGAACTGATTCCCAATTCAACAAAGAAATCAGTGTGTGGAAGCAGCTTCCATATGTGTTGTTTTTTTTTTAAAAAAAATGATGTTTATTAAGAGTTTAAGAATTACAGAAAAAAGAGAAAAAGAAAACAACAAAACATTTAACAAAGCATACATTACAATACATAAAGAGAAAAGCATAAAAAACAATACAACAATACAGCAAACAACAACAACACAATAACATTAAAACACACATCTAATGTTCCATATCTTTATCTTTCATTTACTTGTTTCATCGACCTCCTCACACCTCCCTTTTTGTATTCTAATTTAATTGTTTCAGCAAATTCTTTCCATCTTTCTCAATTTTTGTTATATAATTTATCTTAACGATCTAACCTTTTAATTAACTCAACAAATCCTTTCCATCTTTCACTATATTCTGTCATTCAATTTACCTTAATTTATTTAACCTTATCTTGCCGTAAAAAACAAAAACAAAAAACCTTAAAGCTTAAAACTTAATGTACATAACTCCTTATATCATTTCTACTAAAGCCAAATAGTTTCATTCCAACATTTCCCCTAATATTCATTAATTTTACACTAATTCTCAAAATAATTTTTTTAAAAACTTTCTTCCAATCTTCATCCAATGTCTCTTCTTCCTGGTCTCGGGTTTTGTCAGTCCTTCTTGTCCATTCCATCTAGTCCATCAACCTGGTGATCTTATGTCCGAGGCTCTTAAGTCTTTTCCATGTCCCTTCTGCAGATCTTCTTCTTGTTTATACCTGCACTTTACTTTGTCTTTTGTTGATCTTTTTCTTAATTTCTTTCCTTTCTCATTGGGGGGTAGGTCTCGGGAGGACTCCAATCCAAAAATATCTCCATCTCTCCTCAGCAGATCAGCCCATTCCCCACAGTCCCATTCCCCACAGTCAGCACTGTAATCCAGAAAGTATTTAAAAACATGTTTCAAAGTCCTTCCAAAATTAAGAGCCCTCACAACTCCAGACCCCCCCTGGTCCACTCCAGATTCAAACTTCAAGAACAGCGGCTTATGCTCCTGCAAGGCCTCGGATCTCTCCATTTGTGTTACTTGAGGTTCAACTGCAACGTCCATTATCTTCTGCACTTGCGCTTGCCCTGTCAAAACAAGTTCCTGGGCTGGTTCCTGAATGGTTTCTATATGGGTATTCGCCGTTTGTCCAAAGTTTTTAACTGCAACAGTCATCAAATCCATCTTCTCATGCATCTGCTCCAGCAAAGCACTTGTCTTGCAAAAAGCAAGCACCAAGACTTCTTGTAAACACATTTTTATTCAAGGTCAGAGTCTGGTCTCACGATCCTAATCTTACAGCTGTGAAATCCCCAGATCGACTCCGGCAACAAATTAACAAGCTCCCTCTAGAGGAGACAATTTCTATTTGTATCCATCTTTTGAAAGCAGGACCAACAAAAGAAAATTACTTTCATTTTTCAAATACTTTGTTTCTTTGGAATGCAAGAAGCAACATTGGAATCAATTTGTTTCTCTTTTTTTTACTATCTGTCAAAAGACGTTCCATTCACAGTCGATGAACTTCCCCATAAATTTCTGTCTCTGACACCCCGTTCCCAGGTTTGAGACGGTGGAAATTTATCTTTCTTTACTCTCTCTCCTGCAGGCTTAAACAGTCAAAAATTCCCCCCCTTTTCTCCTGCTTCCAAGAGGGGTTTTGGTGGTAATAACTGAAGGAAATTTAGACCTTTATATACGACTTTCCAGACTTTAGCTTACAAAGTTTTTGCTTCAATCTATTTACAAAAACGGGAGGCGGACTTCCTGTTTAGAGCCTTCCGCTTCAGTGACAAATTAAAATGTTTCTTAATCCAATTTTCCGTTCTACTCACGGGTACTTGTTTAGAGTCCAATTGTCCACAGGAAAAAGTCAGCGCTCTCCGGCAACGGCTGTGCGGCTTCACTCCGTAAAAGTAGCGGTTGATTCAAAACACCGTGCCACTCACCCCACGTTGCTTCGGATCCCCGAAAAAGGGTTTCCCTGCGAGTAGGGGAGAGGCTCCTGGTGTCAGCCGAATCCCACGTTCCCAGGCTTCCTCCACCTGGGATTTTTAGAGGGTTTCTGCCTTCGCTGCGGTGGCAAGACCCGATTTTCACGAAGCAGGTTCCTCTCAGTCAGAGGAACTCCGCCATTGCCGATGGCGCTAACCCAGAAGTCCGCAGCTTCCATATGTGTTATCCCTCTTGTTGAACTTGGGCAATAGTTACTGTAACATATCTATAGATGTGATAAGGGTTATGATGAATTATTAGGCTTGTAGTGATGTTTGGTAAAATAGCTTTGATATGTGGTTTAGATTAATCATTCTGATGACTTTGAAGACACTATATCTTTGGGCAACAGTGATGAGCACTGAAAGGAAAGCAATGTTGTCCCATGTTTCAGAGCTTGGATTGACTTATGATTGATATTGGAATGCTTTCTTCAATATTCAAATACACAGGGTGATACAACTAGGTTTTTTTAAAAAACAAATAAATAAATAGCTTTTGGAAATTGAAGAATGAGATTTTTAAACCACCATTGATTCTTTTAAGGCTTGCAGGATTGCCATCATTTTATTATCCCAGGTCTTGGACTGTCCTTTATGGGAGAGCTATTTCTTGACCTGTTTGGAACTGTCCTTCCTGGAGGCTTATCCATACTTCTGTTTGCCCTGCCACTTTCCCCTGGGAAAAGCTGCAGTTTAGCACTGAAACAGAGCAAACGGCAAATGCGTTCTCCATGGATTGCCATTTGCTCTGATTTATCACTAAAGAATGGTTTTCCATGGGAAAGCGGCTGGGCAAGGGTAAAACCACTCAGATCTGTGCCTGGAAAGCACAGGACAAGCAGAAAACAGCTCAGACCCATGCTTTCTAAGCACAGGACAAGCAGGTGTAGATGAGCCCCTAAGTTTACTTGTTGGTTGGTTGTTTATTTGTTTGCTTGCTCTACAGATTTGGCCGGATTTCAGTTTGCAGGCATCTAATCAAATTAATTTGCGAAAATTCAGACATGATTGACTAGGGTCAGTCAAATTTGCCAGTATGTAGAGCGGCTGTTGAAGAGGATCTTAATGATGCCAGGCTACTTCTAGCACTCGTTTGATTGTGAATTTGAGCTGGGAACTGAGCTCTTGCATTCTGCTACTGCATCGCCCCAGGCCTTTTCACATGAGTGAGAGGAAACCCAAGAAACAGTTTTCCAGCCATGTGATCCTTTCTTTTGGGGGAGAGGGAGGGAGCAGAGAGGCTTTCACTTTCAGCAGCGGACTTGCCTTGAAACTGCAGTCAAAAGGCAAATGTTCAAGAGTAATGCTCAGCACTTGCTCCACATACATTAGTGTTCTGTTGTGACCACATCCCATCATGTAGTCGAACAATGAATCAGTAAAGCCCAAACCCCCAGTCCTAGACCAGCCATTAATGAACATACCACAGCCCTACAGGGTATTGGCAGTCGTGAGCAACTAGAAAATGGTTGGGCTTACGCCATATACTCTCTACCGCATACGATAACAAGCTGTGCTTTCACCTATGTAAAACAAATGTTCCAATTATAGTATTGCTAAAGGATATGAGTAACACATCTCTAACTCAGCAAAGAGTTGTGGTGTGAAACCTTTTGGGTCATTGTGTAAATTGCGAATAACAACATAAGATAATAAAATATTTGTGCCTTCAGGAGCATCCTGATTTGTTGCAATCAGAAGCTGGTGTTGTTTATCTCTGCTCACAGAAATCCTAATTGAAATATTGTCATTTCTTAGATTTACATCCTGCCTTCCTCCAAGCAGTTCAAGGCAGTCTACACAGTTCCCTCCCTCCCTTTTTTGGATCTCAAAACAACCCTGTGAGGTAGGTTAGTGAGCAGAGAGTTAGTGAGCAGGGATTGGACATGGATCTCGCCAGTCCAACACTCAAACCACTACAGTACGCTGGTGCATAAAATACAATTTCATTTGTGCTTTAAGAGAAGCAGGTTTGGGAGTTGTCCAGGATTTTCAAGGAGGTTTCCATTTTGCCAGTTGTAGTAGTCGGGTATTTTGCCTGAAGCACTAAAACTGGCAGATTCCAGCAGCAGCTCTGGTTTGAGCCCTTTGAAATGTAGGGGACTTTGGAATCTGGGGCTTTGATCCATTTCTGCCAGTGTTCATTGCCATCAGTTGCAGATAATTGTAGTTTATTATTAGTAAAGTAGCAGGCAAATGATTGGCTGTTACTATTTTGAGAATAAGGAAACAGAGACGGGAATGGCATCAATTATTTCATGGCCTTTACAAACAAGAGAGGTAGAATAGGAATCTGGTGCCTTTGTACTCTTTTGCAACATCTCTTTCTTGTTAGCAAATGAACTTTTGCATGGCACAAGCCCTTGTACCCCTGCTTCAACCACTTCATCAGCATTGGAATAGCTCGGTTATTATGGGATGCTGCAGCTGCAGCAAAGAACAAGACTCCTGCCCAAGTCCTCTGCTGGTTCCCTGACTGGAGGGGTTTAAATGACACTCATCCATTCTGGTTTAATAGATTGCATAGGCATCATTGCTCAAGACAGCCTCACAGCTCATCCTGTTAATACCCTCTCCCTGGTTGTAGGCTGGAGGCTGATGAAGGGAGGGAGGGGAGAAGCACGGTACTGCCAAGCTGGCAGAGCCCTGCCAAGCCCTGTAGCCCTGCAGGGTGATGAGCGAGGGCTTCCCTCCTGCTTGTCAGAGCAAATCAGAAGAACTCAAAGTGGGTGCACGTGTGAACTTCGTGAGGAGCAAGGGAACGTGAGCAGAGATGCAGGGTGGTACTGATGAGAAAAGGCAAGGTGATAGGGAAAGCTGAGGGCTTGGCCTGACACAGGTGCACTTGCCTCCCCAGGGAATGTTGAGCATGCATGTGTGTGAGCGACAGTGAAAGGCAGAGGAGAGATGCAGTCCAATGAGGAGGCATTGTTAGCTTTGGGGGTAAAAGAGCATTGGGATGTGACAAGAAGCGGTCCAGAAAAGTTAGCGGTGTTAGTGGCGGCACTTTTGGGAATGAAAACACTCGCAATACAATGTTTAATGTTTGAAAGAGAAAAGTGTCAGAGCTCAAGTAGGCCTCGAAGCCACAAGCTCTGAAGAAGCATGACATGTGCATGCATGCTTGTATGCACAAACATGCAGCCTGCTTGTGGTTACTCAGTGGTGTGAGGAAGGCGCACTTGCAGATGCTTAGAAGCCATCTCATCTTCACTCTTGCAGAGCTGAGCCTTGATCTTGCAAACGGCTTCTGGGAGTGAGGCCCATTTCACAGCACCACCGTCAACTTTAAAGACCCATGTTTATCATTCTGTGGGTCAGAAGTAGTTTTGTGTGTGCTAAAAGGAATAGAACTTAATATCATTACTAAGGCTGCAACATTTAAACAGCACAATCCTATACTGAGGTAAATCTGGCTCGATCCATTCCCACCTAAGTGTACATCGGGATTGCAGTCCCAATTAGTTAGATTAATCAGTTAAAGCCTTCTTGAGCAACTGAAAAGGTGTCTCCAATTAACTGGGCAATACATTTTTTAAAGTGCCTTATTTTTTAACTTAAAGATGTCTAGGAATTGCAACCGGCATGTGCCAAGCTGGAAAAGGTTTTCAAAGGGTGGGTGCCTCTTCTAAGATGGCGCCTGCTGCAGAAGTGTATACAAGCCCTGCCTGAAAACAAAGTCTGTTTTGAAACTCACAATCTTTATTCCACTTCCCCCTCCATTATTATTGTTATTGTCGCAAATATATCAGGAGGGGGGAAACAACAACGTTGTCAGCTGACTTTGATCCTGACTTAAGCATATAATTTAATACAGGCAGCCCATTTGTCAAAATAAGATGGGTAGTCATAAGATGGGTCGTCATAAGATATCCATTCAAGCCCAGAAAGGGCAGTGAGAGCTTAAACTACTATGTAGTAGATAGTGATGTTTATCCTCCCAGCTTTGAAATATAGCTTGTTCTCTGCAACTACAAAGGCTCACAGGGTCTGTCCACATTTATTGTCTCTCTGTTAGTCTCCAACCCACAGGATTATAAATGCATTGACAACTGCAAGTATCAAACATTTTTCCAAAACGAAGTTACTGTGAAGATTTTTTTTTTTTATCAGAAAGAACACACCACAGGAACTTCTAACACTAATAGCCTGAGATTTCTTTGACTGAGTGACAACCATAATTGGTACTAAAAGCTTCCTGGTTAGAGGATGCCTTGTAAAAGCCAGAACCAGAATTGTCAGGATTGCGTGAATTCTGTATTAAAAATAATAATAACCAACATTCTGCCCCGTGTAGCTCAAATTCTGTATTTTATGCTGTGGCTTGTTTTACACAAAATAAATATATTGGCTTGTAATTGTGAACCTGCTCTCTCCACCCTGCTCCTGTGCTTTAACAGCGGCATGGCAAATAGAAATGGAGCAACAGAAGCTTTGCCTGGCATATGGCATAGAGTGAAAATAGTTGTTTGATTTCTGTGTCATGCTGATATTAAAAATGAAAGGAGGAGAGCTAGAAAGATCCTGAATTTTTAATCTAATGCCAAGTTTTGGACTTGTTGTATGCTCGTGTTAGCCTTATAGTCAGGCATTAGCTTGGTAGCAATAGATGAGAGGGAATTACAGGCAGACAAGTGCAGGGAATTTAATGTAGCTAGTAAACATTTTTTTTCAGGCTGGTAACTTTTGTGGACTGATTTACAAGGCAGGTTTGCACAGACCTGTAAAGTACACATTGCCCCTGTTACACAATTGGTTGCTCTCTTTGGGAAAATCACTGTTCTTTGTTAATTGGAATATTTGTCCAGTTTAATATATGCAAGCAAAGAGTTTAATATAGTTTGCATTTAACATATGCAAGCCACTGTCAGAGAATGAACTTGAGCAAACAAAAAAGAAAGCCGCTCACTGCATCCACCAAAACAGATTTCAGGTCTAACCAACTAGCAGTCCTCTTAAGCAGTCACAAACGTCTGAACGAACAAATCATTTTTTCTCTCAGGTTTCTTCGGAGTGGACATGATGAGCGAGCAGCCACAAAATATTAATATGTGCTTTGTAAAAGACAAATTGTGCCAAGACAAATGGACTAACCAATGGTTTCAATTAAATGCATGTTTGTATTTATAGTGTTGACTTTAGCTAAAGTCTTGTGCGGTGTTCCTATTAACTGGATAAGAAACCTAATTATATTGTAATAACCCATGGATAGTGAGAATGGATGTATGTTTTTGTTCTCTCAGAAAGCTACTCCTAATGTCTTTGATTAAGGCTTCTGTGAGGTTCAGAACAGCCATGTTATTTCTTTCTTGTTTGGGGTGCTTAGAGAAGACATATTAAGCCTTGTAGACACATAACTTTTCCTGTGGTGGTATTTTTTATAATCTCTCCCCCGTTCAAATCTTCATCACATTGACACTCAAACATGAGGTTGAGACCATTTCGGAGAAATTGGCCTGGTGTGCACAACACAGTAAGCCAAATTATGGCTTACTGGGACTACACAAATGTGTGGGCTCCCAGAAAGGAGCTCACTGCTGCTTTCTCGCCTCACTAATCATGAGCTGTAGATTGTCATTAATTATAGTGAAGTAACCACCTTGGGCAATGAGGTGTTGGATGACCCAATGCTAGGGGACTGGGAGAGACAGCAGCAAGGTGTTGGATGACAGAGCTGAGTGTGGCCTGGCCTGCACCCCCTAAGCAGCTGCTGCCCTCAGGAGACTTTGTTCCATCACCCATGTTGAAGTAAGATTCAATAGTCTGCATGGGCAGCTTCTAGGTGTAAAGGAGGAGCAGGCACCAGCTCATCATTCAGGCAGCAAAATGTTCAGGTCCAGCTCTGCACACAATTATAGTGGTACCTTGGGTTAAGAACTTAATTCGTTCCGGAGGTCTGTTCTTAACCTGAAGCACCACTTTAGCTAATGGGGCCTCCTGCTGCCGCTGCGCCGCCGGAGCACGATTTCTGTTCTCATCCTGAAGCAAAGTTCTTAACCCGAGGTAATATTTCTGGGTTAGCAGAGTCTGTAACCTGAAGCGTATGTAAACTGAAGCGTATGTAATCTGAAGCGTATGTAACCCGAGGTACCACTGTAGTCTCTTTATCACCCATTTACACCTTCCTTAAATGGGCCTATGTCTAGTCTCTTTGGGTGTTTTTAACAGGATCCTAAAGAATCATTTGTCATTTTATATTTTGATATGTACTGTGTTTTTGCTGATTATTCTGATACTTTGTTTTCTGTTTGCTCTTAGTCATTTTGGGTTCCCTCAGGAAGACAAAGTGGGATATAAGCCATTTAAAGTGGGAGGAAATGAAAATGGAATGGAAAAGTTGCATTTTTATCAGGATACCCTCTTAACAGCTGTGCTAGGGCTTGTCCTGCTAATGTACATAGAACTACAGAATAGCCCACAGCCATAACGTGCGATTTTTCTCCACTATGATCATTTCCCAAAGTAGGCATCAGCTTGCTCAAAGAATCCTATCAGAGAGGAAAGCAGGAAGACCCAAAGGAACTGTAGGCATCTGTCTATAACATCAGTTCCTTGATAATGGATCCATCCTAGGTCCCGGGGGCATTTATGAGATAGCCAATCTGTCTTTGACTATTAGTAGATGTTCTTTCATGCAGCTTCCTGCACTATCCTAGTGGATAGGAGCATTTGCAGCAGGGCATCCATCAGCAGACTGTTTCACTGCCACCAAGTCAGCTCTGAAATGATATCCCAAGAAAAGAGGCAAATACCGGTCTTGCCCCTCTTTCTGAATTTAGGTCCTGGTTTATCTATCCATCTGTGGATGAAGTGCAGAATCTGGGGGCTTCTTTGTGCCTTTATGTGAACATGGTAAACAGGCATTTGAAACTTTGTGTGTCTTATGGAGAACAGGTACCCTTATCAGAGAGCAAAGATTGACTTTGGTTCCCTGTTGAATGGATGCTTGACGGTGAAATCTAATATGTTGCTATGTAGTGTGTAAAACAGACCTAAGAAAACATCTTATCCAGACAGAATCTCCTGCATGGAAGTTATTTTATGCAGGAAATTGTTTGAATCTCATGTGCAATTTGCAACCCATGGCAAATGTTTACATGGCCACATGTGATAAACTGCATGCAGGACTTGAGCTATTTATTTACTACATGAATAAGACTTCAGCTTCTGTGGAACATCCTCAAAACTGTTACTGGATCTGCCAATACAGGATAATCATGACAGTACACAACTAACACACCTTTTGCACAGAATATCATCATCTGCACTGTAGACTTTGCAGCCTAAAAGAGTATGGCAAAACTTTTTATTGAATTCCAGTCATTTGGAGCTGGGAAAAGGATAAAGAAAAATTCTCTTCAAGCAGATATGTTGGATTGTTTATCATTTCCAGCAAATTCCTCATTACCTTTACTAGATGAGTAACTGTAAGTGGTTTATGCTGGCTGCTCAACCATAGAACTGCCTTCAAGGCAGCAGCCTCCATACCATGATCAGCTGAATTTGCAGAGAGAAGAATCTTATAATTGCCAGGCTGAAATAATGGACTATTGAATTTGGCCTGCAAAACGTTGGCAAAGAGACTGGCAAATAAAAAATAGACATGATGCTAGATGTTTTCAGGCAGCCTACTAGATTCAATTAGACAGTGGGGAAGAGAGCAGTTGGAGAGAGAAAAAGAATGCAGGTACAGGTCTCCCCTGAAAATCTGCACTGGTATTGGAGAAATGAGTTGTTTTTAATGAGTTGTGTGATTAAAGGGAAATAGAAAATATTCTCAATCGGGTTTGCAAGATCAATATTTCAAAGATAGGGACACTTTTGCGGAAGTATGTGCTAATCAAGATGTGGGCTGTTTTGTGTGGCAAATTTATGAGTGAATTTTGTGTTGGTAAATTTATTTCTTTAGTACATATATCTCACTTTTTTCCCACCATGGCACTCACATTGGTATAGGTCACAGCTTTTCAAACTGTGTGTCCGTGACACATTAGTGTGTTGGCTACAGTGTGTAGGTGTGTTGTATGAACGCTCCCCACACTCCTCCCAGGGCTGGAAAGGGGTCTAAAAAGTGTGTCACCAACATGAAAAGTTTGGAAAGCTCTGGTATAGGTGGTGGTCTTGGGTGGTCTCCCATGCAGGCATGCCTAGATCAGACCTAGTCCTCGTTTGCTTCAGCATATTAGCCGAATCATGTGCCCTCAGGTGATATTCTAGAACCCAGGAAGTCTTAAGAAACAAAGAACAACCACAAAATCATTACAGTATTGATCATCTGCCATCTTGATTCAAAGTAGCATTCAGGTGTGTGTACCCAGATGTAGATGAAAATTTACTCCTTGATCTCAGGAACCATGATGCAAAAATTGCTTTTGATGGGTTATATCCAGCAAATCCCTATTTTGAGTCAACCCAAAGAAATTAACGACCCATCAATTTCAATGGGTCTGCTCTGACTAACATTAGATATAGCCCACTGTCTTTAGAGGTGTCTAAATGCATAGTGAAAAAAGAGCTTTTCAGATTGTGAAGTAGATATGCCACACCTTTTATCAAATATAATCAGCTTTCTTAGCACTGCTAGGTTCTGATTGGCCCTTCCTGCCTTGGTTTTTTTCTTGGTTGAAAATATTTTTAAAAATAAAACTTAGGAAGCTTTAGGTAGTGATTGATGTATGGCTGTCTGAAAAGCCCAAGCTATTGTTAACAAACTGATGAAGATCAACAGTGCTGGGATCATCCGAAATGAGGAATGGTCATCCTGTTGCTAAAATAAGCATTCCCTCCATATAAGTGGTGCTTATGAGCCCAGCCTTATGTTCACATGCACCAGAAACGTAGGTGTAAAAGAGGTCTTAAAATGAAGAAAGAAATGGCGGTTGAAATATCATTATGTGAGTCATAGAGCTCTGAGCACTATATAGTCATTTTTTCTTTTGGAAGTAAACTGAGCCTGAAGTCTGTAAATTCAGAGCAACAGTAGCTGGGGTTCAAATTGTAATAGTCACTCATGACCTACTGGAAGGCAGGGGGGAAAAGACAGGAGAATTAACACACCCAAAATTATTGCAGTTCTACTGCTGTTATTTTATTATGTGATTGCCTATTCAGCCATTTATTCCCCTGACACTATAGTTTGTTTAGGCTAAATGCCCAGGGAGAGAAGGGACCAGATTCACTTTCATTTGAATACAGCATCTATATTTTATAAAGCAAGAAAATGGAGAGCTCAGTTATAATCAGCACAGCCTCCTCCTTACTCAACTCTGTCTGCACCCCCTGTGTCTTTGAGACAAATCTGCTCATTTGACTAACTAAATGTAGCTGGTTTTGTGCTGACTCTACCTGCTGAGCTGATACAGAGGAGAAAGAGAGAGAGCAATTTTGCACCATCCATCTTTTTAATAAGCAAACAAACAAATAAATAGTCTAGGGAGACATTTGATCCAAAACTGTATTCAGTAACCTCATAACTTTGGTATAATTTAGTTCTGCATCTAGCTCATGGCCTGGAACTTCACAACATGCACAAAACTGCAGTCCTTGGTTTTAAGGCAATTATCATGATTGGATTTTAGATGAAATCTGGATGCTTTTTGATTAAACAGGTTAGTGGATGAATCGTCGAAACAGCGTAGATGAAAGGATTTCTTGCCACGATGGCTGTGAGAGATGGAAGGGCTCAGGTGGCTGACTTTGCAAATCCCAGAGGACTTGTACCCAGTGATACTGTCTTTCTACTGTGTAAACCAAGCATGCTGAATTTGAAGTCTGGGAGCAGAAATTGTGAAGCGGCTATGCCACATCTTTCATTCATGGCTCATTGTGTTGTCAATACTAGTTTATATACAGACCCTGTGAATTACTTAAATATACATGAATATGCATGTTATATATCTATTATACAATACAGAGTACTGCAACAATCAGGACTTCTTAAAAACTGATCTGTCCAAGGTTGTATGGCAAGCAGAATCCATGTCCTACACTTGCCCTTTTGCTACCCTCTCTTCTGATTCCCCCTTCCATATTTGCTTTTCTTAATATGGAAAGTGTTTTGCTTAGCTTTACTCTTGTGAGAGAGAAACAGCTGAGTGAAGAAGTGTTGTGCAGGTGGTGAACCTAGTCGCAAATAATGCAAGCCCAGCAAGCCGTCCTCATGTGGCAGAAGTGTCATGAAAGGCCAAGTGAATAATGGTGCAAGAGGTGCAGACTTAGTGTTTTCCCATGCGGTGCTATAAGAGTTGTTTATTTTCTTTTTCTTTATATATTTGCAAGCCATGTGTCTATAATTCAGATGTGGAATCCATATGGGTTGAAATGTACCTAAGTTCATAACAGCAGCTCACTTCCTCCTGCCTTCATTAATAGCACTTACATGTGCATCACCAGAAAGACTCAAGGTATTTAATATCATGTTAAAAATAACCTTTGGATTTTCAGATGATTTGGGTCAGCCTTTGTTTCTTATTTGAACTAGCAAAGAACCTCAGATTCCAAAAGGAATAGGGTATGTGTATCCTGCATTCTGGGCAATGATACTTGCCTGAATGAAGTGGCTTTGGAATCTGGTGAGTATTACTAGCATCGTACCTTCATTGTAGTGGCATATTTATGAAAAGTGTCAGGGCTCAGTATGCAAATGTTTAGGGGTCATTTGTGCTTGCTCTGTGGGAAGAAAAAAGGTACTCTGCTCTTGTTCAGAGGAACCTTGTTCTTATTACATAGCGTCCAGGGCTAACATGCATTGATGATATAGTACTTTAACTAGATCACACAAAGGATCTTCCATCAATATAGTCCTATGTGTTGGAAGGGAAGTGCATACTTTTTACCACTTTATGGTAGTAGGAATGCTCCATTGCCCAGGCAACTGGTGGGGAAATTAGAAATGTCATGTCCAAAAGGATTCTAGGTTCCTTTACTACTTGGAAACATTACCCCTTGTATCACCACAAGGCACTGGCGGAGGAAGAGGAGTGCGGGGGGAGCACACCGCCCCCGGCAGCGTGATCCCAGTGGGGTGCCATCGTGGCTGCCCCCCACCCGCACTGGGCACCATGCCCCCAGGATGCACACCACACCCCTGCAGGCAGCGCACCATGCCCCCAGGATGCACGCCAGCCCCACCCCCACCCCCACCTGCTCTCCAGCCCCCAGTGCCGGAGCATGAAGCTCCGCCACTGCCACAAGGACCATATATCCCTGTTTACTTGGAAGTAAGTCTCGGTATGTTCAGCGGAGCTGAACTCCTTTATAAGTGTTTTAAGAATGGCAGCCTTACTTGGCTCCAAAAATTGCCTGTTTCAATCATGTAAATGGAGGCAGCTGGAGCTACCCTCTCAAAAGGATTAGATAAGGAAAGTATGGGAGGTAATGAACAAACATTAATTTAACATGTCAGCTGAGAGAGGCCAAAGATCCATCTAGACCGGAATCATTCATTTCAACTTGGTATTTATTCCAGGGCAACAATGACACACAAGAAAGGGTGGGGGGAAGACTCTCAAATAATACCAATGTATTCACCTTTTGGTGACAGTTGGTAATATTTCCACCTTGTGGTCTTTTGCTACTCATATTTTCTTGGTTATGTTGCTTGATTTTCATTCATCTTGATATAATATATGATTTGTTGTGTATCTTTGTGCCTCATCCTTGCCTCTAATGTTTTGTTGTCAGCAATTGATTGTTGGTTTTTTATCATTGATTTTAAACTTCTTTATCATTGTGCTAATGCTATATTACTTAGATGAAAAAGCATTGCCTCAGTAAAAATAGTGGCTGCTTGCAAGAGGCAACACCAGCTCTGCCTCCAAAGTGTCCTAGCCAGGGGTGGTGCATCCCATTTTGTCACCTGAGGCACATTGGGAAAGTGCCGCTGCTGCGCCATCCCCACAGAAGCATCCCTTACCTAGTGCCTGCAAAGTGGCACCAGTGGGTTCTGGCAAGGTCTTGTGAGAAGCCAGAAAATGGCACCACCTCTCTGCCAGTGGTGGAAGTGGCGGGGCAACCAGAGGGGTGCCACCTCATGCGTTTTCACCACCTGAGGCAGCTGCCTCAGCCCTTCTCATGGGTGGGCTGTCCCTGGTCCTGGCCCTTCCTGCGAAATGAAGAACTGAAACTCCCAGCTCTATACTTCTGCCAAAAGCTTTAATGCTCAAATCAGATCAGTACATAAGGCAAACTACAGGTTACAAGGTTCAGCAGGGACATAAGATGATAAATGGCTAAGAGCAAGCTAAGATGTTGGTCCAACAAGCAACACACACCCTGCACCTTCCTTTTGAAGAGTGGGGCAGGCACAGCTATTAGTGTGGCAAGTGGCCACACTCCCAAGACAGGGCAAGCAATCAGGCTATCCTTTGTGAGGGGGTTGGCTCTGCAAGGTTTGTTTGCACCTGTGCTGGTGTCCCCATGTCTATGGAGACAGTGGGGCAGATCTATATGTAGATGACATTATTTTTTGTATGATGGATATAAACAAATCAGTTTAGGAGCTAGAGAAGATACTGGAGAGGCAGCTGGCTTTTTATTATTGAAGTTTAAGATGAGAGAAGTTGGCAAAGAGAACTGAATCAGAGAAACTGACTGGCATCAAAAGAATCAACTCACAGGAATTAGATAAAGGTCCCAGAAAAACTTGTATAAAGAAAACTGTGCACCTCTTGAGAATCAAATATGACAGAAACTTAAAAACCATAAAGATCTCAAACTGCATTTGACATGAAGATTAAGTAGTTAAAATGAGTGTAGGTAATGGGAAGCTTGAGTTCTGTTCTGTGAGGCTGAATCCTGCTCACCAGTTACAAGTAAACTCATCCATGTCTTACAGAATTGCACTCGCCTCCTCCGTTCCGTTTGTTGAACTGTAGCACACATTCTGAAGCCTACAATGGGAGCATCTGTGGAGCTTGTCTTGTTTTCATTAGCCGTCGTCTCTTTTACAGGTAAGAGCTTCCTCCATCTTGGCTCAAAGGTCAGGACCAGCTTTAGGCTGAGCCTGGAGACTAACTGGGCTAAAGCCAGTGAAGTAACAATCCTGTTCATACTCTCAACTAAAATTCAGAACATGAAATTATCTGCTAACATGAATTCTATCGTTGACCATATATGTTGTGTAAATGTAATTTGGTTTATATATATTTGCAGTGTGGAGTTTATTTGACAGCCGCATTTATTGTGCAAGTGGATAATGACATCTTGATGCACTGCTTAGGGCAGAGGTGGGGAGCCGAGAGTCCTTAGATACTGCTGGGCTCCAGCTCCCATCATCCCTGATCATCGATGGGATGGTGAGAATTGGAGCCCAACAATATTTGATAGCCACTGGGTTCCCACCTGAATTAGGGGAACCAAGCCAGTGAACCAAGGCATGTTGCATTTTACAATATGTTCAATGTATGTGATAGGGGATGCACAGGCCCCAGAATTTGCCTGTGTATTTTTAAAAATTCTTACCTGTTTCTATCCTGTCTTTGCTTAAAACTGTGCTCCAGGTTCCAGTCCACAGGGGGAAATTGTTGTTGTTGTTGTTATACCCCACCCATCTGCCTGGGTTGCCCCACTCTGGGCAGCTTCCCAAAAAATATAAAGACACAGTAAAATGTCAAGCATTTAAAACGTCCCTTTGTAGACATGCTACAAAGCATGTCTGCTTCTCCTGCAAACTTTACTGTTTTGGGATGAGAGTCTCTCTCTCTCTCTCTCTCTCTCTCTCTCTCTCTCTCTCACACACACACACACACAGAGAGAGAGAGAGAGAGAGAGAGAGAGGGAGGGGGAGGGAGAGGGGGGGGAGACAGCTATGACCCTGTTACCCAAGGAACAATGTTGAGGGCAAGGTTTTTGCCATTATCCTCCCCAGTTGGTGGGGGGATACAACCTTGTCTCCCTGCGAGATAGAAATATATTTGCATTGTCTTGCACGGGAGAAGGGCAGGAGGGACGAGACAGGAAATATGCGTAGGGAAAGTTTCATGCCCCAAGCAAGAATCTTGTTATCCCAAGAATCAATGCCGGGGGTGGGCATCTGCCCCCATGATGGATCTTTGTGATATCTCCATTGACTTGCACAGGGAAGGCATAGATCCACATGAAAGACAAATGCAGTTTCATACCCCTCAACTGTCCCGATTAAATTGGGACACCCTGTTTTGGGGGGCTGCACAGCACCCTAAAACCTCATGTGAGTCCCAGTTTTCGGCCTTGACATGTTGGTGGGTATGCAGTTTTTAATTGTTGCTCCAAATCACTGTGATTGGAGTGCCCTGGGAAAACAATTCACTCTGATTAAAAGCTAGCCCTGTCCATCAAGCAAAAGATTCCCCAACCATTACTTCTCCACTTTATCCCCTTTTAGAGCTCTGGGCATTTCCCCAATAAGCTTGGTTTTATTTCTCCAGGCAGGGAACCAGCCGTGTATTTTTGGAGAGCTGAGGCCACAGAGCAACTCAGAAACTTAGCATGCACCTTAGGAGCTGCACTTTTGCCTCAGAAATGTGGGGGCCTTCCCCGAATCACACCGATTCACCTCTTAATTTGGGGTACACACAGAACCAAAACACGCCCCTACTATTTGAACATCATCTCTGGACCATCTTCTTGCTCACTGAGCTGGTTCTATGCCATTATCATTGACCCATTTGCTGCGGCAGTCCATCCTTCACCTTAATGCACAAATCTCCATTTTCCGTTCCATCCAAACTATTGCTGTTTCTTAGATGTCTCCGGCTACACTTTAAAAGGTTGATCTCTCAGTGGGAAGGCTTTTCATTTCAGATGGCTGAGAATTAGATAATGACTTGGAGCTAATTCATCATCTTGGGGAGAGGCTGCTTCGATGTCCTTTATAAATATCTAATTACCTTTTAATGTTGCCTGAGTCTCTTGGGAAGGTGGCTGGCCTACTTCAGGAGGCAATTAGCCTGTGTGGAAACTGGTCTGACCCACATATGTTGGCGACATCAAGGCAACGCTAGGTTTTGCTGTTAACCAGCTGAATTTAGAAGACTTTCTTGTATGTGCTCAAGCAGAGACCATAAGGAATAAGTCATCTACAAAGCCCTACAGGAGCATTTCCTAATGGCTGTTAACATATGACAAAAAAGATCAGTATAACGATGGCTGGATGGGTGGAAATATCTCACTGTGAGCTTGAACAAGGAACCAGGATGAAAGACGGTCGGAAATGGCTTCATCCCAAAATGGTGTTGGCTTAAGATTTATCGTCAATATTTGAGAAAATATCTAGAGCTTGGTATCCCAAATTAAGACTGCCTTTTCAGAAAGGAAAACCAATATTTTGGCTAGGTTTTCCTTGGGCAGTGAAACAAGGAGCTCCATTTGCCTCCCCACTCTCAAACTCTCACACAGCCAGAGTTGAGGAAATAGGAGTTGAATTGTTCTATAAATTGATAGTGACTATAAATTGATAGGCTTGCCTGTTCTTCTGTGTTTAGAGCTTTAGAAAGCATTGTTGCAAACCTTAGACAAAATCCTTTACGCCTCTGTTTTGTTGTACAATACTGGCAAACTTCGGCTAGGGAGGACTGAAGCTCTTGTGTAATGCAGTGATAAGATTTTATGGTAAACCAAGTGCAAGATAATTGTTCAAGGGAGTCTAGAAATAGCTCTGAAGAAGAAGCCTCAGAAACATCACAGTGTTACTGGCTGAAGATTTGACCATCATTGTGAGAGCTTCTCTTTAGATCTGTTCTGGTTTTCTTACAAGCCATGTCTACCTTCTCTTTTCATATGCCAAAATTCAGGAAAGGACAGGTGCATACAGCACAATCCTATGTATGTTTACACAGAGGTAAACTGCACTGTATTCTATGGTGCTTACTCCCAAGTCAGTGTGCTTAGGAGTGCAATCTTACAACACACTTCTGAACGAGTTTACTCAGAAGTAAGGCCCTTTACTCCCTTGTAAGGGTGCATAAGTCTTAAGCACGGTATTTACTGCTTTGTGTTCATCTTGGAACTTTAAGCCAGTCCGAGCAGTAGCTGTATTTATTCTGCCTGTTATTTCTGACTTCATAGGCTATACATAAGTTTGAATAATCCAATATTTCAAAAAAATGGATCTGCTTATGAGTACTAAATGCTGTCTGAGCCACAAAGAGCCAACTGGTAGACATCAATGTGATGGAGCTGCTGCATGAATGATTGCGCCCCTTTCCTTTCAGAGGAAGAGAGCTTCATATAGCTTCCTCAGAGCTACAGCTTTGCTTCCCAAAAAGCAGGCTGCTGGTAGGGTTGCCAGTTTTTCACCCAGTCTCTACAGTTCTGCCTTTATAGTGCATTGATAATATACAAGAATGAGCCACTAAAGGTTTGCACACAAACAATGGGTAGTTGTTTATTACCTGGGGTTTTTTTTGGTTTCTTTGTTCTACTGCGCATCAAGCTACTGCTGAATGGCACAAGATTTCACAATCTCTTGTACTGGCTGTCCTATCAATCTTTCTCTCTCTTTGCCGCTGGTGGCATGATGTGGTCCTCCAGTAGCTCACGCACGGCTGCTCCAGCCATGCTCCAGTCAACACAGTAGGTGTGATAACTGGAAAAGGCAACACACTGACCATGAGAATTTTATATTACGTTGCCTCTGCATTTCCTCCCCTAGGACCTGTCGCGGGTTTTGCAAACACAGGCTGCCCTTCCATCGCACTGGCACCCACCTTCTTTTCAAATCACACGTTGTTGTTTCACCCAGACACCTTGAAATCTCAGGTGGGCAGACTTGGCCGATCTTCTTGCATGCTCCAAGATCAATACCTGACAGCTTGTACTCCACGGCCCTTGCACAGACATATGACGAGGGCAACAGGGGACATGGCCAGGGAAGGCAGAGTTTGGGCAGAATTAAAATGGGAGATTAGCCAGGTTTTGCTTCTGCAATCTTCTTTTTTTAAAAAACACACACACACTCCCCTGATGTTTGGAACCAGGAGCTTGAGGTTTAACAAACAGGGCTTTTGAACGCAAAATATCTTGCAATTATCATGAATTATTTATTGCATTTTGAGTACCCTCCGTGAATCCTGTCCCTTTCTGCCCTTCCACACACACCCCTCCCTGGCTACCACCCGCCCCACAGATGACTCTGAGCTCTAAGTACATCTGCTTTTAGATACTGGAATGTCATTAGCAGATTACAATCTTCCTTAAGTCAATATTGCATCCTTATTGTTCTGCTGCCCCTCAGTGTCAAGGACAAAGCCACTTCCAGCTGAGACGGGATAAACATACCTCTTTCCACTCTCAAGTAGGAGCAAATGGGCCTTTCCGTCACTATTATTGTTTTATCTTTTTGTTGTTTTCAATTAATCCAGTGTTATTTGTTCTCAGCACAAGTGGTGCATGGATGTTTGGATGTTACCGAAGTACCCCCACCACCACAGAAAAAAGGTAGTGGGGAGCCCATTATTGGCATACTTGCAGATGTATTCTCTACAATCAACAAAACCCTTTTTGTTTGGTCACATCCACACCATACAATTAAAGCACAACCGACATGCACAAAGCACATGGCTTTCCCTCAAGTAATCCTGGGAACTGTAGCTCTCTGAGAGGTAAACTATGGTCCCTCTTTGTTGAAAGCCATGTGCTTTAAATGTGCATTGAATGTGGAACTGACAACGGTGTGACGTAATGGTTAGAATGCTGGACTGTGACCTGGGAGACCAGGGTTCGAATCCTCACTCAGTCATGAAGCTCACTGGGCGACCATGGGCCAGTCACCATCTCTTAGCCTAACCTACCTCACAGGGTTGTTGTGAGGATGAAAAGGGGAGGAGGGGAACCATGTACACCACCTTGAGATCATTGGAATATAAAGGTGGTGGTTGTTGTTTAGTCGTGTCCGACTCTTTGTGACCCCGTGGACCAGAGCACGCCAGGCACTCCTGTCTTCCACTGCCTCCCACAGTTTGGTCAAACTCATGTTGCTGGCTTCGAGAACACTGCCCAACCATCTCATCCTCTGTCGTCCCCTTCTCCTTGTGCCCTCCATCTTTCCCAACATCAGGGTCTTTTCCAGGGAATCTTCTCTTCTCATGAGTGGCCAAAGTACTGGAGTCTCAGCTTCAGGATCTGTCCTTCCAGTGAGCATAAAGGTGGTATACAAATGTAAATAATAATAATAATAATACACTTAGGACTAAACTTGACGTGATGGTGACAGTTCTGTAGGTTTCACCTCTACGTAGAATATAGGAAGACTAGGGTGCGGGTGGATCCAGTTTTAAACACAGAAAAGGAGTGTGGGTGAGAATTAGAGAAGTCTCTCTTTCCCACAGCTTGTTTCACCATTTTCCCTCTCCCTAACAGCACTGGATTACCAAATAGGCAGAGTAGGGACTGGCCCATGGACCCCATGCCTTTTAGGAGCTCCGCAACAACGGATCAAAATAATATTGATTTGATCTTGCAATAATTTGAATTTGGAAGAGAAATCCCCATTGACTCAGAAACCTACATCATAGCGAGCCTCCTCCCCCCTGGTATTTTGACTGCCTTGTGGGCCCCCCACAAGGTTTAATTTGGCACTGCTCCCTAAGGCCTGTTCCTGAAGTTACTTCTAGTATTAGCTCTCTGCTGAGGGGAATACTGCTTGTGGGGAGATAAGCCGAGGGGCAGTTTTCCACTTCCACCTTGTTAAAATTGGGCTCCCCTCCCAGTCTTGTTTTGTCATAGGAGCAGTTCTGCATTCACATGGCATTTACCCTCCTATAATGTCCTCTCCCACCTTTTCCTGTGAGTTTATTTGAAGCATCCCCTTCTAGAATAGATTTCACAAATGACAGAAATAGATGAGTGAGGAGCAGGGCAGCCTGGAGAAAGGAGATTCGTTTTAGATATCATTGCTTCGTTTTTCAACTGCGGGCATATTTCTCAAGGCGCAGTATGCCAGACCTCGCTGAATCTGTTAGCCACTGTGTCCATATCAGGGAAGCCACACAGCTCAGTAGAGCACCTACTCTGCGTGCCAAAGGTCCCAGGTTCAGTTCCTGGCATCTCCAGGTAGAGAGACACAGCCAGTCACTGTTGACATTGCTAAGCTAGATAGAGCCGGTGATCAAACTCAGTATAAGATCATTTCCTATGCTGGTATCTTATAATATTTCCACTATTTTATTCTGAAGTGGTGACCCCAGCAGCAACTCTAGAAAGACCAATCCATAAGGATAAATTCCTTTCTTCCCAAAGCCTGGAAGGAACACTTAAGCAAAACGGGAAATGTGGCCCAATGTGGATCGGTCCCTGCTAGCTACACATAATAAAATAACTGGCTTAGCTTAGCGCTGCATGAGGTGGCTGCGATGTATAATTGGCTAATGTCTAGGCAGCTGCTGAAACTAGGTTAGTGTGCTCCCCCCCTTTTCCTGTGCATAAACTGAAACAACCCAGACATAAAATAAGAGATCTCCAAGTCAAGGGATTGGTGAGCCTGAACGTTTTTCCTGCTGGTCTTTCCCCTGGTCGGAAGCCACTCTTGCATAAAATATGGTGCTTGTGAGAACGGCAAGTTTGAAACAATGCCATCCTGTCCATAGCAACAAAGGAGGGAGAGGACTAACTGGTGGGATGGCGATTAACTCCATTCTAAACCACTTGGGAGCCTCCCGCCAGCCTACTGGCTTCATAGAGCTCTAATCTCATCACATAATGAAACAGACTAGCTAGGGCTGGGAATTGGTTTCAAGTGGCAGAACAGGCGCTTTCAAGATAATGGCAATGAGTCAGGGATGCAGCACAGAGTTTCTGTTTCCCACCCCGGCTACTACTGCTTTGCTGATGATTGAAAGCTGGGCGGTTCTGAAATAGATTTCGTTTTGAGAAGCAGCAAAGCTTTGTGACGCAGCAATATGCCTGTCATAACCGTTCACATTGAAACAAATATGGATGAACAGCTTCTTTTTGTGATATATTTTGATTACTAAAAACTGGTGGGTGGGGAGAATTAACATGAGCGAAGGCAGATATAATATGAAAAGGCAACTCACATCCTATACCTCAGTCATGGGTAATCCTGGCTTCTTTCTGACTTTGCAGCTGAAAATTCAGATGTGCACAGAAGCAAGTCTAATGTTGTGTCAGCAGCTGGAATTTATGAATGTGCCTTGTGCCAAGTCAGAGCATGGCTCCATCTTGTTCATCAGTCCATTTAGCTCAGGTGTATCTCAGCTTTCTAGCAGATGCACTCCAGAGTTTGGAGTAGGAATATCTTCTGGCCCTACCTGGAGATACTGGGGATTGAACCTGGGACTTCCTGCATGCAAAACAGATGTTCTATCACTGAGCTATGGTCCATCCTGAGACAAGCTCTTGCATCTTGCCTCAGCAAATAGGTCTGGGTCCCATCTTCAGAAGAAGATCTAGCAACTCTAACTAAGAACCTCAACCGGCCAGCATTTTAGGATTTTTTACATGGTTATTGTAAATAACTTAAAGGTAAAGGTAAAGGGACCCCTGACCATTAGGTCCAGTCGTGGCTGACTCTGGGGTTGCGGCGCTCATCACTATAAATGGTTGATTTCATCTATGTCAGTTCAATATTCAGGAAAATTCAGTATTTAATTTTATTTCAGAATTTTTATGCCACCTTTCAAAACAAATGCCCTCTTAAGGTAATACCCAACCAGCATCATCAGCATCATGACAACCACATAATGTATAAAAAATCCTGTGAAATGTTGCATTAAAGAGCAGTATATAATACCTCCAGGTCAACTCAGCAATCCAGAGAAAACAAATTGAAGTTTAGCATTATTTGACAGCAACCATTTAAAACTTTCCCCAGTGTCTTTAACAAAAAGCAGATCAAAATAAAAACTTATTGGAGGCCTCTTTGGAAAGAGCTTATGTGCATCCTTTGAGATTGAGTTCTGTCGACATGAGGCCACCACTGCAAAGGGCCTGTGCTTGCTGTGCTGATCCTGAAGGATAGGAAATACAAAGCAGGATGCTGAAATACAGTTTTGCAAGGGTTTGAGCATCACAACACCTCTTTCTGTTTGGTGGAATGCTGAAGCTGGAGAGTTCGCAGCAGCTGTCATTTTGATTAAGTGTTTCCTACTGCTTCTGTTCTGTACTCAGTCTGAGCTTTTCAGATTTCTTTCACCTTGTGCAGTGTTGCGGCCAGCAGAGAGTACTCTAAGAAACTATGGGCCAATCTTTGAAGAACAACCACGTAACATCATCTTTCCAGAAGGATCAACAGAGGAGCAAATACTGTTGGTTTGTCAAGCACGAGCCAGCCCTCCTGCGACCTATAGGTGAGGTTATGTGATCATAGCAGTGTTTTTGTTGGAAAGCCTATGGCTGCGATATACACAAGTGTATGGCAATGGTTTGTTGTTGTTTTGCATTCACACATACCCTGCTGTCCTGCCCATTCATCTCAGGGACCAAAGGCAAGCATTTTATGTCCCATTGAATTAAACGGAAAAGAGCGCATTCTAACTCTCTCTAGTTGACGTCCATGGGATTCTAAACTCCTATATTCAAGAGTAAGTCCTGCAGAGTTCAATGGGGCTGATTCTCTGGAAAGTAAATATAGGATTGCAGACTAAATATGTTGGTTTGAACTCTGTTTCATTATTTCCCTGCTCAGCTTCCTCCCCACATTTGAGTTCAGAAAACCTGAGGGTCTTTTCACTCAGTGGAATAATTGCTTAATTCAACAAACATAAATGGCCTATTGCACAGCTATTCTGGCCTGGGTAGGTTGCTCTAACTCAGGCTTTCTCAAACTCGGCCTTCCAGATGCTTTGAGACTACAGTTCCCATCATCCCTGCCCACTGGTCCTGCTAGGTAGGGATCATGGGAGTTGTAGGCCAAAAACATCTGGAGGGCCGAGGTTGAGGAAGCCTGCTCTAACTCATCAGTGGGAGACCTCTGGTCCAAAAGCTTAATGTGGCCCACCACATCCCTCAATCTGGCCAACCAAGCCTGTCCCAATAAGCCCTGCCCACCTGCCAATCACTCCATGTCATTTTCTGACTTACCATTACTCGCCTTGCTTTGACCAATGGCTCAGCACATCTACTAAGTTCTCATGATTAAAATCTAATTGTTAGATTGGAGATATGCTCTGTAGCATTAGGCAAAGGAATCTCTGATCTTAGTACTAAGCAACACAGGGCCGAGATTGCAGATAAGTCGTCTTCTGTTAGTGCATCTGTGGTGCAATGGGTCACTGCATCTGGCTGTTAATTGGAAGGTTGATGGTTCGAGGCCACCTGGGGACAGCTGTGGGGAGGATTCCTGCATTGCAGGGGGTTGGACTAGGTGGCCAACTGAGCCCTCAGGCTGAAATAGGTTCCCCACTCTCTCTGTAGTTATTTTCTCTCCCTGGTCTGTCTCTTCTCTCCATGAATCCACTCCAACTCTTCCCTTTCTAAGTCCTTTTTCCTTTAGCCTGCTATTTTTCTTCCCCGCCCCAATTGTAGTTGGGGTTTGGAATCATGACTCAGAGTGCAATGAAGGGGAAAGGAATCTTTAACCCAGACATAGACAAACTCGGCCCTCCATATGTTTTGGGACTACAGTTCCCATCATCCCTGACCACTGGTTCTGTTAGCTAGGGATAATGGGAGTTGTAGTCCCAAAACGTCTGGAGGGCCAAGTTTGCCTATGCCTGCTTTAACCCTTCCCCAATACACAATGGTCTCAATGTCCCTTCCAAAGTGTCCCTTCCAAACGTTTGGGGCTGGGGAAAGTGGAGCTCCTTACAGAAGTCTGGGAATAGCATTGTTATTCCACTCTGGAAGCAGAATAGCAATGGTTGGGCGCTGCTGAAGGGTCCCTGTCTGGAAGCATCCATGAACAGGATAGGGCAAACTGAGAGAGCATTTTTCAGAAGACTAGATCTGGGAAGCAGGAAGGCCTGCAGAGCAAAGTTAAATAATTTATAGCAGTATCAAACAAACCCGGTCAGAGATGTTGAGGCCAACCCTGGTGAGTGATGTGCTTCCTGGTGAGATAAAACACAGCCTAAAGGCTCTTAGAATAATCATTGAGATTTGGATTTTCTTTAGCATTCGACAAAGTGCAGCCATTTCTCCCCCTGATTACTGGGCTGGCATTGTAGCTACTGAGACAGCATCCACCATTCAGCCACTGTCCTACAATAGGTCCTATTGAGGGTTTTTGTGTACATCATAAATGCCAGTGTGTGTTGTTATTCAGGACAATGTTAATGTGCAGCTGTGATGACTCTGTTCTTTCCCCACTCCAACCAAATACCATTGTCTTGGCAGGTGGAAGATGAATGGCACAGAGATCAAAATAGAGCCAGATTCCCGTTATAGGTTGAACGGGGGCAACCTGGTGATCAGCAACCCAGTGAAAGCCAAAGACACTGGGTCCTACCAGTGTGTGGCATCCAACTCCGTGGGCACAGTAGTCAGCAGAGAAGCTTCCATTCACTTTGGCTGTAAGTGGATTTTCTCAAGTGGATTTTCTGAAGACAATTCGGTGCAGAAGAGGGGTAAAACAGAAGGGAGCCAAACACTGTGCCACCCATGGTTCCCCAGCAGCATCACAGCCAGGGGGGCAGTGAAGCTCCAAGAAATTGGATATACTGGCATGTGCCCTCAGAAATCATACAAGTTGAGCAGGCTGAGCAGAGGGATGGGGTGATAGAGGAGGCTGGGGACTTAAGGGAGCTGGTCGGGGTACCCAAATGGTCTGCATGATCCCTTCTATTTGTCCAAAGGGATCTGCGTTTAGATGAGGACAGTGGATGACAAACAAAGGGGGGGGGACATGAATGAGGACCCCAGTCCTTTTCATCGTTCTGTGGGAATTGAGGCACTTGGATAATGGTTCTGAACCGTTGCCCCTCTAAGGAGAGTGAGGTGGCCCAAGCATATCACAGCTATTTCAGGAGGGCCAAATGCTGGACACCAGCATGGATTAAAACTGGTTTAACATTTTACTGAGCAAGAGAAGGATGGTGTTGTGAGAGCTCCAAGCATAACCAGTCTTTGAAGAGTCTTTTATAAAGGGAACTTTTACCAACTGTCTGACTTTTAGAAGACATCTGAAGGCAACGCTGTTTAGGGAAGTTTTTAATGTTTGATGTTTTTAATATTCCATTGGGAGCATAAATGAGTGGAGCATAAATATATTATTATTACTATTATTATTATTATTATTATTATTATTATTATTTTATTATTACCACCACAAGGGTTATGTGACCAGGCAAGATGCTAAAGACATGAGCTATCTTGATGAGTATGTGGATGTGAGAAGTTCCATCACTGCTGAATAGAGTGTGTGTTTAGGAAATGTGGTTGTTCTGGGGCAGCTTGGCTGTGAACTAGCGCCAGCTGCCGGGAGCTTATTTCTGATTCTGGCTTCCTGTTACTTTCCAGACAAAACTGGGTTGTGTTTTTAACCTTGCAGCCCTAGTTCCATGTTACCCCAGGGATTGTCTCCTCCTATTTGTGTAGGTCATCAGATGATATTCTGTATGAATTTTACGTATGCCTCAGACTTCTGACATGAGGGGTAGGATCTTTTTGGTGGTGCCACTCACTCTGTAAAATTGATTACCCAGGGTGGTTTAGCAGACAGATTTACCAAGGGCTTTTTGAAAGATAGCAAAAGCATTTCCTTTCATACAACAGGGGGTTGAGTCCTTCTAATTTGTTTATCTTGGTGGTGATGCTCTGATGTTTTATTGTTTGTCTGTTGAGGTGTTCACATGTTTTAATTTTGGGTTTTTGCTTTTGTGTATGTATTTTTTAAAATTTGTAAGCCATTTTTAGGAGCCGCTGATGACCAAAATGGCTGAATATACGTTTGAAAAAGATAGATAGATGATAGAAATTGCAGTGGGGATAGTATTGATTTAGCTAGTTCGTTCCCAGCACATTTTCTGAGTGCTATTGCTGATGCCATCTGCCGTTACTCTCTCAATTTAATTTCCCTTTGATATGATGGAAGCATGATTGCCTGTAACTAGCATCATTTCTCTTTGAGCAGAGAAAGATCTAATTTGTAAGATTGTTAGGCTCTCATAGCTCATGTTTCATCACCTCCACTCATTTCTTGTGTTTAGTTTTGCAGGAATTCTCTACAGAAGAGCGAGACCCCGTGAGGGTTACGGAGGGCTGGGGGGTGATGTTTACTTGCAGCCCACCTCCCCATTACCCAGGTGAGACAATGACAGTGCACTAGAAATGAGGTTCTCACCCATATTCAGGGAGCAATCCATCAAATGACAGGGGTAGCTAATGGTATAAACCCATACACAATTGTGTTTAGCAATTTGGACAAAGCCATTCCTTTCGTGAGAACATAATCAGAGCTCTGCTGGATAAAGCCTAAGGCCCATCTAGTTCAATAGCCTGTTCTCAAAGCGGTCAAACAGATGCCCATGGAAAGCCCATAAGCAGGACATGAGTGCAACAGCGCTGTCTCTACTTTCACTTCCAAACATCTGGTATTCAGAGGCATGTTGTCTCAAACGTTGAAGCAGAACATCACCATTTGGGCTAGTAGCTGTTGATAAACTTATCACCCATGAATTTGTCTAATGCTCTTTTAAAGTGTGGTGGCCATTATTACCTTGTTTGGTAGTTAATTCATATGAACCTAAGAATATCCTTCTGGATCTGGCCAGCTGTTCCACCTAGTCTAGCATCGTGCTCTCACAGTGGCCAACTAGATGGCTGTGTGAAACTAGCAAGCAAGGCACTCTCCCATCCCATGGCTTCCAACAACTGGTACTCAGAATCATTACTGCCTTTGACCATGGAGGCAGAACATAGCTGTTATGGCTAGGAACCCTTGATAGCCCTACGTTCCATAGTCAACTGTGAAGTACTTTCTTTTTGACTGTCCTGAATCTTCCAACTTTCTGTTTTATTAGATGGCCCTGAGTTTCTAATATTATGAGAAAGGGAAAAAACTATCCACTTTCTCCACACCTTATGTAATCATGTCCTCCTTTTGCTGTTAAAATCACGTGATTTTTTTTAAATTTTGTGGCAACAATTATCCTTGCAAAATACTGGAAACATGCTGCCATTGTTTTCTACACGAGAATGCTTAAGCCAGACTTCAGCATAGCAGAAATTGATAAACTACCAAGGCTCTATCCCAAAGGAGAAATGTATTGCATCTAAATGTCTCTCTGTTTGATTAATGGTTAACATTTATAATATACTGGAATCTATATTATAATTACATTGTCTTTGAGAAGTCTTTTTTGTAATTTTATATCAGATTGAAATAAATTAAACAAAAGGGGGAGGGGAAGAAAAGAAAGAAAGCTCCAACTTTTCCATTTTGTTCATATAGGTCTGAGCAGTTTTCCCTTTGCCCTGCCTCTGTCTCTTGGAAAACCTCTTTCATGCTAAATTGGAACAAATGGCAGTCCATGGAAAACCCAATAACCTGCTAAACTGCAGGTTATCACCAAGGGAAAGCAGCAGGCAAAGAGAGGCATAGATAAGCCCTAAATTGTGCCTGGTCTTTATGGATGAAGCAATAACCTGCTTATCAAGTGTAAACAGCAGTTGCCATGGGGTGGTATTAAATGCTAGTCCTACTCAGAGTAGACTCATGGAAAGTAATTTATCTGTTTAACTTAGGTTCGTTCATTCATTTCAATGGGTCTACTCACAGTAGGTCTTGGTTTATTACATCCCATGCTTTCTTGTATGTAGAGGTAGCTGAAATGTTCCCTAAGAAGCATGAATTGCTCTGTTCATCTCAGACTAAATTATGCGGCTGTGAATTCTGGAATTCTCCCAGGAAACAATGAAAATCAGTGCTGTCGATTTCATGCCAGAAGCTGATATTGTAGAAATTGAATCATTAATGCTCTTTGTATAGGCGAATCTGTAGTTGAATATTTCAGGGATGTGATTTCAGTTCATCTCTACCTCCCACCCTACACGTTTTGATTATCAGGGGACGGCATGATTATTACTGGGTGGGTGGGGGGTTGCAGTGCGTGTAAGGAAGGGAAAGAGCATGTGAATGGGAAGAGATCTCTTGTGGGAATGGGGGTGGAAGAAAGGGAATTCTGGTATGGAAAACTTTGAGAAACCTCTGGCTGAGACCCACAGGACTGTTGAACTTTAACCCACAATCTGTGGTATGAGAAGTCGGAAGTAGTAAAGGAAGAAACCAATAGCAGGTCCAAAGTTCTTGTCAAGAAATTGGAGGGCATCAGGCTCAGTTCTCTCAAAATGAACATTGTGGGAGCATTGTACATCCCGTCTAGAATAACAACAAATACGCTCACTTTTGTTTCTTTGTTCAGAGTGAATGAATAGCTACTGGACTTAGTTTGTGTCTCAGTCTGGGAAATAGCGTACCGAGGTCAGCCTTCGAGCGTCACTGATACAGAGGAGCCAGTGTTTCATCCTCTCCCTCTCTCTCCCTTTGCACACAGGACTTGCATACCGCTGGTTTGTGAATGAATTCCCCAACTTCATCCCAGCAGACGGAAGGCGTTTCATCTCCCAAAAAACGGGAAACCTGTACATTGCTAAGACAGAGGCCTCTGACCTCGGCAACTACTCCTGCTTTGTCACTGGCCAGATTGATTCCATTCAGAAGAGTGTCTTTAGCAAAGTTTCTCAGCTCAATCTTCTCAGAGAAGGTCAGTGCACTGGCGACCCACAATGTTGGAAGCCCAGTTGATCCCTCTGAGAGATGCCCTAGGAGGGCCAACTCCAGAGGGAGGCATTTCTGAAGTAGGCCTGCAGAGCCTGTGACCCACCAAGCCAAACATACCTACCAGCCATGTATGGTGTCCTATGAGCAGTTCCTTGCCTACTTGGGACTGCAAGATGCCATGGTCCCTGATTACAGAGGATCTCATGTTGTACTATTCATGGGGAGTAGGGAGCCTTCCATGCAGCTGGGTGATATTCAGTGCTTATTTCCTGGCCGTCTGTGTTGAAATCTGAATCCTCCTCCTTGGAGCCAGCCAGTGGCTTTGGTGGTCTGAATTTTTTTTGTGGCTGGAGATGTAGGTTGTTCTTACCATCCCCATATAGCAGATTAGGTTAGGACAGGTTAAGAGAGAGTAGCTGGCCTAAGGCCATCTCAGGGGGATCTGCTGTAGCTCAATGATGTGGTACATGCTTTGCATGTAGCAGGTTCCAGTTTGATCCCTGGTCTCTCCAGGTTGGGCTGGGAAAGACTCCTGTCTAAAACCCTGGAGAGCCAGTGGCTGTCAGTCTATCCCAGCCTTTCCCACCCTGGTGTCCTCCAGATGTTGTGGGGCTCCTACTCTCAGCTGCCTCAGTCATCCAGCCAATGGTCAAGTGTGATGGGAGCTGCTGACAAAAACATCTGGAGGGCACCAGGCTGAGGGATGCTGGTGTAGATAACACTGAGCTAGATGGAACAGAGGTGGATCAGGATTTCCTTACTCATTGCTCTCCTCTTCCATCACAAGCTACGTCAGAGCAGTGTGGGTGATGGCTGTGTGGTAGCCACGGCTGTGCCACACCAGTAATGTAAAAACTGGCTCTGCAAGTACACAAAGAAGTAAATGCTGAACTTAACTTCTTGGGTTTTGAACGTGCACTTTTTTGAAGATGAATCATTTTGGAGGCCTGTGCTTTGCAACATCCTGCATGGGTAGCTTTAAAGCTTTCAACCTCTTGTCCCCCTTCCCACAGATTCCAGGCCGTTTGCTCCCAGCATTAAAGCCAAGTTTCCTTCTGACACTTATGCTCTGGCCGGGCAGCTGGTGGCTTTGGAGTGTTTTGCCTTTGGGAAGTGAGTACTTGTGTCAATTGCATTTAGCCTCTTGCTGGTGACAGCAGAAAAGTTGCAGGCCAACATAGTTATGAATTGAATCTTGTAGACTCTGTTCTGAGGAACAAGAATGCAGAAGAGGAAGGAAGAAGAGAGCTGCTGTTTTAAATATCAGAGAAACTCTGTCCTGAAGAAAGTTTGAGGATCATAGCCTGCATTATCTGGAACATAACCAAGCATACATTTGATGAAGCCCTATTCCCCATCTATTTTACTCCTTTGCCCTGTTTGTGAGTGAGGTTTTTAATAATCTGAAATATTTAATAATCCTTTAGATGACTTTTGGGTGTTGGACAGTAAATGCTGACTAGTTTGAGCTAGGACCCACCCAGGAATGGCTGGTGTGGTGATGTGGAGTCAGCCTCCCAGCACTGGTGATGCTGCCACTTACCTGGATGGTGCAGGGCAGCAGCGAAGTCAGAGCTGCCTGGGTGCACAGATGGAGTCAACCAGGTGCTGCCAGTGCACCTGGACGGCCCTGCCCCATCCAGGTAAGCAGTATTGATTCTGGTGTTAAGAGGAAGGCGCCATAGCACTGCCCACCCCACCAAAATAGCACATAGGCTGCTCCTGAACTCGCCAGAATCTGTTTTTATTGTTATGCATTTGCCTTCAAATGGATGGTGTAATAAATAAGAGTGCCTCTGAGCATGTGCAAAGACCACACCAAACAGAATCGCAGGTGGGTAGGTGGTAGTGATTTTTCCCCCATCAAGAGGATATGATTTGTAAGAAGACTTGAATGCCAGCAGAACTCTTGTTTCTGTATATTAAGGTGTGGGTTGTGAGAGACAATGATAGTTTACTAACAGGTCAAAGAGAAAAGCCTGGCTAGTTTAAAAAATGGAAGACATAAGGCTCACAACGAGGAAAGGGAAATAATTGAATTGCACTGGATTCCAGTGTTTGTTGCTGTTGCATTGATGCTGAAGCTTGAAGTGCCCTTTTACAGAGGTTTATTTATAATCTAGCCCTGTCCCTCGAATAAAATGGCGGAAGTTGGATGGTAGCCAGTCCTCTGAGTGGATCACAACGGAGCCCCTTCTACAGTTTAAGGAGATTGGCTTTGAAGATGAAGGCACTTATGAGTGTGAAGCTGAAAATGCCCAAGGAAAAGATACCTATCGGGGCCGCATCATCATCCAAGGTAAAGCACTCCTGGAGGTTCCTTCACAAGTATCTTATCGTTTTATTATATTTCTATCCCGCCCATCCTTAGAATGCTTGGGGCAGCATAGTTGGAGCTCCCAGCAATCCCCTGACAGGCAGCCATCAGCTCTACATCTTTCCTAGTACATTGATCCAAATGAAAAGAGAGCTGGAGGTCCCTCTTGAACCTTTCTCTGTGCTTTTCATATTTTCCAAATAGTGCACAGGGTGGGTGGAAACCTAAAGCATAACGATGAAATAAGGGATCCATCCCTAAGGATGGAATAATCTGCAGAATCTAGGGCTGAGATGGGTTGTTCAAATCTGTGAACCTCCAAGTTACACGTTTTCCCCATTTTTAAAAAAAATCAATGTTTTAGAAATGAAATGTGGTATGTTAGGGGTTGCACATTGTAATAAATTCCCACCACAACTTGAGCATCATGAATCTCGCACTGCTTCCTGTCTGAAGTGCATACGTCCCGTTCTCTTCTTGTTCTTTTTATAGCTCAGCCAGAATGGCTGAAGGTCATCTCAGACAAAGAGGCTGACATCGGAGCAGACCTTCGCTGGAGTTGTGCTGCAGCTGGCAAGCCAAGGCCTACCGTCAAATGGCTACGGAACGGGCAGCCCTTAACCTCTCAGGTAGCCCATCTGTCACTGGCATTATGGTTCCCTTTTGTAGGTGGCGTGCAAAATAGAAATGCCACATAAAAGCGCAATAATAAATATGAAACCTGTTTAAACGATGGGAGCAAAGGAAACCACAGTTGAAAGTACAAAGCAGGCTATCTGCCACTAACTAACTAATAGAAAACTTAGAAGCTGCCATGCTAAGGTCAAGAGAAAGGATTGAGCATTCTTAGGGCCATGATTCAGAGGTAGAACATCTGCCCTGCATTCAGAAAGTCCCATGTTCAATCCCCAGTATCTCCAGGTCAGTCTGGGAAAGTCTCCTGTCCTAGAGAGCAACTACTAGTCAATGTAGACAGTGCTGAGCTAGGTAGACCAGTGGACCCTCCCTACAGTCCTGCGTTTGGCCACCTGTTGTCAATTCTGTAAATTCAAGCCAGTAAGCTACCTGGAAACAACCTCAAATGTTCATTTCTCCTGGTTATGTTCTTAGGCCCAAACTAGATGTGACATTATGAATGCCGCTAACAGTTGTATGATTTAAAAAAGTAATAATTAAGAAGTAGTAAGTAGCTGTGGGGAAGACTGATCTGGATCAGAACTGTGTAGGAGGAGAGGAGGATTTTGTTTTGGTTCTTGCACCAAAGGGATGTTTCTCTTAGCTGCACATAGGAGCTGTGCAGGGTAGTCTGGATTTGGATCGCAGCCAAGGCAAAGGGTTAAATGCTCCTTTGGGATCCCAGTCCAAATCCCGTCCTCCAGCATTTGCTATATGTTTTCCTTTAAAATAATCACACAATTGTTAATTGGATGAATAATGTCACAATTTGGTTTTGCTCACATTCCGTACTATCTTCCCGTTAATCACAGTCGGTATTAACTTAGCAAGAATTAGTGGTACTCAAGATGTGAATGAGCTATAACTGGGTAATAAGCAAACATGTTAATTTGGATTGTTAGGGGATATTTTAACTGAAGGGCTTTTGATGCAAAGGCAGAAAGCTTAAAGAATAAGGATTAAGCCAAAGTTGTACTAAAGCCGAGAGACTTACATGAAAGGGTAGTGGACTTTGGAGTTCACATATTAGCTAACATTGTGTGACTTTTCCAAGAGCAGATCAGAAAACAAAGGAAGGGCTTTAAATACAGAAATCCTTGTTACCCTTCAGAGAAATACCGTACATGATAAAAATACAGAGCAAGCTATGTACCATTAGCCTATTTAGTGGCAGTGAAAGCAGCAAAGAAGGCATACTTTGCTGCCTCCATGGGAACCTCATTTGACATCCAGCAGAGCTTTTCCAGGTAGTATGGGGCCTTTTATGGTTTGGTTCAAAGGAGGCGGTAGAACTGACAGTAGCTCACTGTGATTTTTTTTGCAAAGCATTTTGAGAATAAAATTGCTTGATCTTGCCAAGACTTTGACTCTACTGTTACAGCAGATTAATCTCTAAAGGTGTCCAGAGCACCGTCTAACCCTGTTATGTTGGATAAGTTTCAGTTAGTAAGGCTGGATGTGGACAAGTACTTGGATTGGTCTGGGTGACCACTTACACTCTGGATCCTTGCCCCTCTTGGCAGGTAAAAACTAGCAAGGAGGAGGATAGCTGGCTGGGCCAGGGAGATGATTAATGCCTCCATGTGAGAGGGGATAGTAAAAACGCAAGGGTAAAAAGCTGTGGTAAAACCTCTCTTCAAGAAATCGTCTGTGGATTCGGAAAACCTAAGTAATTGCCTTTCAGTTTCCAATCTGATTTGGTAGCCTTGTATGGTGGCCTCTGTTGTGTCATAATTCTTTCCTTTTGCTACACCCGTGTGCCACACTCTTGATCTGCAACAAAGAGGATTGCTACCTGGCTGCTTTTAAGTTGGAATTGATAGAGCTGCACCTTAATGTACAAATAGCAAAACAAAAAAACAAACCCGGGGTGACCTTTGTAAGAACAGAAGTACACATGCTCCTGAATGTCTCTTTCCGCTCCTTTTCCACAGCATAATCGTATATTTGTCTCAGAAGTAGGTTCCATTGAATTTAGTGGGGACCTCTTCCCAGATACATGACTTTAGGATTGCAGCCTCAGATTGTTGTACACATGGGAGAGACCCCAGTTGCTTCGAAATGCATTAAGAACTTGAGCCTTAACTTTTGCCTCAAAAACGGTTTTGGTTTTTTTGTTTCCCCCATAGTCGTTTTGTTCTTATTTGCCACTTCTAAATTGTCTGACTGGAACCCCTCAGCTACTGGATATTTTTACTCTGCATTGCAATGCTAAGATCTTTAAATTATAAACTGATGTCTTTCTGGGGAGAAATTGGTTGGAGAGATTTCTGGGCACGAAAGCATGGGCCACATATAAATATTGGGGTCAGGCATTCAATGGAGTGAATCTGCCGAGAACATGGCGTATTCATTTGCATTGTTCTGTTTTTCAAGACAATATGTCCAGCTCTGGGTGAGCAAAATATCAAACAATAGCTTTTTAAACTGGACAGATATCCTTAGAGATGACGTTTGCTGTGCTTCAGTTGTTGCACTGTTTCTGTATACCAAAGTTGGTCTGTATCTATAGACAACTTTCTAAGGGCTGTCTACCAATGGAAGGCAGGGCCAGAGGCAAAAGTTGACAGAGAGGTTAATGTCTCTTACCTGTGTTTGGTAGGCTGAATTCCAGCAAAGAAAAAGGCAGAGTTTTCTATACATAAACTCATTACAACAAATACACATCTCTCCATTCAAACAAGAGGCACGATCACCTTTCAATGAAACTTTCCATTCAGGACAACCTGATGAGGAACAGTGAGGAGGCCTAAAGAGACTCCCTGGGGCAGAAAGAAAGCCCGAAGGACCACATTTGGAGGGCCCATAGGCCAGAGGCTAGCCATGCCCTCTAGGCATATGCACAGAGTCATGTGAGTGGCAGCAGGCACAGAATAGGGCAAATGTGTTGAACAGCACAACCGTGTCACCACTGAGAGGGGTAATGTGATGTTCTCTACTGAAACTCACTTCTGTGTATATAGCACTTGCATTTCATGTTCTGTGTTCTGATCTAACCACCTAATTTACTTGTTTGCACAGAATCGCATTGAAGTGAATAGTGGGGATTTGAGGATTTTAAAGTTAACAATGGAGGACTCTGGGATGTACCAGTGTGTAGGAGAGAACAAGCATGGCAGCATTTATGCAAGTGCTGAATTGGCTGTGCAAGGTACGTTCTGGATTTCTGTGGATTGTCTGGGCAATACCGACATGCTTTAGAAAGGGGGTTATTTCTCCAGAAGTGAGCCCTGTGTGTTGAATGGGACTTGTTCACTAGTATTAATGCTTGGATTTTAATCTTAAATATTGGCAAATTCCCTGTCTAAAAAGCAGTAAGATAATGGACTGGCCTAATACTTTGCCATATTGCTTCATGGTGAATTTCATTTTTAACATTTTATTTTCTTTAGTCCTGGAGGGCTGCTGTTAACAGATTGTATTCTAGCAGTTTTAGTGGCAAGAAAAATCTAAGAAACCTCAAATGGTTTTAATTTGAAATGTCAACATCTGCTTAGGTTATGAGGCAATACAGTATTTACGGCCAATCTCAGTTGGTTTTTCTCAAAGATCAAGGCACTGTCGCAGCCAAGACTGAAATATGCCTACATGCATAGTGAAACTAGCAGACTTTTTCATCCATATTGGTATGTGAATTCAGTCTGATGTAAGATGAATAGAGGTGAATTAAACTTCTCTAATTAGCCACAGCATGTTCCCCTATATTGTTTTTTAGTACTATAGATTTTATTAACTGTGTGTATTTCTGGCTCATTTGCTTTGACAGGACTGAACAGAAACAGGCAGCTGCCCTTTTAGACATTGAGCACACATTTCAATCAGTTTCAAATTCAATGACTTCTGGGGTTTTGAGTTTTGAAGTTCTGACTTTGAAATTACACTTGGAATCAGTAATCTTTCTGTTCAAAATTTAAGATGTAGCTATTTTGAAGGATTAATCAAGCTTAGGTTTTGACATTTTATTCTTCACAGTGTTCAATTTCAGACTTTTTGGGCTTCAGAGATCTGAACTTGCAGCATGCTGATTTTCACAGTGTAAAACATTTGCATTTTGTTCAATGAATTGGAGGTTTGCGTAGTTAAATTTGTCTCACTTGGACTAAATACTGAGGCACCTCACTGTTACAACATTACTTTAGGTGTCCAAGTGACAGACAGGCAACTTTATTTAACAGAAGCCATGATATATGTTATCGTGTTACTTTTGCACTATTATAGAATCTACAGGAAGCTTGCCTTTACCATTCCCAGGGCTCAGCATTCGTAAAACCTACTTAATCATTTTATTTTCCCTTTTAGCCTTTGCTCCAGATTTTCGGCTAAACCCCGTGAGGCGACTAATACCAGCAGCTCGAGGCGGAGAAATTATTATCCACTGCCAGCCAAGAGCTGCACCAAAGGCCATTATACTCTGGACCAAAGGGACTGAGCTTCTGAGCAACAGCTCCAGGTATGAGGACCCTTAAGCTAGTTCCTAGCTAAAACTAAGTAGCTTTGAGCATGCAGTCCCTTCTCAGTGCAATTATCCTGCTGGCTTCTGGTTAGCTTAAATTTATTGTGTGGAACTGATCCCATGTGTGTTTACTTGGAAGGCTGTCCCGGTGTGTTCAGTGGGGTGAGTCTCCTTAGGATTGATCCTTCAGAAGCAGCATTTTCTTGCCTGGTGGCTCTGCTCTAAGCCCCTTGAATTGTTTTTTTGGGGGGGGGGGCAGTGATATCTGTTGTCCAAATGGTAGCTTGACAGAAAAGCATGATTTGTGCAGGAATGTGAGAGGTTTTTATTCAGCACTTCAGTTGTGCTAGGCTGCTTGGATTTTGGAGCACCACCTACATTTACTATGAAAATCTAGCAAGCAAGAAGCAGTGTTGAAACTGCGAAGGAGTGTCCTCCCTGCCACACAAGATGATTTCCCAGATGGTTAGAAGAGTGGTAGACAGTTGCCAATCCTTAAACAGCTTGTACAGAGAACAGTATCCTGAAAGGATTTGCACAGTGAAAATGTAAGCTTGAATCACATCACCTTCAAGCAGCTTGAGGCAGAAAAATGGCAATATCCTTTAAATAAGTGTATTTCATACGTGGGAGTATTCAGCTTTGCATATATATCTTGTCCAATTATTTAAGAGTAAGGACATGTATTTCTTTTTGGTGAAAGTTAATCATAGCTACTGTTTGATATCCTAGCCTGCTGATTTAAAACTTCCAAAAGTAACTAGAGTTGCTTGTTTGCTTGTAAAATAACATAGTTATTCAGTTGTTTGCTGCACCTTTAACTGCAGCCTGCATATGAGACCCACCTCCACCTTTGAATCATCTTTCTGCTGTCAGGTGACCAGATGTAAGATAACCCCTAACAGGGGGCAGGACTTAGGATCCCCTTTTCTCCCAGTAACCCTTTCTCCTTTATCTTCTAACACAAAACTAAACAGAGCTGCCACGCTATCGCTGCAGCCCAGTGGCACACCTCAGTCTTTCTTTGGAAGGCCAATGTTATACAACGTATTATTTCCAATACCTTTCAGCTGACGCATTTGACAGAATTCATCACTGCCTTCATGCTACATGTCCCATGACAATCAAGTGGGTCTGTAGTTGGCTGAATTATTCTCTCACTTTCTCCTGATGGGCTCTTCTTCCACTGCAGCATCACCATCACTCCAGATGGCACCTTGATCATTCGGAATATTAGCAAGTTAGATGAGGGCAAATACACCTGCTTCGCAGAGAATTTCATGGGCAAAGCAAACAGCACAGGAGTTCTCTCAGTTCGAGGTAAGGGCATTTTATTGCCACTGGGACCAAATGTAATAATGCAGGTATTCTCAAGCTTCCTACCCCCAGGGCCTACTCAAGAAGGTTGAAAATTACTGAGGGCCCACAGCCACAAAATTCTCTTATTTCTCCCATAACAGGTCTCCTCAGTTATCCCCTTCCTTTCTATTTGCAGTTTGTTGTTGTTGTTAAGTTTTATCATATTATCTTATTTTCTCATTTCCTTCAGCACCTCCTCTGGCACTTTCCCCTTAGAAGAGGGAGACCCTCCCTCTCTCCCACTAGCCTCAGACTTCTCTTTCTCCCATCATGCAAGGAATCATTGAGGCTGAGCTTAGACCAGCCAAAAGGCTGTGGCATAGCTAGGGGTGGGGTAGGCAAGTGAGGAAACACTGGGCAAGCTGTGGCACTGAGGCCATGTGGCGAGTCCCTGCGTGCTGTTTGAGAAACACTGCAGTAATGGAAAGGTCAACAATACATTTTGCCATCATTTCTGCCCTGCAAGTACTACAGCAAGAGAAGAGTGTATTGCTAGTTCACTGAAGTAATTAAAGTGGGCTTTCCTTCCTTTCCAACCACATTAAGCACACAGTAAAAGAGACAACTGGTTCAAGACGACAGTGTTGCAGCCCTTCTCACTGATTCTTTGGGGATGGCAGAACCATAACTGAGGTGCTCTGGGCTTTCCTAGTTTCTAGTTATTTTTTTCACCAGCAAATCTGTATTCAGAGACAGATGTCATTCACCTTTTTCTGTGCCCGTGTTATGTTAATGAAAACTGATATGCACAAACAACTATTGACAACTAACAATCATCTCACCTGCTTTTTCTGCAGATGCCACTAAAATCACCCTCGCACCATCCAGTGCTGACATTAATGTAGGTGAAAATATTACCCTTCAATGCCGTGCCTCTCATGACCCAACAATGGACCTCACCTTTACTTGGTTCCTGGATGACTTTCTCATCGACTTTGTCAAGTCCGAAGGCCACTACAAGCGAGCTAGTACAGTGAGTACTGCAAATCCCATGATGCCCTGTAATTTCCAGAAAGGTGGTCACAATTCAAGGAGAACCAATTACCCTTCTACCTTTTCATTGGGATGTCCTCTGATAGATCTCATCATTTGCCCACTGCTAAGATGCTGCCTTTCTCCTCTTCTGTTGCCTTTCTCCTCTTTTTAAACTTGCATGCCGCAATTTCTCAGCTTGGTTCTGACATTATTCCTATTGATTCTTCTATCATAGAAAGAGAACATTGGAGACCTTTTGATCTTGAATGCTCAGCTGAAACATGCTGGTCGATATACTTGCACAGCTCAGACAGTGGTGGACAGTGCTTCTGAGTCAGCATTGCTGGTTGTAAGAGGTAATTTTTCCTGTCCCATCACCCCACAATTTTTGCAGTGACAAGTCCAAACAAGTTGCCCTCTGCCTGCACTTGCTCCTGCTCCCGCTCCCAGAAAGACAGACAACTTATATTCTCCACAAAACAGTATAAGAGCTGAATATTTATCTTGCCACGCAACTCACCCACTAGTGAAGCTGCAGAGTAAAGTTGGCTCTGTCTAGTAAACCTGATGCCCTCCACGTGTTTTAGGCTATAGTGCCCATCATTAAAGATAGTCCAAAGTATTTAGAGGGTTGGCAAAGGCTGATCTCATAGTAAGGGCTGCCCAGTTACATTTCATACAAATATACACATTCACATATAGAATTGCATTCTAAAGCAAAAGAGAGAGATGGAACCTTTTTCTAACAAGGTGGAAAGATTTACTTAATGCAAATCCAGAATTGTGGTGTGTTACTACAAATCCTTCAATGGGGGCTGTGTGATGACAGCCTTACATTTCTCTTTATATAGGAAGATACTGAGGATCAGGGAAAGCCTTGGTAAAGAGGTGTGACTTCAATTGGTGGCAAAAACACCACACGATTGGTGCTCACCTAATCTCCATGGGAAGCCCATTCCATATGGCAAGTGCCCTCCTCTGCACTGCCCCCCTAATAGGTCCTGGTACAGTCAGGATGGCTCCATCTGCAGACTTCAATCTGTACAGAAGAAGATGTAGCTCTGAGTTGTTCAGGGCTTTATGTAGGAAAATGGACATCTTAAATCTGGCTCAGTAACTAAACAGCAGCAAGTGCAGCTCCTTTAGCACAGGCATTATGTGCACACATATCATGAAGCAAAAGTCCTCTCTCTTAATGTTCTTCTATGTGGTTCTGGGATGTCATTGTGTCTGTTGTTCTTCCCTTTTGGGTAGGTCCTCCAGGGCCACCTGGCGGGTTGGTGGTGAGGGACATCAAGGACACCACTGTGCAGCTGAGCTGGAGCCGAGGCTTTGATAACCACAGCCCCATTGCCAAATATGTCATCCAGGCCCGCACTCCACTCTTCTCCAAGTGGAAGCAAGTGCGCACCAGTAAGTGTCTTGAGGGCAGTGGCCCACACGGAACAGGCTTCAGTAGGAGGCTTTGCTGTTATTCCTTTAGCACTGCTTGCTCTATTTGTTCTATTCTCGTGCTTTTGGGTTATAGATCCTGCAAATATTGAAGGTAATGCAGAGACGGCCCAAGTGGCCAACCTCATACCATGGATGGATTATGAATTTCGGGTCCTGGCCAGCAACATCCTTGGAGTGGGAGAACCCAGTGTGCCTTCTACCAAGATCCGCACCAAAGAAGCTGGTGAGTACACCACCCAGTGGTGATGCAGGGTAGGGTCTTCTGTCTGGTGGGCCCTGTGGTTATGAAACTCCCTCCCTGTAGAGCTGTAGCTGTTCCCCCACCTGATCAGCATTTTGGTGTCATCTTAAAATGCCTTCTTACAAAATTGCTTCACTCACCTGCTGTATTTATCTATCTTAGTGATAGTTTATTCTGAAACAGATTTTAACTCTTTAATTATTGTGCCTGTACTTTTGTTGTATGCTGTCCTGAGCTCCTTTGGCAAGAAAGGTGGGGTAAAAATCTAATAAGGTATTTTCCAAAGCCAGAAGAAGAAGAAGAAGAAGAAGAAGAAGAAGAAGAAGTTGTTATTTCACTGCATAGTGCTATCAGAATTCTTATAATGATGGAATGACTCACAGAAATTATTTTGATCCAGTGGTTGTCACAATCAATTGCTGCTTCAGCTTATGAACTTACAAGATACATGACCTTCACGTTTTCATGAGGACTAGAACATCTGATTTTAAAACTCCACAAAGTTTTTGTGGTGATTTATTGGGCCTTCTTTTTTAGGTGCATGCATTCTTGGACTTCCTTAGACTTTTCAAAGTGATGTCCTTTACATATGTTTTAAAAATTGACACTCATATTTCACAGGTGAAAGTTCAGTGGGACAATTTACCTGAATATACCTTCTTTATGATGTAGTTGATTGATTCTAATTATTGAAATGGTGCTTTTCTTTAGTATTGCTTGACTTTTGTTTTCCAATTTAACATGTCATCTTCTGCCTCTCTTTGGGGGGATCACTCCAGCCCCTACTGTTGCACCATCTGGGCTCAATGGAGGAGGAGGAGCACCTGGAGAACTCATCATCAACTGGGCGGTAAGCCAGCCACACAAAAGTGGGCAATTTCATTGCTGACAGCTCTCTGTTTTTCTTTGCATTTCTTCTGGGAGTAGGCAAAATAATCACTGTGTGTTACGTGCAAAAGCATGTTTGTTGTTCAGGAGCACAAACACATGGAAATAGTAGGGGTTGACAATGACTGTAGCTTTCTTTGGTTACAGCTTACCAGAGTTTGTCACAGCATTGGGCAGGGATCCCGACATGAGGCAGTCTACCTGCTGGCTGATGTTGCCGTCCAGTCCATGTTCTAGGGCACATGTGCCACATGTGGCAGCTCCACTGCTGGAAGGATCCCACTACCTCCCAGGCCACTTCTGGTGCCAGCTCACCATTTGCCATCCTATTATGCAGATAAAGTAGTTAATAAAGAAGTTCAATTTGCACGTGTTTGTAAAATAAATCTATCAATTGAGAGTAATGTAGGCTTTTGTTTTCTATAAAAAAAGATCCCTATTTGATCTATAATAATAGTAGTAGTAGTAGTTAGCTCAGGGCGGCTAACATCATAAAACTAAGACAGTATACAAAGAGCATAAGAACATAAAAACAGGCAATCAATTAATTAAAATACATCTTAAAATTAGTTCAGAGCAAATTAAAATCTGGATAGATGGCAATCCATGGGTAAAATTGAAAGTGGTTAATATTCTCTAGGGCCAACTGTTACCACTGGTCTTATAAAGGACCTTCGAGTGGGCTAGGAGGCCTCTTTAATGCTTGTTCTTATACAGAAAGAAAAGAATCAGACTGAACCCCAACCAAAGGCCTGGCAGAACAGCTCCGTCTTGCAGGCCCTGTCAAATCCCACAAATCCTTTAAAGAAGGATCCGGGATTATTTCCATGTGAATAGTACTTTTCTTTTCTTTTCTTAAAATATTTTTTATTAATTTTCCATTTAAACATATACAGTCACATAATTGTTACCCACTTAACTTATTTGGCTCTTTAGAGCCTACTGACTTCTTTCCCTCCCACTTCTTGGCTTTCAAAAGTAACCTTTATATCACAGCACTTTATATATCTTCCAATTCTAATATAACTCATTACAAAACACCTCAAAATTTAAATTAGAAAAGTAAAAAAATTATCATTACAAGTCTTCAGATAACCTTACTAAGTACTTCTCGTTTCTAAGAAGGATACTTGATTTTAAACTGTGCTACCCGAGTCCAGATTTTACCTCCTTTTTGTTCTCTTGCTCGTTTGACCAGCTGGCATGTCACTGTTGTATGCATAAATCTGTATAAAGCATGTCGTGTGAATATGAAATCTGGATCCAGACCAATGTTGTGGAGTCTTTCTGTTTTGTTTCCCCCCTCAACTGGTCCCAACCTGCATTTCAGCCAATGCAACGGGAGTACCAAAATGGAGACGGCTTTGGATATAGGCTCTCTTTTCGCAAAGAAGGCACTCAGGTGTGGAAGACAGCAAGCGTGCCCCATGCGGAATCCCTACATTATGTTTATCGCAATGAGAGCATCGCACCCTATACTCCCTTTGAAGTGAAAATCAAGGCCTTCAACAGGAAGGGGGAGGGGCCAGAGAGCCTGGTGTCCATTGTGCATTCTGCAGAGGAAGGTAGGCTGGGATCATAAGAGTGAATTGCATACTTCCGAGTATTGCTTCAGCTCAGTTCAATTTCCACCTGATGCTTCTCTCAAGAGCACCAGATCAATAGCATTGCAAGAGTTGTTTCCTGCCTTGCCCTTTGACAGGAGGCCAAGTGTCTGGTTCCTGATCTTTGCGCCTTGCAGATATTTGTAGACTTGGATTAGATTTGCCCATAATTCCAAGGTTTTGCTGTTGTATGTCCACAGAACCAAGAGTGGCTCCCTCTAACGTTACTCTCAAGGCAGTGTCGGCCACAGAAGCAGATTTTTCCTGGGATCCCGTGGAGCAACATGAAATGAACGGAGTCCTCTTGGGCTATGAGGTAAGAAGAAAGGGGAAGGAGTGGATCTGGAGCAAGGCTCAGGTTCAGAGACAACCCCACAAAAAGAAGCATTGGACTGGTATGGTGGTATCTCAGCAACTGTTTGCAGAGCCACCTCAGTTCAGTCTGATAACATGACAGAATCTCCTCTTGTGGATAAGCTGATATGGGCTGCTCAGAGGAAATAGTCTTACTGCTGACTTAAAAATAAAACACCTCAGTGTCAAAGGAGCTCAGATTGCCATGTGTCCCTGTCTTCAGATCCGGTACTGGAAACATGGTGACAAAGAGGAGGCTGCTGACAGAGTGAGGACTGCGGGACTTGTCAACTCAGCACGTGTAACAGACCTCCAACCTAACACCAAGTATCGTGTGGCTATCAGGGCTTACAACCGAGCTGGGACTGGGCCAGCCAGTCCTCCCACCAGTTTCATGACTACAAAACCACGTGAGTGAGCATTAGATGAAGCTGCCTTTCTTTTCTGTAAATACTTCAGTCACCTCTGATATGTGTGTCTGTAGCTTACTATGCCTCCTTTTTTTCCTTTTTATTGCTGTGGTTTTTGTGCTTTATAATGTGTGTTGCATGTATGATGGTTTTATTTATTTTAACTTGCAAGCTGCTTTGGGTTTATCTTCTTGTATAGAAAAGCAGTATATACATTATATAGTGTTGGGGGGAGGGGGTTGTCTGTGTGTTGACTAAGGATGTGCCCCAACCACAACATTTGCCTTTTTTCATAGCATTTGAAAGCAGCCTGATCTGTTTCAGATCCCTATCCATCTGATTTGATTTGTGAATTGGGTCCGAATCTGATGTGTTAAGTCCAAAGCTTTGTTTCACCCAATTTAATATCATGAAGAAGCTACAAATGACGTTAACCATTTTCCTCCCTTTTCACATAAGTGGATGAAATTTGCAAGCAAATGAGTCCTTGCAGAGTAAATTTGGGCTGCCAAATTTCTGGTAGATCCATCCCAGAGTGGCTTCCTCTAACATTTGCAATTTGTCGTTATTGAATGACACTCAAAATCTGATGCCTTATGCATATGGCACACTGTGCCTTGTGGTAGAACTGGCCTGGAGAGGATTCCCTTTCCAATTACCAGAGTTAGAGCTGGAGTGGGAGGGAAGCAACTTTTTCCTGTATCATCTTTATGGCAATGAGGGCTCAGTGTATTCTGTACATGTACATCAGGGAGGAGAGACATTGGGAGAGAGAAATGGGGATGACTAAGAATTGAGGAGAAAAGAAGAAGGTAAGTAAGAAGGTGGGAGGAGGGCAGAGAGACATAGGGTGGTGCCTTATACTGACTCAGACCACTGGTCCATCTAGTTCAGTATTAGAAAATATCTACACTGACTGGCAGCAGCTCTCCAGGGCTTCAGACAGGAGTCCCAACCTTATCTGAAGATGCCAGGGGTTGAACTTGGGACCTTCTGCATGCTCTGCCGCTGATCTACAGCCCTTTCCCAAGAGGCTAGAACAGGCATAGGCAGTGGCAGAGTTTCATGCTCCAACACTGGGGGGCGGAGAGCAGACGGGAGTGGGGCATGGCACCCAGAGTGGAGGCATGGCCCCCAGAGCGGGTGGAGGGCACAGCCGCGATGGCACCCCCCTGGGATCGCACTGCCGGGGGCGGTGCGTTCCCCCCGCACTCCTCTTCCTCCACCAGTGGGCATAGGCAAACTCCAGCCCTCCAGATGTCTGGGACTACAATTCCCATCATCCCTAGCTAACAGGACCAGTGGTCAGGGATGATGGGAATTGCATTCCCAAACATCTGGAGGGCCGGAGTTTGCCTGTGCCTGGGCTAGAATGACTGAGGAGATGGGAGAAAGTGGAGCACAGGAGGAATGGGTGGGAGAGAACAGGGAATGCTCCCAGATTTGTAGAATGGGTAGCCAGATGGCAGGTGGGAGGAAGGGTTGTGTGGATTGGATTTCATCAGCCAAAGCATTGTCTGTAGGCCTCTATCTTGCTTTCTGTTGCTGTAGTAAAGATCTCTACCATTTTGTATCCTCTAGCACCAAAAAGGCCACCAAGCAACATTTCCTGGAAGTTTTCCAGCACCAGCATTAGCATCAAGTGGGATCCTGTGGTTGCCAATTCAGATGAGTCTGCTGTCACTGGGTACAAGGTAACTTGTAGAAAGTTCCCCCTCCACCACCGCCCTTGGCTGAAGGATTCTTAACTTCTGAAATGCAGTATAATAAGTCAGTGCAAAGTATACCCCCCTGAGAAATAACACTGGGTGGCAGGGTGGTATTTCATTAATTTACCGAGTGAGCGAGACTCCTCATAAAATAAATGCTCTAGGCATTGCACAAATAAAAAATAAATGAAATAAAAAATAACAGTAAATCCATACTGCAATAAAACCACAATAAACTTAAGAGACAACCGGCATAAAAGTCCAGATACACAACCAGCACAATAAAATGCTGTGTGCAGCACGGAACTAAGGCAACTATCAAATACATACATTAAAAACCACTAAGCTTTCCTGGGGGAATTAAATCCAGATCTTAAAAGGCTGCTCCATTCTTTCTCTGTACTGTGGTTCTGCATCCGTTGGGCAGCTTTCCATTTTCTCTGGGTGTATAGCTGTGACTCTACACATCCTTATCTGTAAGTCCCATCAACATTTGATTTCTAAACAAGGGCTTAACTCCCAAGTAAATTTGCACAAGATCAGGCTCAGGAACCTTCTGCAAGATATTGGAAAACGCACGTGCCGCCCCTGTGACTACTAGTTCCTTAAAAATAATGAGGGATGGGAGTGAAGTTGAAGGGGACTCAGCAACAGTAAACTCAACATGTCTCCTCCTAATAGATGCTGTACCAGTCGGACCCGCACTCAGCTCCTGTTCTGTACACAGCCGCCAAAAATTGGATTGAGATCATGGTTCCAGAAGACTCTACTCATGCAGTGGTGCAAATTAGGACGACTGGTCCAGGAGGAGATGGAGTCCCAGCAGAGGTGCGCATCCTGAGAAACAGTGGTGCGTCTGCTCTTCTCTTTTCTCCTTATTCTACATTTATCGTGTAGGCTCAACTTTTCGCCCCAGCAGGCAAGTTGAAAACAGCAGGATCAATTGCCTTTAGTAACGGGCAAGTTTATTCTCCCCTGGCTTTGTTACTTGGTTCTCTGCTTTGGTGTGACAGTGGAAAATTAACAGGGGTAAATGCTGGGGAAATAACAAGATTGAATGCTGTAGTGCTGGATCACATTTCTCCAGTGTGGCAGATGAATAACGACTCTTGTTCCACACTTGAGTTGGGAAGTGTGCCTTGCCTGAACTCCTGTCGAGGGTCCATGGGTATTTAGTCAGAGCGTTTTGATTTGGTAGTGAAATGGGACATGGAACCCATCCCATAAATATTCTAATGCATATTAAAACCCTGGGTTTACCATGAATTGAAATAGGTGATGAGGGGGCAAAGGAGTTCATTTCTGTGCAGACTTGGATTAAATAAAATCTTAACTGGATAAGAATCACAGGGCGACCTTACTCTTGAAGCAAGCGCCATGTGGCTCTGAGGTTCATACTTCCAAGCCAGGGAGTAAGAATTTTGATGACAGCACTAGAAGTACAGGTTCAGCCACCACTGTGAAATGTGTTTGGAACCTGTGTTTAGGAAGTTGAAGAAGCAATGCAGTAGTGGAGCATGGTGGAGGGTGGGGTAGCACCAGTACTTTGTTTCTTGAAAAGAAAGGTGCCGGTACTCTGGTCAGTTGCCCTGGGTGCAAAATTTCCTCAGGGCCAGGAAAAGCAATTAGATGTAGAACAATTCCTTCTTGGGGAAGGAGGCAGAAGGGCTCCAGGATCCTGTTAGAGCCTTGCACCTCCTTCCCCAAGTCCAGGAAGTATTTGCCCAGCTTAGGGAAGGAGATTCAATGCTGTGACAGGGTCCAAGAGCCCTTCTTCCTCCTTCCCAATAAAAGGTGGTGGTACTGTGAGTGTCTGGAGGTGGTTGGAGGATGGATGGCAGCTAACAGATTGAGGCTGAATCCTGACAAGACAGAAGTACTGTTTTTGGGGGACAGGAGGAGGGCAGGTGTGGAGGATTCCCTGGTCCTGAATGGGGTAACTGTGCCCCTGAAGGACCAGGTGCGCAGCCTGGGAGTCATTTTGGACTCACAGCTGTCCATGGAGGCACAGGTCAAATCTGTGTCCAGGGCAGCTGTTTACCAGCTCCATCTGGTACGTAGGCTGAGACCCTATCTGCCTGCAGACTGTCTCGCCAGAGTGGTGCATGCTCTGGTTATCTCCCGCTTGGACTACTGCAATATGCTCTACGTGGGGCTACCTTTGAAGGTGACTCGGAAACTACAACTAATCCAGAATGCGGCAGCTAGACTGGTGACTGGGGGCGGCCGCCGAGACCATATAACACCAGTCTTGAAAGACCTACATTGGCTCCCAGTACGTTTCCGAGCACAATTCAAAGTGTTGGTGCTGACCTTTAAAGCCCTAAATGGCCTCGGTCCAGTATACCTGAAGGAGCATCTCCACCCCCATCGTTCTGCCCGGACGCTGAGGTCCAGCGCCGAGGGCCTTCTGGCGGTTCCCTCATTGCAAGAAGCAAAGCTACAGGGAACCAGGCAGAGGGCCTTCTTGGTAGTGGCACCCGCCCTGTGGAACGCCCTTCCAGCAGATGTCAAAGCGATAAACAACTACCTGACATTCAGAAGACATCTTAAGGCAGCCCTGTTCAGGGAAGTTTTTAACGTGTGATATTTTAGTGTATTTTTGGTTTCTATGTAAGCTGCCCAGAGTGGCTGGGGAGGCCCCGCCAGATGGGCGGGGTATAAATAATAAATAATAATAATAATAATAATAATAATTATTATTATTATTATTATTATTACTGTGTACCATTGCATACCACCAGGAAAAACTCAAGTTTAGTTGTCTCAAATTCATTTTGAAGAGGTAAGCAAACTCCTAAGAAATCCAGTTATAGTGGCTGACATATGCACACAGAAGCAGGACTGTTACATCAGCTGCACACTTAAAAATGTCTCTGGAACAAAGTCAGAAAATAATCGTGCCAGTGTTTGGTTTGGTTAAAAACACACACACAAAAAAAACCTTGGAGAAGAACAGAGTGAAACAGTAGTTCTTAATCAGTAAATCAATAATATTGAGAAATGTATTGCAACGTAAGCAGTTGAGTGATCAATTAAGCAATGCACTAATTGAATGACTAGATCAACAAAGCTCTGTGTGCAAATACATTCCACTATAAATGGCTTGTATTTTAGAATACTTCTCTCCTGGCTGGCCTTGTTTCACTTATGTAAGTAAAAGTTGGGCATCCTTCAACTAGCCTATCTTACCATGAGCACTTCTCTTATGTAAAAGGGAGAGAAAGATCTGTAGTGGGAGATGGACTGAGAAGGATAAACTGGGAGTCAAGGGCAAACTGAGAAATATCTGCACAGCCTTCATGTAACAGGAGGAGCTGGGAATTTAATGGGTGGAATAGGGAGGGAATCTGGGAACTGCAGGTGATTGAAGCACCCTTGACATGTCTCTAGGTACATAAACATTCACACAATAGGCTTCCACCATTTCAAAAATGTTTTGCCATCAGTGGGGTGTTTTGAATAGGCCTGGATTCTCAGCTATATTGTCATGGCCCCAGCAGCCAATCCAAAGCCATAACAGGGACAGTTAAAGCACAAACCACATGAGCCTCTTTTAGAAGCATGGCTGGTACTCCACATATTCAGTCATCACATGAGAGGTGGCGGCAGGTATGTGCATGCAAGCAAAGCCAAGCTCCACACATACGTCAGAATGCACATAGGGTGGGGCATTCATTGAACACACAGACCCCAAGCCATGCTTCAGAAATATATCATGCATAGCATTGATCTCCAGGCCCCCAGAATCTGCCCCCACTGGTTCTGGAATCTAGAGTTTGCTCCAGGACTAGAACAATGCTGACTTGCTGAGCCAGTGCTTCGCCTTTGCCTTCCCCTGGAGCATAGCATACAATGGAAAACGCAGAACAAACACTTAAGGAAATTCTGAAGCTTCTGCTTGTTCAAAACAAAGGGCCTTTTTACTTGTGTTTTTGCAACTCAACAGCATTGTTTCTTTCTTACAGGGACCAGTATGATGGTGCAAAATTCTGCTGACCGTCCAGTGGCAAATACAGTGGTTGCTCTGATGTACTCACTAATTCTGTCTGCACTAATGGGTTGCTTGGAGCTCTGATAACCAGCCCCTGTTAAAGAGAGATGTTGGATTCCTCCTCATCAAGCCAGAGAGCAAATCAACAACTGACCATTGGGAGTACAAATTTCTACTACAACTACTAGTAGAAAAGAACTCAAGAGAAAATATATATATATACTCTTTTCTTCCTTTTTCTTTTTTTAGAAAATAGAATATTTCATACAAGACGCGAGTCTTTAATCAGTCAGTGGTTTTTTTTAACTGAAGAAACAAAAGGATGAATTTCATATGAATTCTGGAAACTGGCTGTCTCATATTACTGTATTCAGTAGATTCTTCTGCCTTACAAAGCCATGTACAGAAGGAAACAGACTCTTAAAACTCAATCTTGAACCTTGTTTTCTTTCTTTCTTTTTTTAAATTACAGAATAAACGCAGTATCTTTTGAGGAGAGGTTTTCAAAGAGACGAGCATGCTCTGTATCATTCCAGCCAGTATTGAACTGACGACTCTTGGGTTCAAAGATGAAGGAGAACTCACTGAGTGGCAGCATTAGTCTAATCACTGCCTTTCATGGCAACCAACTGAAGTGGAGAAAGCTAATGGTGATGGACAAGCATTTCCCACCCCAGACTTTAGAAGAAGCAAGCAGAGCTTTGTGAATGGGTTGCCAAAAGTAGAAAATTGAGGCTCTCACGGGTGGAACCAAAAACATTAAGTTGCCTTGCCATGTGGCTTCCACCCAGTATGTGCTGCTTGTAATCTTCGGTGCTTTGCCACACTTGGCGCAACACACATGCATTTACCAGTTCTTGCATTTTCCTTTGGTTTTCTTTCCTTCTCCTCCCCCTGCCCCACTCCACTAGGTGTTCTGAAGAGAAAGAGATACCAGAGGAGCTTTTATGTCAGGAGGGAAAGGTTCAGGGTCTGTCTAAAAGGACGTTTGAATGCGGTAGACTGGAGGTGGTTACTGCAGAAGCCTCTTTCCACTTTTACATAGTAATATCATCTGTCCAAACTTCCATTAACCTGCCTTGGACCTGAGAGCAAATTCAATCTATTAAGTTGTCTTGCCTTTCCACCTGTAGGAAAGTTCTCAGGTCATGTGTGGTTGCCAAACCAATAAATATTTGGAAATGTTATGCCTCTCAATGCCTACTGATCACTGTCAGAACTAAATAGTAGATCAATCGAGCGCCTGAACTGAGACATAAGAATGCTGACAGACACCTTTTGTTTCTCCGAACGTTCTTCAGTGATTTAATGTTTGTTCTTAGCTGGTTGATCTCTCTTAGTGTGCTTTACATCTTTCGTAGACTAAGGAAGGGGGAAAAACTTCAGCTCCCCAAACAGCTTGTAAGAACGAACCAATAAGATTAGTGTAGGAATCCTGTTACGCACTATAAAACACCCTCGTACTTTCCTGAACTCAGAAAATAGGACAGATGCTTACTGGGGCTACCCAGCCAGATGGGAAGGGAAACGTTTAAGGTGCAGGAGTTGCTTCTTTTAGTGATTGGACAACTTCTTCAGATCTTAAACATACAGAAATGGCTTGATGATGGTGTTGTCCCCCTTGGTGATGGTGTTCTTCATATTTCACAGTGTTGAACGGATGTGGATAGCAACCCCTGTAGCTACTCGGTTGGCTGGAGAGGTGGTGATCAACTCTGGCAGCGTCTCCCCAAGCCATTATCAGCTCTAATAAGGGGGTAAATATAGGTACTTCACTCACCTTCAAAGGAGAAAGCTAGAGAAAGAAAAGGTTCGTTACAAGTCTATTTTATTGTGTCTGCTCCAGTCCTAAGGTACCTACATAGAATGTGAATTGTCCTCCATAATTTACATCCTTTTTAGAAATGTTAGTCTTAAATTATGTGCTAGCTTCCCCTTTTGATGGAAGCTCTTCTGTTGTTCCAATGCAAGTTATAGCTATGTTTTGTATATTTTATGTGAATTTTAGAGTTCTTGCTCTATTTTTATTGAAGGCTTGGTATATTTCTTGTTTGGGGTAGATTGGTTGGCATTAAGAGGTTTTGTTGGCATTAAGGGAATCTCTCCAACTTATGAAGCAAAGTTTGTTCCCAAATTGTTTGTAACTAGATACTGGGAAATGAACCAGGGACCTACTTCATGTGGTCTACCATTGAACTGTGGCTACTCAAGATATGTCACTTGTAGTTACTCAGAAGCATCAGGTGTGAGTTATCTCTGCATGACACATTATGGTATACTAAGCTTAAATTAAGCTAGAACTTGGACCAGGAACCTATCAAGTGATCAAACCAAGTTGCCTTTGAAAATGTGCAGCATACCTTAACCTCTCCTCTAGATAGCCATGGAGTGGAATCTGATTAGAGGGTGTGGGTTCCAGGCAAGTTTGAGTTCCACCATTTTGCTCTTCCAGAAATTAAATAGTGGTGGCAGCGTTCAGAGTATCTTTGGTTCTCCAGATGCTGCTGGACTACCATCATCCCTGACCATTGGCCATGCTGATTACTGATGATGGGAGTTGAAGTTCATCAACATCTGGAGGGCCACAGGTTCACCATACCTGTCCTCAACAGTGAGAGGTAATATAACATGGGATGGAAAAGGAAGTGCTCACCCAGCATGCCGAGTTCTCCAGACAACCTGGGCAGAGAGGGCCAAGTGATGACGGCTGGGTGTTTGAAAAACTGAGCCTTGATATTTTGATGCTTAAACAAGATGCAAACTGAAAAGGGCGCAGAAACCTGTTTTCCAGTGGTCTTGTATCACTCCTTCAACATAGTCTGCTCTACTTTGGTAATGTGGAAAACCTAAAAACTGTAGAGTAACTTTACTAGCATTGTGTATAAGTGCGATGCCAATAGTTTTACATTTGCATTCTATTAAAAACGGCCACTGGCGGGATACATCTTGTTGCTCTGCTCATCTCTGTTGAGTTTGATGGGGTGTAGCCTTGTCTCTTTTCAAGGGCATGAAAAGGCCTTTTTTCTTCACTAAGGTGGGGTGTCTATGAATCCAGTCAGGGCCTAGGCCCTACCTCCTTGGCCAAGGAGTTCCACCTTGGTGTTAAGCTAGTTGTATCTCATTCCTCTTCTGCTCTTTCCCAGGGACACCCTTGGTTGTTCTCTCCTCCATCTAAGGGGTGGGTGGGTGCCAAACCAAGCTGCCTTCTTAAAAAACAAACAAAAAATCTTTATCCTGACAGAAGAAAGTGTTGAAGGTATCCTCCAGCTTGCACTGGACTGTTGGAAGTGGGGATGAAAGAGCACATTTTTAAGCAGACTGACCTTATTTGCATCTCCCAGGCTAATATATGCCTAATACGTGGATTGGACCATAGTTGACCTTCGATTTTGCACTTCTTGGCCCAAAATACATACCAAAATGTGTAAAAATAATAATAAGTGTTTTTTAAGGTTAAAGTAGATTTAGAAATGCACACATGGATATGAAATACACATTTAAATATGATTTTTGTAATAAAAATACATATTTAAATGATATTTAAATATGAATTTCTGTACTGATTTTTAATAAATTGCAGATTGATAAAGCAGGAAGTGATAGATTTGTGAACGAACATGAGAGAAACTGACAGAGACTGGAAATAGACAGATCTGCCTATCTCTAGCTGGAAGCTATTTCTTTGGGAGCTAACACAGCGTTGTGATTGGCTAAGAGACATGACCTGTAAACCAAGAGTTGCTTGATTCACAGCTTGCCTCTGCCATGGATGCAGTAGGTGGCCTTAGACAAGCCGCTATCACTCAACCTCAGTGCCTCATCTGTAATAGGGGATGTGATAATAATACTGATTTGCCTTTCAGGATGATTTGTAAGGATCTCTGAGATCATGTACGAGGAGCACTTTGAGGACTCCAAATTGCTACGAAAATGTTATTGTACTTTTCAGTTGCATATATTGTTTTGTTGCAGTTCTTCTCTCCTGTTGACCTGAAGGAGTATTTTGACAGCAGTGTGCAAACTCAAGTCAGGGTGTATAGAAAAGCAAGCGGGAGATTTTGTTCCACACAGGCAAAAAGGGAGAGGCAGACCATGTCCCCTGCGTGGGCCATATAAGAGTGTTTCATGCCCTTATCTAAAAGCATGCAAGGTAGGCATTTGTGCAGTGCATCAGTGTGTTTTGGTAGGCTGCATTTTAGAATGAGGGAATTTCTCCAGAGAAGCAAAAAAAGACATCCTTGTTGTATTCTAGCATGCAATCTAGAATACTTCCAATTCCGCTCGGCTTCAAACGAGGCTGAACCCTGTGGAGAACTTCATGCCTATAGCTGTGCTAATGAAACAGTTTGTTATAGTTTATGTAATGTGCATAGAATGGGATAGAACTGGGCATGCCAGAGACACTTTGCAAATGTTAACATTTCCTTGGGCTCAGGTGGGGCTCAGGGCAGGTATCTTCATGCTGAACTGCATCCCTGGCATATTACTGGCAAAATTCACCTGTGACACATTGATTGGAAAGGATACCAGTTGACTTTTTTCCATGAGTGTCACTCTAGACTTCAGACTTGCTGTTTAAAATAAAGCAGTGTTTTAAAATATAAAAGTGAGACATGATTAGGATGTATGATAAATAGCCCTGTGAAATTACGTGTGTATGTATGTATGTATGTATATTTATATGTGCATTTGTTTTTGAATTTGTGTTATTTCTTCTCATGCATTGAAATATATTCTTTTTGTTACATTTACATTCATACTCCAACTTACCATGTATAAATAAAACTGCAGTACACATTCAGGTTTTATACTGTATCAGTGTTTTCAGGCAAGCGAACAGTAGAGAGGCATCTACTGATAGCTGTCTTGAGGACTTGCAGTAGATTGGGACACGGGTGGAGCTGTGGTCTAAACCACTGAGCCTCTTGGGCTTGCCGATTGGAAGGTCGGCGGTTCGAATCCCCGTGGCGGGGTGAGCTCCCATTGCTCTGCTTCTACCAGCCTAGCAGTTCAAAAGCACGCCAGTGCAAATAGATAAATAGGTACCGCTGCGGTGGGAAGGTAAACGGCATTTTTGTGTGCTCTGGTTCCCATCAGTGTTCCGTTGCGCCAGAAGCTGATTAGTTATGCTGGCCACATGACCGGGAAAACTGTCTGTGGATAAACGCCAGCTCCCTCAGCCTGAAAGCGAGATTAGCAACGCAACCCCAGTTGCCTTTGACTGGACTTAACCATCCAGGGGTCTTTTACCTTTACCTAGATTGGCAAAGATTTCTGGGTCCCAGAGAGCTGGGGGTAAACATAGTGGCTAAAGGGACCTATGAAGTCCATGGTTTGAATCAAATCTCTGTCATTAACTCATTGTGTTGTCTTAGGTGGTCTACTCTCAGTCTATACCTGCAATAATGCTGGCTTACTTTACAGTGTTAGTGAAAAGACTGAAGCTAGATCAGGGGTTCCCCAAACTGTCATCTATGAGCTTGTATTCAGGTGTGGATTTGTGGGTTTTCGTATTGCTGCTTTCATTTTAATATATTTTACTTTATTCAGTCCTGAAGCTCCTATCTGGTACATATCTGCCTCCGAGCAAATTTGCGTAGCAATACGCTGCAAGTGTATGTCCTTTGCTCCTTTCCCTCCCAATCCAAAAAGTGGATACTGCAAAACTGAAGCCTGCCCACCCTTAAGCATTTTCCCATGACATTGACAAATCTGCACTCTGGACCTACAGAGGTTTTCCCCATGCAGCTTGGCATCACTAGTAATGCCAAGGATTGTTCCAGCGGTGGGAAGGCTGTGGCCCTCTTGGTGTTATTAGACTCCAACTCCCAGCATGGTCAATAATCGGGTATGATGGGAGGTATAGTCCAACAATATCTAAAAAGCCATGGGTTCCCCATCCCTACTTTCATCAGAGAGAAGCAAGTGCCCACCTTAGGCTCAGTGCCCCTCCTGCCAGTCACCTAGTGGGAGATCAGTGCTGGTCACATTGTGAGTGTGCAGGGAACAGCTTCCTGAATGCTGCCGCAGTTCTGTATCCTCCTCTTGCAGTTGAGATTCCCTGGATCAGGGCTGTTAGGAACTGAATACCAGAATACAATACAACTTTCCCCTTTATATATATCCCCAAGATATATATAAATATACATACATATTTTCCCCATTATAGCTGTGTCCATTACACAGCATGGTTTGATTAGTTTGACTGCTAAATACAATAATTCACTAAGGCATGATCCACACTGTTTTTCATTTTCATTTTTTTTATCCACACTTAGACCGGCATTTTTATTTTTCACAAATAACGTGTTTTGCCTGCCTGCCTTTCACTGCTTTCATCCACTGATGGTAGTAAGGTTTTCTCCATCTGATTTGAGCGTGAAGGTCAAGCAAGGTCAGGGATGTCATTGATGTGTTCTGTGGTATGCATGGTATGGTTTTGTTTGGAAGGATTCCTGCTTTCTTTGTTTTGAAGCAACCCAGTGGCCTAAGGTAACTGCAACAGCACGTGGTCATTCACTTGTTCCAAAGACCATGTATGGAAAGGGAAGGATGTGCCCATTCCAGGTAACATGGCCATTAACTTAACACAAGCTGAATGTAGTCTGTGGCCTCCTAGCATTCTCCAGGTGTTTTGGACTACAACTCCTGTCATTTCTAATCACTGGCCAGGCTTGCTAGGGATGATGGGATGATGGGAACAACATCTGGCAGGCACCTTGTTGGCCACCCCTACTCTATAGATTGTAGTGGAGCTCACCAAAGCCACATCGCAATGACACAACTGATGTGGACTCCCAAGCTTTTGATACTGACCACAGCAGGAACAGCCCATGTGGTGGCCTCAAGGTGTGGACTGCTGCCCTCAGCAAACCCAACCAACACTGCCAATGGCCCTGGGTGATTGATGAGAGTTGCAGTTCACAGCATCAAGTGAGGGGACCACATTGGCCACCCATGGAAGACATTTTTCTTCTGGCTTTGCCTAATCACTAATCTGGGGTCTGGCTTCCTCGCACTTAACTTGAAAACCTTACACTATCTTCAAGAACTCTCCTTTGCCTCTTCTATTCCAGTTTCATTGTACAGGAAATGGGGGTGGCGCAAGCACATTCTCAGTAATTTTGTTGTACACTATTTTTTTAAAGAAATGAATAGAACAACTAAAAAAAAGCCCCCAAGCATTGTAAACAGATTATGATTAATGTTACTTATTGACTACAGTAGCACGCAGTTCTTAAATAAAGATCTTCAAAAAGACTTCAGTGAACATCTCCGTTGTGACTTATTTCCAAACGTGTATTTCTTCCAACCAGAAGTTGGGAATGATTTGAGCAAGAGGTTGGAAGTGTGAGCCAGAAAAAATAAAGACAGTGCTGATATCCCCACTAGCTGGACAAAGGAAGGCAATCAGGGTAAGAGTGGGGGTGGGGTCTTTGTTAAGCTGAAACATAGCCACCACCCACCCTGGCAAATATACCATCCTGTATTGAAATGTTGGGGAAATCTCTGAGATGGCAACCATGGGAAATTGTGCAAATGCATAGATACACTGTGCAATTTTTTTTCAGGGGGTGCAGTACTCCCCTAAATTTTGATTATGCCTTCAGGGGTGGAAAGGCGGTTCAAATTGTCTGAACTATGCTGGGAGGGATGGAAGGAGAAGTTTGGTTGGGATTTTAATGCAAACCTACCTGATTCACACTTCCCAAAACATCCAAACAAAAGCACAGCTCCTCTGAAATTTGGACTTCTCTGAATTTTGTGTTGGGAGTTTTCCAACCAAATAACGTGTGCAAAAATGTGTGTACAGGAGAACCTGTGTATAGAAACACATTAGCTTAGTGAAAAATAACATTCAATGCATGCTATTAGGGAAATTTGTTAGCAAATATGTGTCTATCGTGAGAAATTTGCATGGGAACCATACAGAATTTTCATGAGAAATTAAAAAAAAACCTGCAAGCTAATGCCGAAATGTATTGGGAGCCAATAAGAAGAAAACATTAGGTTTTTCCCTTTTAAGGTGTCATCGTCTGCATGTCTGGACCACTTAGCTCCCTGTCACACTGAGGCCCACTTGTCATAGAAAGAACCTGTCATGAATTTGGCCAAGGAATGCACCTTACAGGAAAGGAACATCCATCAAATTCTCAGATATTATTCCCAAGAGAATGTCAACTGCTCACCCACCAAGGCAGTAGTCTAGCTCAGGCAAAGCATGTACTCTTACCACAGAACCCACTAGCTGTTACAGATTCCCAGATTTTGCACTACCTTTCAGAGGTTTTGGCTTCAAACCAGCGGTTGGGCACCTCAGACTTGAAGGCCATGTGTGGCTCTCTATCTAGGCCACGCCCCTTGGCAGGCCCCCTCCCCAGTATCCTCCTCGAGTGCTTATTCCTGCATGGCATATGTCCATGAACTCTGATACCTCTTGCATCATGGAGAGGTTGGTTTGTTATGTGGGCAAGTGTAGAAACCTCTGGCTTTCTCGTAGCTGGAATGCAGCCTACTGTAAGAGTCTCATCCTTTGTCCTACCCACTTTTCCCTCTGGCCCCACCCACCATCGTTATGTGGCCCCCTGAACATTGTCTATGAGAAAATGTGGCCTGTGGGCAGAAAACAGTTTCCCCACACTTAACCTTTTACCATTAAGGCACAGGATGGAATTTTATTACTCTCTAATAAATCAAATGGAACTATGTTTATGATTAACGTCACCAAATGATCTTCATAAGCCTGAAGTGATAAGATTAACATAGTGAAATTGCGGTGTACAAGAGCAATCTAATATAGCAAGTCTACAAAACAGCACATCTCATTCCCCATCACCTTCATCGTTTTCATGGGGGCTGGGGCACAGGACACAGTAGAGAAGGCTGTGCAACACAGCCCCGAGCACCATGCCGCCTCCAATGCCAACCAGAAACACAAACACAGCCCTCTGGCGCCAAGAGCCCCACCGACCCTGAGCTGGCATGCTGGTGGCGTTCTGTTGGTTATTTTCACTTTCTGATTGCTGTTCCAGCGTTAAGGATTTGTCAAAATTCAAATCCACCATGTCGCCAGGGATCACGCGAAGTCCAAAGTAGATTCTCTTGACAACCTTGTAGTTTTTCATGAACTGCACATCGCACCTGTACGTCCCCGCATCGTATTCCTCAGCGGGGTAAAGCTTAATAACAAAGCCAGGATTCTTGAAAGGGGCAAAGAGAGTATCGTCTGTTGTGATGATGCCTCGGGCCAGCCTCCATGTGTAGCTGAAGCTCTGGGTGTCAGGACCTATCTCCGCAGTGGTTAGGCAGCTGATCTCGAACGGCCTGCCCACCAGGGCAGTGAAGTGCCGCATCCCACAGATCCAACTGTTCAAACAGTCCACCTTCCGTCGTCTGCAGCCTCTCCTTTGCCCATCAGGCCTAATCTCACATGACTCTTCTTCCTTGTAACCCAGCCCACAGGTGACGCTGCAGCTTGTGGAACTGACTATAACTCTTCCCGAAGCCGTCATCAGGGCTTTGGGAATGGTCACTGCCTCATGAGAAGCCACCGACAGCGGTACAAAGAAAGCAAAGGCCAATGTGCCCAGGGCCAAGCCAGATTCTGTAGCCATCATACTTGGAGAGTCCTTTTACAATCCATTGGGCGGCCTCGTTATATGACCTCCTGCATATCATCCTTTGTTAAAAATATCATAAATGTTTCTGTGGTGTGAAACAGATGCCTTTTCCTGAACCCGCTCCCCAGCTGTAAGAAATTCTTGGAATACAAAAAGCAGCCAGGTGGCATCCTGCCAAGGGAAAGAAACTTATTCAAAAGGTGAGCAAATTTAAGCAGGAAGGTGCAATTAGTAGCACAGCATAGCTGTCAACTTTTACCTTTTCTTGACAGGAATCCTATTCGGAATAAGGGAATTTCCCTTAAAAGAATGGGAAACGTTAACAGCTATGTAGCACAGTGCTATGCAATGCTTTGTTAAGTCAATCTCTGGGTGGCATGTTCAGGCAGACACAGCCTCCCTAGCACAATCATATCACATAAAAAAAGCTTAGCATAATCAACAAATCAGCAGAACTTAGTAAATTAATTATGATTGCAATCCTACAGCCCAGAGCTGGGACAGTTGTAGCCCTCCAAGCTGTTATTGGACTATAATTCCTGTCCCCACCAATCTTTCGTTTTACCAGCTGGGCTTGGAGTTCAGAAACATCTGGAGAGCCACAGCGACTTCACATCTGCTAATATATGCATTGGATTGCAGCCTCACAGCTTTATGGTACTTTCACCACAATCCAAAACCAATACTGAGTCACTCAAGATCAGGTGCTTCTCTGAAAAATTATAGAAAAAGACAGAAGCAGCACAACAGTACAGTGGTACCTCGCAAGACGAAAAACGCGCAAGACGAAAGAGTTTTCCGGTTTTTGAGTCGTTCCACAAGACGAATTTCCCTATGGGCTTGCTTCGCAAGACGAAACGTCTTGCGAGTTCTTGCGAGTTTGTTTCCTTTTTCTTAAAGCCGCTAAGCCGTTAATAGCCACTAAGCCGCTAATAGCCATGCTTCGCAAGACGAAAAAACCGCAAGACGAAGAGACTCGCGGAACGGATTAATTTCGTCTTGCGAGGCACCACTGTAAACCAAAAAAAAAAAACTTCCTGGATCCCCCAACTGGTTTCTCTTTACTGCCTTAATACATAATTAGACCATCAGAGCTAAACTTGGGTTTTCTGGCAATGTAAAAAAATCTGCATCAGACTTGCCATGACAGCAGTGTTTTCCATTTTAACATACCAACTTTAAAGACAGACAAAACCAGGGACCAGTTTCAATGTTACTACTTTACCAATATAGATTTTATGACCTGTGACAATAGATGTGTGTAAAAGGTACTTCAGGAAGAGTAATAGGAGCACAATTATTGTAGTTCCTAAACAAACTTTCAGCAGAAGTGAACTCCGACAAGAGGCCTGCCCTGGAATTTTGATTTGAGGTCTCTAGTCTGAAATGTACTATAGTTTTCCAAACTTCACAAGCCATAGGAAAGTATGAAGCTGCTATACACTGAATAAAACTCTTAGTTCATTCATTTAGCACACTGCTCTGGCTTGTCAATCGCTCTCTAGTCCTGCCAGCTGAGGCCAGTATGGAAAGAAATGCTCTCCAACTGCACAGATCGCTATAGCAGACCTGCCTGGAGGGGAAGAGAGCATCTGAATAAATGTGGGGGGCGGGGACTCAACTATTGTAGATGTATGACGCCAGAACCAGGATGGAGTTTGATGACTACCTTGCACTAAACCCAAATTCTACCAATAATCTTACTCTACCCACCCACTCGTAAATCTGGTACCACAGAAAGCAGGCAAAACAAGAAGCAATACTTACGCAACAGTGACTTGTGCATTGTGGATTCAAATTGAAAATACTACCAAACTACAAGAAATTACAAAGATTAGTTTTGAATTTGCAGGTAGTTTCGAATTTGCAGCACTGTAGACGAGGAACATCAGGACTTCATCAGTCAAGCAGTTTACCATTTTTCCAAACTAACCATTAAGTGAGAAGGATCTGAACCCTGCTCTTTTCTTCAGTGTTCATTCAGTCATTAATGCCTCTGCGATGCCGGTGCAGTTATCAAATTGTGATGTCACAAACCAGCTGTTCCAACTGTAGCATCATGCCAGCAATGCCAAACTATTACATTCATACTGGCATAGCGTATTGTAAAGGTGATATTAAGAAAACTATACTGAACCAGGAAGCTAGCTGATTTGTCCCTAGGGTTCTAATGGCAAATTTTAAAAAATACACATCAACATCATAATCCTCTGCAGGACGTATAAATAGTGTGTGCATGTATTTATTTTTATTATTGTTGTGACATGTTTTAACTGTTTCTCATTCTGAATTAATTCTGGGAGCTGCTGGTGAAGGGCAGGTGATAAATTTATTACTAGCGGAAATAAAATCTGGGTCATGGAAGTTCCTAAAAGACCTGCTCTCCACACACACAAAATGGGTGGGGTGGAGAGAGAAGGGAAAAACATGATTCACGTGGTTTAATAAAACATACTTCTTTATTTACAAACACAAATACTACCATCACAGCAGTACTTTATGAATAACTAGCAACCAATCACACTATCTGGCAGGTTTTGTACAAGCTACAGGAATATCAAATTAATTAAAGCAAGCCTGAAAGAAAACTAAGCGATGGACACTGAAGTAGAGAAACCTGCAGAAGCTGGTTGGAATCCAGGACACCATATTATGCAGAGCAGTGATTGCTACCCAAGCAGCCTTCCCATCTTTGGATGGACTGGCAGGTAGAAAGTAGTAGGACTATACAGCGGAAGGCTGCACAGAACACCTGGTGGTTGGGGATGGCATAAATTATATCATACAATACAATATATGGGACTTCAAATCAATATTTTGAAGTTAGTTTGCAAGTTTTATCTCTGCATTTCCCAATGCATCCCATGGGCCAATTGAACCTCCTGCAAGATGCTCATGTATATTCTGGAGATTGGGTAGGCGGGGGGGAATAAATCTCCTGATTTAGGAGACTGATAAGACTTTGAATAAACAACTGCAATGGCAAGAAATGAAAAATGCAGGATGCAATCTTTTCTAATACAGGCCAAGCCAAAAACGGAAATCTCTGGATGGCTTTGGATAGCACACAAAGCAGAAACATAAATGACTTAAACAGTATATTCCCATGTCTTGTGTGCAGATTCATCTAAACATTCCCAGGGAGATGCTCATTTGCCTGGCACATCCTTGAGTGGAGGGAAAATGAGCGTCTCTTGAGCTGTAGAAGTCCAGCATGGAAACATGCCGAGACGTATGCCACTCATGCTTTGGCCCAACATCATCCCAACCCTCTTCTTTCTCTCTAGATATACATCCACTCTGCCCTCCCTGGTTCTTGCAATCAGTATCCAATCAGTTATAAACCTCTTTGGAGTCATTTGGATTCCAAATGTCTGTTCCAAACCGGCAAAAGTAGGCAACCTGTAAGGTAAGTTGTCTTGCTGTATAAAGGGTACCTAAAAAGCAGGTCTACCAAGTCAATGCAAACCAGTGTGAATAATGCAGAGAAAATAATGGTGCAAAGAGTAGTTTGCTTAAACTAGCAACACTGCAATAGGAATGTGCTGGGATCCACAGCAGCATGATGGGTCTTCATGGAGACACGACAATCATCCTCTTGAGAATTGAATGATGCAACAGAAACTAAAAGACCTTAAACTTGGAGGCAAGCAGGTCTTCTCGTCCTGTGACAGACTTCATTGTACTTTGGGGAGCAAATGCAGACTAACCAGCAAAAAGCAGTTCCTTTCCATCAGGTTCTCTACAAATCTTCTTTCCTGAGAGTCAACAGTTTGTTCACTGTTAGCAGGAAGAGAGGATTGGGGAAAGCATTTTCCTCTTCCATAATTTGCATTTTCTTCTTTTTTTAATGTCCCCTGTATCCATAGGTAGCCAGGTCACTTGTCCTGACCATAGTAGCTTAAAGTCAGTCCATTATCTGACTGAATAAGGAAAGGTGAGGAAGGTTGGGAAGTCTTCATAATAGCTCTGAAATACCACCACCTGCTAAAAGAAACACCAAACCAAAAATCAAATATTTTTGAATATTAAAAAACAACATTTTTAAAAGGACTCTCACAGATACCTGCAACACCAGAAGCTGGATTGTACAAGACCACTCCCAACTGACGCAGAGAGGTTAAAGGGGAAGCTTTTGTCCAACATGTTATGATGCTTCATTTCTCTGCTTCTGATTAGAAGTCTTTAAAAATGTTTTTAAAAAAGGGATGTCAGAACTGGATAAGATCCTTGAGAAACTCAGTAATTCCCTGCCACTGGGATTTCTGCAAGCTTACCTGGTTTAAGTATAGGGAATAAGGAAGTTGTACAGACTTGTGTTGTAGCTAGTAAGCACACTTGCTGTCTGTGAACTCTGCATGGGAAAAGGGAAGGGATTATTGAGGATGTGGAGAGCAGGCAGGCAGTTGAGGCAGGAGGTGTGCGATGATTACAGCTCGGTATCAATTTATTATCCGTGCTCTGTGCAAGGCAAGGAAGCAGCACAGTGTTCGGTCCTTTTCTGAGCTCAAATTTTCCAGAGACTAAAAAGCACAAGTTGAAATGTGCTTTTGAACAATGGAGTCTTGATATGGCTACTTACAAGTACATACCGAGACTAAAGCCATGTTTACAGTTATATCTTTTCCTGAATCAAGACAGTTGTATATAAATATGTTGCATGGCACTTGAGCCTAAGAAGGCTTTGAACCTCAATAGGAATAGAGCAGTAAGTCAGGGAGCTGCCTAACAGCTCAATCCCTCCTGGGAGTAGATGGCACTTCTGAGTGATTAAAATCATTAGGTTTGGGATGAGCCACGAGGAGGCAGCTCGTGTCTCCTCCAAGATGGCGCCTGGAATTCAAAATGGAACCTCAAACACTAATGCCTAGTGGCTTGGACTGCAAGGCTTCCCACACAAACCAACAGAATGAACTTAAATAAACCCTTTTAAATCCTAAAGCAGGAAAGTTCCATAAGGAACTTTTTCTGGCACATTTTACTTAATAATAAGGGGGGTGTCAGTGGATGAGGCATTCAGTATCAAGATTTTTATGTCTGACGGTCTTGACTGAACACCAGCAAATGAAACAAATGACCTCTTGACAGCCACTCTCCCAGCAATGGTCCAAAGGAGGAAGCATATTTTTGCCACAAAACTCAACCCCATTTAAGGATGCCATGACTCTATAATAAAGCAGCCACCTAGCAGTAAGGACTACATTTGGATCGTGTGGTATTAAAATAAGGGATCTCTTTCTCCCTTACAGTTTTTAAAATAGTATTTTCTTCAACCTTTTTTTAAAAGAAAAACATACCTTCATTCAAATCTGGTACAGCTGCTTACAAGTCAGAGAAAGATATTTTAGAGGCCTGTGGGCCACCAGTTTGCTACCCCTGCTTCAAAATATTACACTTAAGGGAAAGCATGTTGCATAGGAGAAAAACCACCATTCAGTGGTAGATCACATGCTTTCCTTGCAAAAAGCCACGGGTTGAATCCATGGCATCTCCTGGTTAGGCAGCAAAGGACTTCTGCTTAATATCCTGGACAGCCACTGCCAGTCAGCAAGTATAATGCTGAGCTAGGACTAAGGGTTTGATGCACTCTAAGGTAGCTTCCTATTTTCCCCCAGAAAGTTGTTGAAGACAAGACAAGCATTTTCCTAAGCATTTTTAATTAACAACCAAAAACAGGCCAGAGCTTGACTGTGAAAAGCAGAGCACCTGCTCTACAGTTCACGCCTTGAGTGGGTCAACATTTCTGAATACAGAAGTTGTATCTGAGTCTAACAGAGGATACCCCAAAGCACCAATCTGACAGTAAGCCCACACCAGGAGGAAAGATGAAATACTGTTCTTCTGGCACAGGCATCCCGTTAACTTGGTTTCTTGCCTCCTCTCATGTGCAGGCATCTATTTCTGCATCAGCTTGCATGGTTCTGTAACACTCCCCAAATAAAGTCACAAAGACTTCATAGTTGCAAACTTCTAAACAAATCTAGAAAATTGTGTGTGGGGTTTTTTTTAAGGATTTGGCCGCTAATTCTGCTCTGTCCAAGTAATATGTTTGCATTGTCAAAAACATGAACAATTAATGGATGGTATCTGACTTCTTCAGAGCAGACTCATGGAAATCTATGGACTTACGCTGGCAAATGTTAACTTGCCCATTCATTTTGATGGGCCTGTTTCAAGTATGATTTAGTCAGATACCACCCATACTTTTTAACATGGTGGCTCTCCTGCATATACCTACTATAGTTTAAGATTTCAGAAAATGTGTAGCATGGTGCCATTTGATCTCAATCTCATTTCTGCAAAACTTCAAGGGTACCTTTTGGAGGGGAGGGGGTGTCTTACAAGAAGTTCTGCCACTGATTACTTACTAAAACAGTTTTGTTGAGAAGCTAGAGAACAAACATAAGTTAGCAGGAAAACAACAAATCAAACAGATTTCTGCTTTGGAAAGGTGCCACATTTTGTTCATTGCATCACTTGTAAGCAATAACTCAATGCATTTATTAATACTACAGAAGCAACTTAACAGGAGCAGAGCAGGAAGGACAATGAGCAAGCTGGGTAACACAGGACCAGCAGTGAGGGAAAGAAGGGGTTAAAAAAAATAGCTGTTCTGGAGATTATAAAAAAAAATTCACAGCAATAGCTGCTGAACTTCAAGGACATACAAAATTTTGCACATAAATATCACATCTGAATCCCTATTACGTGTAACAATTTTTATATAAAATATGATCAAAAGTCACTTCCTATTCCTTGCAAAACCCACTTTCTCCTGCCTCCTTGAACTTTGTCAAACTGGGCAGAAAGCAGCTTTCCCAAATTTACACACAATTAGAGGAGTAAAATATGGGCATTGATCACCTGCATAGCACTGAAGTAATGGGATGTAGAACTCTCGCATTCAACTTACTGCCAGTATTATTGAACTTGCTTAGATAAAATACACAGAGCCAGTTTTAAAACTCTTGGTAGCAACCTTCCAACTAGCAAGCAACTGTCCAGAGCATGGATCCGTAATATGGACACATCACTAAATTTTCATAGGCAATGAAACTCAACCACAGTCACCAGAAATGCTACTGTGGGATAGCTACTCCCTTTTCCCCTTTAATCTTTTCTTTTTTTGCAGCATCAGATATTTCACAAGAGTGTCACGCAACAATATTTTAGCTCTGCATGCTCCCCATCATTTTTTATCTCTGCTTTGGACTCCAAACAGCCTTCACGACTAGCAAATTTGGGTTGTGTGTCGCCAATGATGCACAGTCCTAGGAGGAGAACCCGCAAGTTAATGGCTTGATGCCATTTCTGTATAACACGTCTTATTTTTCTCAGCCTTCGCGTTATTTACTTGATGTGCCTACAACTTGTGGGTGCCTATTGTTATTTGCGGCAACGAGGGCAACCGTCCTGTTCCAAGAAGCAAAATTTTGTCTGTCCTTGAAAGCAGAGCAGCTAAAACACTCAGCAAGCAAATGCCATTTGGGGAGCTAAAGTGCTAAGGCTATGCCATGTCTGTACGAAGCAAGGTCACCAAGCAGATGCTCACGCTGGGTCCTTACCTGGCAAAGGCTGTCCCAGCTCCGCCTGCACTTTACCCTTCGCTGCTCCTTCCAGAGGTAAAGAACCTCTGTCCCCTTTGTAGAGTTTCGGTTTAAATGGAGAATCTTTCTCTTTACCTTTTGATCCTTTAGGCCTGCCTGCTTGCTTCTTCTTGGATTTACCATCTCCTTTCACACCCAGAAGCGGATGGACTTCTGCAAAGGAAGAGGCAGGTTTGGAACAGGAAGTACATCTTTTCAGTTTACAGTGCATTTACTCGCCCTGTGTACTTTGCAGATCTCTGAAGGCTCGTGCCATAACACAGGAAAGGGGACTTATGGCATTTTTCTCTTTTTTTAGAAATAAGAAAGGGAGAGCAGCGGTTCTGAATCATTTTAGGACAGTAGGATGAGCTGGAAGTTAGAATTAAGTTGAGTTTGCCAGCAGTTTGTTGTATAGAACCGAAGAATAAACTGGTCTACTCAGGTCAAGACAGCACCTGCTCCAGGTGCTTTAGAGGAAATGTATAACACCACAGGTTACTAAACAAGTACTTGAGCTAATTGACCATAATTTCCATTCAGTGGTCACAGATACGAGGAATGCCTATAATGAGGAGTGCAGCCAGGCAAAAATTCTAAGCACGTGAGGAAAGATTCAGTACTGTTAGCCCCAAGTGAGTAAGATAATGAGATCTAAGAAACACAGGGATCTTACTTGCTTAAATTAGGGTTGCCATACGCCTGGATTTTCCTGGATATAGTGGCTGTCGGAAGCAGTGTCCAGGTGGAAATTGCGGAAATGTCCAGGAAGATCTGGACGCATGGCAAAACCATGTTGGAAGTCTAGATTTTGCTGAATTCCCTTAAAAATAGTTCAACAACTTCATTCTTTTTTAAGATTTTGCAAAGCTCAACAACTTAGGGCAAAACTCTAAAAAAAACTCAACAACTTTTGTGTTCGCTTCACTTTTTGAAATATGGCAACCCTAGCTTATCTAGCAGTTCAAATGCCCTGTCAATCGTAATGGCACAAGCTGAGAAAGGACTTATTTACCACTCACAGCCATTTTCGCTAAGTTCTAATATAATCTGAAGTTATGAAGATATTGGACAGCAGCAATGATAGCAATTCTCCCTCACCATCGTTGGGTACTCCCTGCAGTTCTATGTTGGTTGTTTTAGGTTTCTTCTTTGGTGGCTGAGGTCCATCAGACAAAGACTGCCTCTTCTTTTCAGAGCCTATTCCCTCATCAGGTAAGGCGGTCTGCACTGCATCTGGTGGAGGACCATAAGGGTTTTCCTCCGGGTCTTCCACTTCAGGAGCAATAGGCAAGTACAACAAAGCTTTGGAGTCTTCCAATTCTTCATCGCTGCCAAGGAAATTTTATTTTTTCCCATTAAACACACAGAACTCATGCTACAGGATTGAAAAAATACACACAAACACAATTTTGTTCTTGTGTTCTTATCCAGAACAAGAGCTACACTGACCTCCAAAATTAGCCATTCAGACACACTCTACAGCAGGAATGGCTAACCCATGGCCCTTCAGATTTTGCTAACTATGACCCCCATTATCCCTGGCCATTGGCCACACTAGATCCAGAACTTCTCCTACAGGTCATTTTGACTGGTGGGTGGGGCTGCTCACCTGTAAATCATATGGAGATCAGGTGATTCAACTTCAAAGGTAGAATCTGAAATGTCCTCTCCGTTCTTCCTTTGCAGCCTAGTTTGAATTCAAGCTGAGTTGTAAAGGAAGAACTGGGAGCATTTCTAAGCAACTCTTCCTTTCCATATGCAATTGGGCCCTTTTTGAATTTGGCATCTTTTTCTGTTGCTGCAGGATGACAGAAAAAGGAGCCAAATTCAAGAAACACCGAACTCTACTAGAAGCTGTAAGGAAAGAACCAAGTTTACCTGTCGAGTGACATCAGGTGATGGTCAGGTGGCCATGATTTGAGCCAAACCACACAGCAGCCCAATGGGAAGGCCTGGGGAGCCTAAATAGGTTCATAGGGAGGCTCTGCCTTCCTCATATGAAAAGATATGCATATTTACTCTGCAATCCTAACTGGCCTAGCCAGGGAGAGTCTTACTGAACACAGGGTGACTTTCTTCAGAGTAAGCCTGCACAGAACTGCACTGTTCATCTATTAAAACCCGTAACTAAGATTTCTTTAATTAGTTGACAGTCCTAGTGAACATATCTTTTTAGTGATCAGCAAATATTTATTGTGTGCAGTCTTTCAACACCCTCGCCGCCGCCACATTCACCTGCTACAAAAAGCAGCAATGGGATCTACACTGGTGACGTCCACTTCCTCATCCTCCGCAGCATCAGCACCTGATAACCAAAGAAATTCTAAATCACAAGTTGGCAGCAACAGAGAGGTCTCATTGCCAAGCTTCATCTAATGCCTAAATAAGCCCTATGTCACAAAATTAAACTCATGCTGTTCTGATGCCTAACTTCTTACAAAATAATTGGCAATGGAAAAAAATGGCAATGAGAAGTGAGCCTCTTTTCTTCTCCAGACTTTTTAAAAAAAATCCTGCTGTATACTTACCTTGTTTGGCACCATCACAAATCTGTGCTTTTATTGCCTTACATTCAACCTTGTTTCCCTAGCAACAGCTATGACATTTCATGAATTACTGAAGCTTGTTTGCCTAGGTACATTGTTAAAACATAAATCTTGCAAAGGTGAAAATTAAGTGGAATGTGAGCCTTTGCACCGACTTCAGTAATTAAGTCCCCTTTTTCCAAATACTAGGAAGTACCTGCTTAAATTCTGCAGGACTGCGGTTTGTGTTGGACCAGATTGCAGCTAAATCAGCTGTCAGTGAACAAGCCATTAAGCACCAGCGGTAGTTTTAAATGCCCACAGAACCTTGATCAGTAGGATAACAACTCTCTGAAGACATCAAACAGATGGCTACTAAAAGTCTGGAAGTAAAGAATCGGAACAAGAATTCTTGCTTGGCTGAAAAATGCAACAGATAACTAGGGAAGAACAGAAGACAAGAACCTTGGACTGCAAGAACCCACGAGTATAGGAAGTAAGGACTGAAGACAATATAAGCATCAGTAACGGAAGACTCATCAGCACCACTGGAAAGGGAGTCTAGGGTGCTCAGCCTTCCTAGATGCAAAGGCATTCTCTGGAAACGAAACTAAATGAAAATTACCTAGTGGGTAGTTTGGGTACTGGAATAATTAACCTGGGATCCCAAAACAGCACAGAATAAGGAGTAGTAGCGGCAAAAACTAGAAACAGTTTGCTAACCCTTATACTAGACGGGCCGTGAAATGGGTCTTGATATGTGGCCTATAGATTCAAAGGCTCAAGCTGTGTTAAATCAGAAGAACTGTTAAATTTGTATCTCACACCTTGAATACATAATGTTCCTGAGGTGGACAAGATACAAAAAAAATACTAATACCGTATTGGCCTAAATATAAGCCACACCCAAATATAAGCCGCACCTTTAAAATTGGGGGGGAGGGGAAAGAAAAAAAGGAAAAATACCCAAATATAAGCTGCTCCCTTCCTCGCTGCTCCTGGCTGCATACTGGGCCGGGGTTGGGGGGAGCCGCACTGCGTTGCCAGTGGCCTTTCCTCTTCATTGCTCTCTCGCTTTCCGGCTTTGGGTTAGAGGACGTGGGACTATGCGTGGGGCTGGTGCCACTTTGCCACACTCCTGGCTGCATACCGTAAAGTTGCAAATATAAGCCACACTTAAACTTTTCACGGTTGGAATTTGGGGGGAAAGTGCGGCTTATTTTAAGGCCAATACGGTATATCATCAAACTCAGAAAGGGCATCACTGATTATTGCGTTTTTTACTCTGCCATTCACACACAGTTTGAGAGAATAATACTGAGGTGCTTTTTGTACCTCAGTATTATCTTGTACCCTGATGTGCACCAAGAGGCGAAGATTGCTTGCAGCTCCAGTTCTGGGGGCAGAGGAAGGGGGTAATCTGGGCTGATGCTACACAATAAGGATGCAAAACTATACACAGTCCATATACTTTTACACTGGGCAATTTCAGTCAATGCATTCTTTACCTGTCTGCTCTGGCTCGCTCTTATCTTCATCTTCTATGTCAAACTCAGACTCTCGCTCTTCATATTCTACATTTTCATCCAGTTCCTTAAAATCAGGTGCAAAGGCACTCCAGTTTTCCTAAGCCACAAATCCAAAGAACATTTTACGTTCGTGCCCTGGTACAGCAGCTATATAATCACACCCGAGCTATGCACCAAAGTGCCACAAACCATGTGCGACATCATAGGACCAGTCCTTCTTTGAGATACAGAGTCACAAGGCCTACTAAACAAGAGGGCTAGTTACTTGTTTTACGTAACGTGAAATCAGGATCTCTTTCATCTCTTCCCATTTTTCTTCTCTCTTCAGTGAAAATCATTCTTGCAACCCTCTGGCTACAAACAGTTTTTTATCAGTTTTGAAATTATTTGATTTTCTCTAGTATTTTTAGAAAGATGTTGGTCCTGCAGTGTAAAAGCTTATGCAAATAATGGCAAAAAATAAAACCAGAATGACCAATGAAATAAGGGTCATCCAGGGAAATTAAAGTGTAGAAATGGAAGAAAATGCATCAGTACTACTTACCACTTGATTTTGAGCCCATATGGATACTACACCACTGGAAATAGAAGCGATGATAGGTCGGACAGGATGCCACTAGATTATACCAGAAAGAGGGAAGAAAAGCGGTACATTTTTAAAAATACAGTCTGGCCCAAAGTTGTGAATCCTGTTAGGAGGAGACAATGCAGTACTTACTGCCACATCTAGCAACAGCTCTCCCCTTGTGCCATGGAGGATTTTCACTAAGTTCCCAATGCTCTTCTCCCAGATGTACAAAGCATGCTGACGTGCTGACCCTGCAACAATGTATTCCCCGTCGCCAGAGAAACAGCATTTCTTCCAAGGCGTCCTGTAGAAATAGCAATTAACAGAACCTTGTTCAAGTGTACACTAGGGAGAAGCAAGGGTTCAAAAGAATTGCAATTGTTAAAAGATGATTATGCATAGCTGGAAGTGGGCTTCTCTGAAACTGCAAATAGTAAATTCCACAATGCAAGTTATACAAATCGGTCAAGTCAGGATACATTCCCCCAAAATAACTTCTTTGATCTTAAGTCTCACGCAAACAAATCTAAAAGAAAATAAGAAAGCTTGAAAAACTATATGCAGGTTGCAGTTGCTTCACTTGCCTTGCTATTGCGTTGTTGCAGACTTTGATGCTGTGTTCAGTCGCTTTTGTAAGCAACCAGAACTGATGTGAACTTATAGAAAAATATAAGAATAGGACAGTAGCTGGTGCAGAGGAGCGACTTAAAAACTGTGAGAAGGACCTGGCTGGCAGCTAAGCAAGGAACTGTCAACAACTCCCATCATTCCATCTGGCTGCTTCAAAGGGAGCATTGAGATGAGCCCCTGCCCCCACCAGCCTAGCAAAAACCAGTTCTATCTTCATTAGCAGCCAAACAACCTAGCTGCATCAGAGGGAAAGGTGAGATAGCAAAACACCCCCAAATGCCGCATGCCCACCCCGTTGCCCCCACCCTCAGACGACTGGCCATGACCATCTTAGTTTCCTCTTCCCACACCATGAGTTTTCTGTTCTGCAGGGCATTTGAAGGCTTTAACTGTAGTGCATCTTAGTGGTTTTAGATCTGCTAACCGATGGCTGTTTTAAGCTCCTGTGATCTGTGTTGCATTTTATTGTGTTGGCTTTTTGCATTTGGGTTTCATCCTGGGTTGGAAATTTAAGATTGACTGCAGGTTTTACAATATAATTGTTATGTTTTAAATCAACTTGTACAATGCCTAGAAAACTTGTTTATGAAGTGTTTAACAACTAGAAGAAATAATATCAATAATGAAGATTTAAAACTTTTAACTGCCTTGAGTGCACTGGCAGAAAGATGTTTTATAAATGTAGTAAAGGCAGCAATTAATCCAAACACTGCCCTGTCTATGAATCTCAGGCTTCTCTTTACACTACATGATGCTATGTTAGAGATTATATTTTGAATTTAAGTAAAAAAAATACAGCCTATTTTTTGGATTACAGAAGACTCATCCCCCCCCCATATTCAAAAAGTAATTGTGGACAGTGTTGCACAATATAGAAAGGGGATCCTGCTTTACTGCAGAAGAAAGGGCTCTGAGAGCCAGGAAGCAGGCAATCTGGACCTAGTTCCTTTGGAACAACAACACTCAGGGTCTTTAGGGGGTAGAATGCTTGTTTTTCAAGCTTCGAGAAATGAAGTTATACCAGAGGACAAACTAGCAGTAGGGCCTTTGAATACTGAAACGCACATGCCCCTGACTCAAGACAGATAATTCCTACCTGTTCACCAAGTCCTGCAGCTTTTGCATTGGCTCTGGTTCTCCATCTCTACCACAAGTCAAGATTTCCCGACCGTCATAGACTCTGATTATGCGATCAGCAGTATTTATTAGAAAGCAACTAAGGGAGGGGAAAGAGATACAAAATGCTGTAAAACCATTCATTCCAAATATACTGCTGAGCCACTGTGCTCCAGCAGGTTATATAAGAAATAGGATAAACCCATAGACCAGGATCCTAGTATTATTATTAATATTTCATTGAATTTATTTGTTACACTTCCACCCGAGCCTCTAGGTGATATACAGTAAGAGTTAATTAAAAGCATCCAATATAGCAATATCACTGTACAGTAAAATAAATTAAAACTAAATCACCAGTAAGACTAAAAAGTAATGAAACTCTTACCCCTACAAGCACAAGCACTGGCAAGTTAATCAAGTACAAACTAAGACCAAAGGTACAACCAAATACCTCCTTTAGGCCTTCCCAAGGACAATGTTATTTGAACAGCAGCTCTCCATGTATGAAAGAGTCAAAGTCTTCAACTCACCTTCCTTTTCGAGCAAACTCTATAGATTTAATAGCTGTAGTATTGCTGGTTCCTGTAGTTACTCTGAAGGAAGCAACAAGGTCCTGAGTGTCTGTCTTTAAGACCAAGATCTAACAACGTAAGTAAAAATAAATCAGGTAACTTTTACTGTGACCTTTTCACCACATACACTTCTTGTTTAGAGTTCATAAGGAAAGGCAATAAAAGTCTGCACAGACATCAAAGTGTGCTATTAAAAGTCAGTCCTGTCAGTGATTTATGAGACAACTAAGCAAGGAACCATGTCTTCCTCTATCATCAATAAAAAGGAGAGGTTAGTGGCAAGTTCAACACCAGCAACACCATCAATTTAAGATAGTGAAATCCAATGGAGCAGGTATGGAATGAGAGTAGACAATCTCTGTGCAGCAACTGCCTGCAATTCATTCTCTAAAATGGGATCTGTCCAAAAGAAAAAGTCCCATGATGACATTGTTCACTACATTAAATTCTGAAGGTTTCTTGGACACAGACGGGTGCGGGGTGGGGAATTTCAAAGCATTTGGGCTGTTTATTTAAATAGGAAATGTTATGAAGTTACACAGTTAGTATCTGATTCAGTTCACAGCAGATATGTCAGAGCGCCTAAGCTGAATTCTTCATTAAAAAAATATAAGCGTTCATTAGAAATGTAAAGAAGCCAGCAACTGCATACACAGCTAGAACTGGTAGGGAAGAATGTCAATAATGTAGATCAAGCAATGGTGATGTACAAAAGGGTGCCAAGGTGTGTGTGTGTGTGTGTGTGTGTAATTTTCTCACATCCATCAATGGGTTGAATGTGGCATACACAAACTATAGTCAAGGCACTATGGTGCAGTTGTCTGTGACCCTCACATGTTAACAACCTTTCATTTCTGAATAAGATAATTTTTTTTCTGCATAGTCTATTTTAGATAATGTGTACCCAGCTGCTTCATCAAAGCTGAAATAAATTTTGCTTAGAATCATGATATTCCTGGAATATTTTGAGCTGAGAGAGAGAACCAAGACAGCAATAAAGGGAAGCCCGTTTCTTCTATTTACAACACTTCTAAGGCAAGTCATACAAATTAGAAAACTGAACCCGCTACCCACCAAATATTAGTTCAGTGAGTTCTCACCTTCCCTTTAGCATTCCCCGTGTAGATATATTCCCCTCGCCGGTCAAAAGAAGCCACCACATTCAGATCAGAATCATCATCCACTGGTAGGACAACATGTTTTGAATCAGACAATGTTAGCATGACAGGTGCAGACTTCATTGGACATACCAACACCCTGTTTCTAAACAAATAGAAACCAACAAGAAACAAAAAAAGAAATTCTCAAATTTTCTATTTTCTTACCTGGTGTCTCTTTTGTAACAGGGGAAAAAGGGGTGGGCTAAAAGGAGGTTTCTAAGGATGCAGGAACTTTGTGTATGCCTGAAAGCAGAGGCTGCAGAGCTAGAGATCAACGAGGACAAGAAAAGAGAGAGAACACAGAGATGAGGGGGATGGGATCAAGGCAGGGAAAGCCCTCCGGGCAAAAGGCTTAGGGATGCAGACAAGACACTGCAGATAGAAAGCAGAAGCTTGGCAGAGCCCTTTCTTGCATGAGGTGTCTGCATCTTTTTCTTTAGAATTATGGTGGTCTTCCACAAATGCAAATTAATGCAGATTTAATCTATTACTTGGCTACTATTCTTCAATCACATGGTAGTCATGCTTTAAAACAAGTAGCAGCATATTGAATTGGGCTATAAAGATGGCCACCCACTAGGATTAAGAGTCTCTGCATGTACAACTATCTGTGCAAAGATCCCCTCAATGCCAGATGTCAGGAGGTGGGAGTGGGAAGTGAGCAGTCAACCGTCTCAGACTGCACGGCAGGATCCCAGTACCCCTCTTCATGTATTGGCTATATGCATGGAGGGGCCACTTCTGAAGACTGCTATTGAACTATCACCAGCATATTGATGACTTCCAAGAACAAAGCTTCAGATAATCTCTCGTAGTGGAGGAATTCAGCACCACACTGGGATGATGATCAGCACAAGCATTTCTGATTGCCAGACCTAAGGACCCCTCGTCTCCAGCCCCTGCACGCTGTTATGGGGGTTCTCCCAACTGCTCCCCTCTAAATTGATTTGAGGGCTGTGTTGTAGGAGGTAGGACCCCTGTTGTGCTAGTAGGACTTGTTGCATGGGCTCCCATATTTTGTTGAATATGGCCCACAGTAAAGAACTGTGTTGAATAAGGCAAATGATGACATATAGTCTTGATTAGAACACGGTAGGCAAGAAACCATTCGGTTTTCCAAGACTGCTCTAGGGAAAGGTCTTTGTTAGTATTACTTACTGATCGCGGGGATGGTACTGGACTTTCAGGATCGGAGAAGGGAAACGAAACCTCTGGTCACAATCACCAGTCAGAACATCCCACTGAGATACCATATTATCAGTTGACGCACTCACCAATTTGTGGCCATCTCGACTCCAACTGGAAGAGAAAGTTAAAGATTGCAACCTTTGTTTTGTTGCTATCCCCACAAATATTATTTAAAATGGTCAGAGCTACTGGCTCATAATATGCTTTCAAATCAAAAGAGTGTTCTATCAAAGGAACATCCAAGTAAATGTATTTAAACTGGGGTGCCAGTATACAGAACTGATCAGTTAGATTATCTGTTTTTGGGACTATTATTTTAACCACGCTGAAGTGAATAGTGCTCTATACTGCAACTCAAGCTAAATTTACTAAGATACCAATGCATTTATAGCAGAACAGAATGGTGATTGTAAAATATCTTGAAACAAAGCATTTGTAATAAAAAATACTTTATGACTTTTGCACTGAAAAGCCTACAAAACCCACAAACACTTGATACAGCAAAACACTGAGGTTTTTTTTTCCTGTGTGTTATTAAAAAATCCAACAATGAGGTCCTGAAGTATCCAATAAAAAGTAACAAGCAAAATATTTCTAGAATGATGAAGTTCAAATTCAAAAAGTTATCCATGCTGGAAAATGGAAGTTATTTATTTATTTAAGGCTTATATTCCGCAGTTTCCCAGCAGGTGGATGCAAAGCAGCCAGGATCAAAGGAAAGGATAATTTCATGAGCTCAAAGGGATTTAGACTTGTTTTTCTTTGATAGGCGCATCCCATGTTGTAAGTTAAACTGATTTTGAAACTGAAGTGCGTTTCAAAAGTAGTCTGTGATACAGAATGGAGCTCATCAATTCAAAGAAAAGATCAAAAGATCCACTGGGCGAGCATAAGCCCCTTGCAAGAATCTAAGAGGCAATCGGATTCTCACGTCTATAGCTGTGATCCAAAGATACTGAATGCATGTGGGGAGGGGGGAATGAATCATCTGTGTAGCTGGATCTTTCGTTGATTTTTTTCCCTGCAGCAGCTTTCACTATCAAAGAGATGACTTTAAAAACCAACTTTCCTTTTTAGCTCTTGGAGTGTAAACTTCATGCAGAGTTCAAGCTGTGTAAGTTTCAACTTGTGAAAATGATATACTGAACCCATGACATGCACACTGTGTTTTTTTACTTAAGCTGAGAGTATGCTAATAATAAATCATATTTAACTCATATCGAGATAATTTTCTTACCATAAAGAACAGACCGGGTGGATATGAGCACTTATGATTTTTGCTATGCCTCTTGTCAAGAAGTCCCAAATGACAATCCGACCATCATTACAACCTACTGCTAGAAGTGTACCCCACCTGTTAAAAGTACAAGTAAGGGCCATACTAATGCAGTCCAGTGTGCCATCAGCTTCCTGAAAACAATGAAAGGTATAAAAATCAATGTCAACCAATTTCACTTCAAAGCTATATAGCCAGTATGCTTCACACCTTTGAAATGTCTCAGGCAAAGTAAGGCCACTGCTATTTGAGAGATCACCTAGACACTGAAGGGAAAGTATGCACAAGATTAAAAATCAGAAGTTGAAGGGATAGACATGTTTTCCTGATGCACTTTAACATACACCAAGTATCCACATTGCAGTTCAGCAAACATCTGCTTCCCGTCTTCAAACATAATAAAACCAAGTCACAAGCCAAACAACATTAGAATAGAATGTGTCAACTTTGAGTGAGGGAGACATTTACCTCTGGATAGTTCTGTCCAAATGATTCTGAAATAAAACAGAAGTATAAAGCATGAAATAAGTTATACAGTACCACATTCTTTGTGTTATACAATACTTCAATTTTTTTAAAAAATGAAAGTATGCTGTTTATAATGAGAAATTTGATCCCAAATGTCAGGCATCGGCCCTTAACTCTCATCAGCTCCAGCCAGCACACCAAATGATCTAGAATGAGAACAGTTATATAGTCCAGTAACATCAGGAGGGCCACAGGTTCCCCACCACGGTTATAAATCAGTGGTGAGTGCTAAGTGGGCCCATAGTTCAAAATCTGGAGGTAGTTCTAGCAACAAAGCACTGATAACTAAAATATTCTTAACTTGGCAAGGTGGGTGCAAATCAGCTATCTAGGCAACAATAAAATAAGACTATAGAGCAGAATGTAAGTGCATGACATTTGATGTAAACATGCAGATGCCAAGCATTACAAAATTATCACAACTCTCTGTAAGAATAACCTCAGTATTACCTTGATGTAATAACCTTCAGAAAGAAAGGGCTCTGCTTCTAATCCTACTTATATGGGAAGTGAGGAAGGTAGAAGAAAAGTATGTAAAGCCATGCTTATAGGGGCTTTGAATCTGGGGTGCTCACATTGTTTAGGCTACTTGTGTTAACCTATATTTTATGGTGCTTTATAATTACTGTTATTTTATTGCATCAATTGTGAGCCATCTAAATGTGTTAAAAATGGATGGAAGATAATAAATTTAATAAAATAAGGGTCAAACTATATACATTAAAATGCATCTTTGCACTGAATGTGCAGAATTCTTAAAATGCAAATAACATCAACTGAGGGTGGGCTTACCATTCGTGGGATGCTAATGGGGGATTTCTTCCCAAAGTAGATACTGGTTTTAGAGGTGGGATTATTCTCAGGACAATAAAAGGTGGGAAAAGGGTTAAAATCCCTCATGCCCCATCAGCTGATGCTATTTGCATTTTCAAAACTTTCTTAAATACAAAAATGCATTTAATGCGTTTAATGCGTTTAATGTCACATCCACTTTGATTCTCAGTTTTTCTCCTATTCAGGGGCTGGTCAGCTAGGACAGGTGTGGGGAACTTTGGTCCCACCACACACTGCTGAACTACAAGTCCCATAAACCCCAGTAAGTATGGCCAAGAGGCAGAGATGATGAGCCCAAAAGGCTTCCCAGACCTGAACTAGCACTTAATGCAATGATTCCCCACTTTGTCGAGTAGTCTGCTTTTTCTGGTTTTGTCTTCCCATGTAGCATGTGTCACGGACCACTTGCATAAATATCAAGAGGCAGTTGGCCTGCAAATACCTTTCCAAAATGTCAATGGTTTCTGCTTAAGATACAATAATTTTGCAAATTCATCCTTTGTATGTGTTGTGAGCAATTTGCATGTGGATCCTCTTTCCTTTGGAACAGGCAGTAGCACCAGGTGTCAGTTTGATCCTTCCTCGGTCTTAAATCAAAAGCTAAAGAACCTAAATTATTCCCCTTCCCTACCGAGAATACACCAACTGAAAACAGGTTTAGAAATTAGTGAGACTGGTTAGGATTGGGCTGTAAATATGCCTAGGAAAAGCTCTGATCAAATTCTGAGAAACCTTTGAGCAGGATGGCAAACGGGTTAAAGTGAACCAGATCTTCCAGGGACAATGTGGGGTATCACAATGTTTCAGCACACTGAACGGGCAACGCTTATCTTGCACGTTAAAAATGTGTGATCCCTAGGGTGTACCCTTGACGCATAACCAAACGCTGGGCAGCACAAACACAGAAATGGTGCGATGCTACACATGCTTGCTTAGAAGTAACAGTCACTATGTTCAGTGGGGCTGACTCACGGCTGTGTGAACAAATACTGCAGCCTGAAGAAACTTCTTTGGTCCCAAGACACTAGAAACCGAGTGGTCAAAACTGGCATGGCTGCCATGGCAACGGGACTGTCAGCTTGTTAGCAACAGGGCCTAGCAACAGGGCAGGCAGGAGGAAAGAAACCTGCCATGGGAAATCAAGCACCGCCATGACTTCAGGGTAGCAGTTTCTGCCAGTGGAGGAGGAGGAGGAGGAGAGGAAGAGGTGAGCAGCGAAGGTGGGCGACCACGAATTTACATGCCATTAAACCAGCCCCCAGGGCTGCATCCCCTGACTTGTTAGCTGATAATGAACTTAAAAGAGGTGTCAGTCGGTTTTACTCTGCCAAGAATTATGAAGCCGCGTTTTGTGCAAGGGGCGTGAGGAGGGGGACCTTCTCCCAGGAGCCGCCCCAGCCCAAGCGCTTCTCCAGCCCCTGGTCCGGGTCGGGTGCCCCGGCACCTCGCTGTCTTCCAAGTCCCAGGCGCCCCGGCCCCCTCGCGCAGCCCAGCCGCCCGCCCCGGCCCCCTCCCGCCCCACCAAAGGGAAGGACCGAGGAGGGCTCGACACGACCATTTAAAAAGCCACGCACCCAGCAGTTCCAGATTCATCTTGGCCACTTTCTCGCTCCGTCCGATCCCGCTCCGGAACCAAGGACCCAGGGGTCCTCGCGCACACCCAGCCAAGGGGCCCGGCTGAAGACTCAGCCTGACGCAACCGCAGCCCACTCGTTGCGCAGGGCTCCGGTCCGGCTTCCGAGTCACGCCGAACTCCGAGCCTCGACGCTCGCCTTCATCGCTTCGGGACGGCGGCGAACAGCGTCTCGGGGCAAACGGTTTGAGTGGCGTAAGGAGCAGGCAGTCGCCAGGGCAGCTACGAATCCGAGTCCGTCGACTAAAGAACACCGTCTCGAAACGAAGCAGCGTGCGCGAAGAGTTCCGGGAGGCGGGCGGCAGCGGAGGAGGAAACGGTGCTGGCGTAACGCTTGTTATTCTAGGGCAGGTATGGGAACCTGCGTGCCTCCAGATGTTGTTGAAATCCGGCTGCAACCAGGTTATCGTGGCTGAGGCTGATGGGAGTTGTAATCCAACAAGATCTGGAGAGCACCCGGTTCACCTTCCTGACCTGAAAGGGAAATCGAGAGGCATGTTGTGATAGCCGCAGGGCTTGTGGGGGAAAGGCATCTACTGAGCCGCCTTTTCTCTCCAAATTACAAATATCCATAGCTGTCAGCTTTTCCCTTTTCTTGCGAGGAATCCTATTCGGAATAAGGGAATTTCCCTTAAAAAAAGGGGAAAGTTGACAGCTATGCAAATATCTGGAGAGAAAGAACTGAAATATTGAAAGCAAAGCAGGGTAGCTATGCTTGGGAAATGGCTTCTCAATCAGTGCTGTTAAATGCCGTATGTAAAGGTAGTAGAAGCAGCAGCTGTAACGTGTTTTGACCTGATTCCATGCGGGTAGTTTTTAGACTTCCCTTTGAAGCAAATCCCAAATTTTCTTGTACCTATTTCTGATAAACCACTGCCCTTACTGTCACATAACCTTACCACACAGTCTGGAATTGTCGTTTATAGGTTTCAGCACCAGAAACACAACACTTCTGTCTCTAGCAGTTAAATCTGTTGGGGCATTTACTAACTCATATTGTTTCAGAAGCAGGTTCATGACAGGCGGTTGCAGAGTAAATGAACACACCACGATGCAGCAAGCAGAAAGCATCTTTAGCTTTCCTTAAGTGGGTGGCAGCGATAACAGTGCTTCTTGGGAGGGATATGAGTGGTACAAATACACAAGTATTTCAATTTTATGGACGGTGCACTTCAAAAAAAGTTATGTTTATATGGAAAGTGGTATACAAATAAAGTGACTGTAAGTGTCTCCATTATCATTTGTAAAATGATAAGAGTATCACAACATAGACATCTTTTTCTGTAAACTGGCATACTTCTTTTTCCAGGTTCTTTTTGGTCTTGGTGATTCTTTCTCCCAAAAATCAAAAGTCAAGGTAAGGCTGGGAATATTTACCTTCCAATACATTTTTATTCCTCTGTGAGTTACAGTAATATATTAAACAGAAAACAAATACAGTGGTACCTCTAGTTACGAACTTAATTCGTTCTGGAGGTCTTTTTCTTAACCTGAAACCGTTCTTAACCTGAGGTACCATTTTAGCTAACGGGGCCTTCCCCTGCCGCTGTGCTGCCAGTGCACGATTTCTGTTCTCATCCTGGGGCAAAGTTCTTAACCCGAGGTACTACTTCCGGGTTAGCAGAGTCTGTAACCTGAAGTGTTTGTAACCCAAGGTGTTTGTAACCCAAGGTACCATTGTACAAGTGCTACTTTTTCTGTGTTTCTTCCCAAAGTGTGGGGTAAGCTGCCTTATAGAAGTTAAGAAAATGCTAAGAAAGCTGCAGTTCACTTTCTGCATTCTATGTGACTTGAGAAGAACAGGAGGCAAAATGCCTTGCTTCTTGCTTCTCAACAACAAACATCCTGCTTCTTCTATTGGCAGTGGGGTGAGGAAGTGGGAGGTGAGCAGACCTCAGGCCCAGGGATCAGAAGTAAGCCTCCACATCATTCTGTCCAGTGCTCAGGACTCTGCCAAGGCCACATTTCTCACTGGTTCTGCTCTGCACTGCCATCTTGTGTTTTTACCTGGCTGGAATGTGTCCTTGAACCTTTTGCTTGCCTGGATGGAGTGGTACCGGTATTTGTTTGGCCACACCCACTTTGGCTACACCCACCCCTTGGTAAGTGGCCCCTGTCCTTGTCCAAAAGGGAGTGTGGCCCTGGAGGTGAAAATGTCTGCATTTCTCTAGTGTTCTTTGGAAGTTTCCTGGTCCTCCATTTTAGTCTTATCTCAAAGTCCAGGGCCACTACCAAAATTCATAGCCAAAATTTGGGAGGGGTGGAAGAAGAGTCTCTTCAGCAACTTTTCGAACATGTTTTGAATGAAAATAACTACCCTCTTTTTTGCTCTGAGTGTTTGGAAACTCCTATATTGTACAGGTTTATTTGCCAAAGAGCCAAGATTAGTTGGGACATCTTGCCAGTGAAAACAGGTTTGCTGCAATGTATTTACTTGCAGGAGGCAATGCTTCTTGAGTACCTGTAATCCTAGCTTGATGCTGGAAAAAATATATGCAAGAGGGCAGCCTAATTCAATTTTGTAGATTGCAACCGGTGCTGTGATAGAGGCTGTTTCTATTTTGTGAGGGGTTCTTGCTTTGTCATTAAATTCATAGGCAATTGGGATTTCTATAAAACATTTGCTGGTTATATGATTGGGACTAAAGACTTTGAAGAACTATAACACAGCACCTCTGTCTTTCTGACAGGCACAAATCCAGTTTCATTTTCCTGCGCTAATGCTGACTCACTTGTTGACAAGTTGGTGTACCTTGCCCTAGGAAAATGCTGGGAAATGTTCACAATATTCCATGAGATCAGCTGAAAAGCTTGTCTATACTCATGTGGCTTTTTAGATTTCCAAATATGAAAAAGCCCAGGCACATTTTAGGTTTCCAAATATGTATAGTCCTGGTTAGGTTGTTCTAGTTAAAAACAAGTTTCTTGAGCACCTTAAAGACAAACTTGTGTAAGGTTTCATGGACTAGCACATAGGAAACTGCTTTTATGGAGCTTGGTCACTGGTCCATCTAGCCCTGTATTGTCTACCCTGACTGGCAACAGCTGTCTAGGATTTCAAATGAGTGTCTTTCCTAGCTCCACCTAGAGATACTAAAGATTGAACCTGGGGCCTTTTTCATACAAATCATGTGCTCTCCCGCTGAGCTACAGCACCTCCCCATACATATTATCAAATCCATGAAACTGTAACATTAGTTGGCATATTATGTATGTACATATGGATAGGTGTTGGTGGGTAAAGAAAAAAAACAGGGATCAAATGGTCATGAAATGCTTAAAGTATAGCAATTTAGTTAAGGGCCAAACTACACATTATGTAATTTGTACTTTTGAAAAAGCATACTTAAAACTCATCACCATTCTCCGGGGAGTGGGGGAAGCAATGACATGCTCCCAGTGTGGATGGGGGCTCTGCGCCAGTTTCCTTGTGAAAATCTCTCCTACCCACTGATTTAGCTAAGCCCTGCTATGTGCAACATGTAGGAAAGCCTTCCTTGTGATGGCACCTTAGCTTTGGAATTTCCTTTCCTCTAATATATGGCTTGCGCCTTTTAAAAACCCCCCAACTACTACTTTGGATGTCAGCTGAAGACCTGGTTATTCACCCAAGCTTCTTGTTACAGTTTAGTGCCAAAATGTTTATTTTAGCATTGACTGACTGTAAACTTATCTGCCTTCTTTTGCAGTGATTGTATCAGGTATGCGGATGAACTGTAACTTGCTCTGGAATTGCTACTGAAATGAACAGGTAAAGAAATTATTTAAATAAATAACTCTCTGAGGATTCAATTTCCTGGAAGCAAATAGCAGCTGGGGGTGGGGATTTCCAGGAGGAAACTGGTGTAGGACCACCATTCAAATCAGGAGCTCTTTTTAGATTATGGTGCTCTGACTGCTTTTTCTTCAAAGAAAAAATATCTCGTTTAAGCATGAACAATATGCAGTTTAGCCCTAACGATCATTCACAGTAGTGACAGTAAGGAATAGGTAAGGTACAGGACTCCTAGGTGGTTAAGTCCAGTCAAAGGCAACTATGGGGTGCAGCACTCACCTTGCTTTAAGGCCAAGGGAGCTGGCGTTTGTCCAGTTTTCCAGGTCGTGTGACCAGCATGACAAATGCTTCTGGCGCAACGAAACACCGTGACGGAAACCAGAGTGCATGGAAATGGTGTTTACCTTCCCGCCGCAGCAGTACCTATTTACTTGCACTGGTGTGCTTTTGAACTGCTGGGTTGGCAGGAGCAGAGACAGAGCAACAGGAGCTCACCCCGTGGTGCAGATTCGAACTGCCAACCTTCCAATTGGCAAGCCCAAGATGCTCAGTGGTTTAAACCACAGCACCACCCACATCCCTACAGTAAGGAATAAAATGATGTGTAATGGAAGGGGGAACTGTCATTATTCAAGCCTAGAATGCAATCAAATCGTCGCTAAATTCTAATCCAGCAACCGCACACTGACAAAAGATCTTGCACCCACTTAATTGCATTTTATTATAGCACAGACTTTCATGGACAGATGTGTCTGGCCTCCATGATTAGCCTTTACTGTATGCATTAGACTAACTCTAACCAGTACATTGTTTTTTAGCACACCTGCCCTGCTGCTGTAGTTTTTAATTAATCCTTAGGGATAAATTAGATGGAATAGCAGCAGACCTGGATGTCAAAGGGAGAAGGGGAGCATAGTACACAGGATACCCTCATTTCCATGGGTACTCCTATTGCTTCAGCCTGAAAAAATAACCTTGAAAACTGTGGGTGGGTGGGAAAGAAAACAGGGCAGGCAAGGGTTAATTTAGCCCTCAAATGTTTTAAGTCCTTCCCTCTTCTTACACATCCCAAATGCCCCAAGTTGTACCCTCTGGCAGCAAAAGTAATTGGGAGTAGTCTCATTTGCCATCTAAATCCAGGATGTTAAACCTTTAGAAACAGTTAAAGGAATTCATGTTAAGGAACATGGCTGCCTAGAGCAGCCAAGAGGAAGTGCCTTTTTCTGTACCCATCTAATTTCAAGAGCCGTTGCATTTACAAAGAGATTGATTAAATTTGTAAAACTGGCACTATTTGTCAAGAGCTGCTGAAGAGCAAGGCAACTCTGGATTAGGATATGTCAGTACATGGCTTATGAAGTTTTATTCGTTTAGAAGAGATGTTTGGGGAATCTTTACAATAGAGGTGAACATGACAGGAGCATTTTTGTTCCCTTATTATAGTTCTGTGTATAACTTCTCTCCGTTTTATGGTATTTGCTTTTTCTTGTTTGAATATCCAGAATTACAGGCAGGCATGGTTTTGTTTTGTTTTTTAAATATTATAGTAAGAAATTGTGGCAGCATTATATTTTTCTATTGCCAGACATTACTTAATGCAGTAGTAAAATAGAAATCTCTTCCAAACTAATTCTCTAAAATCCTAGGCCACCTTGAAGATGCCTATGGTAGAATATAAGAGGTAATGACTATGGGACAAATGGCTTTGAATGGACCTTGTGAGCAGACCCAAAACAGCCTATCAAAATTACAAAGACTAACCCATTTGATCCCATCATAATAAGATTATCTGATTAAATGAGCTCTTAATTCATTGAAATTTATGCCAGAATAAAATTTGCCAGTTTTAAGGTGCCACAGGATTTTGACATCAATGATTGCCAACGTGCCATATCCAGAGTAGTAATCATGTTGACTGCAGCAAAAACAGATTGCATTTTATCAAGCAAGGCTGCAATATAGTATAGTGAAGAGAAAGATTAGGTGGAAACTCTTACAACAGGAATTGGGATTATTATTGTGTATACTATCTTAGGGGCAGTACTGGCACATCCCCAAATAAGTGGTGAATTTTGTAATGCAGTTCAGTACCCACAAGGACATCCATCCATCCCCATTGCCAAAGAGCATGCACTGCTGTAGCTTCATCAACATAAGCCCACGCCCTTGTGGCTCAATAGCCACTTGATCAGTTTATTAGCAGGTATTATTGCTACCCTCCCCAGGTGGTGGTGTGACAGATTCGAAACTCAGCAAAGTCTCTGGAACAATTATTGGAAAAGTAAAACCACACAAGCAGCAGCAAAAAATGTTAATGCAACCTTTATTATACAGCACAGCACTTCTGTGCATTCTACTCTCTATTAAAACAGACTTTCATTATAGCACTAAATGAAGTCTTGACCCACAGTCACGTCTCTTAAAATACACGTAATGGGAGGAGGGGCTGCAGTGGAGAGTAAATTAGTATTACAGAATACAAGGGAAATATTTTTCTCAATCATGTCATTTTCCATGTTATTGCACTTTTCCTATACAGTTGGTAAGTTTGTTACCTTTGCCTTTAACACTAATATACATGTTTTTTAAAAAATAAAAGTAGTACAAAAATCTATAGGCATTACAATGGAACTGTACAACTCTTAACTCAGGTTTCTACCTCCCCCAATAGCCAAGTTGTAACAGTTGACCATCAGTTTAATAGAACCAAAACAAAGGGAAGCATTAGAAGTTCAAGAAATACAGTGCTATTTAAGCCCCTGAGGGAGTTTTAAATGCTGCTGTGCTCTTATTCTCTCCCTGGAGGGGGAAAAATCATAGTATTAAAATTTAAAAAATAACAAAGCGAGGACAACTGGCCAGGAGACCAGTAGATACAGAGAAGGCATTATGTACATCTCTAAAAGTGAAAGCTCAACAGAGAACCACATTAGATTGGGATCCAGTACTGATGGTCCTTCCATTAATGGCAGTCGCCCTACAAGAGCCTACATTCAAGCAGCTTCTAAGCCTCCAAATACTATCCAGGAGGGAAGGGGCTGAGAGAAGGATGAACACAAAAGTGCTAAAAAAAGATAAATAGAATAGCTTGCACTTGAATTCAACAAGCTAGAAGGGCTTGCATTGTATAATCAAGTCACTAGAAGTACTACAGATGGAGGAAACACACACAAAAATGGTCAGTTGCCAAACAAAAGCTCCCATAATCCACTGCACTAGGCAGCAATGTGATAGACAGCAGCAATGCACTAGCAAGCTGAGGGCAACACTCCAGCATCGCAACATGGCAATGTGACATTGCATTCAAGCCTTGCTTTCACTCATGTGAATCCTATGTAGTGTTTGCATCCAGAGCCTAAATTGGCCACAATATCCAAAGCAGAAATAAGTAGCCTAGCAATTGGTCAGCTTTGAATAGCTCCATCTTTGAACCATGAGCTACTAGCACCACTATGGATTCCTCCAGCTCTGCTTTCTGTAAGTATGCTTGTTTTTGTAAACTAGTTTGATTTATCATGTTTCCAACTCTAAAGAAACCTCTCTTTTGGAGCACCTGCTTTAGCCATCCAGTCAGTGGCAACCTGTAAACGTTGCATAATACAGTTTAGTAAACAAAGTTTCCTTTTGGGTACAGAACAAAGTGGGTAATGAAGTTAACTTAAGAGGCAGGTGGGGAGTGAAGAGGTATTTTGCAGTGCATAAGATAGTTGTACGTGAGCACAACAATAACTTTATTTTTAAAACAACAACAACCAGGAGTTGCTTCTAACAGATCTTCAGTTTAATGCTTTTTGTCAAGTAACTGGAGTGGGATCGCAGTGATAGATGCTCTGCACTCACAGCTGGCCTGAATACACAGATAGCCACCATTACCCCTACCATAATACCTGGTAGTGGCATCTGTTTGCCTCTATTGAAACAGCTATGAAAAATTTTAGTGTGTTCAAAATACATGCTTCTTAGGCCACAAGGGTGGTAGCAACGTAGAGAAAGCACACAGCATTGCCAAATATGAACAAGGGTGCATGTTTTAATCGAAGTCAAATGTGCTTTAACTAGAAGATCTTTAGACGACACAATACCCATCTCTTCCCTCTTGTGAGGTATGTCAGGGGGGCTGTGAAATCTGATTCAGAGCTGCTCAGAATAATTAAAATTTATGCCTAACAAAGGAGCACATGCATGGTTGTACATTGGGAAAGGTGTACTGAGCCAGAGGTGTCCATGGGGAAGACAGTCCTAGTGGAATTTGATACAATACTTTAACTCAAGTTTTCAAAAAGGCACAGGGTATTATAGAATAAGGAAGTGGCTGTTTGGGAAAAGCTATACAAGCCGTTTTCAAATAGTTTTATTCATTTTAATTTTACATAAACTATATACTTCCAAAAATACTGACCTAGACCCTTCCTAACTCTAAACAAGGTCACTAGCCACTGTAGCACAGAGTAAATGGGTATGAAATGAGTAATACTGTCAAATGAGTGGAACAGTGGCCAAGCTAGCACATAAGTGACATTTCTAATATCTATTTGAGAATATATGTGCTTTTTTGTGAGCATGGTTGGCAACCGTCGCTGCCCATTCAAGTTGCCAGATGCTACAATTTGTAGACAGAAGTGCGAATACAGTTTAGATCACCACATAGCAATGAATGCCCATTAAGTAAAAAGCAATCATTTTAAAAGCACAGTTTCATTTTTATTGCACACAGGAAGGGTTCATCTCGGCTGGGCCAGTAACATTGCAAGGTCACTTTTGTCTCTAGTAGTCTATGTAAACAGGTAAGAGGCTGTAATTCTGCTTTGTGCAACAGAAGCAATGGACTGTATGTTGCATGTTTGATTGGCTTTGTATAGCGCACACTGAATTATCCTATGATGATGAAACCAGTGCATGCCTCATTGTGTGGAAGAAGGAGAATAAGGTTTCGCCCTTCATTCTCCAAACACAGGGGAGAAAAACTTTGACCTTACGCCAGTTGCATTCTCCAGCTCATCCCACACCTCTCCTCAAAACATTGTTGTACTAAGAAACTAAGTCTTGCACAAACAAATGCAAACAAATCTTTCTCTCGGGGTGCGTCAAGTACATGAGAAAGAGCCCTTCATTTTGCAGGACTCTGGACTGTCCTCCCCATGTGCTCCCTGCAATGGATTCCTAAATTAACATAGTCTAACACAGCCAAACAACAAACCCTAAAGAAGGAAATGGTCAGAAATAGCAATCATGCACATCTATGGAATGATCTTGGGTCTCTCTTAGGTATTCTCCAAGGGAATGGCTTAAAAAAAGTAGCTGAAGAAATATTTTAAAATGCCTGTCAATAATTAGTTTAAAACAGTCACTGCCTTTATACTTGGGTTCAAAGCAAGAAAGCTGCTGTAGTTAAAAACATGGCCTGCTAGTTGTCCACTGGGTACAGGCAGTAGTTAGTTACAAGCAATTTATGTTTCGATTTCTGTATGTGCAGAATCTTTTTTGGTGGAGTACCCATCTTGCTGTAAGGTTGTAAAAATAAAAATAAAAAGGCCATCTTTAATCAGATGTTGCAAAAATTGCTACTAAGCGTTTACCAAAAAGAGCTTGGTTCACAAGATAAAGCACAGGTAGCTTATACTTTTTTTAAAGGGCATTTCCATTGCAGTGTGGCCTTCCCCTCAAGAGAATGGATGCTTTGATCCTTCCATGTAAACATACCAAGTACTATGAAGTTAATATTAGCTTAACACCCCTCAGAATCCATGCTAAGAATAGCTGGAAAACCGATCCTATGAAAGAGATACTACTTTATGTCTTCCAATAATCCACATTCATGTGTGTGACCTTGAAGGGAGCCATTGCAGACACATAGCAGACTGAAGCTAGGGATGCAGATGTGCTGGCTGCCCCAGTTATGAAACATACAGTGCTTTCTTCCTTTTACTGGAATCTGAGGGGGATAAGCAAAATCCTTTCCAGACAGCAAGGCCTGAATTTCCCATCTTTCTTGCTTTTTAAGGGAAGAGGGAAGCACTAGCAACTTGCATTAGTAGTGTATTGGGGATGAATGTCCCTGGCTGCTATATGAGGTGGAATTTCGGTATCGTCTCACCCAAGCGCTCAATTTCTGGCCAGTCTCTCTTCAGAAAAGCTACCCTCTTGAGCTGCCCATGCCAAAGTGGGGGCCGGCATTCTCACATAATAGAACAGTTCCTCCATGGCTTGTTTTTCAAGTAGAGTCATCTAATCCTTTATTCAACGGTGCTGAGTTTGACCCGCAAAGCCTGTCCATTATGTTCTGCAACGTGGGCTGGACAATGCCCAGTAGCGGGCGCTGAGAAGGGTCTCCATCCCAACAGGCTTCCATCAGCTGCCAGCATTCCTCATCAAAAATGCGAAGGCGTTCAGGGCGTACTCCTGGACAAAAAGGAGAACATGGTTAATTGACTGAAAAGGAAAATAATTCATTTGATCTTTGCTACTTCAGCTTTAATTACACTGGTCAGAGGCATAAGCTGCTTACCTGGCCCATCTGGAAAGAAACCAGACGTAAGCTTCCAATTATGGACAAGGCTCTGAGTCAATACAGTGGTGCCCCGCAAGACGAATGCCTCGCAAGACGAAAAACTCGCTAGACGAAAGAGTTTTCCGTTTTTTGAGTCGTTCCGCAAGACAAATTTCCCTATGGGCTTGCTTCGCAAGACGAAACGTCTTGCGAGTTCTTGCAAGTTTGTTTCCTTTTTCTTAAAGCTGCTAAACCGTTAATAGCCGCTAAGCCGTTAATAGCCGCTAAGCCGCTAATAGCCGTGCTTCGCAAGACGAGAAAACCGCAAGACAAAGCGACTCGCGGAATGGATTAATTTCGTCTTGCGAGGCACCACTGTACACACATTATTAATATGTATAAATACTGACTTACACAAAGTAGGGTGCACTGGAAAGGTATGGCCCCTTACTCATGGAAACTGCTGTTGTGACCACGAAAGTGTTGCCAGCATTACACTGTTCACATGAGTTGACCACTTATAAGCCGTTTTTCATATGTTGTAATGGTTCTGAAACCTAAAAATTAACACTTCGAAACATGTCAAGGCTGCAGCCCCAAGCACACTTACTTGGGAGCAAATCCTACTGAGGAGACATGTATAGAATTGCACTGCTTAGTTGTACTACAGGTGCTAGTCCTGTTTTTTCATGAGATACTACGCACTGTAATTTCCACAACTACCATTATCCATAAGGCAGGGAAGCTTTCAAATTAAGTAAAAATTTCATCTTGGGAGGTCATGTTTGGGGAAGCTTGAAAATAGGCATGAAGTTAAAAGGGTACATTTTAATAACAAACGGAACTATGCAGGAGGCTCCACTAATTTAGGTAGCAACTAATAGAGCCCATTGTTCAAAGAGTGAAGCATGTTCACAGAGATTCCCAACACTCCAAGCACTGCAAATTCTCAAACACTTTAAGGGGATTTAAGATATCGCTGGGTGGTGGTTTTTTTTAAAAAAAGAAAACCACTTAAGCATTAGTCATGCATGCATGTTTTTGAAAGAATTAGATTGCTGTTGCCTTATTCCAAGAAAGTACTGATTATATCTAGTTTGAAGATCTTTAGATGTCTCATTTCTATACGAACATAATACCAAGAGTTGAAATCCTGGTTCTCTGTCAACCTCTGGAACAGCAGATGAAATTAAGTGTTGTCATTCGTATCTGGCCTATATTTCTGTCATAGCCCTCAAAGCAACTTATAGACTCTTGGGACAGTTAGTTCTAAACAAAGGTACTCTTTATGTTACAGGACCTTCCTTAAATCACACACGCTATGCTTTGCAGTGCAATTCTAAGCATGTTTACTCAGAAGCAAGTCTTCCTGGGCAGTTTTAAACTGAAAAGATCCACTAGTGCAAGGACTTTGGGCTGTGCAAAGGAACTTCGCCTCCATAACTCTGTTCTGGGTTCCTCTCCAACTCTCCGGAGCAGATTGAGGGAGGGGAAGTTCCATTGTGCAAGAAAAAAATCTGTGCACTAGAGCAGATCTATGTAGTTGGATAGCGCCCACCAAGTTCAGTGCAGCTTACTCCCAGGTAAGTGTGCATAAGACTGCAGCCAGAATTTTTATATGTTCTAAGCTATCAACAGTAGCCTAGAAACCACAGACTAAAGGAACTGCTCATTCTCCCATTTCTCTCAGCCCACCTTATCTGCTTCAAGTTTTCAGTTGCTGTGAATATAAAGACAACAGCACCAGGAGATGCAAAGACATGAGCACTCCAGTACTAACTTATCTAGCTTCTGCTGAAAATGCAGAGGGTGTAAAGATTTAGTCAAATGGCTTATTCACTTAGGACAGTTGATCCAAAAGGATTTAGTCAAAGCAAATTTCTCTATGCAAAATTGCTTCAAATGTTGGAAGTCTGCTACAAAGCAGCTCACTGCACTGGAGCTCTTTGTGCCTTCTTCAGCCTTGTTTAGGAACAGCAGTTGCACAGCACTGAAGGAGGTTTCTGAAGCTGCCATGAGTTTCAAGGGCTGGCTTGTGTGGCAGCACAGAGGACTGTGGTCGGAAGAAACAGACCCCAAAGCTCCACCACGAGAGCAGATCTTGACATGCGGTCATTTAGATTAGGAACTTTAGATATAGTCTCCATCCCTTCACAACACTGCATTATGTGTTATGCCTACCTCTTCGTACATTGTTCCAAAGGTGGTCCTTGCTTGCACATCTCTCAAAAGCCTCTGGTAACTTGACTTGACCCGAACAGATGTACCAGAACAAGATGCCAAATGCATATACATCCACAGAATTATCATATTTCCCTGTGGCAGATGAGCAAGAGATACTGGTTGAAGACTAGAAAGCATAAGATAGTTGTCAGGAAAATAGCAGCACACTGGGTCACTGGGGACTCCAACACAACCTAGAGCTTAGTTAAGGCAACTTTATTTTCAGCAAGTATACTATTCTTAAATGCTCCTGCTTGGGACAAAAGCACACTCAAATGCTTTCCCCACACAAGTCCACTGGATCAAGTGAGGCGCCACCGTGCCTTTGATGCTCTGGTGTTCATCCTGGAGCCTGATGACAGTGACAGTTCCTTCTCATCTGATCTTGTGGACTCATATGGGAAAAATATTAAGATGTTCTTCAGGGGTGTGGCACTCGCCATACAGCTACACAATACAGTGGGAGTTAGCTACACAGTTTGTGGAGAGGAGAAAGGGATATCCTATCGCTAGCACTTAATTAAATCATTTCCTATATGTGCCCCATAACAACCACCAAGGATCAATACCAAGGGCACCTTTAGTTATAACATTTGTGTCAGTTCAACCATATGAGCACGAAGAGGTATTCTCTGTAGCCATCCCCACCAAATTAGGGAAAATTCCCCCTCCAGGTAGACTTGCTGAAGTCCAAGTGTGAGCACTTTTTGTAAGCTTTGTAAGAGCTGTTTGGGCTTCATGGTTTGAGCTGGTCTTTTAATGTGATGCAATTTTACTCTGGTTTGCTAAGGGTTTATGTTGATTGTCCATATCCACCCTGGGTCTTCATAATGAGGCAGGTTATAGAATAGAGGGCCCAGCATAACTAATCCTTTAACAAAAATAAATTTGTAACAGGACAGAAGTATTGAAGCATTCATTTGGGACAAGAGAGATTCAAAGATAAGAATTAATTTATCTAAGGATATTTTGATCTGCAATCCAACATCTACCTGTTTCTTCATTGGTAATAACCCACCCAGTTCAATGTGTCGTATCTCCTTGAAAGTATACTCCTCCCCTCCCTGAGGATACATGCATGTATCTGCCAAACTTCCTGGCAGAAGCATCCCTCTAACTGTACACATGTAGACTTGTTGTCTTAAGGGAATGGACCTCAAATTCTTCATGGCTAACAGTCCATAGGGAGATCTATGATAAGTTTACCTGTGAAGAGTTCAGGAGCCATATGGATAGGGGTCCCAACAATACTGCCGGACATCATCGCCTCAGGTTTGCAGAATCCCAGGTCTGTGATTTTAGCTCTACTGTTTTTATCAAGCTGTAAAGGATACAAACTACTCAAACCCAAGCCTCAAGACTTATCCAAAAGAGAGCAACATGTCATCACTGTAGTACAAGTGTCTTCTACAAACAATCCCAGCTAGCACATTATTAATGTATTTGCTGAACCAAGCTGAAGTTCATTATCTAGCCGAGCACAAAAATGATCACCAATTTCTTATTTTGTTTTTTCTTATAATTTTGGGTTACCTGATGCTGTCCTGGAGATTCCTAGCTAACGACCATAGATACACCTAATCCTTTATGAAACAGTAACAGTGTAAAAGTAGTCCTCTAAACTAACTGCCATCACCACATCTTGTGAAAATGAAAGTCTGAACAGATGAAGGGTATATTAGCCTTCTGATCATTCAGAGGATCAGAAAAGATAGCTCTTTGTTACTCCAGTCAATTTTACTCTCGCTGAGCTCCCTTTAGATATGCCTCAGTTTCTGATCTTTCCCCTGGGTTTAGCTGTGATCGGGTATGGTTGTCTTTTCTTTATAAGGAAATTTGTCCAGTCATATGAAAACCTAGATATTCTTGAGTTTCTGGTTCAGCACTTGAGTCTGTCTTTTTGGGCAGCACCATTGTCCTTTGGTGTTCTATATACAGCAAAGTACAGGTTTTGTGCTTCACAATGGCAGCAATCACTTTTGCTCGTGCCTTTCCCCCCCCGCCTTTTGAAAAAAGTGCTTTTTACATTTTTAAGAAGTTATAAAGCAGAGAGACAATTCCAAGGAATGGTTTTAACGAGGCCATTATTTATGTACTGATGTCTTGTTCCATTTTAGCAAAGAGAATGATGCTCAAGGCAAAAAGCTATCCCTTACCAATACATTTTTAAGTTTGATGTCTCTGTGAACGAGCCCCTGGCTGTGAAGAAATCGAATCCCTTCTACCACATCCAAGGCAATCTGCAATCTTATCTCCAATGTCAACTCAGCCTGAGGGGAAAGTGGGGGAAAAACCTTATTATCGATCCCTTAATGGGATTCACATCTATGGTTATTAGGCAGTGCTTCTTGCCTAAGATGAAGCAACTCCAACAAAACAGATCCTTTAACATTGTTTCTTCCTTAAACAAGCGGGTCAGAGAGTAGTTCTGCTGCTATTGTCTTAATCCGTTCTACTGAAGCATACAGTTCTAGTCCCACAATGGTAGCCAGGTTCAGGTGTTGTATGCACTCTCTCTAATGAAATATATAACAATATAAAAAAATGCCTTTACAGTTGTACTTGTGATCAAACCATCAACCCTAGATTTTACCTGCTGCTAACCAAAAATGTAGTAGGGCTGAGGTTGGAAGGTGAAGAAGAGACTATCTGATCTACCAATAGTCAGGAACAATGCGAAGGGAGCATAGCTGCCAAAATTTTAAAGCCAAATTATCAGAACATACTAGAATACTAAACTTATCAACTTATCTATGGATAGGCAGTTCACTGCCCAAGGCAGTAGCTTCTGTATTCTCTAGAGACTCCAAGAATGCAGAAGTATATTAGCTTGTAAGTTAAAAGACGTGGGGGGGGGGGGGGGGCGGAAACCAAGCACAGTCCAAAGAGGACTGAGCATCCTTACTAGCTTTCCAGAACTATGGAATAGTGAAGGTGTCATGGTTTGGGGGAGCGAGGGATAACAGGAGAAAATTGACCTGCTTGAACCTTTAACAACTTATAGTAGCCACGGTGGCAGTTTGGGTACATGAGTGAACCCCTCCTCACTGCAATACACAGGCTTCAGGAGGCAAAAGGAAATATGCCATTGCCTTTTATAACTCTAAAGTCTTCGCCACCCTGTAATATACCGTATTTTTCGCCCCATAGGACGCACCAGCCCATAGGGCGCACCTAGGTTTTTTTGGGGGGGGGAAATAAAGGAGGAAAAATTATTTGCCCCCCCCAGGCGCGGGGCTGGGTCGGGGGAAGCCCGAGCTTCCCCCGACCCCAGCCCCCAGAACAGGCAGCTCTCCGCAAGCCGTGGGAGCCCAGCGCGAAGTTGCACCGGGCTCCCACAGCTTGCGGAGAGCTGCGCGAAGCTCGAAGCCTGGGGCGGCTGAGCTCAGCTCGCCCCAGGTTTCGGGATGCAGCCGGGAGAGGCTGCGCGCGGATATGGCAATACCCCCACCTCCCGCAAAAGCCCCCAGGAGCCGCGCACCCTTTAAGGAGCACGCGGCTCCTGTGGGCTTTTCTACGAGGAGGGAGAAGGGACTGACTGGCCGCATCAGTCCCTTGTCCCTCCTGAGGAAAAGCCCGCAAGAGCCGCACGGAGCTTGTGTGCGGCTTTTGGGAGCTTTTCCTGCCTGCCTCCCCCCTGCATTCGCCCCATAGGATGCACACACACTCCCCTTCATTTTTGGAGGGGGAAAAGTGCGTCCTATAGGGCGAAAAATATGGTAGCAATATAGAGCTAACCCAAGTGCATTAGCACTATATAACACAGTTGGGGAATATTTCAAGTGGGTAGGAAACAAAAAGCCTGCAAAAACCTCCCCTCCCACAAGAACCCCTATAGCCTTGCAAGGCTTGTGTTCCATGCTGGCTAGAGGCCTGAAAAGGAGTACTTGTGTTATGAGTTGGGGATACTCTGCAACTTTTTTATTATCTCCACTAATTCAAATATACTGAAAAGCACACTTGTGCATAGAAATGAAAAGCTACCAGAAATGAACAAATATTTACACTGTCCATTTTCCATTTAATTGTTTTAATTCCTCACCTTTAATCCTGTATAGAGGTCTCTGTGCAATTGTTCCATTATCAGTAAAACAGCAATGCTGGAACCTCCACCGTACCCATAATCTATCACTGATCCATGAAGATCTACCAACCGCTCATGCTTTGGTAAAGATCTGGAGAAAGATGCAGCACAAGAGTCAAGAATAATGGATTTATGTCTTCTAAGGAGATAAGGCATTTCCCCCCAGTCCCCTGTTCTACGAAAACATACAAGGCACACACCATTATTTCCAAATGACTATTCATGTTAACAGAATAACTGTGCAAGCTAGATACGCAATAGAAATGTGCAGTTTCAAGATATAGCAAGTACCAGCTTTCCCCAACTGCTGCACTTCCTAGGTGTTTTTGAACTGCAACCTTCCTCATCCCAGGCCATTTACCATGCTAGCTGAGGCTGATGGGAGTTGTAGCCAATCATCGAGAGGGTGCCATATTGGAGAAGGATGACATAGGCAACCTAATTCTTCAGAGTATGAAGACAAGTATCAACTCAACATCGTTATTTTATATTGTCATGGTTTCAGTTAAGGTGGTTCCAAATAGCCCTTTGTGCATACATGAGAGGAATTTTGTGTCAGTCATCGGACTCTGTCAAACCACTGCTACAAAATATAGTTAAGCTGCCGGGTTAATGTATGTTCATTACGGAAGAGCTTAATGCCACCTACCTCATATAGTGAAACTCAAGTGCAAGGTCATTCCAGTGCTTCTCATCTGGTGGAACAACAGATTTGAGGGCACAAGGGAAGTGGCCCCCCCAGGCATTGCACAAGTACACCACTCCATACTGCCCTCGGCCCAGCTCACGGCCTAGCTTTGGTTTACCTGAAATATAAGCACCTGCTTGTTAACTTGCTTTCTCTTTTTATTTTATTTTTAGCCAATTATTTTTTACTGATTTCCCATAATTTTTATTGTCAACGTGTTTTCTATGTCCCTCCCCAGTAGCATGAATTCCTCAGGATTCATTCCCTCAGTGTGTCTGGAACAGTACAGAACAAGTCTCATTGTTTCCTAAGAAAATTCTGGAAAGTCATCAATAAAATGAGATGTGCAGACAAGGCACTGCTCACCATGTAACAAAACATCCTGCAAGGACCTGCTTTCCAGTGAGAGGCGGGCAAGACGAGGGGCATGGTCTTTTCGCACCTTCAACCAAAGATCTTCTGTCTTCTCCAGCCTGCCCGAGTGGCCAGCCTCTAGCTAACAAAACATAAGGCCAAATTTAAGTAAGGTTTTGCTGTCCTGCTGGTCACACCTAGAACTGAATTTCCAAAACTGGCTCCCCTATTTCTTCTTTGCTAAAGAATGAAACAGGTTCTCAGTTTAAAATGTTTGTTTTGTAGAATATTCATTTCCATGGATTATAGAATCACAGAATTCTAGAGCCGGAAGGGACCACAAGGGGCATCTAGTCCAACCCCCCTGCAGTGCAGGAATCTTTTTGCCCCAAACACCTGCATATTCATGTGATGATAGCCCATGGAGAATGTGCTAGGACATATTCTCTTTCTAAGCTGCTCTTCTGGGGAAAAGGCATATAACATTTTTTTCCTTGTGAATAAAACCTCTATAAACTACATGGATGGAATGCTGTGATAAATGTTCCCTTTGTGACGCATTTCAGCTTGCTAGATGAAACAATTTCCCCTCTCCTCCTTTCACACACTGTTCTGTGGGTTCCCCAAACCCCGCAGAACCAATTTCAGAGGGTGTAAAGATGCACAGGAGGATTGGGGAGGAAAGCCTTATCGCACTAGTGGAAGCCGTTAGGTAAAGAGCTCATTAGGAGAATCCTGCCCTAAGATTTTCAGGTCACGTTCTTCGAATATATTGCCCAACATGGGGCTTGAACTCACAACCCTGAGATTAAGAGTCTCATGTTCTACCAACGGAGCTATCCACAGCCCTTGTGTTGCCTCATTAGTTTAGCAAAACTATATAAAAAGGTGCAGCTTCCCATCAACAGAGGTTTATAGTACCTAGGAAGGCAGAGAAAAGGCAGCACTCTCGACTTCTCCATAGGTTTTAGAGACCACCACTATAGCTAGCTTACTTAGTTCTTTAAAGCTCAACATGACACCGCCAAAAAAGGCACATTCTCAGGCACTTTTGTGAGCTGGAGAATGAACCCTATTGTGTGGACACTTCCACCTCTATCACCACTAAAATGCCCCTAGAAGAAGCAATTGTAATAATGACCCAATGGTCCTCCAGTCCCATAGAACAAGAACTGCTAGTGCTTTTATAGCCATTTTTGCCCGTCTTAAAAAGTCAGAAGAAACAGCAGAGCACCTGTGTGGCTTCTGCTTCTTCTTCCTTTTTTTAGTGGCAAGGAGTAGAGAGGGGATAGGCAGGCAATTGCCAATTATTTGAAAAATGGTTAAGTTTCATCTAAAGAGAACTGCGATGAACAACAATCCAACTGACCTGTCGCAGGGAAGCTGCAAAAGCATCATGAGAAATGTATAGTCTTGTTCGGAACTGGCTACAGATGCTCTTGGCCAGCCTTGATGCGCTGAGACTCTCAATAGCATCCTGAGCTACTTTCCTTTTCCACTCTGTGGTGATAGCTGGTGGGCTCACCCAAGTAATCCGCTGTATTATCTAATAAGACATATGTCTCATTGTCAAAACTCAAGCATTAAAAAGTCTACTTTCAGTTTCACCTGCCCAAGGTAGGGCATGTGATGGTATTTCTTCTCTCCCCAGCAACTTGCCATGTGTCCCCCAAACCTTCACAGGAGGGTTGTGAGAGAAGAATAGAAACAGCACACCCAGTTGTGTAAGTAAATTTCTGCTGTGCAAGCAGGTAGACATCATTAGATGTCACCCACCATACAGGCCAAATAACAAGAAAATCAGAATAATGGGGAATGAGAGAATGAGAATACAAGTTGTTTGCAACTGTGGTATGGGTATGTGGGGGATATTGCAGCATTTTTACCACATTCTTCAGCTGAAAATGCTCCCAAAGCCACTGACATTCAGTCAGTTTAAACAGGATGGCCTGCAGGTTTATAAAAACAAACCAGCACACATAAAAAAATACAACATACAAGGAAAAAGGAAGAGGAAAGGAGGAGGAAAAAAGCAAAACCATGTGCCAATTCTTAAACAGTAGTTCTTGTAATGACCAACTAGAATGGAGATTCTTTATGGAGCTGGAATTTCAGCAGAGCTGATAGAATAAGCCCTGCTTATTCCAGCTTGCTGGAATGGCTGCTAAGATGTCAGTTGAGGGATAGAGAGACTCAAAGGATGGTACAGACAAAGGCAGATCTACCAAAGATAAGGTCCCATTACAGTTACTAGGAGAGAGCTTTTACTATCAGAATATTTAATACCTGCTTGATTTGTTCCCATAGCATTCTAGATACTGTTGAACCGGAGTGAAAGGTGATCTCAACATTGTAGGCTGCATTCAGTATCTATAAGCAGAAAATATATAAAATAAGCCACTGAAAACTGAAGGAATTGCTTATTCGGTAGATTAAGCAAACTAATATAATACCTTAAAAGCAAGTGTCTTCATTTGTAATCTGGAAGAATTGCAATGAGCTCAAATTCTTTCCTTAAATTACAACTTAAAGCAAAAATCTGTTTGGCGCCATAACACAAAAGATATCAAATTATTTTACCAATTCACTTTGTCACCACTGATTACAGGCTACAGCCAACATTCTAGAAACTGATCTGCAATACCAGGTCAGTAATTTTGTGTTACTTTTACCTGCTTTAGATAGTTGCTTGTGATATGTACTGTAACATCTTGCTGAGATTTCTCCAGACTCTTCAGACATCTTTCCAGAGTTCCCACAAAGCTCTCCCGCAGATAGTCCACAGAATTTATCAACTTGTTGGCAACTGCTTGGTTTAACCGTGATATTATCAGTTCTTGGATTTGCTTAATGCAACATTTAACATCTCTGGAACTAATAGGCTCTCCATTTTCAGGAACTATAATATCTAGAGGGAACAGAAGGAAATCCAGGATTGAAAAGAAGCATAATTTCACAATTCTAGCATATTAGCAGCCACCCAGAACTAGTGTAAAGTAAATTTAATGACTAAAGTGCAATGAAAGCCTCACTAGCTGGACTGGATTGGTTCTGAAATATTGCAATAAATTAATCACTTTGATCCTTTGATGTCAATGGGGAGCTAAGCATTGGCTTACATCTTTCCAATTTAGTTCAGTGTGACAAGATATAATCTTATACCATGTACCTGGGAATAAGCCCCACTGAATGCAACAGGATTCACCTCTGAGTAGAAATATATAAAATTGTGCTGTTTTAAGTGTTTATACCCAGGTTGGGTCACACTTTTGATTACAGTTATAAAACTGTATTCAAGAGATGTTTACAAGCTTTTAAGACAATCCAATCTTGTTCACTTGGATACAAATATCTGCAAAGTTTGACATTTTAGATAAACACATTACGCTACTCTATGCTGACATTCTTTACAGATTATTGGGGGGGGGAAATCTGATGAAGAATTTCACTATACAACGGCTTGCTCAGAGTTGAAGTGCATGCACGCAGCAGGTGAAAGAAGTTGAAAACAGAGGTAGCTGACCCACAGCCTCCAGTTCTTGTTGGACTAAACCCCTCATCGTCTCTGACCACTGGCCATGCTGACTAATACTGATAGGAGTTGGAGTCCAACAACATTTTTAAGGCTTTTGGTTTTTCCGGAAATTACCTTTGAATTCCATATTAGCAGCATCTTCCAGCAGTTCTTCTTTCATGTTATTGAGAGTCTCAATGATCATGTCCTTCATCTCCTCTTGTTTGCGGTTAGCTATGAGCATCAGAGATTCATACAGCTCGTTCTCTTTTTTCCGTGTGTACTCTAGACGCTTTGGAGTGATCTGAAGGTCTCGTTGCATATCAAAGGCCTGGTTGATGAAAATGTCCAGGCAACGGCAGTGGACTAGGTTCAAGATGGTCGCTGCATCCACCAAGCGCTGCTGCAGCACCTGCCTGGAGAAAGTGCTAAGAAGACGGATCTTATCCGATTGTTCCACCAGCATGCTCTGGGCTTTGGCATCAGAGCTGGGAGCTCCACAGCTGCAATGGTTCGTACTAAGGTAGCCTAAATCCAGCAGCTGCCGGTAAAGGGACGACTTTTCATTCTCCGCATTCTGAGGGGATATCAGTTCAGCACCCAAATTTGGCACTTTGAAAAAGAAGACGGGCAGAGAGAATTTCTCTTTAATCTCCTGCAGTTCATTCACATCCAGCGTGGAGAGTTCTGCCTCACTGATAGCAAACGTGATGACTGGAAGGAAATGGTTCACGTATTCTCCCAAAGTGACTTCGGCTGACTGGAATCCCCGACAAGGAGCTACCACAATGTCCACTTCCTATACGCAGCAAAAGCAATAGGATTTTAACATTAAGGCTGTAGCAACCCGAGCTTTGCAGGTGACACTCCGCCCATTCTTCATCTACAACAAGAAACCTCCCCTACCAGCATTCAAGTGGAATTGGAGAAAGACACAAACCACTTACATATTTCCTTTTGTTTTTAATGAAGAAATTCAGAAAATGCTTCTAAATGAGAAGAAGAAAAAATAACGTTTTCAGGGCTGCCTTTCCCAAATCTAGTGCCCTCAATATGTTTTGGACTCCCAGATCTCATGGCCAATTATCAGGGATGGTAAATTACATAACCCAAAAATAGTTGGAGGGCACTTGGGTCAGTAAGATGGTTTGGGGGCAATTTTTAAAACCCTATGTGCAAAAGGCCCTTTTTTCATTCCTATGGGTTTTATCTTTTGTTTTTTAAACAAGTGTAAGCACAGTATAGTAGGAAATACCACTCCACCCCCACCCACCCCTTGGCAATGTACACAGAGCAAACAGGAAACCAGCAACAAGAATGTGACCTAATTCTTCTAGAACAGTGGTTCCCAACTGGTGGTCCCTGGACCCCTGGGAGTCTGCATAACCTACCCAGGTGGTCTGTGGCACCACTCACATAACAAAAACTATCACACAGATATCAAAACTTTCAAAAGTAGGAGGGTCCATGGTTTGGCTTTTGAAAAATGGGGTCCACAGTACTTAGCCAATCAGGAACTACTGCCTAGAAGGCTATCCAGCGAAGCAACTGATCAGTGTTTTATACTCTCAGTGTGCCAGATAGTTAGGCCTAGATTTTAATGAGGCCATAAACCTGCATATATTCCACAACTCTACACCACTTCAGACTGCAGGATACAGGCTCATAATGGAAGGCTTTTCCGCAACACATTCTCCCAAACATCTACTTTTCTAAACAGAGGGAAGTTTCTGTACAGAGAAGCATCAGTCTAAGCAGTCATGTGCATTCTGAACTGGTACAATTGTGACATAGGTTTATGGTTATGGAAATTTAACTAGGCAGATGATGTGGTAAAGCCAAGAGAAAAATTAAGAGATATTTAAGTGAGAATTAGGCCTTAGCCCCTCCTTGAATTCAAGCACTTGCCAAGTCCATAACTTTTGAAATCCCCTCCGATGACTCCCATTCAATTAAGCTCTTTACACCATGCATTTGATATTCTGTAAATTGCCTTGTGCTTCTTTGATCCAGATATTTTTTATAAGTACATGAACAGTTAAATGCTGTAATAGCTTCTGAGATACCCTTCCTGAGTCAGTTAATATCTGCCTGAGCTTTAAGATATACAGTATTATTTTACATCAGACCCAGCAATTCATTATACACAATCCTAGGCACACTCAGCACCTCCAATATGCTTCCCAGAAGAAACCAGGAGCATGTTAGGTATTTTTCTAGCTTGTCACAGCATCTAATTTGAAGTATGTTCGATATTCTGGATAGAGAGCCAAGTAATAATAAATATGTTAAAAATAAGATCTATGCTATCAGTTATACACAAATTATGTCAGTTATGGCCAAGTATCCATAAGTACACATTTGTACAAAATTGACATCCTTGTGCCCTAAATGTCCTTCTGAGGGAACTGCTGCTTCAAATATCATCATCACTTCTTAGGCCAGCCTTGCAGCCTTAAATTACCATTATGGAAACTTAACTAGGCAGATGACTTGGTAAAGGCATAAGGAAAATCAAGAGGCATCTTAGAGGGAAAGTTGTTTTAAGCACTCATGGGGTCTGGCACATTAATCTTTTCAATATCAATTAAACAGCAAACGTTTAGATTCCCACACAAAACTGCCAAAGCTGTAGCCAAGGCATGAGCAAGATCTGTCAACAGCTGACAGAGGAATTATGATAAAAGTTATAAAGCCACTACTAATTCACTACTAGGCTTAATTTTTTTTTAATAAAAAAAAAATCCTAGCAAGTTTCAGCTATTCCATGTATTGCTAGATCCTCCCAAATTCCCTTTCTGTTACTCCCAAAACAAACATTTAACATTGGTTTGCCTGTTATGACTGTCATGGGACTCCCAAGCATGGAAACACAAAAACTGATGTGGTCAGACAAGAGTGCAAGTTAAAAGAGTAAAATTGGATGTGCAAATCAACATTCAGCATGCGAGATGACTCACGCTGATGGCAGTAAACAAAGGAGGAAACCAATGCTGTCTCTAGGAGACATAAAGGAGGGAAAAGTTAGAAAAGATATGTCTCAACTAATAAGAACAACTAATCTTGCTTAGGCAACAGTTAATGCCTTGCTGCTGGGTATTTTTCTGCTAGATAGCCTTTATCTGTGATTTCCTTCTAGTGTCTGCAGCTCCTCACAGAAGGCAGCAGAGATGTTATGCAAGAAGGTTCACCTTTAACAATAAACCCTCCAAGCTTGAAGCTCATTTTTGCAACTGACCTCTTTGATTTCCTTCATTTCACTGAAGGGAAGTACGTCAATAATCACATTTAAACATGATTTCGAGGTATCAAATTCAGTATGTACATTAATAATAATAATAATAATAATAATAATAATAATAATAATTTTTTATACCCCGCTCTCCCCAGCCAAGGCCGGGCTCAGAACGGCTTACAAGCAATAATAAAAACAAGTTGAATGATTACAACTTAAAAACAAAATTAAAATAAAACATTAAAATATTGAAACATTAAAATATTAAAACGTAGCCTCATCGCAGGAGGAGAAGGAAAGGAAAAAAGAAAGAGAGGGAGGGAATCAAATTGGCTCCAAGCCAAAGGCCAGGAGGAACAACTCTGTCTTACAGGCCCTGTGGAAAGAAATCAGATCCTGCAGGGCCCTGGTCTCATGAGGCAGAGCGTTCCACCAAGCCGGAGCCAGAGTTGAAAAGGCCCTGGCTCTAGTTGAAGCCAATCTAGCTTCCTTAGGGCCCGGGACCACTAGGGTGTTGCTATTTATGGACCTTGAGGCTCTCCGTGGGGCATACCGGGAGAGGCGGTCCCGTAGGTACGAGGGTCCTAGGCCGTGAAGGGCTTTAAAGGTCAAAAGCAGCACCTTAAATCTAACCCTGTACTCTACTGGGAGCCAGTGCAGTGAACTTTTTTAAAAAAAATTCAATGTTTAGGCATGCAGCAGTGGCTTCAGAGGAAAATAATAATCTCTAGGGCTACAACGCTTAATAGATTAAAAAATAATCAGAGACTGAATCAAAGATGCCTGATTAATCAAGCAGATTTATATTTAAACACAATGTCTACAGAGCAGCATTCAATTAGCTCATTCTGTAAGTGAACAAATTTCTCCTTGCTCAATGGAACTTCTCTTTCCCCTTCCTGCATGTTCCCCGCTGAGCAAATCCATTCTGCAGGGTTGGAGAAACCCCTAGAACAGGTTTAGAGGGCACACAGAAGGTAGCTGTTGAGTCAAATGCCCCCAAATTGTTAAAAATAATAATATTAATCATTTTGAGCTAAAATCATCAGAGCTAAAACCTTTGACAGACTTAAAGATAAAACATGCAATCCTGGTAGTCTAATTCTTTAAAGCAAAATGTTCAAAAGTCCGTTATTACATTTTGGTCTAGATGCCTGCCAAACGTAATTTCCTTAGCGCAATGTTTCAATCATTTCATCTTACTCTAGACAGGTCACCCTTACTTCATGATTCTATGCCCATGACATTCTTCCTGTATGCATGAATCTCTCACACATCTTTGTGCACATGTATACATATTTAGAAACAGCAGCTGGATAGTCTGTCTCCCAATAGTCGATTGGTCAGTCCACAACTCATAATAGGCAAGGAAGATTCACATTTGTATTGACTGGGTAAAACTAGTTCCTTCCTCTTCCAAGAGAATCCAATGTATGCATGGATGTCCAGCGACCAAGCTAATACAGTGGTACCTCGGGTTACATACGCTTCAGGTTACAGATGCTTCAGGTTACAGACTCCGCTAACCCAGAATAGTACCTCGGGTTAAGAACTTTGCTTCAGGATGAGACAGAAATTGCGTGGCGGAGCAGCAGCGGCAGCGGGAGTTCCCGTTAGCTAAAGTGGTGCTTCAGGTTAAGAACAGTTTCAGGTTAAGAACGGACCTCCAGAACGAATTAAGTACTTAACCCGAGGTACCACTGTACTCAGCTGGTTTCACTCTGCTGAGTGCTGAAATGACGCAAAAAAGAGAGGAAGACAGGGCTATTCTGAAACAGTAGAAATGTATGCTGTGCGACTAACACATGGACAGGAGAAGGCACAAGGCTCAGCCCATGGCAAAACAAAAAGCGCCTGGGGTTGAGGCTTGGCTTTTGCATCTTGAAGCAGCACACAGCAAAGGCCATTAGAAGAGAACACAGAAAGTGCAGTGTGCTTGCTCTCATTCCATTTTCTCTTGTAATTTACTTATTCTCCTTATTCCATGCAAGCTTTCTAAGCTTTCCTTTGAGTCAAAACTTTCTATTAATTGGGTCCTGCATTCTTAAGGAGTAAGAAACAGATCTGGCCAGCTGAAGTACAAGGGGGTGTCCCAACTCACCATAGGAGCAATGATCCATTCCAGTTCTTTGCAGATATCCTGAAAAGGTTCTGGAGAAGAACATAGAACATCAGGCTTCAGAGGAGCTTTTTTTTTCTGTCCCAGGGTGGATGGGATCAGAAACTAAAAGCTTAGTGGATGGCAGGTCAAAACTAGCTTGGAGGAAAAGCAGGGCAATGAAGGGCTATCCGAGAGCATCACATTTTCCCACATGGAAGGACACATCAATGATTCCTTGGTTGAATTTATATGAATTACATAATGAAACCCCACAAATATTAATGTATTAGAAGCTAAATGTCGCATAACTATATTGGGTCTTGGGCAAGCCCACACAGAGCTTGTCTGAGGCCCAGGACAGGAGTTTTGTTAGAATAAAGCTAGGAACTCAAACGAAAAAGCAGCCGGTCTGTGGCCGGCTTAGGCCTCTGAGGCCCAGGGCAAGTGAAGCTGGCTGCCCCCCACTCTGCACGGGCCTAGTCTTAAGTACCTCGCAAGGCGAATGCCTCGCAAGACAAAAAACTCGCTAGACGAAAGGGTTTTTTGAGCTGCTTCGCAAGACGATTTTCGCTATGGGCTTGCTTCGCAAGACGGAAACGTCTTGCAAGTTTGTTTCCTTTTTCTTAACACCGTTAATACAGTTGCGACTTGACTTCGAGGAGCAACTCATAGAACGCGGTGTGGTAGCCTGTTTTGAGGTTTTTAAAGACTTTGGTGATTTTTGAAGCTTTTCCAAAACTTTCCCGACACCGTGCTTCGCAAGACGGAAAAAAACGCAAGACGACAAAACTCGCGGAACGAATTAATTTCGTCTTGCGAGGCACCACTGTATGCCCTTGGCTTATTTTCTATTAAGAAAATCAGGCGTAACAAAATTAGCAGGGATCTAATGGTCAAAAATCAGTTAACTAGAAGTTAAGGAATCTCCCATCCATCTTATATATTATTCTGTAATTTATTCCAGGTCTTTGAAATTATACCTAATGGAACGCAGGTCTTTGAAATTATACCTAATGGAAAAAGAATGCACTATTAAATATATTTTCAAAACATCAAAATAGCTTTTAGTGATATTTGCAAGTAGAATAACCACAATTTCCTTTTCTCTAATAATATTTTCTTGCTGGAAAGGTGTTAGAATCTGTAAATGGACCGGAAAGTGAACAAAATGTGAAGGCTTGCTTGCTGGAAGGATTGAAAAAGGCCTACCTAGAGTTGTCAAGACTTTTTAAAATAAGGTTGAACAAAGACAGATGAAACCAGCAACAAATTTGAAGCTTTAAAAAGGCAACAAGAATATACAGATAGGGGCTTTAATACATATTGCCTCTAATCTACAGATTATTTGCCTGCAACAGTCACATATAACAAATGGTCCTAGACAGGGATGCACACCTACATCTGAATCATTGATGTATTAAAAAAGAAACTGCTTTAAACTATGGGCTTATCCTGCTAGATCGGCATACATTCATCGAAAGGTTTTAAGGAGAAGAATTTCAAGACGGTTTATATATGATAAATGATAAAAATGAAAAAGGAAGCACTTCAGAAAATACTTGAGTGGCTCTAAAAGAAGAGCAGACATTCACATATGGCAGGAATGGCTAATTAACAAAATGTTTTTTAAAAATGTGTTACAATAATGAGATACAGAATGCAGCATTTCCTATGAATGTAAAATATTCCCAATTGTGGATAACGTTTTGTGCTCCCAGACAGGATGTTGGTCTTGAACTTAATAGTTAGAACAGAAGTAGCTGCTGAAATGAGATATGTGAAACACTAGATGCAGACAGGGAGGTAACTTTCTTTTACACAGATAAGGGAAAAACCATTCTAAAACAACTGGGAGCAGCTCGCTGAATAAAAGGATAGAAGGAGAATGAAAATTCAGATACTGTACTATGAAACTGACATAAGTTCTGAAAAGCAGTTTAGTATTGCCACTTGGATACCAACTAGTTAATCTGAAGAGAATCAAAAGCTTAAGTTTATAACAGAGGTGCATATATCAATGGGAAAATAATTCTTAAATACAGAAATATGAGTGGGATGTGCAACAAAAAGCTGTTCCGTATCCTCAGCTCCTAACAGGATTCCAGAAAACCTGGAGCGGAGGGACAGAGAGACGAGAGACAAATTAAAGAGGACACCTTTTGTCTCTCCCACCCTAATGAAACTTTTCCCTACTGTTCAAGTGCTTTATTGATTCCCCTCCAGAATCTACACCTCCAGGACACAAGTTGTTGTTAGGGGCTTGAGCAGGCCAATCCACCTCTCCCCAGTTTTCTTCTCACCTCCTACTCCAACTACACACAATTACTCTCAGCATCTCCTGGTTCCTAGAGGCCACTGAACATACCTCAGTCCTTCAGCTATTTTAGTTTCACCCCTCAATTTATAAACTAGTATGTCTGCATACCAGGGGCATCAGAGCCATTCAGTAATCACTACTGTACAGTAATGTGGGCTGTCCCATTCCTCTACCAAACTGATAGGGACAGTGCTCCTAATTATAGCATTAAAAAGAATGATGCCTCTATACATTTAGATTATATCAGTATGATCGTTAAATACAAAACTGTAACGTGGCAATATAAAAATTAGGACAAAAATGAAGTCAACAGACTAGTAGTCCAACAAAACTTGGGATGTTTTAACTATGGATTAGTCCTGCAAAATCATCTCCTTTGAAATTACTGGATTCTCTTGTAGAACCTTTTAAAACTTTTAATTTTTTTGCTAACTTTCTTATTTGCTACTCATACTGGGCTCCCCTCCCTAAATGGAACTTACTATACTATTGGTAAAGTTAAATGCCCCACATGCAGGAGTATTAACTGAAATGAAGGAAGGGCTGGAGCCACAGAGTTCCTACAGATGTGAGAGAATCCTGACACAATAACTCTTTTATAAGTTCTTTCACTGATAATGGATTTAAGAGTCCGATAATTAATTTTAAGGGATTGCTGTTGTGTTGTTTTATTTTCTTAATTCTAATATGTTTGGTACTGGTGGTATATAATAGTTGTTGCTCTTCAAACCAGATTTGAAATTACAGAATTCGACAATAAATTCTATTAATTTTACAACATGCATTATTATCCTGAAGACCAAGACTGAAATTTAAGTTGTTCATTTCCTTTACCTAGCTAGATGCCTCCTGCACATCTCTATGAGTAAGGTCTAACACAGTTCTCAATAAATATGCATAGAATATATTGATATTTTCAGAGGAGATACAACATTGTTATGATTGGGTTCAACTAATGTTCAGGTTTAAATTATTTTATATTTTATTTAAAACTTAACCGTCACTCTCCACAACAGTTTTCAGTGTATTCTAAGGCCACACTAAATTTCAATAGACTTAATTCAGACTCAAAATGTTGGCTCATGGTGGTCATTAAAATGTGTAAAACTAATTGCACAAGTGGATAAAGGAACGTTAGTATTACTCTATTTCTATTTATGAATAACTTTGTAGGTGCCAGCCCTGTTAAAAATATTTCCATCTTCCATCACACTTTCTATCAGATCACATATTTGATTAATGAATACACTGTGAAAGATAGGCTATGTACACCACACAACAAACAGAATCTTTAACTATCAAACCTTCTTATCAATGCAAGAGAACCTGCCTGACAAACCGTCAGCCATCTTTTTGCATCTGATGAATGAGGCGTTTGTTTACAAAGGTCCATTTCTCAGTTCGTTAAGATTTGGAGGCTTACATAAAGCTGCCACTTATATCGTAAAGTGGAGTCTGGGATAGTGCTCAAATCTCATTCCAACTGGTTAATTCTTGCTTCTTGATTAGTCTGGCCTGCCTGACATAATTACTATAATTGTATGGTGGCAAATTTTATTCTGGAACCTGCAGTTAGTCCACTTGGTATGGATTTTAACTTCCTGTGTCACACAGAGGGGATGGCTGTGTATAATTCTATCTAGACTGCCTTTCCTTTCTAGAGCTCCCAACGAAGTAAATCAGCATTTAGATTACTGTGCAGATGTGTTTCTTACTGGCAGCCATTAAATACTACAGTAGAAACAGAACCCATTTCCTATAGCCTTTCTACTTATTCTTCCTGGTGCCATTATTCTACATAGTAAGACAATAGGATTTATTTCACAAAAAACTGTCATTAGTTTTAAAGCAATTCATTTCACTAGAAACTCCTGAATTTAAACATTTATCCAAACTTTTAAACATGAACATGGCACCAATGTTGCCCTCAAACTACAGCAGAAGAGGATTGGTGCTAAAGGACCCAAGCAAGCTGTGGTAGGTATGAAGGCTAAGGTGGGAGACAACACAATATGTTAGAATGTACAACTTATTTCCTGGCACACAATTTCCAACTCACAATTTCCATACTTTTAAAGCAATCATGGATTTGCAAAAGCCCCAATGCTTTTTTCAATTGACTTTTTAAAAATGTGGATTATGTCTGTTTTTACAATTTATACCATGCCTCTCCTTATGGTGGAAGTATTTCCTTGTTACCACTCATTGAAGCTTATAAATTATGAAATAGGAAGATCCCTCCCTGTGGTTAGATATGCAGTTTTCACATATAAGATGTAAATGTTAACTTTCCCTGTTTAAAAATTCCATTTGTAAGGAGTTTTTCACAGTGGCTCTCCTACACAGAACAGAGGAAACAGTCCTGTGCCACTCCTTACAAATTAATCCGAGTGGCTGTTTTCATCTGATTTGTCCTAGATATATCTGGAGCCTAACAAAGAAATCTTTGTCACTGGTTTGAAAAGTTTATGAGAGATATTTGAGCTGCCCTGTGTTAGTTGACCTATTAAAAAAAAAGAGCAACACGGACATATTCAGTTGAAGTACACAAAACCAAATTCAACACTCGGAGCATACATTCACAAACATTCAGAACAAAGTTATACTCAGGAACAGACAGGCTGGCAAACCCTCGAGGGGTAGTGGTATCGTGAACATGACTCACACGGGAGGCAAGAATCCCAAGTAAAAGGAACCCTTTCAAACATTACACTTGCCCTGAGCTACAGAATGCACTAGTTAAGTGTTTCGACTTTGAAGTGAAGGGATGGAGAGAAAAGAACATAGTATCCATTCTATTTAGTTTTAGAACAGGGGTTGGCAATGTTTATCTTGCCTGGCCTGGATCGGTCCCGCGAAGATCCCTCCGTGGGCTGGATCATGTGCACAGACGCGATTTCCGGCGTTTGCGTCTGCACAGATGCGATTTCCAGCGCTGCGGAAGCGAGTCCCCGCGCTGCGCTGGTTTAGCGCAGCTGTGAGCGGGCAGCTCGGTTCGGGGGCAGCTCGTGGGCTGGTCAAATGACCTCCACGGGCAGCTTCCGGCCCATGGGCCTTAGGTTGCTGACCCCTGTTTTAGGAGGACTCCTTAATGCTAATTACAACAATTCAAGAAAAAATTTGGGTGAAGACAAGGGTAACTATTTAGGCATGTCTGCCCCTTCTTCAAGGTATCTGGCTGTGCATGGGGTGGCCCTACTTGATGCTACCAAGAATCCTCCTGCAATCTCTGGAGCAGGTTTTACATAACAGAGCCCCCCTCCCCACTCCTAGATGGGGGACAGAGGAGCATAAACCATCAGCACTTATTTCACAGGTACATATGACTTGCCATTTCAGATTAAAAGCCAGGAGTAAGCTGGGTTCAACACACGGCCCAAGGTGCCACTGTAAGCACTGTGCTTTATTACCATGTCTGTCTACACCCTCAGATACTTTGCAGAAATCTAAGCAAGTTTATACAATCACAGGTCCGGCACCTGAGCTGCAGGAAAAACAAATGAGTATGGGCAAAACCAGCAGTGAGGGGAAGAGTTAAAGCTTCACTGCTGCAAACTGCACCCTCCGCCCCTCAATCTTGCACAGCAGCAGTCAGACTTCAAACAAGAACCACTGGATTGAGGCAGAACATGTGGTATCCGCCCTCAGAAGTCTTTAGGAATGCAGACAAACTCTGTTCTAGTTCTAGGACTCCTCTAGTTTTTATGTAGAATTTACTCAACTAAACGTAGGTGCAAAATATTCATTAAAATGCTTCATGTCAACGCTCACTTTCTCATTAAGTTTATACAGGGCAGGGCAAGTACATACACACTGGAACTCGTCAGTACCTGTAATAAAGTGTGATTCAGTGTAACCTCCAGCTCTGCAATCTGGTGTGCGAGATCTTCATTATCGCAGTGGATTTCTAAGTCCTCTTCTGGTATCGTTTCCCATCTGCCTTGATGAGCTGCCAAGTTGTGAACCAATTCATACTGTCCTGGAAGAGCCAAACTAATCCGTGTTTGTCTTCCATGTGTGAAGCGAATCCGACGCCTCTTACAGTTCTCCTCACTGCTAACTTTGGAGGTCGGTAGCAGTCTTTCACCCAAAAGCATGTTGACTAACTGACATTTGGCATTGCAGTTCTGACCAAAGATTAAAAGGCATGGGTGACAGCTTACTGTCAGCTGGAGATACTCCTCTTCACGCCGGGGAAAGGCAATAGAGCTCAGCTGCCCTAAAAAAGGCAAACAAGAATTTATTAGCAATTATATTCTGAAGTGACCTATGGAGCTTCAAAAGGATTCTATAGCTCTATGTCAGTACAGAATCAGACATTCCAAACTCTGACTTGAAAAATATTTTTGCACAGGAATGGGCAGCTAAGACTGAGGGTATCCCAAAGAGGACTGAATATGGAGCAATGGTCACTCATTCCAGGAACCAAGTTTACCTTCTTCCCACATTCCCAGCCCAGATGACATTTTGGGCAGCAGGGACAGAAGAAGCAATGCAGTTTGTCACCAAGAATCAGAAGCCTTTAATTTGCAACATGGCAGGAAGAAGTTCAGCAAGTATCCATTCCACATACATCCCATATCAATGACGTACCACGACATGAAGTTATCAACCCAAGGTTTAAATGAAAAATGATGGCTATTGTGCAAGGTCAGGAAGATATGGTCAATGGCCTGGTATGTCTAAACTTACTAAAGAAAGACGGAAAGATGAAAGGAGGAACATATAATTTGGGGGAAATGATTTCCTTGATTATTAGAAATATAATGTTCAAGATAATGTATATCTGCACTTTTTCTTTCATATATTGTTGAATATGCAATATTACTGCATGGGGTGAGGATGTATTTTGTGTTCTTTGCATAAACACTAGGGTAAATTGTAGGTTAGTGATTTGGTTTTCTACTTGTATTACATATATACAGGTGGCTTTTTAAAATAAGTACTACATACGCGGGTGGCTCTGTAGTCTAAAGCACTGAGCCTAGGGCTTGCCAATTGGAAGGTCAGCGGTTCGAATCCCCGCGACGGGGTGAGCTCCCGTTGCTCGGTCCCAGCTCCAGCCAACCTAGTAGTTCGAAAGCACGGCGGGAAGGTAAATGGCGTTTCCCTGCGCTGCTCTGGTTTCGCCAGAAGCGGCTTAGTCATGCTGGCCACATGACCCAGAAAACTGTCTGTGGACAAACGCCGGCTCCCTCGGCCGATAAAGCGAGATGAGCGCCGTAACACCAGAGTCGTTCGCAACTGGACTTGACTGTCAGGGGTCCTTTACCTTTTTTTTACCCATAATAACCCAAGTGGTCTGCCTTATAATAATCAGAAAACTGTAGAATAAGATATCACTGAAAACCTGCCTAGACCTTATCTCCATTTGTGACAGACAAGTAGGTGCCTATGAATTCCAGTGTTTACTTGTCCATCACGAACAGCTCACCTTTGTATATCACTGTCTCATTGTACTATGTATACTCCTCAAAGATGCCAAAAAGAATTTTAAAAATCCAGTGGTCTCTTATTTCCATCTTAAAGGGTATTTATGACTGGAGCCTTACACCTTTAAGCACAGCTCCTTTTAGAAGGCTTGAAGTTCTCATATTTTACTACTATTATTTGTTGACCACTTAACTCAGGTGTGGGAAACCTTGGGCTTTCTGAATATTGCTTAACTATAACTCTCATAATCCTCGGCTACTGGGCATGTTTGCTAGGGCTGATGGGAATAGTTGTTGAGCAGCACCTAGTGGCATCAAAGGTTCCCCATGCCTGATTTGACTAATAAATAGTGCCCAATGTGCTTTTTTCCTTCTTTCTCCCTCCTTTTTTATTAGCCCTTTTTATTAGCCCTTTAAGACTAAGTTTAAGGGCAAGGTCAGTCTTACCATTAGAACTGATAAAGCTGCTCTGGAAGTATTTTTAGCTGAAGAATGGGATAAAAGTGTTTTCAATATTTAAATTTAAGGAGCAACCCTATGCTCCCTGGGAGTGGCTGAGCAGCCATAGTAGCCTGCAGAACTCTATCTCTGGAGTTCCCTGATGTAGCAAAAGAAAGCCCCGCTGCAGTTGATGAACTACCAGCAGTCCATGGGTCTTTGGGATGCCCCCCCCAACAGGTCCCAAAACTATACCAGCCCTGGAGATAGCATGGTTAATTCCCTCTCATTTCAGTCACGGCAGGTGGGTGGGCAGGTAGGTATGGGGAGAAAAGCTAGGAGGGAAAACAGGAAAAGCTGCCATCCCCATCTCCCATCCTCGTTTCAAGTAGCCAGCAGGGCATAGAAGTGGCAGTAACTCTGTCACAGGTTCAGTAAAGGTGTCCATATTAAAAGCAACTTTATGTTCAGTGCCTTTAAAAGGGGGTTTCACTCATGCTGCACTACATTCTTGACCTAAGCATAACATTTTCCAAAAGGTATTTGGTACAAAAATTATGAAGAACAGAAAAAGAGAACAGCTTGTGTGTTTTATTCCACCCAGCCAACATAGAGCGATTCTGTTCCAAGTCAACTGCCAAACTGCTTCACAGTAGTGTCTTGTATGCAAGGGAAGAGAAGTACAGTAGAAAAAATTGTTTAGTGGCAGAAAGAGCCCTGCTGAAAATCATTTAAGGCAACAGGGCCCCCAGTCACACCCTCAACAAGGCAAGATCGTTTTCTGCAAAACCTGAAAAATCAGCATTAAAAATGAAGATGAAGGTACATATAGCTTTAGACCCTGTGAATATTCAGCTGGTATGTGAACTTTTTCTTCTAGACAGGTCATAGCTTCATTTACCTTTTCCCCAGTCTAGGATGGGTACACTAGCCAATTGATCAGACAAATATTGCCAGTTGATTGCTTATTCACCTGTTGAAGGATACCGCAAGTGCTCGATCAAGTTCAGAATGCCACTGTGTAGGTAGAAGCTTACTTCTTTAAAAAATTGGATTTTTTTTTTTTACTATGCCATTCGCTAACAGTGAGAGACATACAAGACGAGAAATTTGATGATGGAGGTGAAAAACCGGTTGAAGGTGACGCAAAGGAAATGAACAATTGGCCTGCTGCCTACTTAACATTGACTTCTGGATGTACAAGTTACTTGGTTTATTTTTTATTTTTTCTCTCCCTCTCTCTCTTTTTAAAAGTGTATTAACCGTAGGCTGACCCTAACTTTCCAGGAATAAAGCCAAACTACTATTCAGTGACTTGTTTATATTTATAAAAAACCTTACCTGCAACAATTTTTAAGTAGTACTTCCACTCATTAATCATTATTGTAAAACAATTTGGTTTTGCACTCAACATGCATATCCAACCACTGACTACTGGAATATTTTTATAATAAAAATATAAAATACTGGACCATTATTTGACCAATGTTTGCTCAAGTCAAATGCCCAGCTCAACCCTAGTCAGAATTCTATCTTCAGGGTCACAGAATAGGTTCAAGGATATTGGCTGAAAATGCCTGGGCAAACAGAAGCTGCATTGCAGCAAGAAACCTTCTATGCTGCAACATGTAATCCAGTCTGACTACACAGCAAGTATATTTTTGTTGACTGCATGTATAGTCCTGATGCTGCCAATGAATAAGTCTCTAGACAGATGGTTGACTGCCACTAATTAATATCCTTCATGAATATTTTAACTGCCTGTTAAGTATCCATTTCCAGAGGGGCAGCCATGTTAGTCTGTTGCCAGGGGCAGGGGGGAAGGGTCCGGTGGTGCTGCTGTGAGTGACATTATATATTTGTATCTTGCTTTCTCACTCAAGATTATGTGTATTATCCTCCCTGCTCTCCCACTTTTATCTTTGCAATAGTATCCACCCTATTCCAATAACTGTAATTTATTTTAAAACAGATTTTAATAGTAAATGCATGTGCAAAAACATCAGTTCTTGACAATACATTGTGGGATGGGGGTGGGAGAGGCAATCCACATACAATGTTCTGGGCCCAGGAAATCCTGTGGGCGTCTCTGCTAAAGATCAACAGCACAGAAAGAGAATAGTGATTAAAACTTACATTAATATTTTCATATCCATTGCTAACATACTAACAGGCTGAATAACTCCAAAGTTACTCAACTGAAGAACTAGCCTCAATTCAGCAGTTAAGAAAATGACTTTTTGTTGTGCCCAGCTGGCAACAAAGAAGAATTCTTACACTAAAAGGATTAGTTGAAGGAACCATTTTGCATCAGTTGAGAAAACATGTGATCAGCACTTCAGAAGTGTGCAAAGAGTCTGCTTTTCCCAAGAAGAAACTAGGTAACTGATCTCAAAATAACTATATGAGCAGCACAGAGGAAGTTTACATCACGTTACAACAAGTAGAGCACATTCACATAAGATAGAGCACTTTGGAAATAAGATCTGATAAGGAAAAAGCTGCCACTGAAGGGGCCTAGTTAGAATATTTCTGAAGTTAAAATCTAATGTAGTGATAATGGATCCATGAAGTGGGATCGTGGGTCCTGAATGTGAGCCAGCTCCACCTAGAAACTTGGAGAAGAGACTTGCGCTCTCTGAGTGCGAGCCAGGCATTGGGTATCCTGCTTCCTTGATGGAAGCTATCTTGCCACATCTTGGTGATTATCAAAAGGCTGAATGTGCTGTGTGGGTCTGAGGGGGCTCTTTGTATGTCTGATCATATACAAATGCTTCCTGAGACAAACAGCAATTGCTGTCATGACCAAGAGGTCATTTAGGTAGAGGTCGATCGCTATGCCTTTCAGCCCTGTGGCCCCTGCTGAGGGGACTGCAGGAGAAACATCAGTGTGGCTGCAGTTTCTCATACCACTGTGCAGTCATACCACCACTGAGCAAATGGGGGTGGGGGAGAGAAGTCTCTGTATTTGGTCTTCACCCCATTTTACAGTCAACTGAGTCCAAGGTACTACGCTGCTCTCCACTGTGTCATGCAGTGCCAATCAGGACATATGCATCACTTCTGCCCCAAGCACAAGGTGCACAACTGACCCTGCCTCACTAAGGCCACAGTGAGTCAGAGAAAATGCCAGCTGCCCACTGCTTCCTCTTGACCAGTGTTAGAAGCGCAGATATATAAGCTAGGTGCCAAATGGCTCCTTAAACCTATGTTTCAGTCACCAAAACAGAATGTCAACTGCCATTTTGGGGCAAGGTGGCTCCAAAGTCTTGCTTTTCAAATGATGGACTGTGATTGATTTTCAGTTGGACATCTGGCTAATTCATATGAAGACTTTGAACTAGGTTAACAACTCTGAAAATTTAAAGAAATGTCACTTTATCCAGAAACAGTCCACATATATATTGGCTTATTTCTACCTCTTTTTCTTAATGGTGACACGGACCACCCCTACCCCCCACAGGAGTGCAACACAGATGTCAAAGATTAAACATGCTCTCTCAAGGAAGGCAGAGTCAAGACTAGTGTAAGGTTAATTCCTCTTTCAGGATGGCCAACAATAGCAACTGCTTCTTGTTTTGAGACAAGGGTGGGTGTTTTTACTCCTCTGCTGAAAAAAAACCAAAGTGCAAGTTTCTTCATCGTTACAATTGCTTGTCAAATGTGATCATATAAAGTGTCTCTAGCTCAACAGTGCAACTTCACAGGTCCCTTTAATGATTCACCAATATATCCATCAAGAATCAACTTGGCCAGTACTAAGACACTTGCACAAGTATAACCAAATATGCAGAGAATGGGGTGGTGCCTTAATGGTTCACACATCTAGCAATGGATTGTTAGATAACATGGATAGCAAGGTTCAAGTCGTGTCCCTGCCCTCATTATGCAAAGACTATAGGAAAAAGCTGTTGAAATCAGAGGAAGGTTACAAACTTGAGAAGAGATGACAGCAAAGAGTTTAGAACAAAAAACTGAAACACCTTTTCAAGAAAGCTAGAGGGAGCTTTTTGTGGGCGGGGAAACTCTACATGATAATTGAAAGGGGTAAATGAAAATCACAACAAATCCCAGAGGAAAATGTGTGGGTTCTCAATTAGGTTTGCACATTACATCAGCTCCCAGGAATCCTAATCTAGGGTTAAGGCTCAGCTGATGAGAATAAGTTTATTCAGGGAAAAGAAAACCTTCACTAGTGTGATATTCAAACTTGAGCATTATTGAAATACGTTACTATTAGTATATTACAACTTCACATACTATTTCTACTCACAACACTTACGTAAGTTTCCACTTGAATAAGAACTTTCGGCACAACCTTGTTTTCTTCACCATAGAATTTCACTGTACCAAGGGTGTGGATCATTAAACTTTGCCAAGATTAGAAGTCAAATAGGGGAAAATGGGGTGTATATAGAGCCAAAGCTGTAGGCTAGCCCTGCAAGCATTCAACAGGCCACTGAAGACAGCAGGTATGGTGGTTATGGGATTTTGTTTGTTTGTTGCTAGCACTGACCTTAAAGAGAGGATGGCTTACAAACAGCCCTGACCTTTTGGGATAAGGTGGCTTACAAACAAAATGCATAAAGCCACAGAAAGGACTGCATTTCGAGAACTTTGGGACTTTGTTAATCAAAACCCAGCAGAGCATGTGCATGCTAATTCACAATCCAGGATATTGTCATAGTATGCTCCCTATACCACTATCAGACTAGACACCACGGTCTTTGCACCACTACTAACTCCATCCATATGTCATATGAAAGAAAAGAATTTCAGCACACACTTATCATATATAGATATTCTACTAGCAGGGATGTTCAAGCATGAGAAGAATTCTATTTGATCATTGTTACCAGTTTTGAGTGGATTCTAATATACTGAACTGGTTTTGAGCTTCAAGAGCTCCCAATTACTATTATTGGTTTGGGGCTTAATTTTGAATCCTTGCCCAGAGGTTTCCTTTGTCCCAAAGCATCTCTGTTTTAGAAACTTCACTTAATTTTATTACTTTACTCCTTTTTAAACCCAGCATCTAGATTTTTGCATTGCATTGCCTGAATGTATCTTGATTTAATGTTTAATTTATAAGACAATAAAGCAAGTACTGTATTTTTTGCTCTATAAGACTCACTTTTTCCCGCCTAAAAAGTAAGGGGAAATGTGTGTGCGTCTTATGGAGCGAATGCAGGCTGCACAGCTATCCCAGAAGCCAGAACAGCAAGAGGGATTGCTGCTTTCCCTGTGCAGAGATCCCTCTTGCTGTTCTGGCTTCTGAGATTCAGAATATTTTTTTTCTTGTTTTCCTCCTCCAAAAACTAGGTGCGTCTTGTGGTCTGGTGCGTCTTATAGAGCGAAAAATATGGCAATTGCTTTTTAGCTGATTATTTAGATTTAACCAACTGATAAGATTTTACTCTATTTACATTTGTAGAACCTCACTGAAGGAGGCCTTAGTGCATTTTGAGAAAACGTAAGAAAACAAAATTTACAGTCTAACCAAAGATGATGTTTCTTTTAGAAATCAGTGCCATCTGAGTATGACATTTCCTTATAATAATACATTGAGACGAGTTGTAAAAATAACTAAACATGAAATCTATACTGTTTGTTTGTTATTAGTGTTTATTTAGTTGAAAACCCAGTGAAAGCTCCGTAGAGACCAGCCTGGATTGGTGAAGATCCAGCCGAGCCTTCTTGTCCTTTCTTCCTAAAGCAAGAACCAATAGTTGTAATAACTGAAAGCAAATTATGTAAAAATATTTTTTATCTATGCATCCTACATGGCAGCAGTTTCTATAAGTATCCCAAATCAAGTCATTGTTCATCTGCTCCACCATTTACTCTGGGGCTATGTTTAAAGATTAATCACACTGATAATTAAACATTGCAAACCTGGTCCTTTTCATGTTATGAATCACCCAAATGCTGCGCCTGGTTTTCCAAATCAAATACCATAAGAACAGCTCCCTGATAAGATTTACCGGCACCACGTAAATAATGTGTGAAACTATCATTTGCCTATCTTGTAACATGAACACATGACTTAGTTTCCAATCATGTGAATAATTTTTATGCAGAGTTATGTATATGTTTTCTCACCAAAGTCAAGCAAGAAGAAATGTATTCTATGAAGCCATCCTCTGTAACTTGGTTCAGACAATCCACTAAAGAAACAACCTTTGGGCTTATGTGTTCCCCCACCCCCCAAAAAATCCCACAGCAATTATCTTCCAAGGTCTCTGGTTACAACAGAATCAGATAAGTACTGTTTGTCCATATCCTATATAAATCACCATCTGAAAACACAAAATGGCAAGGAGGGAGTGTCTTAAGCCCATGCCTTGTTCCTGTTTTGTTCAGAAAGTGCTGAAGTTTATGAGGCAGGAATTTTTCTTATGCTTTATTTTTCCACAGAATATTGTCCATTTCATGCATTCATTAGAACACTGAACGTATGCTAACTGCGATACTGGAGTTTTTGCCAATTGGAGGCAGGCAAATGTTTTCTACATCTTTAAAAAGGCAGGTGGGAGGAAGAGGACCCATGCAACTACCAAGCGGGCATCAATACCAGGAAAGATATTAGAACAAATAGTAATTAAACAGCCACTCTTTGAGTAGTACTTAGAAAAGCATACTGTGATTACTAAGAGCCAGCATAACTTTCTGAAAAAGAAGTCATGCCACACAAATCTTATTTCTTTTCTTTTCTTTTTTTATAGAGTTACAAACTTGGTGTATCAGAGGAATACTGTGGATGGAGCATATCTTGCTTTCATTAAGGCTTTTGACAAAGTCCCCCATGATAGTCGTGTGGAGAAGCTGGTAAACTGTGGGCTAGATGATGTTACTGTTAGGTGAATTTGTAGCTGATTGACTGACTGAACCCAAAGAGTGCTCACCAGTGGTTTCTCATCATCCTGGAGAAAAGTGACAAGTGGGATGCCACAGGGTTCTGTCCTGGGTTCAGTGTTATTCAACATCTTTATAAATGACTTGGATGAAGGAACAGATAGGATGCTAAGCAAACATGCAGACGACAACAGACTAGGAGGGGTAGCTAATACCTCAGAAGATGGAATCAGAATTCTATATTGAAGTTCAATATGAAGGACAATACTTAGGCAGGAAGAACTAGCTGCACAAAAATAAGATGGGGAACACCTGGTTTGCCAGTAGTACATGTGAAAAGGATCTAGGGGTCTTAGTAGACCACAAGCTTAACGTGAGTCAGCAGTGTGATGCAGCAGCACCCAAAAAAAAGGGGGGTGCTATTATAGACTGCATCAACAGAAGTATAGTGTCCAGATCAAGGAAACTAATAGTGTCACTCTTCTGTCTTTGTCAGACCAGTACTGTGTCCAGTTCTGGTGTGCAGAGGAGAGCAACCAAGGAGATAAAATGTCTGGAAACCAAGACTTATGAGTAACAGTTGAGGGAGTTGGATATGTTTAGCCTGGAGAAGAAAAGGCTGAGGGGTGATATACCAGCCATCTTCAGCTATCCAGAGGACTGTCATATGGAAGTTGGAGCAAACTTGTTTTCTGCTGCTCCAGAGAGTAAGACCTGAACCAATTTCAATTCAATTTCAAGTTACAAGAAAGGAGATTCTGACTAAACATCTGAAAGAACCTCATGACAGTAAGAGCTGTTAGACAATGGATCAGAGGAAGGTTTTTAAGCAGATGCTGGATGGCCATCTGTCATGGATGCTTCAGTTGTGGTTCCTACATTGCATGGGGCTGGACTAGATGTGTGAACTTGCATATATCTGAGGGTTTGATTACAGTTGCTCCAAAAATAAAAGTGTTTCAATAACAGAAACAATGCCATCATGTATCACAGTGCAGTTCTGATTCATGCTATTCTGCTGCATAATTGCCGGTGCCCAGAAACCATAGCTTGGTAGAAATCCGGAAGTATAAAACAGCCCTAATGCTTCTTAACAACTGCAAAACCAGAAGGAACCAAGGCATAAGTAGACACATTTCCATTACTATGTATCCTTGCATTATTTATCTTTGTAAATAAAACATTTCAGGTATTCTATCAGTATCAGTCAAAACTTGCCAACTATAATATATCCAAAGACATACACAAAAGAAACAAGTTTTTTTTAAGGGTTGCCATACATCCGGACATATCCAGAATACTGTAGCTCCAACCAGTGTCTGCGCGGGAAAATCCAGACGTATGGCAGTCAATGTCAGTGTCGTCTTTGCTGATTTTCCTCAGAAAAAGCTCAAAAATGTCTAATTTCTTTGCAACCCTATTTAATTGGCACATCAACAGCTGGTTTACTCACAAGTGTAAATAGGACTGCAACTTAAAGCTTCTGCCAACTCCTTCTGATCTAATATTTTAAAAAAGCACTTTGTACAAAACTTCCCAATGAAAGAGTGGGGAAATGTACCTAGAAAGTTAAAGCTGTAGGGCAGAATCAGAAAGCGGAAAACATCTGATTGTTTTGACAAACATTTAAAAACAATGTCTCTATAAGAAGAATCACATTTCAACTAGGTGCAGATTTATTACAAGTTCAGGGCCAACAGCCTGTGTAGCGAGCCACATGTTTCCTGAAGAGGCAGGTCATGCATTCCAATCACACATCTATTCAGATCCTCATTCTAATTTTTGTCTTCCTTTATTCATTCTCAGAACCAGTTTTGATTCCGTTACTCTTTTACAAACCTCTAGTGTCCATCCAGATCATTCCGTCCAATCACATCTATGCCATTTCTAGTTCACTGCTATTTCATTCAGTATATTTCAATGCAGTCCAACCTCAGAACATTTGTTTCCTTCCATCTCAAGGAGCATTTCTTCTCATTCACCAACAGAGACCAGAATCACAGTATTTCAGAGTACAGTGGAGAAGGTGGGGCAACAAGCTACACAAGCATGCATACTGAGAAATTAAAATACTAATAATAAACATCAAGTTATTGCTTAGATGTACAGGATGCTGCTGACCACAATGACTCATGCTCCAATAAACCTGTCTCAGAAGCAACTTCTCTCTGCTATCCATCCTGGGGTTTGTTTGGTGGGGGGACTATATTAGTTTGTAGTTTACCATACATAAAATTCTTACATTTTGGTAGAGTATAGGCAGAGTCTAACACAAGTGAGCACTTAAAGCAGTCACTGATGGTAATCTTCGATCCAAAAGGTATATAAGGGGGTGGCAACAGTGCCATACCAAATTCTTATTCAAAGCCAGCATGCCAAACACTTAAAGGGCAGCCAATGTCATTTGTTTGTGCATAGCAGAATTCTTCTTGGGTTCTGGGCAGCTTCAAACAGCAGCCACCTGTCAACCACTAGTTCCTTCAACCTTCAAGGATTCCTATAATTACTCCTGGATAATCACCTTTTTTCTCGGCTACCTCCCTCTTCATCTTGGCTACCTAAAGGCCTCTCAATTGCCTTTTCCCACTCCCTCTGGAAAAGCCAGGATCCCCTCCACATACCTTGCAGTCACCCACAGACATGGATGCCAGATACAGAACCATGAGCATAGCGTGTGGTCACAGATTATAGGACTTGCAGTCCAGCAACATCTGGGCAGCCATAGTTCTCCAGCTCTGCCCCAGCAGGCCTCTCCCTGCTGTCAATCTTCTGTTAATCCACACCATACATTTTAAGCAGTCTTATACCACTTTAACTGCCCCCCCCCCATTACATGATCCTGAGAACAGTGGTTTGTTAAGGGTTCTTTGAGAAAATGGTAGTTCTGTGAGGGGTAAATTACAATTTCCAGTATTCTTTTTTGGGGGGTAGGAGGAGAGCCATGATAGCTAAAGTGGTATAAATGTGCTTTAGCTGTATGGGGCGGATGTGGCCTTACCTGGGGGGATAGGGAGAGCAACAACAGTACAGTCCTAACCATGTGTACTCCAAAGCAAGTCCTACGGAATTTAACGGAGCTTTCTCCCAACCCTGCAGCTCTAGCACCTTGGCGAACTCAGCCAGAGTTACTTGGGAGTACAGATGCACAAGAGCAGACTGCAAGGGCTGCCCAAGAGGGGGGAATTCCACCCACTGAGTGCCATTCCCACACCGCTTCAGTGATGGATGAAGCCACACCGGTTGGAGTTTCCCTTGATGCATTTTTTTTAAAGGTAGAGGAATATCCCTCTACCTTATGTTGGCAGAGACCCAACATAAAATGCGGAAGCTCCTCCTCCCTCCCCACCCGTTTCCCCCGATATGCCCCCCCTCCTCTCCCGAGCTCCTTACCGGCCTGCAGCGAGGGACCCTCACCAACCGGGGCACAGACATCGGGGGAGGGCTGCTCCTGCTGAGGCCGCGGCTCCTCCCCGGCCGGCCCAGGGGTAGCGGCGGCAGCAGAGGCAGCGCCGGGGCCCTGGGAGTACTTGATGTCGCGGAAGAACTTCTTCGTCTCGCGCAGGTTGTGCTGCAGCCGTGCCAGGTGCCGGTTGTAATGGCCGAAGGCGCGGCACAGCTCGCGGCTCAACCCTCCGCCGCCGCCGGAGCCCCGGGTCGAGGGGCCTCCCGTTCCCCCCGACATCTCGCCCGCGGCGGCGTCCGCCTCAGAGCTCTCCCCCCACCACGGCGGCGACTCGGGGGATGCCAGGCTGTTCTGGCGCCGCCTGGGCCACGGGCTCGGCCTCCTCCTCTGCCAGCAGCGTCGCACCGAGCCGCACTGCGCACGGAACGGAACCTTTATCCGGGCGCTCTGGCGGGGAGGTGGCGGCGGCGGCGGCCGGGGGCGGACCCCATTCCGCGCGCTGGCTCGCCTTGCACTGTGGGGGATGTAGTCGCCGCTTCCCTCTTGTTGCAGAGTAGCGGAACTGCACCCTCTTGGGGGGCGGGGAGAGGGCCTTTCCGAAAGGCACTCTGGGATTTGTAGTCTTCTGCCGGGAGACTCCCCGCTTCAGTTTACAAGTCGAAGGATCAGTGCCGGATTTACGTATAAGCTAAACAAGTTACAATATAGTTTAGGCCCCACTCTCCGGGGCGGGGGGGGATTAAAGCGGGGGGGGGGGAATCTGGATGTACATTTCCAAAATATAAGATAAATAACAAAGAAAATAAAACCTGCATACAGCAACAGCGCCAAATGGCTTTAGATACCTATTAGGTCCATAAATTGCCATATATTCAACACAAAAAAGGGACAATTTGTTGACAAAGGACAGCTGGACATATAAAGGGCCCCATTACCTTCAGTAGCTTAGGGCCTCATCAAACCTAAATCCACCCCGGACGGTGGGCTTGCAGGGTTGGCAATGCCTCCAATTAAATGCAAATGGCATATATGGGGGGGGGGGGGGGACACTGAATAGGAATGTTGAAAAAGGAACGTTTGAAGCCATAAGATACTGCTTTGGGGTGGCTTTAGAAACACTTCGCTTGTCACAGTAAATGCTAAAAAAACAAACCTACAATCTAAGACCAGAGGTCAGCAAACTTTTTCAGCAGGGGACCGGTCCACTGTCTCTCAGATCTTGGGGGGGGCGGACTATATTTTTTGGGAAAAGAATGAACAAATTCCTATGCCCCACAAATAACCCAGAGATGCATTTTAAATAAAAGGACACATTCCACTCATGTAAAAGCACACAGATTCCTGGACCGTCTGTGGGCCGGATTTAGGAGGCAATTGGGCCAGATCCGGCCCCTGGGCCTTAGTTTGCCTACCCATGATCAAAGGAATTTGCCTCCATGAGGAGAACAAACCTTTCCGTGCAGAGCAAAGCTAACCATAATTGCTTGAAAGTATATCCTACTGAATTCAAAGGCGTTTACGCCCAGGTATGCGATATTAGGATTGCAGCAGTAACCTCCTTCCCTTTAGAGTTGCTCCTAGAAAGAGAAACAAGACATCTTGTGACATCTTGGCTAGTTTAGATGTATTCAAGTCTCCAGGGCCAGACGAACTGCATCCAAGAGTATTAAAAGAACTGGCAGATGTGATCTCAGAACCACTGGCAGTCATCTTTGAGAATTCCTGGAGAACAGGCGAAGTCCCAGCAGACTGGAGGAGGGCAAATGTTGTCCCTATTTTCAAAAAGGGGGAAAGAGAGGACCCAAATAATCGCCCAGTCGCCCAGTCAGTCTGACATCAATACCAGGGAAGATTCTGGAGCAGATCATTAAGCAAACAGTCTGTGAGCACCTAGAAAGGAATGCTGTGATAACCATTGTTCAGCATGGATTTCTGAAAAATAAGTCATGTCAGACTAACCTGATCTCGTTTTTTGACAGAATTACAAGCCTGGTAGATGAAGGGAACGCAGTGGATGTAGCCTACCTTGATTTCAGCAAGGCATTTGACAAGGTGCCCCATGATATTCTTGTAAAGAAGCTGGTAAAATGCGGTCTTGACTATGCTACCACTCAGTGGATTTGTAACTGGCTGACTGACCGAACCCAAAGGGTGCTCATCAATGGTTCCTCTTCATCCTGGAGAAGAGTGACTAGTGGGGTGCCACAGGGTTCTGTCTTGGGCCCAGTCTTATTCAACATCTTTATCAACGACTTGGATGATGGACTCAAGGACATCCTGATCAAATTTGCAGATGACACCAAACTGGGAGGGGTGGCTAACACTCCAGAGGACAGGATCACACTTCAAAACGACCTTGACAGATTAGAGAACTGGGCCAAAACAAACAAGATGAATTTTAACAGGGAGAAATGTAAAGTATTGCACTTGGGCAAAAAAATGAGAGGCACAAATACAAGATGGGTGACACCTGGCTTGAGAGCAGTACATGTGAAAAGGATCTAGGAGTCTTGGTTGACCACAAACTTGACATGAGCCAACAGTGTGACGCGGCAGCTCAAAAAGCCAATGCAATTCTGGGCTGCATCAATAGGAGTATAGCATCTAGATCAAGGGAAGTAATAGTGCCACTGTATTCTGCTCTGGTCAGACCTCACCTGGAGTACTGTGTCCAGTTCTGGGCACCACAGTTCAAGAAGGACACTGACAAACTGGAACGTGTCCAGAGGAGGGCAACCAAAATGGTCAAAGGCCTGGAAACAATGCCTTATGAGGAATGGCTAAGGGAGCTGGGCATGTTTAGCCTGGAGAAGAGGAGGTTAAGGGGTGATATGATAGCCATGTTCAAATATATAAAAGGATGTCATATAGAGGAGGGAGAAAGGTTGTTTTCTGCTGCTCCAGAGAAGTGGACACGGAGCAATGGATCCAAACTACAAGAAAGAAGATTCCACCTAAACATTAGGAAGAACTTCCTGACAGTAAGAGCTGTTCGACAGTGGAATTTGCTGCCAAGGAGTGTGGTGGAGTCTCCTTCTTTGGAGGTCTTTAAGCAGAGGCTTGACAACCATATGTCAGGAGTGCTCTGATGGTGTTTCCTGCTTGGCAGGGGGTTGGACTCGATGGCCCTTGTGGTCTATTCCAACTCTATGATTCTATGATCTTGAAGAATAACATATTTGTTGTGACATGAGCTTTTGTGGGCTCTTTCATCTTTTGCTGCAACCGACTTAATATGACTTGTCTTCTGAAGTTGTCATTGTAAGGATGAGCCCATTTATATTGAGACCCTACCTGCCCATGGATGGGACGCAGGTGGCGCTGTGGGTTAAACCACAGAGCCTAGGACTTGCCGATGAGAAGAAGGGTGGCGGTTCGAATCCCCATGACAGGGTGAGCTCCCGTTGCTCGGTCTCAGCTCCTGCCCACCTAGCAGTTCGAAAGCATGTCAAAGTGCAAGTAGATAAATAGGTACCGCTCCGGCGGGAAGGTAAACAGCGTTTCCGTGCACTGCTCTGGTTCGCCAGAAGTGGCTTAGTCATGCTGGCCACATGAACCGGAAGCTGTACGCTGGCTCCCTCGGCCAATAAAGGGAGATGAGCGCCGCAACCCCAGAGTTGGTCATGACTGCACCTAATGGTCAGGGGTCCCTTTACCTTACCTGCCCATGGACTCTCTCACCCGAGTGGTGCATGCTCTGGTTATCTCCCGCTTGGACTACTGCAATGCACTCTATGTCACCTTTGAAGGTGACTCGGAAACTACAACTAATCCGGAATGTGGCAGCTAGGCTGGTGACTGGGAGCAGCCGCCAAAACCATATAATACCAGTCCTGTAACACCTACATTGGCTCCCAGAACATTTCTAAACACAATTAAAAGTGTTGGTGCTGACCTTTAAAACCCTAGAGCCCATACCTGAAGGAGCATCTCCACTCCCATTGTTCAGCCCTGACACTGAGATCCAGCACCGAGGGCCTTCTGGAGATTCCCACACTGTGAGAATTGAAGCTACAGTGAACCAGGCAGAGGGCCTTCCACCCTGTGGAATGCCCTCCCATCAGATGTCAAGGAGATGAGTAACTATATAACCTTTAGGAGACATCTGAAGGCAGCTCTGTATAGGCAAGCTTTTTAAGGTTTAATGTTTTGCTATGTTGTTACTGATCAGAAGGTTGGCGGTTTGAATCCCCGTGACGGGGTGAGCTCCCATTGCTCGGTCCCTGGTCCTGCCCACCTAGCAGTTCGAAAGCACATCAAAGTGCAAGTAGATAAATAGGTATCTATTGGGCGGGAAGATAAACGGCGTTTCCGTGCGCTGCTCTGGTTCGCTAGAAGCGGCTTAGTCATGCTGGCCACATGACCCGGAAGCTGTACGCCGGCTTCCTCGGCCAATAAAGTGAGATGAGCGCCGCAACCCCAGAGTCGGCCACAACTGGACCCTTAACCTTTACCTTTATGTTGTTACACACCACCCCAATATCCAAGTGTTAAGAGACTCCAGGGTTTCTTCCAACACTTGGGGCTCATTCACACTTACCTTTGGCCCCACATTTCTAGGCACAAGTCCACATTTTCCCAGTATCTGAGCACTTCCCACCCCCGCCACTGTACCCAGGAAACCAGCTCTTTAACACTAAATTGGAACAAAGTGCAATTCGGGTTTTCCATGGATAGCTATTTGTTCTGATTCAGCAGTAAAGAGTGGATGTTTGTGGGGAGGAAAGTCAGGGCAAAAAACAAACACAACACTCAGACAGGGAGCTTTAAAGTACAGACCTGAGCCTAGAAAAGTAGAGCAAAGATAAGTGTGAACTGATTTCCTTGGAATGAAGGCAGCAGAGACTGGTGGTTTTATTTACACATATCTACAACTTGAGCATACGATGGAAGGGCTCATAGCCTTAACAACATAAAAGATATTGCTTCTCTATTATTCACAGTTTTGAATCCAGCACAGCCAAAATACATCTGTCTGCAGCTCCTGGCATTCAGCTTTTGACCTCTTGCTCTTTTGCACACACCTACGTAGCAGCTAGGTGAGGGGTTGGGGAAGGCCTACCCATTTGTTCTGTGGCACAGAGCAACTTCTTTGGTTAGGTTAAATTGTGGTACGTAACTGGCCAGCCAAAGCCATTACCTTGACAAAGGAACTGGCTTGGAAAGCTTCTTCTTACCCAGTCAATCCTCACAGATACAGGATCGTCAGTTCTGGAAGAGGACCCAGGGTTCCATCCAAACTGTCCCCTGCCCAAACTCATAACAATACTAACCTTCATTTAATGTAGAGAGTTATTTTTCTGTTTGCCTGGGGGTCTGTGTAATGTGGTGGGCTTGAATGTTCTATTCTATCTCCAAAGTTCTTACAGCAAAATACTTCTTACATTTTAAAGCTTATTATTAGGGATCAACCGGAGAAGAGTTTTCTGTAACAAACTGAGCCCGACCAATTACAGGGAATTCTTACTTGTAGTCCTTAAATAATTTCATTGGTCTACTTGATAATTCATATTATTAATTATCTGAAACATTTTGGAAAGCTACTCAAAATAAGGTTACCAGATGTCCCCGTTTCCCGGGGACAGTCCCCAGATTTTCAGATCAGTCCCCATACAAAATCCATTGAACTTGAAAAGTGTCCCTGGATTCATTGAAGAAAATATGGTAACCGTAACTTAAAAGCTATTATAAAAAGTTTACTATAGTAATGAATAGCTTTCAGAATGATTTCTTACTTCCTGGATTTAGACCTGGATAAAATCCAAAAAGCACTTCAAGTATGAGAAAAGGAAAATGCAAACATTCAGTTATTTCAAAATATAAAACTGAATGTCTGGAGAGTCCTGCAATGTAAATAGAAACTCTAGTTACAAGTAATTGATTCATGGCAAATCACAACATAATTCTCAAAATTCATAGACTAATAAGGAAACCATCTCCTTTGTTTAATTAGAGCAATTGCTTTCAGCAGTCCTAGATGACAGATGCAGACAAATTCCATACAATTCTCCCCTTTATATTTGTGAAAAAAATGCTACAGAGGATCCCATATTTTTCAACTCTTTTATTTTTGGAAGTCGACATGTATGTCACTTTATATGACGTTGTTCTGATTTGCAAAACAACTTTGAAACAGAAATGTAGTACAGCAAACAGCTGTATTTCTTACCATGTTAACAAAAAAACAAAAAGCAAATGTATTTTTATATGCATGTGACAGATTATCTGGTAAAATTAATCCTTTTTGGCTTCTTGTTCTCTGGACAAATTGATTTATACTGGATGTAAAAATGAAAACCAATTGTAACTGGATTTTGTAATCTGGAAACATCTCCCCCCCCCCTTTTCTTTTACTGGTATGCCTTTATTGGTTAATTGTATTTCAGTTAATGGCCAAACAAATAAACTTTGATTGATTGATGAGACAGATTTAACCTCCAAATGATTTAAGTTCTTTGATTCTCCCTTCAAAGGCTGAAGTAGCTAGGAACATGATGCTTCTTGTAAATTGCTATTTAAAGAAAAATGAAGAAAAATCCACATATTAGTTAAACCAGATCCTTTCTCATCCTTGCTGACCAAATGCATGCTAATTTGGAAGTTAGCTGGGTTCATATTTCACCAGCTGTCTAGAAAAATGGAACAAACTGCAAGATGGAACTTGAAAAATCCTAACTGCCTTCATTATTAACACATGATGCACATACAGCACCAAGAGGCTTCCCCACTCTCACATTTTTTATGAAAATCACAACACAATATAGGAGGGAAGGTAGGTGCAAAGGAAAATATCACATAAGAAGAGCTTTGCTGGATTGGACCGAAGGCTTATCTGTATAATCCAGCATCCTGAGAGCAGAAGCATTCTTCCTACTTGTGATTCCCAGCGATGATTATTCATATTTCTCCTGATTTGTAGGAGAAATATGGATGTCAAGGGAAGAACAGGCTTTGCATAGCAAGGATTGTGAGATGGTACAAAACAATAAGACACATTATTCATTACATTTATCTCACCTCTGATCCTAGTGCTCAAATTCACATTATTATAAACTGAACCTCATATTTCTCTGTGTTTTTCTTTAAAAAAGCAGCAATAGCAAAACTAATCACAGTCACTGAGACAAGCTTTGTGAAAAAACGCAACATTATTAAACTGAGGGAGTCTATTCGGATCCCCGTGAATATGCATTCTGGATAATTTGGTTTATAAAAGCAATATTATCTGCCTGGACACATACCCATCTTCTGGGTAGAGGATGTGGCTCTTCACATTTCCCATACAATAAAAAATGACCTCCTTTATTCCTACTCCTTTTTTAATGACCTTCAGTGCCCTTTGGCCATTATGATCTCACATGAGCTGAAAGGATGATTTGTGCAAAAATTACCCACACCATTAAATTGGATTTTTGTGTGACAGCTCAAGTTTTCTTATTTCCTGCAGGGAATTTAGAGGCAACGTCTTATTTCTCCCAGTCATAAGTCATAAGATCATCTCAACTCATTGGCTCAAATGCTGCAGCCAATTCACACAAACAAAGCCCAACCCTATGTATGTTTACTCAGAAGTAAGGCACACTGATTTCAGCAGGATCACAGCTTTATGCACCATAATGTACTTCTTGTGCATGATGCCCAGCTGAATCATTTGAATGTGTAGAGGCGTGTTCTCAAAAGTTCATTTTTAAAAGAACAGAAATTGGACTATTCGTCTGCGGATGTGTTTTTCTGCTTGTTGAAGAAATGGTAAGCAGGTTGTGCAGGGAGCTGGTTACTGGATGAATATACAACCAGCACTGAGCATGTACATCACCAATTTTGCAATTTATCTATATTGCTGTTTGGTTCAACACTGTACCCAATACATGAAAATTAACGGAAGAGAGATCTAGTCACAACTGTGAGCTATGATATCTAAAAATATTTTTTTTTGTTTCAAAGGCAATATACCTCTGAATAGTAGGAGTGGGTGTGTGGAAACCATGGATAAGAGCTGTTGCCCTTGTTCCTTGTGCGTGGACTTCCCAGAAGGATCTGTTGGGAAAAGGATGCTGCACTAGGTCAGATCTGGCAGAAATATTATATTCTTATGATGTACTGAATCCTGCTTATTGAAATGATAGCTTCTTGGTATTTATGTTCACCAGGTCACTGCGTGAGCCAGAAGCGGTAAGGCCTCAAGGGGGATCCACTATTACTTTTGTCCTTCTCTTCTGTTGGATTGTAGAGGTTCAAGCCCCCATTTTCTTTCTAAGCAAGAAGATGGAAACTGCCATCTCACCATTGCAGCACGCTCAGCTTGCATAGCCAGGATCGGTCCGGGTCCCCGGCTCTTAATCTCCAAATGCTATGTACAGAACAAAGATCCAGTCATTGTCATCTCAGAGTTATTTCAGGGTTGTCGTCCTGAGACAACAACCACTGACTACACAGGCATGGAATTCATTGAGCCTTTCTTACGTCAATAGATGTCTTTATGACAGCAGAACCCCTGCCACCCTGCACACACCAGAGATAAACCAGAGATTGCTTAGGTGTTTACTAAATCCTAGAGGAAAGTGAGATAAGCTATTGGACAATGATCTTGCCAGAGGTTGTGGACTTTCTTTCAGCTTGTTCTAGTTCTCTGATTCACTCTGTAAACATGTTTAGAACCACTAGGGGCTGATGTGAGTTCAGGGGTTAGTAGCCCAGAATATGGGACGCTGGTGGCGCTGTGGTCTAAACAACTGAGCATCTTGAGCTTGCCAATCGGAAGGTTGGTGGTTCGAATCTCCGCAACAGGGTGAGCTCCCGTTGCTCAGTCCCAGCTCCTGCCAACCTAGCAGTTCAAAAGCATGCCAAAAAGTGCAAGTAGATAAATAAGTACCGCTCCAGCAGGAAGGTAAACTGTGTTTCTGTGCACTACTCTGGTTTCGGTGTTCCGTTGTGCCAGAAGCGGCTTAGTCATGCTGGCCACATGACCCAGAAAAACTGTCTGCAGACAAACGCTGGCTCCCTCGGCCTGTAAAGCGAGATGAATGCCGCAACCCCAGAGTCGTCTGCGACTGGACTTAACTGTCAGGGGTCCTTTACCTTTACAGTACCTTTAGCCCAGGATAACTGGATGTGTTGGTGACTGGTTGGAAACCCAGGATAGTTGATCTTATGTTGCTTTTGCTACCTTCTTCATATGCTCTCACCTGTAGCTGTAGTTTCTTTCAGCCTTTCAGCCATTGCTCATTGCCAGCCCATCCCCCTCATCAGGCTTCTTGCGCCCCTGGGAATCCCTGTGGCAAGATGTTGAAAAATAAACAAAGAAAAAGACCTGCATATTAGTGCATGCTCATTATGAAAGTATGATCCATTTAAGCATTCATTCAGCATGGTGATAGCTCTTAGAGGCAAAGGAAGTAGAACTTATTCCATCAGATGACAATAAGGCTGTGGGCACGCTATACCTTTAAAGCACATTGTTTCTCTCAAAGCATGCAGGGCACTGTAATTTGTTAAGAGTGGCTGGGAATTGTAACTCTGTGGGAAGTAAACTGCACTGTCCAGAATTATTTGAGGGGAAGAATGTGTTTTGAATGTGCTTTGAATGTATAGTTTGTACACAGCCTTTAAGAAATATCAGTATTTTGTTTCCTTTGCGTTCCCATTTAAGTAGCTAGTGATACTTGGTATAAATACTCTCAGTAAGAGGCACTTATTGTTCAATGCTTTTTATCATATTGTTTGTGAAGCCTCTACATTATAATCTAAAAGCACATTTTTTTTCTCTGAGACCTAAAGAGCAGACAATGGGTAGAATTTTGCCTCTGTCTGGAAAGCTATTATCATATGAAGGTACTGAATAAAACCATTTAAAATGCAACATGAGTTAAGAACACTTGGGCCCATTGATTTAAGATTTAAATCCGAAGCACATTTAGTAGTAATTCCTATTGAACTCAGAGGGACTTACCTCTTAGTAAGTATGCTTAAGATTTCACTGTATAAGTGCTGAAGAATTGAGAGCTCTTGTTTGGACCTCAGAGTGCTTCACCCAAGGGCATGCATGGTTTGGAGCTGTTTAGCTAAGACTCCTTAGATACGTGTCCTCTTGAAAACAGACGTGCTTGCAATCCCTAGACTCTCTTGGTGGTGGATATGTCTCATTTGCCCATCTGTTCCTCCTGTTAAGTTTATGGCATGTAGGAAAGGAATCCAACAGGATATTGTTTGCATACCCACAGGGTTTCCCAAACTTGGGTATCCAGCTGTTGTTGGACTACAACTCTCATCATCCCTAGCTAGCCAGACCAATGGTCAGGGATGATGGGAATTGTAGCCCCAAAACAGCTGGAGACACAAGTTTAGGAAACCTTGCTACAGTATGTGGAACAAATTTGGCAGTTCCCAAATGATTACATAATATAAACTTAAGAAACACTATCTATGTGGCTTTTCTTTCTCCTTCCCTGAATCTTTATATGTATGGAGATTGAAAAAAATGGGGATGTCAGAATAGAAGAGGTGGGATCTAAATTTTGGGTTTTACCTACTGGGAGCGCTGCATGATCTGAGAGGAAATGTTCTGTTGAGTGATATTGCCCTCAGATGTATTTGGTCATAGGGCTGGGAGAGGGTAAAATCACATTCTATAACACCCTACCTCTTCCCCATAGCTGATCATTTAGACTAATAACAACTAGTTAACCCTCAGTGGGGCACCTTAGATCAGTTTTATGGGATATGAAAATAGTTTCTCATGGATGTAGGTGAGGTCAAGCACTCTAGAAAAACAAAACAAAACAGGAGGCCAGGTATTATCGACACTTGCCTGTACAATTGCCCTAGATTTTTCCTGTATAACAAAATCAATGCTAAGGAGCTCCAAGCAGGGGCCTTTTGTATTAAATTTAATGAAGTGAATGTCCCCAAGGCCCTTTCATAGGAGGTTATCTCTGTCAACCTGGTAAAGTACCCTGCTGTCTCAATGCCTTAAATTTAAAAGTGAATTATGCAGCAGGCACATTAAGGCTTCAGCCTTCATGCAGACTAATGAATATGCTTATAAAGCTATATTAGAGCTATGCATATAAAAATAACTCTTTACAGAAATAGTCAAGCCAATGAGACCACCTACTAGAACACATCTGTTCTGTGCTGACATAACTTGCACTACTCAGAAACAGGAAATGCTTTAAAATAAGATGAGAGGAGCTTATGTATCCATCACGGTTCATTTTCATCAGAGCTCTTTCCTTTGGATGAAACAGGTCATTCTGTGGTCTGTTGAAGCAGTTTTCTCAGTGAATCAATCAATTTATGTGAAAGCACTGAAACCTCATATTATGGCCACAGGATGATATGAAGCCCTTAATTAGTTTTCCCCCAATCAAATTGCTGCCAAAAGCACTTGGACTTCCACTTCAGGGGAAAAATAAGTAAGATAAGCTGAGAATTTCCCAGCTGATATGACTGACGCTCCTGCTGAAGCCCTGGCCGACTGCTGGAAAATTTGGATGGCTCAGGCCATTGATATGATCACTGCTAAGCACCCTCTCCTGCTTCATGGAGCCCACTTGGCTCCCTGATATACTCCAGAGCTTAGACAAGGAAACAAGCTAGAAGATGGCTTAAATGTGAGTGGAGGAAAACTCTAGTCGAATGCAACAAAACACTGGTGAGGGCTCATCATTGGGCCTACCTAGTGGCAGTGAAGGCACCAAAGAAGATATTCTCCATTGCATTGTCATTGTGCCAGCTGAGTTGTAAATTGTTTTACTCTGTCTGTGCTGCTTTTATGTCATTTGTCTGACATATTTTTAATTATTTTATTTTAATATATTGCATTTTGCACACTGCCTAGGCAATTATATTGATGGGCAGCCAAATACAATCAAATAATAATGATAATAAAGAGACATCTTTTAATTGCAAAATGTTTTGCTACCCCATCCAGACATTCCTCTCTTTATCTCTTTTGATGCTCTGCTGAAACAGCCTGCTTCTCCTTGCTGCACGGTGGGACCAGCCCTGATTGAATCACTTTACAGTGATGGCCGATCACAGACCAATTAAATTTGTTTCAATGACTTTCACGGGACTAAAATGGCTTATATCAAAGCAGTCTGATTTAAATTATTTATGCACTAGGTTTTTTTGTGTGGTTGGTTCTGTGGAGCCAATATGGCACAGTACCATTGAAAAATAAATAAAAATAAATACATGCTCATATTTACAGAACTAGGATCCTATGGATTTAGCATTTAATGGTTTTCATGGTGAAGGTTTGGATCTTCTGAAAATATTAGCAGTCTATCTACCTGTATGGACTACAATAAGGGTGGAAGCCTCACATACACAGATCAGAGGTAGTCAGATGTTCTGATGCAGTGATGGCCAGAGTGACTGCACTGGGCAGAGCCATAGATGTATTGTATTTGATTAGCGAGTGCGGCAAGTCCATCCTGCTATTTTTCGGTTACAATCCTATAATAAATGTCTATTTTTCCAAATCTTGGATAAGTAAGTTTACACTAACACATTTGACTTTGCAGTGGTCAAAATGCCACTATACCATATTTGGCCAAAATGACTGTTCTCAGTGTAGCGTTAGTATTGAACCACTACAGTGGTGTGGTGACCTGAACAGCTAATCATGCAATTACATACCATGGTGGGTCACAACTCTGCAAGGAAATGGCATTTATTGCCAATGCCACATCATAAATGCCCTTCACCCCAGTTCTGCACAATGGCTCATCACATAATCAAGGCTGTGGTTCTCAAGCCACCTACTCTAAACTTACTTCATTGAATTATATTGCATTTTTCTAGAATGTGTAGTTTAGCACAGCAGCCCATGGTGCTTAAACAAGATTAAAAAGATAGTGTGGAAGTACTAGACTTGGTCTTCTGTTCTGAACTCATCATCAGCCTCAAACAATAGTCTGACGTTATTGATTATAGTGTGCTACCATTTTCTGCCTGGACCACAAAGCTTGTGAGCATTTTAAAAAGCCAGACCTATAGTTATAGGAATTCACAAGTTTAGGGTCAGCAAAGGTTATCATCATTCTTAGGAGCAGAACAAGACTGCCTGGTACCCAAGGATTTTGTTGCTGAAGCAGCAAATGCCTCTGTCATCATTGGATTCAGGTGTGGCCTTTGATGTCCTACAAATGTATCACAATATGCAAATGGAGTATCATTGTGTTTCAAATTATATACACCAACAAACACCGATATATGTAAAATAACAAAGAGGCAAATGAAAGGGTAACACAATTCCAAGAGGATGTTACTTACAGACAGAACACTGAGTCACATATTGCTGACAGTGGCCACCTGCTTTCTTATTTTAGGCCTCCTTTGCATATGACATTTTTCTTTTAGGATTGTATAGAGTAGGCTGGATCAAAGACAAAGTGGGAGATTGTAGGAAGTACATCATAGAGAGGCTACAATACATCACAGACTGACCAGCTTTTAAAGAAAGGAATACCCACCCTTGTCCACTAGTGGGAGGAAACCCATGTATGCTGCCTTGAGCTTCTTGTTGGTGGGGGTGAGCACAGGATACAAATAAGATTTTCCTTTTTCCCCTTTTGCAAAGGCCAAATATTGTGTGGTTTTGACAAAGTCTGGGGAGGAGTCTCTATTCTGCACAGATTCTGGTACATCGCAGTCTGACAGAGAGGGAGAGAGATAGATTTCGAAAGCGGCAGTCTCGAGACAAAATGAAAGAGTGCGAGTTAGAGGCCTGTGTAAGGCTGAAAAACAAGTTTAGAAAATAGACTTCCATCCTTTCCTAAAGGAGGAAAAGACGAAGAGGAAAAGAAAGGGGGAAGAAAGAGAAAACGCTTGGAATCTGTGCGTCCTCAGGAATCGAAAACGTCGATGATGTCTGCGTGTCAGAAATGCACAGACACAACAACAAGGGTAATAAAGGCAATTGTGATAATAATAATAATAGTAGGAAGGAAATCAAGTTGATGAGGCTGCAACGTAGTCCTTGGGTGGAACCTGCTGACGGATTAAAGGCAAAACCAGCCCCCGGCCAGGAGCGAGGTGGTGGGAGGAGTTCCCATGGCAATGGGAGAGGTGGCGCTTCTCCTCCTCCTGATGCATCACGGAGACCGTTCGCCACGTTCCCACAAGCAGCGCCGGGCGGGGGTCCTCCGAGGAGTCCCTACGCACGGCGGAAGCGCCTCGCCAATACAGCCACCGGCTCCTCGGCCTCCCGCTCCCACCCCCCACTCCCAGCCTCCGCAACGCTGCGAGGACAGCGGCTGCCTGCACTGCAAAGCCGCAGCCCTGTGCAGCACCATTCCCCCGTCGACAGCTCCCGGGAAGCGGGCGGGGGCCGGCACGGGGGCGAGGCGGGGAAAGCGGAGGGGCACCGGCCAACCAAGCCTGGAAAGTGCCCGGCGGGGTCTGCCTCCTGCCGCTCTCCAGATCGGGCTCGGGCTCTGATTGGCCCAGCCCGGCTGTCAGTCAGACTATCAAGCCGGCTGGCTTAGATGGGTGGGTTAGGCTGAGGGATTTGCTCTTGAGCCTGGGCAGGAGCGACGTAAAGTGGGTTCTCAGAGTGAGAGAGGGAGAGGGTGGGTCGGCCGGCGGCTGGCTGGCTGGCTGGGGAGATAGCAAGGCAGACAGAGAGCAGCTGCCCGGGACATTGAATGAAAGGGAGAAGACATGCACTCATCGGATGGGAATTTGCAGCCCTGCAAGGCGGCGCGAGGAGCCGAGGCGCTCGTTTGCTTTCCTAAACAGTGAGTAGCATTGCCAGGAGGGAGAGAAGGAGGGAGGGAGGGGGGTGAGTATCAATCCATGGCATCTGCACACGCACCCCATCAAATTCCAGCCACTGCCTTTTGCAGATGTGGCTGCAGCCAAAGTTTTAATTTGGGGGGGAGGGAGGGTAGTGGTGCTAGTGGTAATGGTGGTGGTTCCACTCCTTCTGCTACCCAATGCAGCGAGTTTGGATGGAGGCATCTTCTCCCCAGCTCCTCCCTATGGCCTGTCTGGCTCCCTGCATCTCACAGGTGAAATGAACTTCAGTCTTGAGTGGTGATCAAGCCTGTCTGGTCCTCTTCTCTCCCCCCCCCCCTTCCCCATCTCTTTCCCCCTGTTTTTCATCTGTAAATGCTTTCAAGAAGCAGAAGGGCAAGCCCGACCTCTCACCCAGCATGAAGAGGTGCAAATCGGATGAGCTGCAGCAATCAGACGAAGACTCTGCTGGGGCTGAAGATGCCCCTGTCCTGTCCACCATGGATGCCAAGGCTGGGGATTCAGCTGCCGCCCTGTCAGATTTGGCTGCCTCCAATCCAAACCCTCCACCCCATCCTGTTACCCGGAGTAAGCCTCCTGATTTAAAGGTAAGCTTTGGTAGGTCTATCTCCCTTTTGAAAGAAAAAGAAAAGAAGGCATATTTTCATTTGTTTTGTTTTATTGCTGCTTGGAATGCACATTCCAGTTTCCAACTGGCAGATGTTTAAATTATTGACAGCTGCAAAAATATTACAGGTGCCGCATTTATGAGCTGTCTTTTTGAAGGCATGTCTGTCAACCCAATGTTTACCAAATGGTAACACTAGCCAACTTGCCTGGCAAGTTCCTGGTGTGAGAATTCCTTACACTCATATAAATAATATTGGTCCACCTTTAAGTCATCTTTGCCATGTTCCTGTTATACAGATAATTTTTTTGTAATGCATCCCAGCACTGGTGCAGACAGTGTTGATTCAATCAGATTCAATGATTTTTTTGAACACCTGTGTTGCACAATCATTTTTATTATAAATGTATTTGGACTCCAGGCCTAGAAGTGAGTCCTGTCAAATTCAGTTGGACTTACTCTTTGGTTGACATATTGTGCTCTTAATAGTATCTAGAACATTTGATTGCGCTCTTAATAGTATCTAGTTTCAGATTTTGCCCAGTGGCTGTTCCATAAGAACATTTGTTCTCTGTGTGTGTCAATTTATGCCCAGTTGTATGCCGGTGGCATAATGCTGTGAGGTGTCTTAACAGCCAATAGCATAACAGAGACATTTCATATGTTTATTTCTTTGCCAAAATGGTTCAGGCATGCAGCTTCGTCTCAGGCTTGCTAGAAGCCAAGTGTGAATGTCAGGAAATCGTTCATTCTGTTATAATGGTTGTATCTTGTTCTTTGGTTTCTCCCCAACCTTTAATATTGTACGTGGTCACAGGTAGGATGCTGGATCTTAATGGGCCATTGGGGTGAACCAACACATATATATCCATTGCACGATACAATTCAAAGCTTCCTTTTCCCTTACAATGTAGCCATGTAAATCTTTATGTGGTTGCAAAATGCGTCTGAAGAAATCTTTATCAGTGATAAAATAGAACTTTTATACACAGCTATGACACAGACACATTATGCAAAACAGCTCTTCTGAGCAGTACTATGCGTTAAGGGTTGTGTGATGAGTATAATCTGTATGAATGGTTTATTGGCTTGCGGTTCAGGAATTTCCCAGCATTCACAGCTGCCTCCTCGTGTGTGTGCTGTTGAGTCACTTTGCTTCTGTAAAAATAGAGTGATATTTATTAACCTGTTTGGTAAAGCAGTTTTAAGTGTATAGACAAAGAGTGCAAAAGGTTACACTCAAGTGGAAGTTCTAATACTATGTTTTTGTAGACTTCTACATAGTGATTTAGTCACCTTTGGAAAGTAAGACTCCCTTCCAGATGACCAAGCAGGAAAAATGCATTTATATAGTGGAAGGAAATTGTTCCTGTTGCTTTTTGATTTGGTCACTATTATGTCACAATGTTAGGCAACCTTCACCAGCCAGGCAACCTGCAAATATTTTGGACTACCTATGTTGACTGGTGTTTATGAGAGTTGTAGTCCAAAACATCTGGAAGGCATTGGTGAAGGCTGATCTTAGATATGCTTGTGATATCTGTGGACTTTTTTTCTAAAATTGCATGGTAGCAAGCTCCTTTTCGCTTGACCTCAACAGGAGATCCTTGCTGCTGTTCTAATAGAAATAATTCTGCAGAGGCAGCTTGGAAGGCAATAGGAAGAATTGCTTATTTATTTAGTTATCAAATGTAAACACTGCTTAATAGAAAAAGTAGTCTTCAAGTTGTTCACTTAAAATATAACTTTCAAAAATCAACAGAAATGCATATAAATATACAACATTCGAATAAAACTTTTAAGTAGCTGACTAAAACTATATCTCATAGGTAAAACTAAACTGTGCATAAAAAGTAGAAAGTTCCAAAATTAGGTAACAAAGTCCAGGAAAGTTTGGGTAAACATATTTGTATTTAAAAAACATTTAAAACTAGTTACTGCTGCCTCTGGAGAAAGTGTGAGTGCAACCACTGAGAAAGCCCTCTTCCATGTTGTCACCAGGTGACAATCTGCTGGTTGTAGAACAACCAGCAGGGTTTCCTTGGAGACACTTAAATTTTGACTTGGTCTGTACCAGGGAAAACAGTTTGCTAAGCCCACTGATCCCAAATCATTTAGGGCTTTAAAATGTCAGCAGCAAAATCATGAACCTGATAGCTAATAGCCAGCCAGGGCAGACCTTGCATCGCTGTTGTAACACGTGCAGAGGTGAATTCCCCCTTGAGCCTTCTAGCAGCTACATTTTGCACTAGCTGCAGCTTCCAAATTGGATGCAAGGGCAGAACACCTGCTTTGAGTGCAGAAAGCCCCTGGTTCAGTTCCTTGCACCTGCAGTTAAAAGGATCAAGCAGCAGGTAATGGGAAAGGCCTCTCTCCCGGAGACCCTAGAGAGCCACTGCCAGCCAGAGCTGTGGACAGGAGGGGCAAATAGATTGACCTGTACAATGTCAGCCATGCTTAATGTACAACCACACTTACCATAGTTTGCGTCAGTGTAATTTGCCTTGTGTTCGCCTGATCAGTAGAGGCCTCTCTTACTATTGAGGCTGCAGCAGCTGAAGCAATTTGGCTACAGTGGGTCTTTGTTGAGCATGCTGAAGCAGGACTTAGTGCCCTGAACATAACCTGTTGAATACACAGTAGTAACCCATTGCAGCAGCCACTAAGGAGATCAGCAAGGAATGTTCATCTCCTCTGATAGGATTAAACACATTTACAGTCAGAAAATGGCCCCTGCTCACTCCCCTGGGATGCTTTTTCTTTGGCTGTACTAAGACCAGAGAGCAAGAGCATCCACAGGTGATGGAATATATAGATTAGAGTGCGCCGCTGTAGAGGAGGCTATTTAGTAAGTTCCACTGCAGACCTTTTATTGCTTCTTGGAATGGGAGAGGCACAAATGGCATTTTAGGGAGTATCAGGAAATTTCAAATAGTCGTGTGCTAGACATAATGTACTAGGAAGAGCAGTGGCATCAAAGAAAAACAAAAGGAACAATTTCCTTCCAATTCCAGTATTTAACTGGAACACGGAACAAACAATGACCAGAAGGGATATGGAATGCTAATTATTTATTATCCCTTTTTCTTGAAAAGAACAAGATAAGAGACCAAAATGGGTGTGCTTTTTCAGAAACCCATTATATTCTAATGCATGAAAAAATGTTCTCCTCCATTGATAACATAATGGTCAGTAATAACAATTAGCGCTTAGCAATAATTGCACTTAGTATGTGTGGTGTTTTCCTTTTCCTTTCTTTTTTTTGCCATGCGTTGCAAAAATGAAGAAGCATCTGGGTTCTCCATTTTATAGTATGAAACAATAATGTAGTGAAGCAGGAAACACAGATGGCTATAACTCATTGTCTTCAGAAGAACTGTGTTAGTTTACACAAGCTAAAAAGTAGAGCTGAATTACCAAAAGCGCAGCCGTTCACAACCCAGGCCCGATTTTTAACATCAGGGTAGCCAATCTATTAATGACTGAATATTGATTATATTTGATTTTGCAATTTTTCATAATTTCATGGTTCAAATGCCTGATAAAACTAAAAAGGGATGCTGTTTGCATTTTTATTGCATTTTTATTTCAAGCAAACATAAAGCAATAAACAAGCAATATATTTTACAATACAGAGCAGAGTAAGAAAAGCAAAGACATATGTAAATATAACAATAATAATAAATAATTATCTCCCTGGCTGAGACTGGGGTTATATGTCGTAACCCAAATACTCGAATACACTGGAAGAACGGGTTGGTTATATTCTGTTTTGTTTGTATAAGAGAAAGAACCATACTGTATTGTGAAAAATGCATCATGTGTGCTTTGTCCTCTGGCTACCTTAAATTCGTGTTACTCCTCACCCCCCCAATAGGGTTAAGTGTCATACTTTACTATACAAAAAAGAAAGATTGCAGAAATTAAAAGTTTTCCAAAATGTAATACTGGTAGCAGAGGACCTACCAAGAATTGTGTGATGAGTTCCTGATTTGTAATATTTAAAAACATTTTAGAAAGGTAGCTATGGAGATAATGGGACCAGCTGAGCAGTAATGAGAACAATTTCAGCAAAACCTGTCATCCCCCAAATTTGGGGCAGTTTCACCACAGGTGTTGATAGGAGACTATAATTCCACACCCCTTCTAACGCAGAAGGGACAAATCTCGCACACAAAAGAGAACTGTCTTGACATTTTGGAACTCTGTCTTTTGATATCAAGCAAGTACCTTCACTGTATTTTCTTCCTGCTGAAAACATTATTGTTTAGACAACCCTACCCAGATGCTCACAAAGTTGTAAATTTTAATCTGTTTTATGATTTTAACTATTTGCCTCTTTTAAAGTATTGTTCAAAAGTTTTTTTGTTTTGTTTTATCTTTTTGTATACTTTGTTGAGGTTTTGGTTTACAGTCAATTTTATGAAATAAATAAATTAAGTACCAGCCATGGACCAACTTCAAATACAGCTTCCTAGTTTGCACAGATAAGGACTTGAAGGTACCGATAGCTTTGGACTAGTTTTTCCTCCAAGTTTCATCATTGGTTACCATATCCTAATTCTGCTCTCACCAAGTTTATTGAGCCAGATTGCACTTAAATGAAGCCAGGGGCATACTTTGGTATTTCACTTTTCAGCGGCGCTCTGTGTGAGGCCAAAATTCAGCACTCCCCCCACCCCTCACCTTCTGTTTTGCTCAGTTCACTGCGTCAGAGTTGCAGCCCCGTGCAGTGCACCGTAGGCTTGGCAGTGGAACCAGTAGTGCTGCCCTAAAACCTCCTGAGGAAGCTTCAAGCAAGATTTTGTATATAGTTGAAATGAATCCTTGAACCAAACCAAAAATAGACATTATAAAGCAGCCAGTTATCACCAGTAGTCTCCTTTCTATAGCTTCAAGAGCAGACAAATGCAAAATGCCTTTTTAATGCTTTATTCTCTCCTATGTTAATACAACTCTTATAATCGATACTTCACTAAGTACTAAGCACAGAACTTATTCCAATAATCTAATACCTTGAGTGAATAGTTGGTATACTATCCCAGCGCAGCATCAATCTTAGTAATTGGTTGATAAACCAGTTAGTAGGTAGGAATGTTACCAAGGCAGGAGATACAGTGCTTGGATTGGATGTAGTCCCTTTTTACATGTGTGATATGTGTATCCTAAAGATTTATCACTGGACCTTTGTATGATTTTTCTCAGAATTACTTTCCTGGGCAGATATCATCATCATCATCATCAAATTTTTATATAAATTTGAAGTTTCCGAACTTGAGATATTGGATAACTACTGCCCAGTTGTGAATGTTCCTTTCTTAGGAAAGGTAATAGAGAGGATGGTGAATGGCCAGCTGAATGCATGTCTGTATGAAGCCAATCATCTCGACTCATTTCCATCTGGTTTGAGGCTTGAATTTGATACTGAAACAGCCTTGGATGGCCTTATTGATTAACTTTATTGAGAGGCAGGAGGAATGCTACCCTGTTGATTCTCCTAGACCAGCTTGGTGACTTTTAATACCATTCACTATGGTATCCATCTGGAGGGGCTCAGTTGATTGGGACATTGGGCAGGGGGGTGGGCAAGTTTCGGTGGTTTGACTCCTACCTCCAAGACTTCAACCAGAGGGTGCATTGTGGGACTTCTGCTCTGTCCCCCTGTGTCCCACAGGGTTCCATCTTGTTGCCCATGTTATTTATCATCTATTTCAGGGGTTCTCAAACTGCAGCCCATAGATCACCAGTGGTCCAAGAGCTTCACTCAGGTGGTCCATGTCTGTAGATTTGTGGTTGAAGATGGGAGGGAGCACATCCATTCCACTGAATATCCATATTGGTTTTTAATTAATTCAAACCGTAATACAATATAAGAAATAAAAGAAGCAATAAGAATACACTTAAAAACCGTGCAGCATTTAGCATGGTGGATTACAAATGCTACCATAGGCAGGAAAATTGTTAAGTGGTTATTCAGCAACTTTCAAGTGGTCTGAGGGGGGGAGTTTGGGAACCACTTGGATCAGAATAGGTAACAGTGGGAAAGAATGGAAAGAAGTCTGACACACAGCTGTTTAAAACTTTGTAACAGGGATGGAGAAACTATGCCTCTCCAGATGTTGTTCAGCTCCAATCAGCCAGAATAGCCAAAGGTCAATGATGATGGTGATTGTATTCCAGCAACATTTGGAGGGCCATAGGTTCCCCATGCCTGTTTTACAACTCACAGTGATGACAGTGAACAAGTAAGTCTGCATTCCTACTTTCTGCCGCAAGTTGTAGTTTGCATTTTGAGATGCGTGTGCTGCAGAAGTGGACAGGACTGACAAGTCTCCCTCCATGCAGCCAGCTCCAGGGGGTGGCAGGATCAGGCATTTGCCAAAACCTCATGACCAGCAAAGCACTTAAAATCCACATGTCAGCATTCAAGAGGTGCATAGGTCTGCTTTCAGCGTATTAAACTTTGCACTGGAAAGCAGAAGCATGGGACTATTCATGCATCCATTTTCTCCAAAAGTGGAATCCCACGAAGACTCATTCATACAACTCCTTTTGTTAAAATCTGCCCAGGGTGCCCTTTTAACTGACATATTGGGAAGTGAACCTGAACCTTCATTCATAGACCTCTCTATTTCAGCATTGTATCAATAGCCCCACATTCACCTCCTTGGTTCAAGCTGGGTTTGATCTGTTAATTTAATAAGAAAGGTGCTGTTGTAAAAATACACACCCTCTTTGTTGCAGAACATTCAGACTTTAATGTTCTGCTGGATCCTTAGCAGGAAAGAATCTGTTCTGTGATTGGGAAGGAGAGAGTGCAGGGTTGCGTACATACCTTTATCCAAATAAAAGTTCAAATCATCTGGTGATGAGCAAGCCTTTTAGAGCAGAAGTAGACTAGGAAAAAGTCCTGGCAAGACACAACAGCAGATGGATGACCTAATTCTGCCGAAGATTGGATGGGCAGCAGTTATAAGCTCAGCAACAGGATGCCTGCGTTCATAATAAATTCAGTATCATAAATAAATGCACACCCCTTCACTTTACTAAAGGGAGAGTTGAAAGTCCTATGGAGAATTGGTTTCTAACTGCTGGCCAAGCTTTTACTGATCTGCTATCAATATGATTTTTTGGCAACCTCCCAGATGTAGTGACATATCCCAGTTTTCCCCAGTAGCATCTTCCAGAGATTAAAAACACATTGCTAATAGCAGGCCACAAGTTCATTTGGGATTTCTGCAACTAAAAATATGCACCTTGCAGAATCCTTAGAGTGAAGAGCTGGGCATGAAGCACTGAGTGATTCCACAAAGTGAACCTTTGTTGCCAGCTTGAGGCAAGGTGCTTCTAGAAAGCAAACAAATATCCCCATTTTTACATGCCTGCTAATTTTGCTAGGGGCGGGGATAGTTTAAAGAAAAGATGGAGGACTGTTTTCCTATGAAGGTCCATTAACTCATTGGCAAAGGCAACCAGGAGTTGGAACTGCAGGTGGGCACACATCTGATGGAGAGTGGAGTGGCAGCCAAAAGTAGTAGAAGTGCACAATATTGCATCACTCTCTCTGTTATCCCTTGATCTTCCTCTGTGTCACCCCATCTCTCTCTGCTTCCTCACCCCCTTCCATTACTCTGAAGAGCTGGATGATGCTATGGGTTGCATGATGTTTGGTTGTGGGCTGCAGGCTCCCTACCACACTATGCTGACATAGCAGCCCCTGTGTCTCTGTAACCTTGTGTTTCCTTCTGTTATGGTCCTCCTTCCTCTTGGCTGCTGCCCAGTGGCAGTGGCCATCTTAATTTTCATATGAAGCTGCCTTATACCAGGCCAGACTATCCATCTATCCAGCCCAGCACTGTCTCCTCTGGCCACCAGCATCATTCCCCCAGCATCTCACACCAGAGCCTTTCTTGCCACCTGCTATCTGATCTGCTTGAATAGGAAATGCCAGAGGTTGTACATGGGACCATCTGCAGTAGCAGCTGGCGGGGTGGCACAGGTTGGGACCCAATGCTCTCCTCACTTCCAATGGTCATAAATAGAGTTGTATTCCAGAAACATCTGGAGGGAGACTGATTCCCTACCTCTGCCTTATGCAGTCACTGCCCAAACTCTAGCACACCAACCATCACTGAATTTTTTCTTTATAAAGATTTAGTGCAGTCTTCTGAGTGAAAACTTAGTAAATGACAGCCTTGGGTCTCATTTTTCTTTTCCTTGTGTTTACAGGCATTCTGTCTTTGTAATAAATGAAGACCTGAATGTTTTAAGCTAGCAGATTTGTGTGTGTGTGTGTTTTGGGTGTATTCTTCTCTTGCACATTTTGCTGAGTGTAACAGAATATAATTTAGTCCTTGGTGAAGTGCAAGTCAGGCTCCTTCCAAGCCCAGAGTGAGAACAGCGTTGCTTTCTTTATCTAAGCGTGACTGTGTATAGGTCCTGTTCTTTTACATAACCATGAATGTTTTGCATTGTAAGGTGCTGTCATAATTCTTTGCATGCTGAGCGCTTAAACTTTGTGCTGGGAAAATCTCCCCTGCAGTTAAATCATGGGCTCAGACAACACTCCAGCTTAGTAGCAGTATAGCTGTTCATCCTGTTTCCTGACACTGTTGAGGTGGGAACTGAGAGCCACGTTAGACAGGATGCTAAATGCACCATTAGCAAGTCCCATTGGTACCAGTTGAAGCTGGGCCTAATAGAAGCATTGGCGAGCGGGGATGGGATTTTTGTTGGGATGAGGTGAAGCAGGATGTCATGCTGCAGGAAATACTAGGTGCTAGGGTGCCAATTGCAGGAGATATGAACCTTCCCCAAAGGACTCACCAATGAGGGCAGGGTTGCAGATGCAGTATGTTTCAAACACATTAAGCTCAAACACAGAGAATTAGTCTAGGTTCAAACATGACAGAATCATGCAAGAGTCCAATGTCAACATCACAGGAAGTTCAAGCAAGGTTCAACACTGCATAGTAGAAAGACTAGAATCAGGAACTAGGAGCCAAAGAACAAGGATCCACAAATGTGTTGCTACTCCTTGACCTGGAGCCAAAGCTTTTTAACATAATTACATATATAAGTATTTTGTTTTGCACCCCACAAGAAGCCCAACTTCCACTTGGAAACAAAAGTAGCAAGTTTCTAGTCTTCTTGTTGCAGCAATAATCATTGGTAAAAACTAAAATGCTGAAGGGCTTGCAGTGGACTAAAAGGGAACTCAATGTATCATTATGCATTTTCAGTTTCCACAAAGATTTTGCAGAAGCTGACTTAACCTTTTTCACATTTGAGTGGTTTGATTTTGAAATAGAATGTTGCAGAAATGCAGTCTTTTCACCATCTGCAATTTGGCATCTGCCATGTTGGTTAAAATAATGTGCAGGTTATGTTAATTATCAGCAGTCCATCAACTTGCAAATATATTGTGAATTTGTCACAAATGTGCGAACAAATTTCCTAGCCTTGCTTTGTGAAAATAGGTGATCTCCTTTCCCTGCTCCACTGTGCACTTCAAAACCTGAAGGGATAGCAAAGGAAAATCACCCCCAGAATGGTACTTGGATAGCTCTAAATTAAAATGCAGTATTGAATACCTATAGTTAACTGTGTTCAGCTCAGTTTTAAAACCATTTACCGTCTTTGTCTCTGGCACCATTCTGGAGAGACTGTTTCAGGGTTCGACGTCTCTGAAGATTAGAAGCCTACTTCTGTCAGGAGACATTAACGTCTCGCCTTGTGGGATAGCTGGAGTGGGTGGATGTGACATTTGCCCTTTTTTACCCGTGAAGATTAGTATGTCCAGTGTCAGAGCTCTTGCATAGTATGCTTGAAATGTGTGTCCTGCGGGAGAATAAGCTATTGCCTTTCAGTCTTAGAAGGTCATTGTCAAGGTGAGCCAAGTCCCCTATGGGTTACCTGAATATATTTGCTGTCAGGCAGCATGAACAGTACCAGCTTGGGCTCTGGAATGACATGATTAGTGACCGCCCTGTAAAATCATTTATCAGCCACTGTCTGGTTTGCTACTGTGCGTTTCAGTCCTTTTCTTGCATGCTCAAACATTTGGTGCATGGAGTGTTGTGCTCTATAACTTATGCTAAATGTTAACTTTATCATTATGCCGCCCTTATGATAACACAGTGTTTGTAAGTGGACCCTTTGCAACACTTTATGCTTGCTGGCAACTCTTTCTTCTTGCCTCCTGCACTTGTTGTGGTGCTCACACAGAATTGTGCCATAATCACAATTATGATACTGTGTTGTACCGGATGCTAGTTTGATGGTCTTTTATATTCATGTTATGGTTTAATATTTTACTACACCCTGCCTTGGGGTCACTTATGTGAGATCACATGGGCAAAAATTACATTTCATAAATAATCCTTAAATAATACTTTGCTAAACCTGTATGTGGGATTTCGAGACATGTAAATGTTCAGTGATGTTTAATAACCTTTCAGGGGGAATAGCACATGGATCTTGAAGAACCAGTTTTTCCAAGTGGATTTGTGTGAGTTAAACAAGTAAATTAATTAGATATAAAGGTCACAATTCCTCAGGACTTCAGATGGCAGTTGTGTGCAGTTTCTTTCATTTCTGTTTGAGGTGACATTTAAGGAGGATAAAGGAAGGCATGCATGCGAGCGCAGACACACGCACCATTTCAGGTCACATTTGATTTTGCTTCAAGAACTGTGGCCAACCTCATACTGGTTATAAACTGTTCAGTTGGCCTGAAGTCTGGCTTAAAGAAAGAGAATCACTGCAGGGAGAGCGAACAGGGGCCCTGAAGTTCCCCATCTACAGTGAGCACATGGAGGGCCAACTGAGCAAGCACACAGGTCATTTGCTCACAGTCTACCCCACTATGGTGAAATGTATTGCATTACTGTTTAGATTGTAGTGTTTGTTGCATCTAGGCATATAAATTAGCATATGGAAATTTTATTCAGATCTATGTCCTCTTTTTTGATTATTCATTTCTTCTTTTTTTGGTGATGTGTAAGAGACGCAGGTGGTGCTGTGGGTTAAACCACAGAGCCTAGGACTTGCCGATCAGAAGGTCGGCGGTTCGAATTCCTGCGACGGGGTGAGCTCCTGTTGCTCGGCCCCTGCTCCTGCCAACCTAGCAGTTCGAAAGCACATCAAAGTGCAAGTAGATAAATAGATACCGCTCTGGCGGGAAGGTAAACAATGTTTCCATGCGCTGCTCTGGTTCGCCAGAAGTGGCTTAGTCATGCTGGCCACATAACCCGGAAGCTGTACGCTGGCTCCCTCGGCCAATAAAGTGAGATGAGCCCCAGAGTCGGTCATGACTGGACCTAATGGTCAGCGGTCCCTTTACCATATTAAGTGCATCACACTGGTCCAAAGCAGGCACCAGCGTGTAGACTTCAAGCCAAATGGAGGAGTTAACCATGAGAAGCAAAATAACCGACAAGAGAACATACAAACTGGGATAGGCTTGTCATTCCTAGCTGGTGGTGCTACACATCCTTCTTCACATTGAATTACGTGGACAGTTGTTTTGTGTATGTGTGCTTTCATGGTTCTGCAGCTTGCAGCTATGGTGCAGTGCCTCTCTACCCTCCAGAGGAGATTTGAGTGAGGTGTAGGGGGCATGCAGCGGGAGGAGAAGGGGGGAGCCCTGTTGTGAAGGCTAGAGCCCTTTCCCTGGCGGAATGGGTTTGCTGAATAAGATAATATTCTCAGACTGCATTTGTAACACAGATGAATCTGTTCCCTCTTCTGCAGCATAACTTCACTTCAGCTTCTGTCTGTCTGTCCTGGATTTGAGCAACAGTCATTCTATGCCAGCCATCTGCCATTTGCAAAGCAAATGTTGGATGATTCCAATAATAATAATAATAATACTTCAACAGTGAGTGCCCAAATGACATCACCTGTGCACAAAAAGGAGGTATCAGTAGGTTCAGGGGGGGAAACAAGGGAGTACCCCCCCGTCCCAAAGCCCAATGAGAATTTATTGTGTTCAGGGGGCACAGAATGCTAATGCTATCTGTTGGGGAGAGAGCCGGAAAACTCAGTTGTTGGTGTAATGGAGTATCCTGGAAGAAGATGAGGACATGGCTGGCTGGCTGGCACTTTGAACAGGAGCACTCCACAATGAAACATATTGTGACCGGTCCCACTTGTCTTGACTAAGTTCCATTGGAAGCAGTGGGTCTTGAGTTAGTTGCAACTGTCACATTGGGTTCCATGGGACTTATCTAGGACTCACGTTAGCTACATTTGGGCCCAGTGTGGTATAGTGGTTAAAGTGCTGGACTAGAAGTTGGGAGAACAGGGTTCAAATCTCCACCCAGTCATGAAGCTTGCTGTGTGACTTTGGACCAACCACAATCTCTACTTCTATCTCTACTGATCTACCTCATAGGGTTGTTGTTGAGATAAAAAAAAGGGGGGAAAGGACAGCTTTGGGGTGAAAGATGGGTTTTTAATTTAATAAATAAATATATATATATATATATATATATATATATATATATATATCATTTTTTTCCAACCAAGACTCTCGTTTGTACAGGAACGGCAAAGTTCTTTTACCTTTAAGTTATGGGGAAGGGGCTTACTGAAACACAGTGGTTTTTTTGAACTGAAGGTTGTATCTATGGCCGGAATCTTTCTTTTGATGTGGTAATTACCCAGAACAAACACCACCACCATCATCTTTATCATTATTTACCAATGTTGGTTTTATGTCATAAATACAGTATTTTGTTTGTCTGCCCCCCAGTGGTAAAAATCAGTATTTACTAGGTTGGGTCAAATTCTGCCTTTTGAATTTTTCTGCTTTGCCATTATAATTATTTGCTGTTATTACATGAGAGTGTACACACATAAACCATGAAATTGCTGCCATAAGATCACTTCACGGTGTCTTTACCATGTCAAAAGTTATCATGAGTTTTGGCCTCAGTACCTTGAGAGCAAGCCCTGCAAGCTGTTCCAATAAAAACACATTTAAATATGTACCTTGAAGTCCATTTTACAATTATTATTTTTAATTAGGTCAGTTGTTTAGCCAGAACAATAGATGAGATTATCCAAAGGGATGGAAGGTTTAGGTGTCTGCCTCTACATATATGTAAAATATCTCTGTATATATGTGCAATATTCGGAAACAGACTCCTACACTTTTGTCACTAGCAGTGTGCATTGGTAATTTGTCTAAGTTTTTCATTTGCATTGTTTGGAAAATGAGTCACGTTTCATGCTTTGAAGGCTGTTATTGACTCACTCAGGTTAAGATTGGCAAGTTAATACAACCATGATTGAATAGGATGCAGTTTTATTATATATCAAGGCTTGGGGTTAATTATATTAACACAAAAAGTGCTGTGCTAGATCAGGTCAAAAGCCTATCTAGTCCAGCCCTCTGTTCTCACAGTGGCTAAACAGATGCCTCTGGGAGGCCCATAAGTAAGTTCCTTGTGCAATAGCACTCTTGCCACATGAGATTCAGAGGCATACTATCATTATCATGTCCTCCTCGTAATGTGTGGCATGTAATTATTGTTTTGAGGTTACGGGTGGTGGTTTTTATTTTATTTTAAATCATTGCTTTAATTAGGTTGCATACAACGAAGTCATTGCACTCGCAAAGCAACTTTAGGATCATGCACTTGGACTTCCTCTTACTCTCCTCCCCACTACTACTCTAAATCTGTTCCATTCATGCAGTGACTGTATTAGATTCAACCAATGGTATTGCACTTTTGTATGTTCTGGTGAAGAGCAGGTCTTTTATTTATTTCTATACCTATTACGGTACATTTCTATTCCCACCTTTCCTTCAAGGAGCTTCAGGGTGACCATGCATGACTTTCTCCCTCCCCATTTTATCCTTACAACCACCCTGTAAATTAAATTATGCTGAGAGGCAATGACTGGCCCAAGGTCACCCAGTGAGTTTCGTGGTTGAGTGGGGATTTGAACCCTGATCTCCCAGATCCTAGTCCAACACCTTAGCCACCACACCAGTGGAACCAATCGACAGGTTCTGGTGCTTCTCTGCTGATCTCCCAGACTCTCTAGGTTCAGAAGCAGTATGCTACTAAATATCAGTTGCTGGGAACTAACAGCAGGGGAGGCCTGCTGCCTTCGTGGTCTACTTATGAGCTTCCGAGTAATAATTAGTTGGCCACTTTGGGAAGCAGTAGGATGACCACTCATGCTTGTCAAACAAACAGACAAAAACAGAGAAAGGAAAAAAGAGGTCACAGATCTGCATACAATCCCCTATCCTAATTTATAAAAGGTAAAGGGACCCCTGACCATTAGGTCCAGTCACGGACAACTCTGGGGTTGGGGCGCTCATCTCGCTCTATAGGCCGAGGGAGCCGGTGTTTGTCCGCAGACAGCTTCCGGGTCATGTGGCCAGCATGACTAAGCCGCTTCTGGCGAACCAGAGTAGCACATGGAAACGCCGTTTACCTTCCTGCCAGAGTGGTACCTATTTATCTACTTGCACTTTGACGTGCTTTCGAACTGCTAGGTTGGCAGGAAGGTAAAGGGACCCCTGACCATTAGGTCCAGTCGTGACCGACTCTGGGGTTGCGCAAAAACAGAGAAAGGAAAGAAGAGGTCACAGATCTGCATACAATCCCCTACCCTAATTTATATGTATGTGCAAATGTGGAAAAAATGGCCATCGTTTAAACAGAAATACTATATATCTCAGGGTTGTGGGTTCGAGTCCCACATTGGGCAAAAAGATTCTTGCACTGCAGGGGGTTGGACTAGATGGCCCTTGGGATCCTTTCCAACTCTACAGTTCTATGATTGGATATCTCACTATGGTAGAGAAGACTAAAGCCAGTGCCTACTCAGTTTTGCTATCCATGTGTTGTCAGTGAGCAGCTTCAAGGCTCCTGCTCCTCTCTCTTTTTATGGAGGAAGATAACTGGACTTTGGGTGCATGTGAATCTGGCGCTAGTTTTCCTGATTATAATGCTAGGACTTATGTCCTATTTTCTGACGTCCCTTTCACACTGCAGTACCTGTTATGCTATGGAAGTGGGGTTTTTTTTGACTGACATGTTGCCCTATATTTTGTTCATACCAGTGGGCGTGGCTTGACACAATGGATGTCATTGGGCAATGCTCCACACGTGCCTAATTTTAATTGTTTCCACATGAAAACAGCAGGAAATAACTGTATGCTGGTATACTTTTCCAAATTCCCTCACTTTACTACCGCAGTTTTCTAGGCTAAGGGGGCTGCACATGGATTTTTTCCTGGAATCAAATAGCATAGAAATGAAGGCTAAACATGCGCTATATTCCGTTAGTTTTTTGGGAGTGGCTTTTACATTGTGTGAAAGCTCAAATCTAATGTGGAAATTACCTGCTTGGGAAATGTCAGGGAAATGAAATAAATTGCTGCGTGAATGCAGCCTTGGACCAGACAGAGAACTATTTCAAAAAGAAGACTATCCTCTGTGAAGTAGGACACACAGCCTCCCTAGAAACATGATGTTAGGCTTGGTAGACATTTGGCCTGATTGTGCAGGGCTTTTCTTACTTTCTTTTGAGAAATCCATAGATCAGAATAATTTGCCAGCTTACATTTGCATGGTCTGGTTATGTCAGTTGTCATCTGTCCATTTTCTCCCAAAAGGAAACACGGAGAGAACGCAAGGCATGGCGTGATGCTGTGAAAATAGCCTATTTTTCCTTCCTGGTCCCCAGCCTCTTTTTTTTTTTAAAAAAAATGTTTTTTTAATGGTTATTTTTAAAATGTGGGAACCAGGCATTTTGGTTCCCATGAGCCTTTTTTTAAAGGGCAAACGAAGAATCTAAATCCATTCTGTACCATGATGCAGAAATCTGTGGGTTTTATAGTTCTTTTCTACCTTACGTGCGCTCCGTTTCCATAGAGACTCTATAAATAGAATAAACTTTAAATCATGATGGCCCAAAGCAGCAATTCAATACAGTAGGGTTTTCCCCCCTTTCTTTCTGGTAATCCTTTTCACAGGTGAAAATCAGTAAGACGTTCTGATTTTTAAAGTCAATTGGCTGATGAGGAAAGCTTGAGCCTCTTTGCCCTTCCCCTGTGCAACTTTAGTGGCTAGTAAATTATTCCTAACTTTTAATGAGAATAAAGGAGGCCTAATGATTTGGGTACTAGTGGGAGTTGAGTGACTTGAGGCTAGTTTGCAGAAAACTACACATTAAATGTTCTTCACTTTTGATTAAACCGTGGGGTGCTGATGTGAGGCTTCCAGGAACCATGAGATCAAGTTGATGTTTGGGAAATGAATGTTTCTGCCCCTTCTCTGATACTTCAGTGGAACTCAAACTAGGGTTCAGGCATAGAGAATGCAAAAATACATGGAAGGTTCAAGGTTCTTGTGTTGGTATGCAAAGGGCTGAAAAACGAGTCCAGGCTCTTAAGCACTTCCTGAGCCCTTATTTCCCAGCAGAATTCTTGAGATCATCCAGAGGAGTGCTGTTAGTTGTGCCGTGTGTTCCAGAAGCCCAGCTGGCCTCAAGTGACTATCAGGCATGTAGTGTCACTAGTTCCCTGCTGTGGAATACTCCTCCTGCAGACATTTGGCAGGCATTCTCACTTTGGGCTTTCAGGCATCTCTAGAAGACTTTTAAAAAAGCAGACAGGCCTATTCAGTTGTTTAAAATGTCTCTTGATTAGCCAGTCATTTAATGATTGCCCTACTGATGTTTTGTATAAATGCTTTTATTAACAAATAGATAAGCACCCCCCAAAAAAAAAGTTCCAAGGAGGGAGAGGTTCCTGAGAGAGGAAGTCCCTGGTTGGGACCGTGCAGAAAGGACTGACCCAGACTAAGTCCTTAACATGTCTAGTTAGGAGGACCACATAGCTGGTCATTAGAAAAGACCTCTGTCTGAGACCGTGGAGAGCTACTGCCAGTCAGAATATGCATTACTAGGCAAGATGGACCAATAGATCAGCTATATGGTGGATAGCTTTGTGGCAAGATGAGTTTTGCATTCGTAGGCAAACCTGAACACAGGTGGGCTGAAGATCCTCTGTGGTCTGCTTTGGATTTACAGTGGTACCTCAGGTTACATACGCTTCAGGTTATATACGCTTCAGGTTACAGACTCCGCTAACGCAGAAATAGTGCATCAGGTTAAGAACTTTGCTTCAGGATGAGAACAGAAATTGTGCAGCGGTGGCGCGGCGGAAGCAGGAGGCCCCATTAGCTAAAGTGGTGCTTCAGGTTAAGAACAGTTTCAGGTTAAGAACGGACCTCTGGAACAAATTAAGTACTTAACGTGAGGTACCGCTGTATTAGATATTTGTTCCCTACCACTTGCCCCATGTCGTGCCCATGTTGTGACATGGAGCACACAAGCCTTGAAAAAGCAAGGTGACGTCCAGAGGAGCAATTTTCTTCAACAGTGCCTTGACATCTAAATCCACCCCTTTTTGAAAGTTAGTAAAGGTAACGGGACCCCTGACCGTTAAGTCCAGTTGCGGACGACTCTGGGGTTGCGACGCTCATCTCGCTTTACTGGCCGAGGGAGCCAGCATACAGCTTCTGGGTCATGTGGCCAGCATGACTAAGCCGCTTCTGTGAACCAGAGCTGTGCACAGAAATGCCGTTTACCTTCCTGCCCAAGTGATACCTATTTATCTACTTGCACTGTGATGTGCTTTTGAACTGCTAGGTTGGCAGGAGCAGGGACTGAGCAACTGGAGCTTACCCCATCTCGGGGATTCGAACCGCCAATGTTCTGATCAGCAAGCCCTAGGCTCTGTGGTTTAAAAGGCTTTGAAAGGGAAGGCCTCTGGCCTGGAGCCTGACATCTCTCCAAAAGTTTTTTTAACCAGCGCATAGGCTGCACTGTGTGAGATCCTTGGAGGTGAATATGCTGCTCTTTTATTAGAATTGGGTTCAGTTGTTTCTGCTTCAGGGACTTCTGCCTTGGCTTCGTTCTGTTTGCTTTGATGGAATGTGATGGAAGCTTGCACTTCTCATGCCAAGATTCACCTGCATGGTGGCCCTGATCCCACAAGAAAGCCCTGGTCTCAGGTCATCTGCTATTCTTTCACCAGCAGTGGACTTTTGAGTCTTCAGCTGTTTTCCCAATACAAAATCATTAATTTAATTAGATGAGAGTGCTGATGCAGACTCCTTGTCAGTGGGCTGCTAGGATCACTTTTCTAAATGCTCTTCAAACTGCAGCTCCTGTAGGGTCACTGTTTGTCAGGTTTTTCAAAAGAACTCAGCATTGTTGGGCTTGTTACATATTAATGATTTCACATAACCAAGCTCAGTCTGGTTTATTAATAATGAAAGAGCATTACAGGTTAATCTTTCTGCAAGAAAAATAAAACAAGATAAGAAGTAATGTATGGCCAAATACCATGTTCTCTTGGGAGAGCAGAATGTACAGAATGTCCTTGTTGTCATCCTTCAGAAGATCTGATCCCATAATTAGAGATGCATACAAATGAAATTAGAAAATTTCCCACATAGTTTATTCATGAAAATAATAATCTTTAACTATGTTTGCATCCACTAACACTAGCTAAGTCCTTTCTTTTATGACCATGGACAACATGTAACATGGATTGGAAATACCTTTTATTTTGTCGCCTAGGGATCCTTGATCAATACATAGGAAAAACTTTTATCTACATTCCATGCATAACCAAACCATGCCCCATAAGCACCACAGACGAATGAATGGGTTCAAAGCAGCCCAGGTTCTGGGAGTTGCAGGCTGGGAGCAGGCTCCACCACACACTTCTCTTCCACAGATCCACTTATTTGCCAGGTGCATTAAACACACACAGATATGGGATGATGTGGTGGGAAATTTGTTCTCTGCTCCAAAAATAGCAACAAGCTCATTTGAAATGGCAACTGACACAAGTTGCCACCCAGCGGTCTTTCTGGGGGACAATCTGTTGTTTAATTGCTTTGATATGTTGCAAGATATGGCAGGATCAACACTTTTCTGCTCCTGACTTCCAGCTTCCTTGGAAAGATTATGTGGCTCTTTCATTCCATCTTGAAGCAATGTCCCAAAAGGAAGTTTGTTCTGCTTATAAGCAAACTTTTATGCATATACATATATATGTATACATATATATACACATATACATACACACACACACACACACACACACACACACATTTTTGCTACATAGGCGATAAATGCCGTGGACTTTTGTAGCCTATATTTTAATACAGTAATAGCCAAATCTGATTCTCCCATCAGCCTCAGCCAGCAAGGCCGATGGTCAGGGATGATGGGAACTGCAGTCCAACAACATCTGCAGGACACCACATTGGCTATCCAGGGTGTAAGACCAGCATTTTGTCCCTTGTTCTGGCATTTTTTCCTGCCTCATATTACTTCGATTGTGGAGGAAACCCGAGTGGGCCACAACCAAGACTTTTAGCTACTAAAGCCACATAAACTCTGAAGAAAGGAAAATCTCCTATTCAGTTTTCAATGATGATTTAATGAAGGAAGCTATGGTTTGCTTTTGCACTTATACATGAAATTTGGTTACATTGCCTGTAGCTTCTATAAGATGCATCTGGTTAGGCTTGACTTGAGTAACTGTAACCATAGCTTGCCTTGTAGTTTGGCAAAAGCAGCAGAGCATCCAGCTCTCTTCTAGACTTTCTTCTCTGTCTCCCTCAGTCTAGTGAAGCTGTGACTTTGGCAAAAGCTTGTGCCAACTCATGGGACTCCTTAAAGCAGAGTTTGCAGGACAAATGGGCAGGAGTTAATATCTATAGCTGGCAGGTTCGGTTGGGAGGGAGTATATCTTGTTAAAGCATATTTAAAAGGCCAGGAAGAAAAGCACCTGCTATGGAGAATGCTTTTGCAAATTGAAGAGTTGTCAGCAAAAAGTGTGGAAATGACCATAGGACACCTGCCATACCAGTCACAGTTAGGGTGCAGATCAGGGGCAAAGAACCTGTGGCCCTCCAGATGATGCTGTACTCCCATTAGCCCCTGCTAGCATGGCCAGTGTTCGGGGATAGTGGGAGTTGTAGCTCAGCAACAGTTAGAGGGCCACAAAACTTCCCCACCTCTGCTGCAGATCTTAATGCAATATAGTGATCTCCTTTAAAACATCCAGCTGTAACAATGGATAGGGCATACTATGCCAGGCTTTGATGGTTGCATAGGAATGATGAATAATCCTGATGTTTAGCACCCTTCCCACCCCTTAAGAAGTATGTCTCGGGGGGTGTGTGTGCACACGGCATTATCACAATTGTCACTGTGCTATTAAATGGTATCAATGTGATCTCTCAGCCTTCCAGTCGCTTGGTATTGTACAATCATCGTAATCATTACCCCACATTGCTCACATCCATTGCCTCCTGCTCTGGCAAAAGTGCTCTGACAATGGTTCTTGCTGGATGCTAGCTGACGTAGGATCTTTTGGGAGGCCTGGGGGAGCAGTAAGTGTGTATAAGTGTGTACTGGTGGTGAATTGTGATAGTTCAACAAATGGTGGTGGTGGTGGAACCCTAGGGGTTAATCAATGCTGAGAGTGCTGGATCCCTAGGTTCATGGTCATGAAATGCAAAATATTGTACTCCAGATTGTTATGTGTGGGTGAGCCTGGACTTCAAAAACGCTAAACCAGTTCGTAACAACAGAAGATGCAGCTGCAGGATTGTGGCAATATTGCGAGCTAATTTTTCCATCTGTGTTCTGTGCCGTCTGTGTTATGTAAGAGAAGCCCTGTGTAGCCCCTGTGCTTCCAATGCTTTTGTCTCTCTTCTCCATGCAGAAGATACAACAGCTGTCTGAGGGATCTATGTTTGGCCATGGCCTTAAGCATCTTTTCCATAGCCGCAGACGGTCCCGGGAACGGGAGCACCATAACTCCCAGGAGTCATCACAGCAGCAGCAGCAGCACCAGCACCATGGCATGTCTGACCACGACTCCCCAGACGAAAAAGAACGTTCCCCTGAGATGCACCGTGTCTCCTATGCCATGTCTCTCCACGATCTTCCGGCTCGGCCCACTGCCTTCAACAGGGTGTTGCAGCAGATCCGCTCCCGTCCTTCCATCAAGAGGGGGACTAGCTTGCACAGCGGCAGTCGGCGAGCCAAGAGTGGCTCCCTGGAACCCCAGAAAATCAGCCCGCACCTTGTCCGCAAGGCCCCCCAAGATAGCAGCCTGACAGCAATACTGCACCAACACCAAGGCCGGCCAAGATCTTCATCCACCACTGACACTGCTCTCCTTATGGCCGAGGGTGGGACCGTATACCTCCTGGCGGAAGAGTCTGACTGCCTCGCTGACAAGGTAAGACTGAAGGTCCAGAAGTATGAGGTGTCCAGTAACTGGGAAACCCATTTCACTTCATAGTATTCTATGTTCCTGTTGTCCGCCTCTTTGATAGGGAATTCAAGGCCCTGGAATCCAATGAGTTTCAACATCTGTCTATATCTAACAAGGTAAAGCAACTTGGCAGGGTTGCTTGGTGCCACCTGTGGGGTTTGTGAGAAGCACATAGGAATGGGTGAATCTGTCAATTTCAGGTTCTTTGGGTTTTCATTTTTCTAATTTTTAGTTCACACTTCCACATCAGTTTGTGATTTTTTTTTTTTGTCTTCATGAAAATTCAGCAGCATTTTGGTGTGAATTTCTCCAAACATGCACATTTTTGTGTGTGCAGTTTTGCCCAATATACCCATTTTTGCTGGGCAATTTTACCTCATAGAATGCATTTTGTATATGTTTCTTGGCTGGAGGGCTGCATGACATACTTTGGAGAACTGCAAATTTTGATGGATGGCGGTGTTTTGGTTTTCATGTTGTTTCAGCAAGTGCAAATTACATAGGTCCAGCTTTAAATGAAAACTAAATAAAATTTATCACCAGAAGCACCTCCATGCTAAAGAGAGATGCAGCTCCATCAGATGCACCTAAAACAAATCGGGTGGAATTCATATCAAAAGGCTAAACCTTAGTTAGCTGAGCTTGGCCAGCATTGCTACAAATTAGCCTTCTGAAATTATTATGGTATTGCCAGTTATCTCCATATGTCTGCTTGCCTGTCCTTTCATTAACAGAGTGTGAAAAGTTCTGTCATTCCCTAGATTAGGGTGGGCAGAGTTCAGAGTTGTAGGATGAGCTTTGTTTTTTAGCCAAACCCCACAATTTACTAGTCAGAACCAGCTGCAAAAGACATAGTTGGAATTCTATGCCTCTGAGCGCCTCCTGAGACTAGGAATTTATTTTTGGTACCAGATCTGAATTGAGCTCACAGTCCTTTAGGGCAAAATCCACTTTTGCTTATTAGCGGTTTTCATTGCAGCCGCCCAATTTAGGTAGGAAAAGTTGATTTGTTGTTAAACAGTTGGGAGTCATAAATGCTTTTTCTCAATCTACTACAGATCACCTAGAAAACTACCAGTAGATCCCAATCTACCTTTCTGCCTGTGCCTACTGTAGATTATCTAAATAAGACTGGATTCTAGCCTGCATAGCACTTCAGACCTCTCCCTGCAAAATTCACACTTATTGTGACCACAGAATTTTAGATTTCTATGTTGATTATTCAGTATTCCACTAACACAGGGCTCGGGACCATTTGGCCCTCCAGATGTTGTTGCATTCCATCTCCCATCAGCCCCAGTCGGCGTGGTCGATGGTCAGGGATGATGGGAGTTGTAGTCCAACAACAGTTGCAGACCCAAGTTTGAGAAACATTGAATTCTAGAGGGCCACAGATTCTCCATCCTGGCACCAAGGCTGCTATGACAGTGAGTCCCTGAATACAGAGTCTCACCTTCATTGAATAAAAATTCAACAGCTGAGAATGGTGAACAGTTTACTTGGATTCTGAGCCTAGGCAGTTGCCCTATATCTAGACTGCACCACTTAATGCTAATTCCTTGCACAAAGAAAAATAGCATGTTAGGGTGAAGGGTAAACTAGAATCCTCCATGATACCTAGCTTTCTACATGGTGGAGGGCATTGTAATGCATGGACATTCATTTATGTGAGCCTGTTTCTGTATTTCCACATAGAATGGGTTGGCCGTTATCCGGAAGGTTGCAGCTATCACAGACTGCACAGTCTTGTAGCACATTGTGACTTCACTGTTAATGTCAGACATCAGGGCAACTGCTTAATCTATGGGTGTGGCAACATTGCATGTCCTACATTGTTTCCTACTTGCTGGTTTTCATGTTGTCTATTTTTAGCATTATGCTTCCTTCCTTGCTTGCAGTAGGCTTGCCTTTATGAATGACCTCACTAGTTGGCATCATGGTCAGCCATGCTGCCATTTGATGAGCTAGAACGCTATCCAGTAAGTCCATGAAATCTTCGTCATCCACTGAAAGTGGATGATATCATTATAGCTGTGGGTTTTCAGAATCTAGTCATTTAATGAAAATTCAAGTCAAGACCAACTTGGAGTGGGAGCAACAACTTTAGCAGTTGTTCTATACCATGGGTAGGCAAACTAAGGCTTGGGGGCTGGATCCGGCCCAATCACCTTTGAAATTCAATCTGCGGACGGGAATCAGTGTGTTTTTACATGAGTAGAATGTGTGCTTTTATTTAAAATGCATCTCTGGGTTATTTGTGGGGCATAGGAATTCGTTCATTCCCCCCTCTTCCAAAATATAGTATGGCCCCCCACAAGGTCTGAGGGACATTGGTCCGGTCCCCTGCTGAAAAAGTTTGCTGACCCCTGCACAAACACACACACACACACACACACACACACACAGATCTCAAAAGTTTTCTGCCTGGCCTTGACAGCTGTTGTTGTGGGTAGTGCCTGATTCTGATTCTTTCAGCAGGTTTTTTTGTGATTGCTGCAAGCTCACAAATTCAGGAAGCTTTGCTCTCCCTCTGGATCGTCTTCATTTTGCCTTAGTGATGATTTCATGTAGTTAAAACTGATTGGCTGAATAGTGCTGCCGCATCATCCCTCTCATTATGTGATCCCTGATTGGCTGTGATTGCCCATATGACTTTTTTGAGGGGCGGGGATAACTATGAAGCAGTAGCAGAAACAATGGACGGCACAGGATTTTTAAAAACTGAGTATTTAAACCATTTGCAGGATTTTTTCTGTCCCTGTGAAAGCAGTTTCCAAGCCAGTAATCATGAAACATTTGGCACTGCTCTAATTATCTTCCCCCATTATATAGATGTTGACAACATTACCACTACCACTGAACGCTATGATTAAAATAAAGTAAAAATATTTAAAATATGCAATTACAGAATTAACTGAATTAACAGTGTATCGCGTCAGCCCATTGTGATATGTAACCTGGTACCAAAAGACAAACCCCCTAAAACAGAGTACACCAGAAAGCCCTAGATCTTTCTTGTCCCATTATTGTTCCATTTTATGTGCATAAGAAGAAGACTCCAAATTTGTTCTTCAGGTTCAGGAACAGAAATCTCAAAATGTTTACCATTTCTAACAGTAGCAAAATTATCTCCTGTCCTTATCTTCCTGCCTAAGAATCACAGTATTAAATAATGTTGTGCATGACCTTACTGAGAATCTGGTTAGACAAGGTCTTGCTCTGGGGCTTAGAGCTTGGAGCTGAGCTCTTGTCATGGAGTTAGTTGAGAACTTCCAATGGGACAAGGATTCCAATGGGACAAGCTTAACCACCTGGCCCATGCACAGCTTGCCTGAGATCCAGAGTTGGAGTCTTGTTAGAATAAAGTCATAAACTCAAACAAAAAGGCACCCAGTCCCTGGCAGGGCCCCCCAATCAGCTTGGCCCTCCAAGTCCCAGGGCAAGTGTACCTGGCTGAGCCCCCCTCTCATTTCTGCATGGGCTCGACAGCCATAAAGCCAAGCTATCCTGAGCATCTTTGCAAAGTTTCTCTTTTGGCCAGAGCAACACTGAGAGATATGAAACAGCAATTACCCATACCTGTGAGCTGAATTTTAATGCTGCGTAAGCAGCCCATCTTTACTGAGCAAACGTGTTGTTTTGGGTGCCTGGAAGATGCCTGGGCACGTCTCTGGGTGAAATGAAGGTGGCGGATGTGACTGTGAATATTTTCAGCGAGGGGATTTGGGGGAGTTTGTGAGGAGCTTTGCAAATCCTAAGTAAGGGCTTTTGCAGCTGCTAAGACCTTTCTGCTAGGAGAACAATAAATTGCCTGGTTCCTTTGGGGTCAGCAGGATCAGGCTAATTCCATACTGAAGTCTTGGTATTTTCTTGTCGTTCTGTACATGCACTGTTTGTTGCTCTGTAGAAAATATTTCCTATCAAGCAACTGCAAGCAGTAATCAAAGTGGAGGTCATGGATACAGCTGCTTCTCATAAGAGAGGATCTTGAACGTTCCTTGGAAGATCATGCAGGCATTGCCCTTTGCACATGTGCCAGATGGAAATGTACATTGAAGTGGGGCTGGGATAGTGTTGGGTGAATTCCAATCCCTCACATTATTTTTAGCCCATTCTGAAGTCTGGGTCCTGTTGCTGTACCTGTGACGTATGAGAACTCTTCTGTTGAGACTTGGCTTCTTTTTAAAAATGATGGCAGTATCAAGAGTGCCTCACCCCCCAAACACTCCTCTGGCATCCCAAATCCCCTTCTGCTGCTCACTCTGATTTATAGTGTATAAATTTCTTGTGTGTATGTGTGGGTGTCTGTACACATTAGTGTATGGTGGGGTAACTGGCTACTGCTTATATGCTTACCTGATATATGCTTAGACCTTTATCGTTGTTTTGATCATATCTACATAGTTACAGCACCTGCACTGTGCAAAAGAGGTACAATCACATGTGTACTGATGTGTGCGCATGCACAAATGCACACACACACACAATCAAATGAGAGACAATATTTCATAGGTGGAAGGGGAACTACCTTTTCATAAATAGGCCAAAAAGTAGATGCCTTGGGTGAGAGCATTGGACCACACAGCCATCAGTACTTCATTGTGACTTGTTAGTAAGGACAGTGGGTGGAATACTCAGGGGTTTTCTTTTTCAGCCTGCCAAAGGTATTGGATCATTGGAACAAGGTTAATGCCAAGTGGTACAGTTTTAAGGTTTCCTTTTTAAAAAAATTGATTTTGGCCAGCAAGCTATCCAGCTTGCAGGCAGCTACCATTTACCTTCTCCATTTGGCAGCTCCCTTCTGCCTTCTGTCTTTGACTATGAGTGCTGTCATTTCAAAATGATAAGGGGCTCCTCTGGATGTTTCTCTCACTAACTGCCCAACTATGGGATCCCAGGTTTTAAGTCCCCCTTTTCCGAAGACAACATACTCCGAATCGTTTAGCAGAGGTATCCTGATACCTTTCCCCCGCCCCTCTTTGGGCTGCCAGAGAACATATCCCTTCTCAGTGTCAGAAATAGAACCGATAAAGTCTTGATCCTCAATTCTCTCTTGCTTTGTATCTTACAAAACCAACAGCTGTGTCTCCCTGTAGACTGAGAGAGTGAGTATCGGGACTGGAGAGCTGCAGGCTCCTGCCAAAATGAATCTGAGCTTGGAATGACATCAAGGGTGCCAGCTTGCTTATTTGCCTGGGAGGGTTAGAGATAAGTGAGAGCTGCAATTTTAGCTGATTGCTTTAAAGATGGAAAGCCAGTTGCCTGGCAGAGAGAAACACACACACCAGGATTATTACTGTTGTTGCTGCTGCTGCCGCTGCCGCTGATTGCTATTGATGCATTAGGCAGGCATTCCAGACAGGCTCAGAGACTTAATGTGTGATGCTCCTGTGTTCCAGTAGTGTCTTGTCATGGTTACAGTGCTTCATACAGGCTTATAGGCACATGGGTGCTTTTTAATGACCTATGCAGGGATACTCCCTTCCCCTCAATGAGTTATGGTCTATTCTCTATGCAGAGCAATTGTGGAAGTATTTGGTACTTGATAGGTTGACTGACTGACTGACTGACTGATTGATTACATTTATATTCCACCTTTTCTCCAAGGAGCTCAAGGTGGCATACATAGTTCTCCTCCTCAATTTAACCTTACAACAGTCCTGTGAGGTAGGTGAGGCTGAGAGGCAGTGACTTGCCCCAGTGTAATAAAAATGTACCACCGAGCTATGGTCTTGGCCCTCTAAAACATGCCGTATTTTTCGCTCTATAAGATGCACCAGACCACAAGACGCACCTAGTTTTTGGAGGAGGAAAACAAGAAAAAAAAAATATTCTGAATCTCAGAAGCCAGAACAGCAAGAGGGATTGCTGCACAGTGAAAGCAGCAATCCCTCTTGTTGTTCTGGCTTCTGTGATAGCTGCACAGCCTGCATTCACTCCATCAGACGAACACACATTTCCCCTTACTGTTTAGGAGGGAAAAAGTGAGTCTTATAGAGCAAAAAATACGGTAGTCCCATCATTTCTGCATGTTGAGATTCCCGGCTGCATTGAGCTGCACTGAGCCAAAGTTATTCAGTACTGAACTTAGCCAAGGGAGCTAGTTAGACAAGGAAAGAGACCTTAAATTGCAAATGTCTGTTATTTGGAATTAATTGCACAATTGCTTTTGTATGTTGCTCACAGAGAGACTGAAACTGAGCCATGCTGATTATTAATTTTTTGTCCACTTCATCTGTCTCAACCTCCCCCAGCCTGGTGCCCTCCAGATGTTTTGGACTACAACTCCCAGCCAGCACAGCCATGCTGTTGGGGGACTGCATCAGTAGTCCAAAACATATGGGGGGCACCAAGTTGGGGAAGGCTGTTGTACATGATACAGTGATGTGGACCCCAAGTAGTGAGCCAGCACCTTTCCTTGTGACCTCTCTTTTTCCAGCAGCCACACAGGAATAGCTGACAGCTCTCTTCACATTCTCATCTTTCTACATGTAGTCATCATGTGAACCATCTTGAGGAATTTGACGGTGTGCACTCGCTGCCGCAGTTGGACGGCTGCTCTTGAGCATCAGCTGAAGGGTGGAGTGATGCAAACTCTGCAGCATAAGGTTATGACAGAGCAGCATTAAAGAGGCTGCTCCCAGCCAGCAGTGTCTTGCATTCAGTTATGGCTGAAGCTTCTGAACCTCTGAATGCTGGGTGCTGGGATTCGCAAGTGAGGAGAGAGCTCCCATAGGCATCTAGCTGGCTATTGTGAGAACAGAATGCTGGACTAGATGGAGCCTCGGCCCCACCTTGCAGGTCCTTCTTACGCCTTACCTTTCCCACGCCTGAGATCTTTTCTCTGAAGATGCTGGGGATCTGAATTGGGGCTTTTCTTTTTATGCCTGCACAGCTTAAAAGGCCATTGAACTGCAGCCCATCCTACTTTTATCAGGATGGGCTTTTTTTTGTAGCTTCAGCTGCAGATGCCAAATACTTCCAAATTTCTATCAGCCTGACCTTCTGGAAGCCTTGGCTTATTAGAATTGTTTAGACATGCTGGCTTTCATGTTTATCTCACCTGAGCCCCAGAGCTGAGGGCAAGTTAACAAAAGAGAGCTGATAAAGCCAATCGAGAAAGTAGTTGCTGTCAACTTAACAAGAGCAGTGGAAACTACCACAAGGGGCAGTATTTAACTTTTCCCCTGGATGAAAATAAGTTTTTCTCCAATAGTCTGAGAACAAATTGGTAGGCATCTGTGCACTCTCTCTCTCTCCCTGACACACTAAAACTTTCTGGAACGGTAGCTATATTGGTCTGTTCACAAGCAACTCCTCCCAATCCCTGTGTATATTTATTTGACAATAACCCCATCAAACCCAGCAGGGCTTACTTCTGAGAGATCTGCATAGGATTGAGAATTCTAATCTGAGGTGAAGATTGAAGTCCAGCGGGTGGGGGAGTCTTTGTTCTAGATTAGTTCATCCGGAGCACTTTTGTCTCTGCTCATCATCAGATATGGCTCCATCAACTATTGGAACATGGCCCCCAATGGATTACTCTAGTGGGAATGTGGCCCTCGGCAGAAGAAAAGGTTGCCTAGTCCTAATATAAAGGATGAGGCAGGCTATACATTTGAAAATAAAAATCCTGAATAGCAGTAAATTGTAAGGGAGATTCGGAGGTCTACAATGAAATTCTCGGGCAAGGTTCTTGAGCGGGTGGTTGTGAACCAGATTCAAGCGCTTTTGGAGGAAACTGATTCCCTAGAACCATTTCATCTGGGGATTCAGGCCAGGTTGCGCACAGAAACTGCTTTGGTCGCCCCGTTTGATTTACCTCTGCTGGGAGAGAAACAGAGGAAATGTGTCCCTCTTAATTCTTCTTGACCCCTCTGTGGCTTTCAGTACCACCTACCATGGTTAGGGATGGGTGGCATTGCTTGCAATACATCAAGGACCAGCTCTCCTCATATGAACTGTGATAATCATCTGAGGCCCTTCTTCATGTGCCCTCTCCATGAGAGGGCTGAAGGCTGGCAACATGAGAATGGCCCTTTCATGGAATGCTCTCCCCAAGGAGGCTCACCTGGCACCTTCGTTACATATCTTTTTGCGTCTGGCCTTTTCAATGTGTCTGGGGGGGGGTATTGGTTTGCTTTGCTCTTGCTTTTTTTAATTATGTATTTTGTGTTTTCATTTTGTATTTTTATGTTGTGAACCGTCCTGTGATCTTCAGATGAAGGGCAGTATACAAATTTAATAAATAATAGTAATAATAATAAATGCACTGTATGTTGTTGTGGAGGGTCTTCATTCATAGTCTTGCTTGCAATAACATGTTTTTGGTTGTTTAAGCAGAAGTTTTGTTTTGTATCATCTGTGTTTGTATGGTTTTGTAATAAACTTTGGCTAGCACAATAAACTTACTTGAAAATAAATGAATAAATACAAATAAATAAATGAGATAATACACTTCAAACAAACAAACTTCATTAGGAAGGCTGCCAGTATGCAGCTTCCATACAGTCATCTAAGGCAACCTCCAGAGAATATGCTACAGTAATCTAAGGGTCACTTCATATATTACATCTTTAGGTATGCACCTGTTGTTGTTGTTGTGTGAATGGGATGTCCATATTTGTAGTTGAGTGTACCATGTTTTTAGAAACTAGTCAGGGAGATATAGCTGTCTATAGGTCTCTGCTGACTGTGAGCTCAGGGTTGTTTCTGCAATAAATGGGGGGGGGGGTTCCTAAGCCTGAATCTGACAAGATTCAAACAAGCAAGTTTCCCAATGTATAAGCATCTGTTTAGCCACATTCACATGTTTGTAAGCTGCAATGCAGAGCAGCTTCCAAAGTCTTGTAAAAACACATTTAACAAATGAAACTATGCAGGCAATGAGGTTGTGAGGCTCTGGAACAAGCAGCCGTTTCCCCCAGTTATGTTAGCTCTAGCAACTCTAAGGCTCATATGCACCAAGCTGTCCTGTGTTGGCCTCTCTGCACCCTTTGTGGTCTTGGCAAAGTTATCCCCAACCAAAGATTAAAAGCTCACGGAAACCATTTGATTAGTGGTAGAAGAGACAGGGCTCGCTTTATTTGGTCCCGATTTAATTTCATAACCAAAAACGAAATGTGGAAGCCACTGCAGATTTCAGTTTCAACATCTGAAGCTAACATTTGGGTCTGAAGCAGAAGGATATCCCAAACCACATATTGAATATTTATTTCTTTAAAAACAACTAACTGTTCGAAAACAGGATACTTTTAAAGTTAGCCCAAGATTGATTTATTTTTTTAAAAAAGCTTTCTACAAATTGAAATTGAAAACATTTACGCCATACTTACATTAATTTCAGCAAAAGCCTATTTGGGCCCTGAAAAACAAGGGGGAAATAGCCTCTTGGCTCGCGTTCCAAAGGCTTTTATGCCTGCTGTGACTGAGGTGCCCTGTATGATGGGTACCACCAACAGAGCTTTTCTTCCTTGAAAGGAAACGAAAGGTCTCGGGTGACAGGCTCCTGTTCCACGCTGATACCATTCAGCAGCACAGCGACCTCCTGGCATCCTGATTTATAAATTCAGAAGAAAAGGATCCAGAGGAGAGACACAGATGGATCATGACAACCCACAATTGCCCCTTGAGCGGCTGAAATGAATGTCTTTCTGCGTTACCCTAAAGAGTGAAATGTGATCTTGATCCTTTTGTTGCATGATGAGCAGGCAATGGAAAAGCGGCATCGGCATTTTTCTTCTCTTATTTCAATTGCCGTTTGGCACGTAGCAACAGCAGACACGCACGAGCACATAATGCACCCAGCCATAAGGACCCAAGCAAAAGCCTGGTTGTTGTTGGCTTAAAAAACACACACCCACGAACCATCCATCTAGCTGTTATTGTGCCTGTGGCAATGGCCCTTTCTGATTTTTTTAGGAAAAGGTCCTGAATTTTTCACCAAGTTGGAGATAGAATTTTATACAAAGAAAGAACAGCAGGGAAGCTATATTGTTGTTTGTAGAATTTGATGGGAGATCCACACTGGGATTGGTTTGGGCTTCCTGTAGAGCATTGTTTATACTTTACCTTTGGGCAGCTTCATGTCTGCAAGTACATTTGATTATGTATTGCCACAGTAAATTTTTCTGTTATAGTCAAGAATTTTAATTGGTAATTGTTTCTTTCCTTTGCCCTGGTGCATTGTGAGGGCAGTAATGATGTTTTTCTTCAGGGCTTTCATTGCAGACTTGCCAGGTATCATTCTTAGGACACCCTGGTAATAGTTTCACCAATTTCAAACTGCTAGGTTGGCAGAAGCTGGGGCAGAGCAATGGGAGCTCACCCCATTGCGTGAATTTGAACCACCGACCTTTCAACGGGCAAGCCCAAGAGGTTCAGTGGTTTAGACCACAGCACCACCCGCATCCCAGTGCAAGTAGATAAATAAGTACCACTGCGGCAGGAAGGTAAAGTGTTTCTGTGTGCTCTGGTTTCCATCACTGTGTTCTGTTGTGCCAGAAGCGGTTTAGTCATGCTGGCCACATGGCCCAGAAAGCTGTCTGTGGACAAACACTGGCTCCCTCAGCCAGAAAGCAAGATGAGTGTCACACCCCATAGTCACCTTTGATTGGACTTAACTATCCAGGGATCCTTTACCTTAACTTTTAGTTTCACCACTACATATTTTTAATGGTTTGTAAGATAGTCCAAGCCCTTATTACACTGGGCTGGTGTGTGTGTGTGTGTGTGTGTGTGTGTGTGTTTGTTTGGATTAGGTGGAAGGATTCGTCCACTCTTCTCAGCCAGCTTCCTACTGACTGCTGAGTAGGCATGTGGATAGTCCATGGTGGTATCTCTGCTGGCATGGGCAAGAAGAAAGCTCCCAAATGGGGCATTCCAAGTGTGAGGAGGAATAGGGTTGAGCCAACCCTGGATTTGTTGGATCCCGAGTTCATGTCACAGCTGTTGCACATCAGCATTGGGCCCAATCCTCCTGCCCCCACATTGCTTCAATTGCTGTGTATGTCAGGGCTGTGGTGGTACTTTGGTGGGTAGGTTGGATCTGACCTTGCTTTGGACAAAGTTGCTCACCATATTTGGGGCCAATGAGGAATTTTCCCACCAGGTCTATTGACCCTATTGACCCTGGCGGGTTTCTCCTGCCTTGTAGCAATTGTCACAACTTTGGCGGAGAAGACATTGGGTAAAACCTAGTCATGGTTGGAGGGGAGGTTGTAAGCCCTTGCCTGCCCCTCCAAGGGAATGGGGCATCCCACTAAATGGATCCTGGAGGAGGTGCCTCTGTCCAGATGCTCAAGTGGAGGCTAGACTCATAGCACTATTTGAGTTGTCAATCCTGGAGAGGTGGCTCCTATTTGGTGTATGCCATAGGGCCTCCTCGATATTGGTTTGATCCCTTGGTTGATCATCTAGCAGGCAGGTTGGCTGATATTGGTTGACCCAGTGCCTATGCCACACCCATTGCACCTATAACACTGGTCAACAACAAATTTGTTGTCTGCGTTTTTTCAGTTGATTTAGGACGAATCTGATGCGCTGAATCCAAAAATCACATTGGTTTTGCTCAATCAGGTCAAGTTTTTGAGCTATGGCCACATGTCTTTTTTTACGTTTTTGTTCACATGTACGCCTCTATGGAGCATTTTAGAAGACGTTGGTGGTGGTAAAATGCCATCTCGAATAATTGTTTTGATTGGAAATGATTATTTTAATGACCAGAAGTATTCAGGTCCGATAGTTCTGGGTGATTATGTCGAAAAGGGATCAGTTTTAAGTCATAAAACCTCGAAATCTTCCATAAATTGGTGTGGCAAAGCATAAAGTTGGGGGATCAAAACTAAGTTAATGGGGCAGCCGCCCCACGAAGTATCCTGATCTTCAATCAGCACGTCGTCCTGTAGCTCATTGTGATGAAATTCCAGTGCCTATCTTCGGAGAACTTCCTGACATTAGTGACAAAGATGCCTCCAGTGTTGAAGGACATGAAGAAGAAGAAGTGGTTCTTGAAGATGATGCTCCACATCCATTTTCCCAAAAGGAGTTGAATGATCTAGTTCGCGACCTCAGCTTGTCAAAGGACTCTGCCGAACTGTTGGCATCCAGATTGAAGGAAAAAAACCTCCTCTCTGACAGTGCTCGCATCAGCTTCTTCCGCAACAGGCATCAAGAGTACCTCCGTTTTTTCTCGGAAGAGAAGGACTTGGTGTACTGTGCAGATATTGCGCAGCTTCTGCTCAAGCTTGGAGTGCCACAGTACGAACCCAAAGATTGGAGACTGTTCATTGACAGCAGCAAGCGATCATTGAAATGTGTTCTGCTACACAACGGCAACCAGTTTGCCTCTATACCCCTGGCTCACTCTGAGTACACTGAAGGAGAACTATGAAGCGGTGAAGTATGTGCTGGAGAAAATTGGTTATGATCAGCATAAGTGGTTTATTTGTGTTGACCTGAAGATGGTGAACTTTTTGTTGGGACAACAGTCTGGCTTCACCAAGTACCCATGTTTTCTGTGCATGTGGGATAGTAGGGACCGTGCTCAGCATTACACGAAGAAGGACTGGCCTGTGCGGGAGGAACTGGTGCCTTGCAAAGAAAGGAACGTCATCAACGACCCTCTGGTGGACAGAGACAGAATACTCTTCCCACCGCTGCACATCAAGCTCGGCTTAATCAAGCAGTTCACCAAGGCTCTGGACAAGGATGGTGACTGCTTCACTTACTTGTGCCAGGCTTTTCCAGGATTGACCATGGAGAAGTTGAAAGCTGGCATCTTTGACGGTCCTCAGATCCATCAGCTCATCAGAGATCCAGAGTTCGGAAACTCAATGAACAAAGTGGAACTGGAAGCGTGGAAGGCATTTGTTCTGGTAGTGAAGAACTTTCTTGGCAACAATAAGGCCAGAAACTACACAGGACTTGTCAACAACATGCTGACTGCTTTCAGAAACCTGAGCTGCAACATGAGCATCAAGATGCACTACCTCTTTTCACATATGGACTGGTTTCCTGAGAACCTGGGTTCAATGAGTGACGAGCAGGGGGAGAGATTCCATCAGGACATGAAAGAGATGGAGACCAGGTATCAGGGTCGCTGGGATGCAGTCATGATGGCTGACTACTGTTGGACTCTGAAGAGAGACCTCCCTGCCGCTGAGCATTCCAGGGTTCCAAGAAACGGAAGTTCAAGCCCTGAAGTTTGAAAAATGGTGAAGCAACATGCAATTTACGTGTACTTACCTTTATCAATGCCCACCATTCAGTTTACAGTAAACCTGACCTGATGGAGAGAAACGGATGCCATTTCCTGATTCAGCAGTGCAAAAATACCCTAAATCAGTTGTAGAAATCTAGACAACATTCAAAAAGTAAAAAATTGTTGCCCAGTGTAATCAATAAAGTTGTGGCCTAATTTGAACCCTATAATGTTGCTATGAGTGGTCTTTTGGATTGCAGTGCCCTATGGGGCAGTGAGCTCATGGCACCTGGGCATGCAAAGTCCCACTGGGGCAGGGAGTAGGAGTCAGAATCGTGTCCTTTAACTATAATACTGAATTGAGACAAACCCAACCATATGGCAAGATTGAGAACTGCCATTTTTGTTTTGTTTTTAAATCAGCTGAAATCAACATGTGTTAAGCTTATGAAACCACAATTTACCACACTGGGATTCAGTACAGTTTTCAAATACTACTCAGGGTATGGGTTAGGATTTGGATGTAATGCAGAAAATCATCATGATTTGGTTCAGGATTCCAAAATCCCATTTAAGAGTTGACTTGTTTTGTCTACACGAGACTACTGCTCAGAACCATTGCTTTCCTGCTATGGGCTTTTGACAAGGTTCCACCATGGCTCTCATGCTTTGCAATATCTACATGAAACCACATAGTGAGGTCATTTGGAGTTCTGAAATGAAGTGTTAACCAAAAGGCTGACAACACCATGCTCAACTTCTCCTTTTCACGTGAGTGAGGCAGAGGAAGTGCTGGGTTGGAATACAGGACCGCAGATGAGAAGCTGCTGCTCATTTGCGACAAGGCAGAAATGCTTTTGGTTAGCGGCTTGTCTGACATAGATCTGGTGCTCACCCTGTTTTGGATGGGGTGCCCTTTCCCCAAATAATTGTGCTTGCTGTCTAAAGGATTGATCCTTTTTCCCCAACGGATGTCCAAATGGCTTCTGTTACATGAAGTGTTTTTCACCAAGTGGTGTCCTAGCTGTGACCTCTCCTGACCACAGTTCGTCACAGTTTGGTAATTTCCAGAGTAGATGACTATAATGTGTAGTACATGCACATTACATCTTGGACACTACAGTTAGTACAAAATATACAACTGCTAGACTCTGAACTGGGAGTGGCTCAGGGGAAATTGCCTTGTTATTTTTTAAAAAACACATGCACAGTCTATTTCTGAGCTCAGTTCAAAGTGCTGATGCTTACTTTTTAGAGCCCTTACTTTTTAAAGTTGAAGGACCACCTTTCCCCACACAAACATGCCCCTATACTTAGGTCATTGTTGGGGCGCCTTCTGTGGGTGTCCTAACCTAGTCAGGCAGAAAGAGGGCCTTCTCGACTGTGGCACCTAGTGATGTTAAATTCTCGAGAATAATCTATTGGAGAATATTCTCGATTAATGAGAACTTAGAGAATTTTCATTTAAAATAGGAGAATATTCATTTTAATGCATTGAAAATGATATAATTAGTTAATATACATGTTTATTCATGGGTATGCTTGTTCAGATGGCAACCAAAAACTGTACAGATACTTTTATTCAATGGGGCAATGCAGTGAATTCACATTCTTTGATTTTTTTGCACCAAACTTGAAATTGAAAATTCAACGTTTGGGGAGAATATTCTCCAGAGAATTTTCCAGCAGAGAATATTCTCACCTCACATCACTAGTGGCACCCCATTTTCAGAATGTTCCTCCCACTCTCAGGCATTTTGAAACGGTTTTATTTTGCTGTTTGATTGCTTTTGCTGTTCTAATATCTTTCATTTCTTATTTTGATTAGCTGTATTTTTCTATTTGTTAACTGATAGCTGCCCGGAGAGTAGAATACCAAAGGGCAGGACATATATTTTTTCAAAATTTTAAAATAAACAAATTATCATTCATTCAATTTCTTTCTCTCTCTTTTTGGCAAATTTGGGAAAGCAATAAGAATTAGTTGGCATTTATTTGATTTCTTACCTACACTTCACCACAAGGTTCCACAGTGGGTTACAGCCAGTGTTTTTTTTTCCTGGGGGTACGCATACCCCTAAATATTTTGTGAATCTTTGTCCATTTACTGTATTTATTTCCCCCCAATTTGAACTATAAAATGGCGATTTTCTTGAGTCAAAATGAGAGTACCCCTAAACATTTTTTTTAAAAAAGCACTGGTAACAGCAATTTAAATTGCCATATTAAAAACCATTTAAGACAAATCACTGTTACAAGAATAAAGTGGGTGCGAAAATATATATAGCTCAAGTGTCCAGGATAAAGAGGCGTGCCCTCAGCAAATAACAGGAACTATGCAATGAAGGTGACAGACTCACCTCTGAGGGGAGGGAATTGCACAGCTTAATGGCTGTCACAGAGAATGTCCTTTCCTGCCCCCTTTGCTGATCTTAGCACATGAGAGGGCTTTAGGAAAGGAGGCAGTCTTTCAGATATTTGAGGGACTAAATCCTTTATGGCTTTAAACACTGATGTGAGCACCTTGAATTGGGCCCGGAAACCAGCCAGCAACTAGGTAAAAGATTAAAAACGCATTGTGTGAAGTGGCTTTAGCTGAGATTATAAAGTGGGCCCTCTTTATCTTCAGTGCAGAGTAGGATTGCCACCATTTTCATCGCTTAGGCCCTGTGTATCTTGAGTAGCTCTGCATCATAAGCAAAAATTTAGGGCATGTGTCCTTCTGACAAAACAGGACCTGTCCCAGAAAAAAAGCTGGCAAGTCCATGTGAGACTTATTCAAAAGGCTCTAGTATTAAAGGCAGCATCTTGTTCTCCTACTTGTTAGCATGCATTCATGTTTTAGTTTTCTAATGTCCATCTAAAAGCTGAGACAAAACTGGTGCCCCATTAAATATATATATACTGTAGTTTACATGAGAGTTTAAAGGTCAGGGCTTGCTTGCCATTAGAGTGATTGTAATATTCCTGTATCACATACACTTATTTCAGGGCCAAAGCAATGTATGGCAATAAATAAAATTGTAGAATTGCAGGTGGAATATGTAGCGCTGGGTGGATACAGTCAAGACTAATGAAAGACACTGAATTAATCATGAAAATTCTCTTCCGGAAAGGCAATCATAAAAACACAAGTTTTCTTGAATACCAGAACTGAATGGGCCAAACTAATGCTAACTCGAATTCCACAAAAGAAGGGTGAAATGAATCCCCTAGAAAAGGAATATAGCAAAACAGAAGTCCTAACATGGAAAAAATTAATCTGAGTTCACTAAACATTTGTGCTTTAAATAGTGCTAGTTAATCTTAATTGAGTTTACGTGTGGTTTTAACAAGATTAATTTAGGTGCGTGCAGATAAGTCTTTGTCTAGTCAACAGGTTTGTACTGCCACTCTTCATGATCTGCCAGAAACTGACTTGACACTAAAGGGTGCTTGGACCAATTATCGTTCCCTCCAAAGCCAGAGTCTAATTCCTCCCACTGCGACAGTGCCAAATTGTGTGCATTAAGCAAAAGCGTTGGTAAGAAAGCTTAAATGAACACAACCACCGCACAATGAATAATTAAGCATGCCACAGGAAAGAAAGTTAAGGGTTTTGTTGCTGAGGGGCCTTCTTAGAGCAATGGAAAAACAACAACAACACCACAGTTTGTTCTGAAAAGACAGTAACTCTAACCTGTACTGTGTCATATATTTTTTCCATGTCCCGTGAAACAAAAGCCGCCTTCTTTGTTCAGTGATTCCTATTATGTATGTTTTTGTGTGTGCGCACACATGCATGGATGAAAGGGCTCATGTGAGAACCACGTGTGTGTTGGAGGTTATGTTCTGACATCTCAGTGACTCTTGTGCCATTCCAACCCCAGCAGCAGTGTGGCCTAATTAATCCTGTAAAAACCATACATACATATGCATGCTCATGCAGTCTTGCACATGTGCTTGTATATGCGCACTATGTGTTTTAACAATACAGTGGTGCCTCGCAAGACGAAATGAATTTGTTCCGCGAGTTTTGTCGTCTTGCGATTTTTTTCGTCTTGCGAAGCACGGTGTCAGGAAAGTTTTGGAAAAGCTTCAAAAATCACCAAAGTCTTTAAAAACCTCAAAAAAGGCTACCACACCGCGTTCTATGAGTTGCTCCTCGAAGTCAAGTCGCAACTGTATTAACGGTGTTAAGAAAAAGGAAACAAACTTGCAAGATGTTTCTGTCTTGCGAAGCAAGCCCATAGGGAAAATCGTCTTGTGAAGCAGCTCAAAAAACGAAAAACCCTTTCGTCTAGCGAGTTTTTCGTCTTGCGAGGCATTCGTCTTGCGGGGCACCACTGTACATTAAATGTCCAAACCCATGAACTAAAGAGCATTCTAAAACATACACGCCCATGTATTGTATAACAGTTTGAATGGCTCTGATTAGTCTCTTGATGCCATAAAGAAATGGCTGTGTTACTCCTCTACCCCTCCTCTGTGCTGCACTTGAAGAACTATGCTTCCCATTCTCTGCAGCATGCAGTGATCTTGGCTGACCTAGCCAACCGTGAAGAGGAGGCAACAGTAAAGGTATCTGACTCTACCTATTTCTCTTTCCCTGAGAGGGATTTCTTACATGTGCCTCTTACGGCTTTCATCCACCTGCTGGCACTTAAACTTAAGCCACCTGAACAAATGGCCTCTTAGGGACATGGGGCATGATTTCTAGGAGGGGTAATTTGCCGGTGTGCTTTTAGGGCGTGAAAGTCAAAGCTGTTCACAAAATGTTGGGAGCTTGCATTTAGCACTAAGCGTGTATGTCTTGTGAAATAAGTTTGTTAATTTCATGCAAGCCTATTAATAAATGCAGGAGGAGCACAAATCAGGAAGTGATCAAGGAAAATCATCACGCATATATTAATCCAGACACTGATGAAGTTACCATGTGATTGCAGAGCTGGAGGGCAGCATGTTCTCGCCTCTGCTATTGGCCAAGTGCCCAAAGGCCAGGTGGAGGGTGGAGGGGCCTGCTCCTCCTGCCCTGCCTCTCAGGAACCACATTGTGGCAAAGGGGAGACCAACTTTGGCCCCATCCATCAGCCACAAAAGGAGCAGCTGCAGCAAGCTTGCTTCCCACCTCATTGCCCCGCAACTGTAGAATCAAAGGGAAAAGGAAACCTTGGCCCCATCCATCAGCCAAAGGAACACGAGTCATTAGCTGCTATTCAAGCCAGAACAGCAACAAGGTAAGATCAGCCCTGCCCAAAATGGATATAAATTTGAATTGCTTAGGATTTTGTTTTGGCCTGAAAGGACTGCTCTCCTTCATCTACATTGTTTCTCCACTCCTTTTGTCTTTTTCTCTTGGCATCACCCCCCTTTTTTCTGTGAGCCACTTTCCGAGACAATAATTCTCCCAAAAGCAGACTCAAAACATAATAAACAGATATCCCCTTAGCTCTAGCTCTTTTGCAAATGCAATCCAGTTTAATTATAATGGCTTCAACTCCAGGAACCTGGGTCTTGTCATTTTATGACAGCACCAAGTCTCCTTCGTCAGCAGCAAATGTTTGGAAAAGCACAGCCAACATGATCAAGGGGATGGATAAGGAAAGGCTGCAACATTTGGGGCATGTGTATTTAGAGAAAAGGTGAGTAAGAGGGGCCCTGGTAGAGAGGCATAAATTTATAAGAGGAGTGGAAGAAATAGCTAGAGAAAAGTTTTTTTCCCCTCTCACATAATAGAATTTGGGGAAAATCCAAGGAAGCAGAATGTTGGAAGATTCAAGACAGAGAATGAAAAGAACTTACGCAAACAGTGCATAGCTAAATCCCAGAATTTTCTTCCACAAAAGGTAGTTATGGCCATCAACTTGGATGGCTGTAAAAGAGAACTAGACAAATTCATGGAGGACCATGCTATCAATGACTTCTTTTCACAGTGACTATGCAGGGGTCCACTGGAGCTGGTAATGGGAGCTGTGGCTTTAGTATAGGGAACGCATGTATGAGTCAAAGGAGGAGTATTTCAAGGGTGTCTTGTTTTCAAGCTCACAAACTGATCCAGAGAGCCTAGCTCTGGATAGTTTTGTTATGTTCAAAGACAAGGAGATTTCCTTTTGCTTTTTAAGGCAAGCAGGACAGAGCTGTTCCGTTTTGTCCTGTTTTGCTTGAGCAGTGATGGTCACTGCTATAAGATGGAATGGGACAGAGCAGTTGTTTTGTAGACCTATCCACAGAGTAGATGGAATCATATCATTTTGTTGGCCCGTGTTTTGGGCTCATTGCATCCTGTTGCCTCAGAACTTTTAGCAGTAAAGGAGGAATCTTCATTTGCAACATGACCCATTGTGTTTTGGAAACTTTTTTTTTAATAACTGCAAGCTTTCCAGTGGGCACTGGGTAATAATAATAATATTTGATTTTGCACTTGTATGCATGTGAAATTATTGTTTGACCATTCCTTGATCTTTACATGTTTCCTTGTGGTTGGCCTTCAGGGCCTTTGTTCATTTCTTCCAGTTGTTATTACTGGTAGTGGATATGTGGTGGGTGGCTGAGTCCCATATTAGTTAATTTTTGAAATAATACTGTTAATAATAGTATGTATGTTGAAAGCCCAAAGTACTGCTTGGCACAGTTGATTTAACAACATTTTCCTTTCATGGATTCTAGTTTCCTTGTTCTCCCTGTGGGAATCTTTTGGAACCTTCCCAACACCTGTCCCAGTTGGGCTAAGTTCTGTGATGTTTGAGACTATACCTAATTGAAGCCAAATTTGTGACAATCTGAAACCAGCTGCTGTCCATTTAATTAAATCTCTGGTGTCTGTTATCTGGACAATAGGAGTAGCCAGTGCATTTTCTCAGCCTTGCAAGTAGGTCATGAGAAGCTTTGATCTTATGGCTGTGGACAGGCAGTATCTTTTCCTGAATTGTAGCTTTTTGCAGTGTTACCAAAATAATAGCTACTGGCACAAAGGTGAATGTCGAGGAGACGCTGTCTGAGATTGTAGGTCTGCCGTTAGTGGAACCCGTATCATGTTAGAACTTCAAATCAGTCTAAAGTTGATATCTTTTAGTTAGGAGAAATCCCCTACAATCAAGAACTTTTCAGTATAATTGAAATGGTTTGGTGCTTTCAGACAATTGAAAACCAGTGATGACACAGCATTTTTTAAAGCAACAACTTTGCTTGCTATACTTAAGAACACACACACAACTTGACTTCATTTATTTTAAAGCCCTTCATAATTGTGCTGCTTTGGACAGAGTAAGTAAAATCACTTACCAGTCCAATAAAGGAAACTGGTGCTTCACTGCAGGATTATTTCCTTATGGCATTAATCATCTGCCTTGGCCTGCTTTCTGGAACTGATTCACTCACATTTTACAGCCTTCATTCAGGTGAAGAGATCAGTAGATGGGGCTTAAGCGAAGGGTCCATGGAGAATTTCCAGAAGGTGTTCTGGGACCCGTCAATGGGTCTGGGGACATTTCAGATGAGCTGCGAGGCTACCAACAATGGGTAAGGGGATCCAAATGATCCCCTTGCACTCATTAAAGGAATGTGTGACAGGGTGTGTGTGCTGTGAAGCACTCCAGTTGGAGAACAGCCTTTACCAAAGGTGTTGTGGACTTTGAAGAAGCTTGAACTCGGGACGAAAGGGAGAAACGTGCTAAGAAGAAGGCACGTTTGGCAAACTCTCACCATGATCAACTCTTGCCTGGAAACCTATGTTCCCAGAACTGGTCTCCAAGGTCAACCTATGGACACACTTTAAGACTGTGTTCATGGAAGACAATCTTACTTGGCTCTGAGTGATCACCAAATAAGAAGGGTAGGTCTGCCCCTGCTGCTTAAACACCTATGGTCATGCCTCTTCCTCACTTAGTATGCTTGAAAAAGGGTTGTGTACGCTTATTGACATACAGATGTAAATCTCAACCATCAAGGGAGATCCTGAGTGACCCAGGATCTCCCCTTGGATGGTAGAGCCTCCACTTACATAGGGCACCTTCTTATTCTCATACATAGTAAATGCACAACTAGGAGGGTGTGTGGTTTCTGAGCAAGTCAATAGCTGGGCATGGAGGGGCAGGAGCAGCTTTATAGCCATGTGACACACACATTCCGGCATTCTTTGAGCACATGGGGTAGGGGTTTCTCAGTCCCCCTACCAACAGTGCAGCAGCAGGGGCTAATGGCTGAGAAAGTTCTGGCTTAAGGGACAGGACTGACAAGTGAGTTCTGAACAATGTCATAATTTAATTGGTGGACAGTGCTCAAAAAACAGGAGCAGCAAAACTCAGCCCCCTTATCTTTTGTGATAGCTTCCTTAACTACTCTTTTATTGAAGGGAAGGGGGAGCAGGGTATGATTTGGGTAAAATTAGGAGGAGGCAGGGTGGGTCTTGGCGGTTTTATCAAGAATCATCCTGCCTTTCTCCCACTTTAATTTCAAGACTCGACTGTCCCATATTGTTAAAGTTTGAGGACCTTCAAAATACACAGGCATAACAGTGCAGCATAAAGCTCCTGTCTAATTCTGTAGAGTGGCACATGAGAGACTTTGCCTAACTACTTATAGAAGGCATTTAGAGAAAAAATTAACAAAATGTATGTGGCAACATAATCTTTATTTTATTTATTGAATTTCTATACCGCCCTATACCCAGAGATCTTAGGGCAGATCACAGAATAAAATATTGGCAGTGTAAGGACCTTGGTGGCAATAAATAGCACTTGTGTGCAGCCTGTTTGAAGGTTAAAACATTATGGGAGAATGTTTTTTAAAGTTGTGTTGGATGTTGTAAGGATATGTTCTTCCAACATCTCCATGAGGAGTGAATGCGTGGAGAGGGGAGTTGTACATGTGCTCAGTTGAATATCAGCAAGGACTCCTTTTGAATTTAAGTGCATGCACACAAATGGTGCTTCCAGATGGGGGCTTAATATTGTAACTGGTCAATGAGATGCCAAACAAGTTGTTGGCAACATTAGAAAACAAAAACAAACTTCTAGTCAAGAAAGGAAAAAATATAGATTAAACAGGCATTAAATTGAGGGGAATTGTGGACTGGCTAGGACTGATGGAAGTTGTAGCCCAAAGCATCTGAAGAGCACCAGGTGATGGTTTGTTTAAATGCATACCTTTAGCTAAGTTCTGTGGTGAAAAAGAATCAGGTAGTCTATTTCTAGATAAATGGATTTATGATTTACTAACATTTTAGTTACAAACAGAATGTCAATCCAAATCTTTTTGTCCTCTCTTTGTGAAGGTCTGTAGGGACTCGTATGTGCTGAATATTTGTAAAATAGTAAGAACACACCAGATAAAACATAGCGATAACAGAACAGAAAAGAAATCGGGAGTTCATTGCATAATATCTTAAGCGTAAGAGCTAGATTATTTATCTCTTATATAATTGCTCTGCATCAGCAAGAGCTTTTCATTGCTATTGATACGTGCAATTAAGTCTCTGCTGTCTGCCATGTCAAACACAGTTTTGACTCACCATCTCCTCTCCAAGGCCACTCTATCCCAAGACGCCCCAGACGACTCCATTCTTCTGCTCGAGTTCTGCTAATCCAGATCTCCCTCTGCTGGCAGCAAAATAAAATGATACAAAGTTAGAATTTCACAAAAATCATGCTGGGCAGGAGACATTCGGGAATCAGGTGATTGATTGGGCTGCTGAGTAAATCAACCCAGTATTTAATTATTTCAGGAACTGCTTCAAGGCATATTAATCTTTTTATGTCCCTTGGAATAACAGGGTGAGATTAAGAAATCCGGAAGCTCTCATTGTGGAATTTATTCCAGTGGATTTACAAACCTCTCAGATGGAATACTGTGGTACCTCGGGTTACATACGCTTCAGGTTACAAACCCCGCTACCCAGAAATAGTACCTCGGCTTAAGAACTTTGCTTCAGGATGAGAACAGAAATTGTGCTCCAGCGGTGCGGCAGCAGCAGGAGGCCCCATTAGCTAAAGTGGTGCTTCAGGTTAAGAGCAGTTTCAGGTTAAGAACAGACCTCCAGAACGAGTTAAGTTCTTAACCCGAGGTACCACTGTATACACAGGAAAACACACTTAACTTCAGACTAGGATGACCAGGGGAAAGGAAAATAGAGTTTGTGTATTATTTCAGAAATTGTGTTACAGTGGTACCTCGGGTTAAGTACTTAATTCGTTCCGGAGGTCTGTTCTTAACCTGAAATTGTTCTTAACCTGAAGCACCACTTTAGCTAATGGGGCCTCCCGCTGCCGCCGCGCCGCTGGAGCACAATTTCTGTTCTTATCCTGAAGCAAAGTTCTTAACCTGAAGCACTATTTCTGGGTTAGTGGAGTCTGTAACCTGAAGCGTATGTAACCTGAAGCGTGAAGCGTTTGTAACCTGAGGTACCACTGTATTTAAGAAATTTGTGTGAGTTAGGCAGATTTGCCTTTAGATTCAAACCAAATTGAATCTTCCACCCTAAAATACTCCTATTAAAGTGTGTATATCATGGCAGCCTAATGTAACCACCACACAAGGCGTTTCCTATACAGTATAATGTTGCTGCAGCAAGAGCCTGATTTGGGTCTGAGGCCCTTAATGTGATAGTATGAATATATCAGTGGCGAAAGGGAGAGTGGGCACTGATCCCCAAGGCCCCCTTCCCCCACCATCCAGAATGCTCAAACCAGCCAGAAGAACAAACGAGTCTTGAGACGCCTTAAAACCTACAGTGGTACCTCGGTTTACGAACTTAATCCGTTCCAGAAGTCTGTTCTTAAACCGAAACCGTTCTTAAACCGAGGCGCACTTTCCCTAATGAGGCCTCCTGCCGCCGGTGCCCCTCCACCATTTGGATTCTGTTCTTAGACCGAGGTAAAGTTCGCAAACTGGGACACTACTTCCAGGCTGCTTGGCGTGAAATTCACTGCCAGTGGTATAGCCCTTTCTCTTACCCCATTCAGAGCTTTGCAAGCTTATTCCTCCCCAGATAGGAAGTGTGAAAAGAGCTGCCAGTCCATATTTCCACTGAAACTTGGCAAAGTCTGGTAGCTTTTAGAGTTCCCTAGCCTGCAATCCTGCACATACTTTTGAATATGTCTATTGCACAGAGTGAGACTTAGTTCTGAGTAAATATGGAGGGATTGTGTTGCATGTATAATATGACTGCCAGATCTTGCCATCTGACATGTTTGCTGCTAATTACTGCAGATTAAGCTTCTTGTTTCAATTTGAGTTCAAGGTGGGGTTAGTTGAGATGAGAGATTCCATGACTACTAGCATGACTGTTATTACCACGAGTACTGTTTATTTGGGGGAAATGCAGGGCCATATCTTTTAGCCAGCATAAGTAAGGAAAAGGCTTGTATCTGTAGATGCATAGGAGAAAGGGACAGGTTTGATAGCAGGGTAGTGAAAATGAACAGGGTTAAGTAGTATTAGATAGACTCATAGAGTTGGAAAATATCCTGAGGATCATTCCGTCCACCCCTCTGCAATGCAGGAATATTCAGCTGTCCCATACGGGGATCGAACCTGCAAAAGTGCAGTGATGATCCAGAAAGTGGAGAAATATTGGGTGGGGGGGGGAGAGAGAGGAAAAAAGAGAGAGCATTGAATAAAAGTATTTATTTATTTCATAAAAATTATATCATGGAATTATAGAACTGAACAGTTGGAAGGGACCCCAAGGGTTATCTAGTCCAACCCCTGCAATGCAGGAATCTCAACTAAAGCATCCATGACAGGTGGCCATCCTACCTCTCCTTAAAAACCTCCAGTGAAGGAGTGTCTACCACCTTCCGAGGGAGTCCGTTCCACTTGATTTTAAGAAAAGAAAAAGCTTGATTCTAAGGAAAATCTTCATCCCCAATTAGCTCTCTCTGTGTTGTTTATAACATATAAAAAATAAGTAGCTGAGTCAATCCGTAATTCCCCCCCAAACCACAGTAAGAACTTGAAAGCTTGTTCCCTATTTTGCAACATTTTAGTTGGTCTAAAAAAAATAATTAAATGCCCTACTATAATATATTTGTTGTTTGTTAGCCATGTATCTCCCCGTTATTTATTATAAATAATTTATGTTGTATGTTGGGGCAGAGACCAATCTTTTTTGCTTATGCAAAACACTTTGTGCATTGATGACACTATATAAATACTAACATGGGTTATTATTTTCACAGCAACATTGATTTTATTTAAGAAACATTATGTCCAGCTTTTTTCAGCACAATAGTTTTCAGTGTAGATTTTCCACTGTATTGAAATCAACTACAATTTTATTATGGGATCTGCCATTTGAGATTTAGTGCACAATTAGTATTTCATTATTTAATTAGCATGGGTGTTTAATTAATTAGCATTAGTATTTAATTAAGGATACATTGCTATTACCACTTCCACAAATGATGTGCAAGCAGGATGTGGAACATAGGATTAAGCATCAGCTCAGATCACGAGTCTGTGAAATCAGATATCTTGTATCTCAGAGTGCCTGATACCTACAGTTGGACAATAAGGCACAAATCCTGTGTTGATGCATTTCTTCCTTTGAACGTTCTTGCACATAGGGTGGGTTTCATGCTTGCACGATAATGCACACTGCCAAGGAGGAGGAGGAGGAGGAGGAGGAGGAGCAGCAGGAAGATGCGAGTTTCAGCATCAGCTGTCTTGCTGATGAGGCTGTTTTCTTTGCAGTGAGAGAAGGTAGCACAGCATTTCTGTCTGAAGCCAGCTGGTGATGCTGCAGCCTTGCAAGAAGGATTTGCATGGTGGTGGGGAATACAGATTTCCCATCCGCGCACCAAACCACTGCTGGGTGACTGAAGCATCTGCCTCGCCTGGAGAGGGTGATGGTGCTGTGCAGACCCCAGCAATGGAGGTAGGAGTGCTCCAAGGGGGGCATTTTCATTATCTCACTAATCTCCCCTTTGGTGACCTGCCAGACTTCCCTGGAAGAGAGTGAGACAGAAGGGGATTACCGAGACTGGAATCACCCATCTCGCTGAGCAGCCGCAGGGGGAGGTGGGAGGGATGGGAATGATTGGTGTTCCACCCGCAGGCCTTAATCCCCACTGGCTGTCGCTCAAGCAGGATGGTTTGCAGGCGCTGTCGGATTAAAGCAGAATGGAAGGGTTCTGTAGGGTTGAAGCCTTCCTGCATGGCTGAAGTAATATTTTACCTTCCAACCCTCCGCCTTGCCAAGAAGGGCTGCTGCACGCTGGGACCCCAAGCAGGATTTGTACATGGTGCCACAGGAGAGAGGGGCAGAAGGTCACCTGGGATTGCACCCCCTGCCTGATTCCACGAGATGGTTCATACCCAGGTGAGCGTTCAGTCTGGACATCCAACCCGGACTTCCTCCCCCAAGTTGGAGGCTTTGAAGTGCATTGTTCTACCTTTGGAATGTGAATGACGGGAGAGAGGGGAGGGGTGCCTGATAGGCAACAATGGAGCAGGCTGTTGAAAGGTGGAACAAAGAGGTAACTGATCGCTCTCAGTTTGAAATTCAATAGCATAAGGATACATTGGTTGAAATCCAGGGTCGGAGGCTTGTAGCATCAACAGTGGAAGACGCTTGTTGCAGCATTTATTTATTTTTCGTTTTTAACAAAAACAATTGAGTGTGAATCCAATGTCACTTCTAAAGCACAACGCGCCCCCAGCCGTGTTTGCCAGCAAATACAGAGCTCTAGAGGTGGTGGGACAGTTGAAATGGAGGCAGATTGGCCTCTTGCTGTGATTTTTGCAACCCAGCGAGAGAGAGTGGGAAGTGTATGTTGGGAGTGTAGGATGGTTGCACCTGTGATGAAGCAGGCTGACTGTACTCTCATGCGGGTGGAGGAGGCAGAGCAGCTGCACTGATCTATTTACAGTATTTGCCTGGCTCCAGCGGGAGATCTGTGCCTTCATGTCCTAGATAAAAACCTTTCTTTTGCTCCTGCTCAAACAGATATGGCACACTGGAAACCTTCTAATGTAAAGTGCTCTGTGCTACAGCGTTCCAGGAACCTCTTGAATCCATTGATGAGAGTTTTAAGGCGATTCTGATAAATAGGGCAGTATCTGTACAAATATAATTGCTGTGCTGTGCCAGAACAAAGATCTCCCTAGCACGGCATTCTGTCCCCAACTAGAGCCACTCATATGCCCAAAGGAAGCTTGCAAACAGGGCAAGTCTGCAGTAGCTATCCTTATTCTTTGCTCTTAGCATTGTGTAATTATCAGCAAACTGCCTCTGAATGTGGAGGCTCCATTGCTAGCTATTATGTCCTTCAGCCACTGATGTCCCTGTCCTCCATCTAATCTGATTATTGATTGCCGGTGGGTGGACAATGTATTTTTTTATTGCTTTGGGCTATTTTATAGTATCTTTGCATTTTTACAATGTAAGTCACTATGAGACTCTCTTTTTTCTTAGGAACATAGGAAGCAGTCTTATATTAAGTCAGACTTTTGGTCCAGCTGTCCCAATATTGTCTACAATTAGTGGCAGTGGCTTCTCCAGAGTTTCAGACCAGAGTCTCTCCCAACTTTAACTGGAAATGACAGGGATTGAACCTGGGACCTTTTGTATGCAACTCAGATGTTCTACCTGAGCTGTGGCCCTTTCCCTTCTATAAAAAAGCAGTTAATAAATTGAATAAATCATCACCATCATAGTCAATCTACTTCACTAATGCTCATCTCAGCAATCTCTGTAAATGATTTCCACAGTATGATATGGTATGATGAGTAATGATAAATTAATTGTGATATTTCTCTCCCTCCCCAAATCTGGATTTAGACTAGTGACATTCTCTGTGTGGCCTGGGTACTGCAGTAGCTTTGCTGGTTCTTTAAGTTTATTCCAATTTCTTTTTCTAGTAGCAGAAGACATGCTGGGACTCATTAAATCAGAACTTGGCCAACATATTTCTAAAACAAACATGTGCACACAAATCACTATGTAATTAGGATTTGGGGGGGTACAGTGCCCCCCCCCCGAATAAATCCAAACACTTTTTTAGTTTCATCTTTGGCTGTTTGCAGCCATGTTGATCAGACAAACACAGGAATGTGCCTTATGTTGTGTCAGATCCATCTAGCTCACTGTTGTCCACACTGGACAGAGCCCATCTATATATACTAGTAACAGTAAGAGCTCCCTATAACCTGTTTGAAGATCTCCCATTCCCACAGCTTTGTTTGTTTGTTTGTTTGTTTGGTTATTACATTTCTATACTGCCTTTCCTTCTTAGGAGCTTAGGACAAGGCACTTGGGGTGTTCTTTGATCCAATATTGATAGCTGAGACCCAAATGGCCTCAGTGACCTCAAGCACCTTTTACCAGTTTCTGCTTGTTTGTCAGCTGCGGCCTTTCCTGCATAGGGATAGCCTGGCCACAGTGATCCTCCAGATCTGATAACCTCCAGATTGGATTGCAATAAGTACATGATAGGTATCTTGAAAATGGTTCAGAAGCTCCAGTCTGGCTGCTAAAATTCTGGCTGGTTTACCCAGGAGATGTATTAATGTTAGTTCATAACAAACTACATTGGCTTCCAGTTCACTACTGAGTGAAATTCCGGTGTTTATCTTCAAAGGGCTTGGGCTCCAAATATCTGAGGGAGAGCACCTCCTCCCATATCAGCTTGCCTGTGCATTAAGATAATTAAAAGAGACCCTTCTCCGTGTTTCCTCTTTAGGAGAAGCACATTACAAATGCATAATAGAGAGGACTTCTCTGTGGTGGCACCACCACTATAGGCTTGTCCTCCCAAGAGAGAAGGTGCCAACATTTGTTTTTGTTTTTTGACACTAGGTTAATGCCTTGTTTGTTTGTTTTGCCAGGCATTTTAGATTACGGTGTTTCAAACTGGTTGGATGTTTTTATTCCTCTGAATTGTATTGCATTGTTTATTATATTTTATTCTGCATTTTCGAGTCTCCTTGTATATCATGGTGTAATTAATTTTTGGATATAGGGTGGCTTTATTTTTATTTTTTAAATATTAAATGCATATATGTAAATAAATTCATGCAGCTACTCAAGTTTATCATCATAGCAACCATTGGGGGTAGGCTAATTTTAGAACCATCAGGGATCTGAATGCATTCTTCCTAGTTTGGATCTAGTACTTTACCCATTGCACACACATGGGTTGTACACACCACGTGCAGTCTCTAGAGACTCTGCTGTTCTGCCAAATATTGTGGTGTAGCTGGTTGCATTTACACTTCCTGCATCATGCCTTTTTCCTGATTCTGTGTGAGACTGAGATTGATTCCTGGCTGGCAACAGATAGTTCATATTTCATAAGCTGTTCATTGAATTTGTTCTTTCAGTAAAGGTCTGTAGTGGTGTTACCTCTATAAAAGGTTCTACACATCTTGAGTAGCTATGGACCAATGATTACTCTTTCGGAATGGAGAAGGTCGGTGACCAGCAATTGCACTTTCAGAGTGCTGTGTTACCCAGAGGGAAGCTTCTGGATCTGAGAACAAAGCCTGCTTTAGTTCATTATGACCAGGAAGCAACAGTATACAGAAGGACCTGAGGCTTGTCAGTTTGAAAGTCACAGATACTCCTTCCGCAGGGGGAGCATTGGAATTAGGTTTGTGACATCCTTCCATTTAGCTGTCACACAGATACACCACCCTAACATTATGTTCAAAGTTCATGCTCTAAAACAATGGCTCTTTAAAAAATGTAATTTTGTAGGATGTCACTTAATTGCTAGAAAAAGGTATAATCTTCCCTCTGCTTCTGCTTAGTGTGAGGGTTGGAATCAAAGATAGAGCTCCATTGTCAACCCACCCTAGGCCCTCAGTAGCAAGTGCCTGGTATTGTGTGCTTTGAAATTGCAGTATAGAAGCCACTGCTTTTGGTCTGGTGATAGGAATCTAACTCTGCAATTGTCATGAACACACTGCCGGGTGGGGAAGAGCTCTCTGGGTTTAGAAGGTCCAAACTTGATGATGTGTGGAATAAGTCAATGCATTTCATGTTATCTGTTTTGTTAATTAATTAATTAATTAATTAATAATAATAACACAGAGGGGACGAGGATTGGGACTGTAGCTTGCTAAAGGAGAGATTTAATTGTTGATGTAAATGGCTTCTTCCCCACCATGGCAAAGAGTGCTCAATGCATTCAGACATTTAATGTGTCATCTAGCTGGTTCATTCTGAAATGCTTGAGTTTGTTTTCAGAGTTAACCCTGGCTCTCTTGGCCACAGTGTAAAGTTGCTCTAGCAAACATGACAGCAGCAGCTGTGCCCTGCCTGCTCCCTTTCCTTAAAGCATTGTCATCATGCTTTAGACATTCCAGGGCCTCAGTTAGAGAATTGCTTGAAGCCTGCGTGGCTTGATGGCAATGGGCCAGATTTAAAACTCTACAGCTGGGTGGGTGTATGTCATCTAAGTTACCTATTAGGGAAGAAAAGCTGGCCTGATTTTGCGTGTGGCTTTCTTTCCACCATGCTTCACAAAGGCACGCTGTGATTGCCACATACATGTCTCCTGTCATCCAGCAATGAAATACAATCGCATCGCCTCTAGGGTGAAGCATGCTGTTTTATTTTGGTCAGAGAAAGCAGGAGAGTGTATGATCATGTTGCACTCTTTTGTTCGTGCCAACCAAGTCTATATGCGAAGTCCTTTATAAGGAAAGTGGGATAGAAATCATATATATATATGCATAAATAAATAAGACAGTGGCTGTTCCTTCTAATTCCTCAGTTATTTGCTTTGCCTATAGCCGTCATTTACCCTTACTATGTTTATGTAGCCTCAGCTAGAACTGAAACATGAAAAGTCATGTTCTGTGTCTCCCCCGCCACCCGAGTTCTTGTGCAAATGAAATCAGCAGTTGGCCATAGAACTCCTGGCTTCTTTGGGGTTCCTTGGAGCACAAGGCATTTGGATGCTCATCTGCTAAGCATTTTCTCAGACTTTCCATTTCGCTCAAAACTTCCCTATCTGTGACAGTGTCTTGAAATAGATGCCCTTTCAATCCAGCCTTCCTCAAGCTGATACCTTCCAGACATTTGGGACTGCGGTTGCTATGCTCCCTGGCCATAGGCCATGCAGGCCAAAGGTGATGGGAGCTAGAATCCAAAACATCTGGAGGACACCAACTTGGGGATGGCTAATTTAATCATAATACTTAGATATCAGAAACTCTAGGAAGTAGAACTATTCCTTTGCCTCTACTCCAAATTTGGTGCCTCATTAAGATGGACATGTTATTGATTCCTAGTTTTCAATAGTGCCATATATTGAATTATGGTCTATTCCTTATAGCGATTGATGTGGAAATCTGAGGTAGTGGTGGTTGATGGTGTGTGCATCTATATTGTTGCACGCCACCCCAGTCTCTAAGTGGTGCGAGATTCCAGGGGTTCCAGACTCTTACCCAGGGTTCGTGTTTCTTTTGGAATGATGCACAGCAGAGACTGTGGTGTCTTTATGAAATATGAAGTTTAATGGACTTCAATGTCTGTACACTAATGCGCAAAGCATGGGAAATAAACAAGATGAGCTTGAGCTCTTGGTACAGCAAACTAAATATGACATAATAGGCATCACTGAAACCTGGTGGGATAAGTCCCACGATTGGAATATAATAATGGAGGGATACAATCTATTTCAGAGAAACAGACCAGACAAGAAAGGAGGAGGAGTGGCGTTATATGTCAGGGATGTGTATACCTGTGAAGAGATCCAAGATTTAGAACCTCAAAGCCAAAGTGAGAGCATTTGGGTCAAAATTAAGGGAGAGAAGAATAACAGTGACCTCATTGTGGGAGATTACTATAGATCCCCAAGCCAAACGGAGGACATAGATGATGCCTTCCTGGAACAGATGGCCAAGCATGCAAAAGGAAGGGAGATAGTAGTAATGGGGGACTTCAATTACCCGGATATTTGTTGGATGTCAAACTCAGCCAAGAGCATAAGGTCAAACAGATTCCTCACTGGCCTTGCAGACAACTCATTGTCCAGAAAGTGGGAGAAGCAACAAGAGGAACAGCCATTTTAGATCTGGTCCTAACCAATGTTGATGACCTGGTTAGTGGGGTAGAAGTGGAAGGATCATTAGGCGTGAGTGATCATGCTCTTCTGAAGTTTACTATACAGCGGAAAGGAGCAGCCAAGCATACTAGGACTCAATTTCTTGACTTTAAGAAAGCCGACTTCATAAAACTTAGGGAAGTGCTGGGTGAGATCCCATGGACAGTAATACTAAAAGGAAAGGGAGTTCATGGTGGCTGGGAGTTTGTTAAGAGGGAGATAGTAAAAGCACAACTTCAGGCAATACCAATGAGACGGAAACATGGAAGGTGTCTAAAGAAGCCAGGGTGGCTATCTAAAGAACTTTTAACTGAGTTAGGATTAAAAAGGATGTGTACAAAAATGGAAAAGGGGGAAACCACCAAAGAGGAATTCAAACAAATAGCCAGCACGTGTAGACACAAAGTCAGAAAAGCTAAAGCACAGAATGAACTCAGGCTTGCTAGAGAGGTTAAAAGCAACAAAAAGGCTTTTATGGGTATGTTCGTAGCAAAAGGAAGAACAAAGAAACAGTGGGGTCACTCAGAGGAGAAGATGGTGAAATGCAAACAGGGGACACAGAAAGGGCTGAACTCCTCAATGCCTTCTTTGCCTCAGTCTTCTCCAATAAAGAAAACAATGCCCGACCTGAAGAATTTGGAGCAAATGATTCAGCAGAGGAAACACAGCCCAGAATAACTAAGGAGATAGTACAAGAATACTTGGCTAGTTTAGATGTATTCAAGTCTCCAGGGCCAGATGAACTGCAAGTCATGTCAGACTAACCTGATCTCGTTTTTTGACAGAATTACAAGCCTGGTAGATGAAGGGAACGCAGTGGATGTAGCCTACCTTGATCTCAGCAAGGCATTTGACAAGGTGCCCCATGATATTCTTGTAAAGAAGCTGGTAAAATGCGGTCTTGACTATGCTACCACTCAGTGGATTTGTAACTGGCTGACTGACCGAACCCAAAGGGTGCTCATCAGTGGTTCCTCTTCATCCTGGAGAAGAGTGACTAGTGGGGTGCCACAGGGTTCTGTCTTATTCAACATCTTTATCAACGACTTGGATGATGGACTCAAGGGCGTCCTGATCAAATTTGCAGATGACACCAAACTGGGAGGGGTGGCTAACACCCCAGAGGACAGGATCACACTTCAAAACGACCTTGACAGATTAGAGAACTGGGCCAAAACAAACAAGATAAATTTTAACAGGGAGAAATGTAAAGTATTGCACTTGGGCAAAAAAAATGAGAGGCACAAATACAAGATGGGGGACACCTGGCTTGAGAGCAGTACATGTGAAAAGGATCTAGGAGTCTTGGTTGACCACAAACTTGACATGAGCCAACAGTGTGACGCGGCAGCTAAAAAGCCAATGCAATTCTGGGCTGCATCAATAGGAGTATAGCATCTAGATCAAGGGATGTAATAGTGCCACTGTATTCTGCTCTGGTCAGACCTCACCTGGAGTACTGTGTCCAGTTCTGGGCACCACAGTTCAAGAAGGACACTGACAAACTGGAACGTGTCCAGAGGAGGGCAACCAAAATGGTCAAAGGCCTGGAAACGATGCCTTATGAGGAACGGCTAAGGGAGCTGGGCATGTTTAGCCTGGAGAAGAGGAGGTTAAGGGGTGATATGATAGCCATGTTCAAATATATAAAAGGATGTCACATAGAGGAGGGAGAAAGGTTGTTTTCTGCTGCTCCAGAGAAGCGGACACGGAGCAATGGATCCAAACTACAAGAAAGAAGATTCCACCTAAACATTAGGAAGAACTTCCTGACAGTAAGAGCTGTTCGACAGTGGAATTTGCTGCCAAGGAGTGTGGTGGAGTCTCCTTCTTTGGAGGTCTTTAAGCAGAGGCTTGACAACCATATGTCAGGAGTGCTCTGATGGTGCTTGCTGCTTGGCAGGGGGTTGGACTCGATGGCCCTTGTGGTCTCTTCCAACTCTATGATTCTATGATTCTATGGTTTATTTACAGATATATTCAACCTGAGCCTACGGTGGTGGGGTTCACAGCATCAACACCCAAAGAGGATCTTGCTTTTCCTGTAGGCCACAGCCTTGGATTCCAGCATAAATCAGGCATGGCTCTGTCTCCCAGCTGCCCAGCCTGCAGCCTTCCCACTTCCACCTTTTAGATCACATAAGTCAACTCTGGCCTTTGTCTTTCTAACTACCAGGGAATTGAGGACGGGTGGGGGGCTACCCATTTGCTGTCTGGCACAAAGCCACTTCCTTTGTTACCTTAATGGCCTGTACTTAGAGGACCATTCCCTCACTAGGAAGCTAGCCTGGCTATTCCTGGAATTGAATCTATGCTGGATCCAGGTATTAGGAGGTTCAAGCAATGCAGTCTACCCCACAAAAAACTCATAATATGTTTTAAATAGAAAAATATGAGAGTGGTTCCAGAACTTTTCAAGGACTGGGTGCTTCTAATCTTTGCAAATCCTGGCATGCCATCAGTGAGCTGCCTGCTCTTCTGACTGGGACCCATCACTCCAGAAGGTCTGTCCAAGTTTGTCACTTCTGACATGGCATTTTCTTGTTGGCTGGGTCTTGGGTGCAGCAGCTATGATTCCTTCCTCCATGCCAGCTGGCCTCTGACCGTGTTCGGTTTCGGGACTTTGCCTCCCTTTGCCCTTTTAAAGATTGGGTTACTTAGAGAGTCGACAACTGTCTGGGGCATGAAAAACTGCCTCAGAGAGCTGGAGAGTTTGGACGGTTCCAGAGAAACTCTTCAGAGACCAAAGCAAGTAAACTAGAGGAGAGGAGTATTTTCTGGCTGGAAAGAAAGACAATGGTAAAGGCAAAGGACTATCCTTGGGAGACGTTTTGAGGAACGAACAGAACTGACCTAGCACAGTGACCTTTTGGTCAAAGGAAGCTGGAGATCAAGATTGGCTTCTCAGCAGAGGAGATTGGCTTCCAGAGTATCCTTTGTGTTTTCTAGCTGTATAGCATGGATATGGGATGTTATATTTTTCTGCATTACTGTGATTTCTTGATTTTTGCGCTCTCTGTGTAAGGTAGAGGGGATTTCCCAGGCTTTCCTTAATGGTGAGGAGTTATGTGATTGGAATGCAATTTTTGTAAGCAGATGTATGTACACGCTTCCTAGAAGTCTTACTATCCCATTTTCTGATTGCTTCTAATCTTTGGGGTTCATTAGTTTCAGGTCACCTGGGTGTGTTAGCTCACAGAAGGCATTTGTTTCTCGTTCAGTTTTGGATGTTGACCCAGGTATACTAATGTTATACAGTAATCACAGTTAACAATAATGCTTTATAGTAAAACCGTAAAATGTTCAGTGTTTTATTAATGAAGAGGGTTACTCTTTTCCTGAATGAATCCTTTGCCAAGAGAGTTAACACAGCCCTGAATTCAATGGATGGAATCGTAGTAACATGAGCTCTCCTTCCTTAGGTAAGACCTCTGGTTCCTTAATGCAGAAGGACTGAGCACAGAAGCAAAGGAAGAAAAAAATAGGAACATTGCACTAATTTATTTCTCTGTGCAGAAACACATCCCTAGATTGATGGAAGTGGGTTGTGCTTACATTTAATACATGCTGTTACTACTACTACTACTTTATTTAGTGCATTTCAAAATTGCAAGACCATTGAATAGTCTTTTTTTCCTATGTGTACATAGATTTTTTTATCACTACTGTACACCCAGTACAAAGATCTCCTTCAAAAGGTAAAAGATATAAGGCCGGGAGGGATGAAAAAAACCACACCTCCCAGCAGCCATAAAGCATCTTATTCCAGTAATCTTTACAACAACCCTGTGAGGTAGTCTAGCAGTATTATCCCCATATAACAGATGGAGAAGCAGAGTGAGTGAGTGAGTGGGGGTGGTGGAGACTGAGGCTGAGCACAATCCTCTGTATGTCTGCTTAGAAGTAAACCCCACATAACTGAATGGGGCTGGCTACCAAGTACGTTGGAGCTACAGTTCTGTACCTAGTAACCTGGGAAAAGCCCCACTGAATTCATAGGGACATGCTTTTGAGTAGAGGATTGCACTGTGAATTACTTAGTGACTGTGTGACATTGAAATGAGGGAGTTTCCAGCTCCCTATCCTGTGCCATCTCTAAAGCCATTTGAAAAATATAAACAAAATCAAACTTTAGAAAATGCAGTTTTCCTGTTTCTTTCCTCCCTCTTTGTCTTTTGTTGGTACGGAAAGCAGTGAAGTCAGCGGGGCTGAACCGCATGTCATACAGTGCCCAATGGAAAAAATGGAGTAAGACTTTCATAACCAATTCCTTTGATGCCATAAGCATGCTTGGAATTGTACTAGTAAGCCGTGGCCGACCAGATTTTGTTGGATTACAAGTCCCACCATCCCTCCCCACCAGCTTTGCTGGCTGGACTAGATGTGATTTGGGGTCAGAAATATATGGAGAGCCACAGGGTCCCCACCCCTGATCTGGACACTCACAAGTCCTGCTGAACTCAGCTCCAAGTAGGGCGGTCAGATGCAAAAGAAGGCAGGACTCTGCACCTTTAATAGTTGTGTAGATGGGAGGATTTCACCAGGTGTATCGTGTGTGATGCTGAAATTTCTTCTGCACATCTGTTAAAGGTGCAGGAGTCTGAGTCCTCCTTCCCTTGGCCACCCTAACTTCAACACTTCTTCAAATCTGAAACCCCGCCTTTAATTTGGACCTCATCTAGAGCAAAGGAGTTGGTTTTTTAATTTTGTACTGAGGCTGGTTTGATAAATAAAGCATGTCATGTATGATTTGGTCAGAAATAATACAGACTTTGACTCTTAAGGTTGTAAGAACATAGGAAGCACCTGCTGGATCAGGCCAATCATCCTGTTTTCACAGTGGTCAGCCAGATGTGTATTCTTAATTTGGTGGAGGACTTCACATACTGTAGTTTAATTCTTTTTCCAAGTTCAGTTGAATGCATGGGAAGAGCTCTAAGTCTGTTGGTCAGGAATTCTAGAGTTTTTAAGTTTTAAAACTTAAGTGAAACACTGGTTCTTTGGATGGTGGTGGTAAAATTGTCACTGATTTACAAGGGGGCAAAAAGAGTCAGGGACCTGGTTTTATGTTAGTTTATTCTTTTTAAATTGTGAGAGCTTAGGAGCGGTGAGAACTTATTTACAGATGTGTATACTTGGTGTGGTAAACGGCGTTCCGTGTGCTGCGCTGGCTCGCCAGATGCAGCTTGTCACGCTGGCCACGTGACCCGGAAGTGTCTGCGGACAGCGCTGGCTCCCGGCCTATAGAGTGAGATGAGCGCACAACCCTAGAGTCTGTCAAGACTGGCCCGTACGGGCAGGGGTACCTTTACCTTTACCTTCTTATACTTGGTGTGTATTTTTGCAAACAGGTGGACCAGATGTGATGAATATAATGCAGTCTTTTACATCTTATATTACCACTCCCCTTTAAAAGTCTCTTCAACTTGGAGAATGCAAGGAGGTTGTAGTTGGGCATCAGTTAACTGTGGGCAAGAGTGCTTTCTCCATGATTTCAAAGCAGCCATAGTAACATGGTACCCTCCACCTCCCCCCCTCAGCCTCAGCTAGCATGGTGAATTGTCAGGAATGATGGGGATTGGAGTCCAACATCTGGAGGGCACCTCGTTGGCTGCCTCTGTTCTGGAGGGGGGGGAGAACCCTGGTCACATTTTGCAGCTGTTATACTAGAATAAAGAATCCCTATAAATTTTGCAAGAAAAAGCCCGAGCAAGATATGGATTCCCATGACCTTCTGGTATATCCTTTCTGTGCTCTTCCATGTGGGATCAGTAGATGCAAATGGAGTAGGAAATGGATGAATTATAGATTAAAAACAGTAATCTCAAAATGCTGGCTGTTCTTGGATATGTTGCTCAAAAGCCTAGTCTCCACAAGAAGAAAGAGGAAGGTTGACCACTAGTGGCAGCTTCAGGATTCATTTCTTCAGTTCAGGGGTTTGTATAAACCAGCTTATGACCAAAATTGGAGACTTAAGGATTGTGGTAGGAGGCAGCCTTTATCTCCCTTTAGCAAGAATATATACTCTAGATTAGTTACCCTTTCACACATATGAGCTAGACAGGCATACAACTAGAAGCAAGCTTGTAAATAGGCAGTACCTTACTCACCTGTGGCTAGTCAGAATTGCCACCAGGTGAGCAAATAGGAAGATTTTTTAAATATAAATTTGAGTTTGCGCCCTCCCCCCATCTCCCAGGCTATAAATGTGCTTTATCAATGGCTTATACTGGTATGCATGCACAGGTGAGCATAGAAATGTGTGGGCTGGCAACTTATTTGTAAGGCTGGTTAAAAGTAACAGTGCTGGTGTTGTTACAAGAAACAATGCAGTTGGTTGGTAGTGAAAAACTGAGAGGGAGTTGTTCTTGGGGAGTTTTCTCCCTGACTCTCTTTTTGACTGTGACTAAATAGCATTGAAATGCATTATTAAACCTGATCTCTGGCTCTCAGTGTCCCATCTGGTAGCACCCTCATGTTGCCATTTCATAATTTCAATTCTTGTGAAAGCTGTCATTACGCAATACCTCTGAACAGCTACTGCAGACATGTACACAAGGTATCTCATAATATGTGTGGGTAGCCTTTCCGGCTTTCTTGACAACTTTGCTTTGTTTTTGCCTTATTTTTGTACTTATGAACTGATCTTGGGTGTCTGAAGTAGAGCCAAACAAGATGTGATGCAGATAAATACTGCTTTGTACATGTCTGCCCCACTCATATATAAATCTGGGGTGTTTCAGGAGGAGGGGAGGTACGTATATTTAGACTGAAAACGGTGAGAGGGCTTCTGGAAGAGCCTTGCTGCTGTTAAGAGTTGTGTGCCTTCACTACCAGTCTTGAAGGTGCCATGACAGGCCGCCATGACTGTACTGCTAGAATTGGGCCACCAGGATATCACTGTACCTCTGATTGTTGGAAATAGGGAGTGAATAAGTGAATGAGGTTGAATCGCTCCGCGTATTGCACTGTGGTGCCACAGGAAAATAGACGTTAGCTCTGGATGGATGGATGGAGGTGATAGAAGGCTTGACTAACCATATCCAGACAGATCTCCAGATATCCAGCATTTCTTGTTCACATTTATCAGTTTGCATGCAACCAGCATGGGCCAGGCAGAGTACAGAGTGGCTTCCCATGCCGAGTGACAATATCATGTGCTCCCATTTCTGCATTATGGCGCCAAACCACAGGAAGCTGTCTGGCAGTATCCTTAATTAACTGAGATAATTAGGCTGCAGATAAGAATTTCAGAGAGAGTATGCAGTGACATTTCAACCTGTTGCAGTCGCTCTGTAATCTAACTCTCTTCAAAGCAAGCTTTGTTGAGTTGCCAGCAGGCCCAGGCATGTGCTGTCATCCATAACAGGACTGGGTTGGACCCCAGCAGTGATCATGAAACTTTTGGAACTTTCCCTAGCAAATGAAAGTCCTTAAATAGCCTTCCCCTGGATTCCAACCAGAGAGCAGCAAATCCGCCTGCTTACTGGATGCTGGTCAATTTGCAGAGGTGAGTCACTGTTTTCTCACCACAGAACTATTTGTTGAACAGCGCAGTCCTGCATGCTTACTCAGAAGTAAGCAACATTGTGTTCAACATTATGAATGATTCCCATTGAATAGGATTGCAGCCTCTGTTTAACCACAAGGTGATACACTCCTGACATCTGTGCCCCAAACCCAAGTTTTGTACTCAATTGCTGGTTTTTTGTTTTTTAAAAAAGATTCATACAAAACTAAAGTCAAATCTGGGGCCATTTGTTAAAATATCCCTTAAACAACCACAGGGTTTTTTTGTTTTTTTCTGAATTAAGCCATGTAATTACCCTGTTTTAAACGTTCATTGTTTAAGGGGCATTTTAATGATCAAGATGATGGAGCAACTTCCCTATGAGGAAAGCTTACACTGGCAGCGGTTCTCAACTTGTGGGTCCCCAGATGTTGGACTACAACTCCCATCATCCCTGAGCTCTGGCCTTGCTAGCTAGAGGTGATGGGAGTTGTAGTTCAACAACATCTGGGGACCCACAGGTTGAGAAAGGCTGGCATACAGCATCTGAGACTTTTTAGTTTAGAGAAACGGTGAGTAAGAGGTGACATGACAAAAGTTTATAAAAATTATGCATGGCATGGAGGAATTGGAGAGAGAAAAGTTTCTCATAACACTAGAACTCATGGACATCACATGAACCTGCAGGTTGAAAGATTCAGGACAGATAAAATAAAGTACTTATTCACACAGTGCATAAATTGTGGAACTTGCTCTCGTAGGAGACAGTGATGGCCACCATCCTGGATGGCTTTAAAAGAGGATTAGACAAATTCATGGAGGATCAGGTTACTGGTGGCTGTTAGGCACGATGGCTGTGTTTTATCTCCACTCTGCTTGCCAGTTGATGAGTATCACAGGTGGGCAGAGTGCTGTTGTGCTCAAGTCCTGCTTGTGGACTTCCCATAGGCTTCTGCTTGGCTACTGTGAGAGCAGAATGCTGGACTAGATGGGCCATTGGCTTGATTTCGCAGGCTATTCTTAACAAATGGCCTCAAGATTTGACTTCCACCTTTTCTTCATCAAAGAGTTTCTACCGCCCTCAAAGCCTATAAAAACTTGAAAAAATAAAAATTGCATTGAAACTATACAGAAAGTACAGTAGCAATAAGAAACCATGCTACGAATGCTGCCTTTTATCCTTCTGCCATTATTAGTGGTGCTTTGCACTGCAGCAACACTGAGGTGTTCCATTATGCTAGGAGCTGTATGGCTACCTACCAAGATGCATATTTCACAATCAGCATGGGAAGAGAATGTTGTTTCCATTCTCCTAATGAAGAACTAAGAGACTAATTAAAAATAGCCTGCTCAAGGTCACTCCTTTCTTCTTCACATACAGTTTTGTTGAATCTGTGCCTTCCACATTGCAACCTTGCATTTTTATGGCAAGATGTAATCCCACAAGAAATGATCCCAGAATGAGCGCAACAGAAGAACAATCTGTGGGAAGCTGCAGAGATATATTTATAAATCAGAAAACAGATGGGAGAGGCTGGTGTTCAAATCTTCCTATAGGTGTCAAAATGCTCACCTGTTTGGAGACTCTGCTTCTTGATAGGAAGCTTTTATGCTTGATCAGTTTTAAAGCTTTGCATACTCTAGTTCAAAGGCCTCTGGATTTAGTCCACGTGCAATGAATGGGAGATAGCTTCCTAATAAACAGGTTGGCCTATGGGAGAGCAGGTCTTCTCTCAAGTATCCAGGCCCCCAGTTGTGTATAAAGCTCTGAACAAGTATCAAATCTTTGAAGTGGTTTCAGTGGTGTATTGGCAGCCAGTGCAGTTCCTGCAGAATATGTTCGCAGTCAGCCACTTCCTACAGCAGCCTACCTGCAGTTTCCAGACAAGTTTCTTGGACAGTTCTATATGGGGGTGTCCTATCACTGGGCCTGATACTAGCACCCAAAGCAGATTTGCAGGAGCCTGTGCTCATATGAAGCTCTGGCCAAGGAAAAGTTTCACTCTCAAAAGCAGGAGACTTAACAGACTTCATAAAGCACCTGACACTACAGTCTTAAACACATTTACTAGGGAGTAAGGCCTCTTGAGCTCGGCGTAATTTACCTTTGAGTAAACATGCTTAGGATTTAATTGTTAGTCATGTTTTTTTGTCTGTGGATGCACAAGGCCAGATAATCTGTTGCTGTCATGAGCATTGAGTGCTCCGTAGTCCCCGGCTCATTGATGAAATTGGCATGGCGGAAGGGATCTGCTATAAGATCTCTTTTGTGGCTAACTTGTTCTGTACCACAGGATTTTCTTCTAAATTGCTCTCTTCAAAGAGCACACTGCTTATTCAAACAGGGCTGATTGGTAGTGTTTGTTCTCTGAATGCTTTGGGGAGGAGGGGGGTGGTGCGGGAAGCAAGCACCAAGGAGACAGAAAAGCTTCCCCCTGCATCTTGCATGTTCCTTCTGCCTCCGGGTTCACTCTGTTCTCTGTGGCACTAGCCAGGGCTTATTGTACTTGGCTGCTGATTCAGAAGCTTCAGTTCCCCAGCGAGCAGCCGAAACACACATGCCTTCCTCTCCCCCCCCATCCATGGTTCGTATGCTCCCACCAGTACCCAGCCCTCCAATCCTTAACTCAACTCATGACAGGAGGAGGAGACTTTCCCTGTGGAAGGATCACACAGCTGGGCTCGTTACCAATGCCGCTGCTCATGCCAGAAATGCACCCTTCTGAATCTGACCCCTGCCCTGGGAAAAAGATATTGCTGCTCAACTCTTTATTAGGAGTCTTTGTAAGTACAGCCTTCTTTCTTCTGCATTTTCAGGAGCATAGGCTCATCGGAGGGCAGATGGAAGCATGCAGGACCAGCCCAATATGTCTTGCTGCCTAGGATGGACAAGATTTCTCTCCCACCCCAGTTCCATGAGCAGAAGCTGATCAGATTGGCAGTTGAATTGAACTTGAGTGCTGGCTGCCTCCACCACAACAGAGGGCAGCAGGTCGCTTACAGAGTGCAGGGCAAGCTGGGCGGCAAACACAGTTCTGTCCTCCAAGTCTTTACCACCTGAGGCAGATGCCTTACTATGCCTAATGGTGGGGCCTGTCCTGGTTGCAGGACATTTGGGGGCACCTTGAGTGGGGTGATCAATCTACCGGGTTTATACTGGTTCTACTAGACTGCAGGATTCCTTATCATACTATATCCCCTAAAACCAGCCAGCTGGAGAAGAGGGCAGAAGAAGTAGGAGGTGCTGTTGCCAGAAGCTCCCGTATGGTCCCTGTCTTTCTGCCTCTTCCATGATAAGCAGAAACATTTTGAGTGGTTGCAGTGCTAAACCTCTGCTGCTGGAAGGTTTTTGATGTTCCAGATGTTGCTGATCTTCAACTCCCGTCATCTCTGACCATTGGATATACTGGCTGCGTCTGATGGGAGCCCAGCAACATTTGGAGGGCCGCAGTTTACCCACCCCTGTTTTAGGTCTGTTTGCTGCAGGATCCTCTCCCACCCTGGAACTTTGCACCCTCTTCCCAAAAAGGAGAAGGCCATCAGTGGCTGGTAGCCATGATGGCTGTGTAGTACCTCCAGCCGCTGAATACTGGTTGCTGGGGAACACAAGTGGGGAGAACATTTTTGAGCTCATGTCTTTCTTGCAGTCTTCCTATAAGCATCTGCTTGGTCACTGTGGGAATCAGATGCTGGCCTAGATTGACCTCTTGGCCTTGCTACAGAAGGGTTCTTACGTTCTTATGCTTTTGGATAGAATACAGTTGTGATGCTCTGCTTCCCCTTTTGTGGGGAAGAATATCATAGTGATGAAGGTGGTTGGAATGTGCAGATTTTCATATTTATTCTGATTGTGTTCTTGAATCTTAGGAAATTGCTTTCTCGGGGGTTTTTTGTTTTTGTTTTGTTTTTGCAAAAGTAGGCTGCTGTTCCCGCTGCAGCACAGTTCTCCTGCTTACCTTACTAAATGTGAGGTGGCTTGGCAGCTGCTATGGTTAAATGAAATAACTTTGTCATTTTTTGCTCAAGAAGTTGCGTCAGCTCAGGTCTTTAGGAGAAAGTTGTGCCCATTCCAGACAGTGTTCTGTTTTAGCACTGCCAGTCTGCAGATCAAATTGAATTTTAACACACACATACACACCGGTGTGCATTTGTAAGGTGACCCTTAGATTATTTTAGTCACTTAGAACTGAAATTTTTGAAACTCTGATGAATTTAGGCCAAGTTTCCTCCACCTCCTTCTGAGCAAGCCAATAGAGCTCCTTTTTCTTGTAATTGGCAGTGTCTGGGAAAACATGTCTTGTGCTTACTATTTTGAGCATAGGTTGCTTAGCCCTTTTCCTCTTCTGCTCTGTTTCTGAGCAAACTGGTTATCACTGAGCTGAATTTTATTCAGCATAGACTTTCCATTACCCAGCTTACAGAGGGATGGCACTGCTGTTGCAGAATATGGCTCACTGGCCACATTCAGTACATAGAACTGAACACATAGTGTGTTTTCTCCTTCTGTGAAGCTGCTCATTTAAGGTGGCCTCCTACCACCCAAAAGAGATGAAATATACCGCCAAAGAAGAAACCGATCTACATAAAATTTGGATATGCTAACTGATGTGTACGGATGCCAATTTAAAAATAATCATTGGAATTTACATAGAAATTTACATAGAAAGACTTGTGACTGGGTGACCTGAGTGACTGTTCAGTCTGCTGTCCAGGTGCTGATTTCAAGGTCCCCAACTCTCCTTTCTTGTGGTTCTTTATATGGAAACAAGATTTGGGGCTGTTCAGCCCTCCAGATAAAGAGCGTCTCTAAACAAAGTTCTCCTCAGTTTGGCTGCCTCTCAGCTCAGGGAAACTGGATTTGGAGTTTTATTTGCTGTTTAAATTTCTCTCCTACCAGTCCATTTGCTTAAGATGGAGGTTGTCTCTGTGGACTCCTGGCTCTGTTGTTTCTGATGACATCAGGCTGTTGAATGCTGGTGCAAAAGGATGTTTTAAGAGCAGGCATTGCTGCTGGATCTTCAGGTTAATGCTCATCCACATAGTACTTTTGAAGGGGAACAGATGTGTATTTGACTTCATTCACAGTAACACCCTTTGGTCCTCTTTCTGCATGTCTCCTTGAGTGCAAAAAGGGCCAGTTCCAGAGTACTGGGCTATTGCATCTTTTAGGTAGAAAAGAAAATATATCGGAACGCCATGGACTAATGCAGAGTCGTGGCCAACCTTTTGGGCAAGTGTTCCATAAGTCTAATCCAAGTATGAGACAGCACCACTCTAGCTCACGCTCAGTGGTGAAGGAAGGGGGTGCGGTAGGTGCAACCCCCCCCAGGGTGTCACCGCTGAGCGGGGTGACAAAATGCCGGGTGGTACTCACCTGTGTGCGCCCGAGCCATGCGTCTTTCACTATCCTGGGAGAGACGTAGTTGCTTGGGTGTGCGCAAGCTCTGCGGTGAGTGCAGCCCAGCATTTTGTCACACCCCACCCCCAGCTGTAGGGTGGTTGATTGGGAGGAGGCAGGCAGACTCCAGAGGCCCTGCGGTGCGCCCCACCGCTATGGGCGGTGCGCCTGAGGTGCCTGAGTGGCTTCCTCCATTGCTGCGCAGATCGCCGTGGCGCCCCCATGTGCGGATTGCCGCAGCACCCCATTCACCCCCTGTGGGCAGATCTCCCTGCCCCCGCCGCTCCGGCTGCTGGAGCACCTAGCTACGCCCCTGCTCATGCCCCAGTATTTATGCAGCCCCCAGGAATTGGGGGAGTTTTGATGTTCTGTGTTTTGATGTGCTGAGTTACAGGCAGCAGCAAACCATGAAAAGACAGAATGTAGGCCGGACTATGCTGAGATGTACCCGGTTTCTTTTAAAATTATAGTACTTATTTCTAAATTCATATCTAGACATATAAATTAGTACACAGAAATTTTATGCAGAACTGTGCCCTCTTTTGTCCTCTTTTTTATTATTACTGATGTGTAAGTGGCCACCCTGTTTCCACCACACCAGCTTTAAATCCTGCTTTTCCTCCTACATATCCAAAGGAGCCCACTGGCTTTCTGTGGAAGAGAACTTTAATTATGATTGAACAACTGCAAAGCTTTCCCTCCGTACAGGGATTTTAGTTCATTTTATTTGGCTAATCCTTATGTCAAATCTATTGCACAGACATTTCAGGTTTGCTGGGGTTTATTAAACACTTTGCCCTTAAGCATTTCTGGCATCCCAATTATCCTTTTGTTGCTGAAAACAATAAAACAGATTGATTTGCCGTAGGAGGTTTGACATGACTTTGCATTTGCAAATGAAGTATTCCACTCCGGTAGGTTTAGGACATAAAGATTGAAGGCTTATGATATGGTCCAGATGCAGGAAATGATGAGGTTCCATCCTGCTGGAAACTAGCGTTGATGGTAGTGTGTAAAGGGTCGGCCATGACTGGACCTAATGATCAGGGGTCCCTTTACCTTTACCTTTTTAATCCGATGCAGGCAACTCCCCATTTACATGGGGGTTACATTCTGAGGCACGATGTATCAAAGTGAAATCGCGTATATTGGGAACACCATTGAAAAAGCCTGCAAGCACCACAGTTGCTCCCTTCAAACCTCCTTGCTCAAACTTTGTGCTAGGTTTCCTGGGATTGCTCTTGCAAAGCCTTGCTAGATGCTGTTTTCGGGCCGTTTTGCCATTTCCACTCTCTTTTAGGACTGTTTTTGCCCCTATTTGTGCCACTTCCGGATTTGTGGGAATGCGTGTGGTCACAGTCGCATTTGCCTTGAACGCCTGCAAATGGGGAGTTGCCTGTATATTGTCTGAATCTGCTAACATTTTTGCTGTTGGACAAGTCTGCTGCGTTCACCATTCAAACTGGGATATTTTGCTTGCTGTTGTAATGCTACTCTGAGCATGGGTGCATCCAAATAGGGACTTCCTTAACATCAGATTTCCCCTGGACAGGGGTAATCTGGTTTAAATTGCCTTTGACGTGATAGCTTCTAAGTGCCCTCTTTGGTCATATGGGGCTCAGGAGGGTGAGGGTTATGTGAGGCTGGCGAGCTGTGCAAGTATTAGCAGCATACTCTAGTACAAAAACATTTGTTATTGTCTGAAAATAGAAAATCTGTAGCACTACCCAGTTTGTGGCTGATCCCTGAAAGTTTAAAAGAGCTTTATCCTGAAAATCCCATTACCCTGCTGTGTTTTTAGTACTATTCCCTTTAGTCTGATTATGTAACAAATGTTTCCATTTCCACATCCAGTATGCATTCCTGTGTTCAAAATGAACCCAGTATTCAGCACCTTTAGGCAGCCAAGGCTTTCCTGGGTTTTTAATTTTGTCCAAAGAGCCTGGGAGAGGAAGTTCCTATAGCTTTATAAGGCGTGAGACACCCGCTACACACCCGCACATGCTTCCTCCTCTGGAAAATCAGGCTCCATGGCCTCCATCAGAGTCAAGAGAGCCTGGCTCACTCAAGCCAGCTGGGTTCCTGAACTCTGCTGCTTAAGTGGGAAAGAAAAGGTTCTCTTGGACTGTACAGATTGACTTTGCCCAGGGGCGTTTACACAGGCAACCTAGAGTGCTGAGAGTGCCCTAACCTCCTCCTGACGTTAACGGGAGCTGAAGGCGCTTAGCACCTTGTAGGATCAAGGCAGTTGAAAAAGCTGCCTCAGCGTTCCTCTAACCTCTGCACTGAAGGCTGGCTGAAGCTCTCCTTCTCCTCCAAAGTAAAGTGCTCTGCAGCTTCCCACCTTGTGGTGTTTAATGGCAATGGCAGCCAGTCCCCACCACCACACAAAAAAGTTATGAGCAACCCACCAACCCTTCTCCCAAACATCTATACGTTCCACGCAACTATATACATGTCCCCCTTACATGCACAATCTCATATCGCTCTTTTCACCTTAGGATTGAATATTGCTTCTTTGTTTTTCTTCCTTTCCTCTTCTTTCCCCCTCTGAACTATCTCCTTCTAAACCCCATTTCTCTCTTATTCCATGCTTCATCCCATTTCTCGCTCTGTTTGTTTTCTGCAGCCTCTGCTCCACCTTTTCCCTCTTAAACCCCAATTGTTTCATCTATACTCAGTCCCCACCCATGGTTTACAAGCTTGATTCAAGTGGTCTGTGAAGTGTCCGTGGATTTATAGTGGAAGATGGGAGAAGGCACATCCACTGTATTAAATATTTATATTGATTTTTAATTGTATTTTACTGCTTTTATCTCTCATAAGTTGGTATTTGTACTACAGACTAAATTCTGTGGAATTCACCTGTAATACAATCAAATGCAATATATAAGAAATAAAGGAAGTACTAAAAAATACAACTAAAAATCATGTCACATCTAATGGAGCAGTTTACAGTTTCAACAAGGGGCAGAAAAATCATTCAGCAGTCTGCCAAGACCTGCAGCAACTTTTCAAATGGTTTGGGGTGGGAGAAGTTTTGGGAAATACTGCCCTAGTTCATGAAAGCATATTACATAATGAAAATTTGTTGATTCATAAGATGCCACGAGACACTCTGGGTTGTGTCCAATGCTAGTGCTACTTAGAGTATATCCACTGAAATTAACCAACCTAAGTTGGTTGTGTTCATTTGGTTCAGTGCATCTTCTTTGAGTAGAATCAATGTTGGGTGCAACCCTTGGTTTTTTCTGCAACAGACTGACATGGCTGCCCCTCTGAAAATTGCCTCTGTTTCAGTCAATCACTCAAGTTGGCTTGGTTTTCCTCAGGCACTATGACCTCACTGCTACTGTCAGCAAGATTGCTTGCCTCCTCTTGTCACGCTGCCTGCCTTTTGAGTGCAAGCCTTCTCTCAGAGATGGCTTGCTCCAGGATCACACAAGGCTCCTGCTGAGATTTCAGACATTCTGTGCCCCTTCAATATCATTATCCAGTCAGGCTGAGGAAATTGCTTCTTTTGTGTGCATTAATTGAGGAAGCATATAACCTCCCTGTGGGACTTTTGTCTACATAGTAGGCAAGGGAAATGTATTTTTGGCTGTTTCCAAGGTCTTTTCACTAATTTGTGTATTGATATTCAAAGCACTTGGTCAGCCATGCTCTTCCTTCCTTCAAACAATTACTTTCTCCCTCTTTCCTATGTTGATAGTATTCTTTTTCTTTTGAGGTAGCTTTTATACTCCGTAACACAATATAAAAAGCACACTGTGCTGGTTGCTATGCTAACCCAGAATTTGGTCCTCTCTTAATAGGTATGCTGTGGTCACTATGACATACAGTTCTGTGAGTCATTTCGGGGACTGGGTTAAAAAAAAAGAAATAGAAGACCATCACAAAAGGCTAGCAGTTTCTTAACTCATTTCTGTAAGGTAATTCCCCCATCAAAGATCTTCCCCGGTCCCTAGCTGCTTTTATCTTTCATAAGATAATTTCCTATCTTTTGCACAGTTGGAGTAAAAGCAGTGGGGAATGGGGATTTGGGGCAGGAAAATAGCCTCAATGGGAAAGGATTTGGAATATTTCCCCCTGTCCATTTAAATGGCAGTTTCATTGCTTGCATTTTGTAAAACAAAAGTGTAACATGTAGTTCCACCCTACATTGATGTTATTGGGGAGTTTCACATATTCTGCAGGGAAAATTTGATGCTTGATGGGGAACCTCCATTTTGTATCTTGTGTTTTGACACCCCTAGGCAAATAAGAAGAAACCTCTTTCAAGAAACCTCTTTCAACAATTGTGGCTTCCCGCAAAGAGTCCATAGCTTGTTGAAGGTGCTGAAAGTTATTAGGAGACCCCACACAGAGTTATAATTCGCACCACCCTCAACTAGCTACAGTTTCCAGGATTTTGTTAAAGTGCTATAAGAGTGCTTTAAATGTATGGCCTGGGTGTGCCCTTGGACAAGGTGACATATGATAAACCTCTTGTTCTGCCACTCACCTTCTTTGGTGCTTCATGCAAGGGGAGAATAGGTGTGCAGTTGGGGCATTAGAACCCTGCCAGTCTTGAAGGCTTGCTATTTTATGAAACAGCTCTGCATGCTTGTAGCTTCCAGACTTTGTAGCTTCCAGGTTAGGCTGAGAGGCAGTGTCTGACTCAAGGTCACCCAGATTTGAACCCTCGTCTCCCAATCCCAGTCTGTCATTTTGACCACTATCCCACCCTGAACCCCATCAACAGAAGCCCTATGCAAGGATTTGTACTTCCACAACAGGGTCTCCCTCCTGCTCCCCCTGCATGCCCCCAAAATTGGCCTTGAGGGGGCATCAAGAGAACTCCAGAGCAATGCAGGAGGGGAACAGGGAATTGATCCATCTGATAAGCTGTTATGCTTGCAAAGACAGAATGTTTTAATAGCATAGTGCTGAATTCCACCACACACATGGTGATATTCAGTGCTGGTCCTACTCAGAGTAGACCCACTGAAGTTAATGGCCATGACTAATATAGCTTTATTAATTTAAATTGGTCTACCCTGAGTAGGATTTGGTTGAATATAACCCATATATATATATGAGAGATAGCAGCTAGTTGGTCAATTAAAAATTCAGCATAAAACAGGACAAAAAAGGCAGGCTTCCCCTAGTGCCATAAAGAAAATAGAGAGAGTGCAAGGTGAGTCTCTCTAAGAAGGGAGTTCCTTTAATGAGGCACAGCAACTGGAAGACTCTGTCTCTGGTTACCACCTGCCTTACTTTATATGGCATGGGGATGTGGAGCAGGGTCTTTGAGGTTGGTCTTAATGACTTGGCAGATTTAAGGTAGAGAAACAGTCTTTTTGGTACCCTGGTCCTAAGACATTCAGGGGTTTGTAGGTTAAAATTAGCACTTAACATTTTGCTCAGAAATGACCTAATAACCAATGTAGTTGTGCCAGAACTAACGTTTAGATGCTTTGTATGACTCACCCCAGTGAACAATTGTGCTGCTGCAGGTACAGTGAGTTGCAATAGCCTGAATGAGATGTTATCACTGCATGGATAACTGTTCAAAAGAGTGTACCTGGTTTTGTTTTGACCCAGACTGGTCACTGTCACACATGCTATAACTGGGTTAAAGTCAGTTGGACAGGACGAGGGAAGTGGCGGTGTACAGTACAGGCAATAACCATTTTGCACGTGTTCAAAGCTCACGTGATAGTGCACACGTACACATCACCGTGAACCCAGAAGAGGCAAGAAAATAGGTTGGATTGAGGGTGGAATGGGGTGTGGCAGAACGCGCCCCACCATCACACGCAATGAGCCTGAATGCAAACCCCATGGAAATTGGGGGTTGCCCTGCATTTCTAATTCCTAAAGCCTAGTTTCACCAATAATTCTGAACCTGCCCTTGGCACAGGCCTGGGATTAGAAACATGTTTCTTGTGTTCCAGAAAGTTATGTAAGTAGTTGTGCCGCAGAGGGACAGGTTCATTTTTGATAATCAGGAGTTTTGATTGTCACATTGCCACACTTCCTTCTATTGTATCTGCACAGTTGGTGTTGGCTATTTGGGAATCTGATATAATTTTATCGAGTAGACCTCTGGGGACAGCCGTGCTTTCCCCTACCTCTATCTCCTTGAATCATACTTACCTATGTCCTATTTTCAGCTTCTTCTATAAAGGAGTTTAGCATAAAATCAGGAAGAGGCTGCCAACACAGGTTCCTTAAAACAAAAACAAAAAACCTATCTTGGCCTTGGAATTTGAAATTACCTCTTGTGCAAGTCTGCTTCACAAGACAGCCTGCCAGCATTGCTGTGACTTTTGAAGGCCAAAACAGACATGTTGCAGGAGAGCCATGATTAGATCTCTTTTGCTCCCCATTTTAAAAGATGCTGCAAATTCTGATACTGATTGGAACAGCAACATTAGGGCTTTAGGGTAGGTAGGAGATGATTAACTGTTTTCCATCTACCCTTCCCTCCTCCATCAAAAATAACCACTCATGAAGCTGCTAGTAGTCCTAAAGTGGAAAAGGGGAAGGTACTCACATCATGTCTCTCTTTCTTCCCACTGTAGTGCTAATACCAGCTTTGAAGATGGGGAGGAGCATTTAAATAGGGGAAATGACACATTGGGAAAGAGTTAAAAGAGCCTTTCCCACAGTACCGATAATCTCCTCACGATCCAAGACCCATCTCCACAAATGTTGGGCTATCCAATCTCCTGTTTTGATGTCCCTACCTTAGTTGATGATAGAGAAATCGTTTACTCAGTCTTAATTTTGGGGTGAGGCTGGATAAGTTTACAATGGGTGGGGAGCCTGTGATATTTCATACACTGTTGGACTTCCAATGCCCATCAGGCTCAGTCAGCGTGGCCAACATTCAGTGAAGACAGGAGTTGGAGTACAGCAACATCTAAAGCAGCCTTTCTCAACCTGTGGGTCCCCAGATGTTGTTGAACTACAACTCCCATCATCCCTAGCTAGAATTGCCAGAGCTCAGGGATGATGGGAGTTGTAGTCCAACAACATCTGGGGACCCACAGAATATGGCTAACCTGATCCAAAACACCCACCCACCCCACTCACACATAAAAACAAAGATCACCACAGCCAATCACAAACAAACAACCACACCCTAGTCCAACTCTCTCACCACCAAAGAAACACAAGTGACTATCTGGGGATCCACAGGTTGAGAACCACTGATCTAAAGGTTTGCAGATTCCTTACTTTATATCAACAGCTGACCATTCAGCTTCTGACAGTTAACCCTACAGAAAGCCCCTGTTGGTAAGTTTTCTACAGACATACTTACTACCATGTCTAAGAACTATTTTCTAGAATACATCCAAAAGTGGTGCCTTGGGTTTGTTCCTCCTCTGTTGTTTCCTAGTAGCGGTTTCTCCATCTCCACATGGGTTACGTCCTGCCTTACTTAAAAAAAAGGGGAACTGAGTGACGTAGTCTTTGCAATAATTGCACACTTCATGGAAACAGAAGTTGAGCAACTTCTCTAATAAATTGACTTGGTTTCCTCTTTCAGCTTCACCAGGCTTGCTTTTATCTTGACCGTACACAAAATAGTTCTTTTTTTTTAAAAAAAAAAAGAATCTATATCTTGAAGGTTTCAGTTCAATTCCTGTGAGTCGATAAGAGAAAAGAAGAAACTCCTCACTGTGTTCTGGGTCCTGGAAAGCCCCCAGAGCAGCTCAGGAGCTAAGAATAGGCCACCGGTCAGTGTTTGTAAAGTCTGCAGTTCCTTCTTGTTTTTTCCCCCAAAAAAGTGCTGATCTTATAAGGTTGAGGCAAGTTTGTGGCTGCTCTGAATGATGTTGTGTGTGGGTTGTGTTTTCCCCGCCTGCTTGCCTCTGTCACCCAGCAAAACAGATCAGTAGGATGTCTGAAGCAGAAAGATAACAGTAGCCTGGGCAAGACTCCGGTAGCTTTGGGATAGCTTTGTCGGTGCTTCCCTCATGGTTTTTCCTTTGCCAAGGATCTTCCTTTGCTCAGCAGTGAAGCTTAGACTACTATGAGAAAGAAGAGAGTGCTGGAACCAGATGAACACTGGAAGGTATGGTACAATGATTGGTGCAAACCGGCCTTTCTTGGGGCACAGCTGTATGAGATACCTCTGTAGAATCAACAGGATTTTTAGCTTTCATAAGTTTTGAGCTGGAACTTCAACACTTGAAGAGATAGCTTAAGAGCTATTTCACTCCTGCATGAAAGTGGGATTAATACAGTGAGATAGGAAGGCTAACCTCGTGATGAATACACAATGGAATCAGTGTATAATGTATACTAAGTCATTGGTTTAGAAGTAAGGAAACAGGGTTGTGGCTAGTGCCAGTACCAAGCAAAATTGGGCAGCCGCCCAGGAGCATGGATGATAAATGGGCCCCTTAAGCTGAGTCCAAGACCTGGCACAGTCCTTAATTAACCACCTCCTTGCTTTCCCAGCACCAGTAGAGGAGTGGGGATCTGCAGTGGTCCAGATACTGTGACCTTGGACAGGTATTTTAAGATAGTGCCTCCCAATTTATGGAAAACTAACATACCACAGCTGCAACATCATTCTAATATAGGGGTGCTAAAAATTGGGGTTCTGTTTTCCCACTTAAAGCAACTTGTCTGAAAATGGTTATTGTGGGTGTTACTAACAACTTTCACTTTTAGTTCTGGTGAAGTTACATGTTTCTTTCGAAGAATATTTTGACTGGAAGCAAGTTACGACTCCTAACATTGCCTCATTTTTTAAGCTACTCCTGCAAGGTACTCCTGCAAAGTATTATATCATTTGGAAAGGGAGACTTGTTGTAGTCTGTAGAAGTATATTAGGCAGTGCCTATCCATTCATGGTTGTTGTTTAATCCTCTGTGTGTATGCTTATATATATAATTTATTTAAGAAAAGCAAATATGTAATATAATCTCATTTATTTAAGGAAAACAGAGTCAAACTCCTTCATGGCAAACATCAGTAATCTCCATTCAGCCCCACACCTGTCAAGGCTTGTTTTGATTGGGATATGAATTTCAGTTGCCACATCTCTTGAAGGCAAAATGGATGAAGTCCTTTTGTTACTATGCTGAAAAATTATGAGAATTGAAAAGGCACTGAATTGTACTACTTCAGTTTACAACTCAGGAAGATTTTTATAGGCAGGTATAATATCTGCCATTAAACTGCAGTTATCACATGTCTGAATGAAATAGCTCCTGGGGTTCAGCTGTGCTGGTCCTCAAGCTGGGTAGAAAACTTTGTAAGGAGAAAAACTAGAGAAGCCTTTGCTCTTTGTTTGATGGGAGTTGTAGTCCAAAACATCTGGTGTGATCTCGATCTCCCATCCAACCATTCATTTTGAGCGCCTAAACAAAACTTACATGATGAAGTAGACTCTAGTTCATGAAAACTTATGTTGTAATAACTTTCTTTGTCTTTAAGGTGTCATGAGACACATCTGTTGTGTTTGCTGCAACCATGACACCATGATAATGGGAACAGATGATGGCTATAATAATAATAGTAAGAACTTTATTATTTATACCCCACCCACCTGGCTGGGTTTCCTCAGCCACTCTGGGTGGCTTACAGAATATATAAGGGCAAAGGGACCCCTGGCCGTTAGGTCCAGTCGTGGATGACTCTGGGGTTGTGGCACTCATCTCGCTTTATTTATTTATTTTTATAAATATTTATTAAAGTTTTCACAATATTACATAATGAAAAAGAAAAAAGAAAAAATACAAAATAAAAAACAGTTAAAAACAATTCCATCTTTTTGTCACTTATCTTTCATTTACTTGTTTCCCGGACCTCCTCATACCTCCCTTTTTTGTATTCCAGTTCAATTTATTAGTTCAGCAATTCCTTTCCCTCCTTATTTTATCCTGATCCTGATCCTTAATCTTAATATATTATAACATTAAATTTTTACCTGTTAAAAATCCAATTCTTTTATATTCTTTTATACCATTACAGCTAGAAACCACTTAACTTCAATCCAACATCATTCTAACATTCGTTAATTTTGCAATATTTCTGTAAATAGTCTTTAAATTTCTTCCAATCTTCTTCCACCGACTCTTCTCCCTGGTCTCAGATTCTGCCAGTCATTTCCGCCAATTCCATATAGTCCATCACCTTCATCTGCCATTCTTCCAGAGTGGGTAGATCTTGTGTCTTCCAATACTTTGCAATGAGTATTCTTGCTGCTGTTGTGGCATACATAAAAAAAGTTCTGTCCTTCTTTAACACCGATTGGCTGACTATGCCCAGGAGAAAGGCCTCTGGTTTCTTCAAGAAGGTATATTTAAATACCTTTTTCAATTCATTATATATCATCTCCCAGAAAGCCTTAATCCTTGGGCACGTCCACCAAAGGTGAAAGAATGTACCTTCAGTTTCCTTACATTTCCAACATTTATTATCGGGCAAATGGTAGATTTTTGCAAGCTTGACTGGGGTCATGTACCACCTGTATATCATTTTCATAATATTCTCTCTTAAGGCATTGCATTGCCGTAAACTTCATACCTGTGGTCCATAACTGTTCCCAGTCAGCCATCATTATGTTATATCCAACATCTTGTGCCCATTTAATCATAGCAGATTTCACTGTTTCATCCTGAGTATTCCATTTCAACAGCAAGTTATACATCTTTGACAAAATCTTAGTGCACTCATTTCGCTTTACTGACCGAGGGAGCCAGCGTATAGCTTCCAGATCATGTGGCCAGCATGACTAAGCCACTTCTGGCAAACCAGAGCAGTGCACGGAAATGCCGCTTACCTTCCTGCCGAAGCAGTACCTATTTGTCTATTTGCACTGTGTGCTTTCAAACTGCTAGGTTGGCAGCAGCAGGGACTGAGCAACGGGAGCTCACTCCGTCATGGGGATTCAAACCGCTGACCTTCTGACCGCTTCAGGTGTCTTCTAAAAGTTGTATAGTTCTTTAACTCCTTGACATCTGAAGGGAGGGTGTTCCACAGTGCGGGTGCCACTACCAAGAAGGCCCTCTGCCTGGTTCCCTGTAACTTCCCTTCTTGCAGTGAGGGAACTAGCAGAAGACCCTTGGAGGATGTAGTGGTTCTAGGGGTTGCTCGTGCGTAAGCCGGTGCAAACACCTGGCTGGGTTGCCTGAGTGAACCTTTTCTGTCCGGACAGCCACTTACTCGTGGCTGTCTCAATCGCTGGCAGAATCCGTCAGTGGGCGTTTCTTAAACTTCTTCCAGCAAAGAAGCTCTTTGACGCCTAGTCTCCTCCTACTCTCTCTGCGTGAAAGCCTTCTGCGCAAGGAGGGCGTAGGCAGCGGAGGACCTCTACTCTCCCCGCTGGTCCCTGGCAAGGAATCATGGGACCGCTTTGCCGCTTCCCCCATCTGCCCCCCTTCTCCACTGGTGCTACGCTGATTCTCTTCCCCAGAAGATGGGCTGCCTCTCCCAATCCCGGGACGCTCTCTGGAATCCCTCTGGATTTTGCTCTCTCCCTCCGGCACTGATGGCAGTTCCCTGACAGAGGAGGACCTCAGTGTCTGGGCTGAGTGATAGGGGTGCAGATGTTCCTTCAGGTATACTGGACTGTATATTTCTCTGATCAGGCAAACCAGACATTGCATTTGTCTGTAGGAACAAATCTGGGATGGCTGGGACTGCTGTTGTGGACAAAACATTTATGAGTTAAGTCTCCACTTCTTCTACGTTGAAAGCCTTTCTGTCACTGTAGTCTAGTAACAATGGTTCATGGGCACCAGAGGCTCTTCCATGAAAGCAGTATGAAAATTACTTACACAGAGTCTACAGAATACATTTAACTTTTGCCATCTCCAAACTGCAAGTCCTATGCCTCTGATGCACCACTTCAATCTGCATAATATTTTGCATAGAAAACTCAGTGAGTGGCAAGTATTTGGTAGTGCCCTTTGTTACAAATGGGAGACAAATATGCTTTAGGGGTTTTATTCTGGCAATTGGGCAGAGTTCCTGGATTCTGAAGCAGCTTCCTAAGAACATCAGGCCAATGTTAAGCAGGCTTTACAAAACCCATTAACTACAGCCCATATGTAATTATCAGCTTTCTGTCATTCTAGTCTCAGGGGATGGCCTGCAGAGTTACATTTCTGCTGAGCAAAATCAGGAGACCGGGGAGCATTATTAACCAAACCCTGAAGAATATCCTGAGGTGCTCTCTGGTCCTTTCACCTCTACTTATGACACGGTACAAAGTTTGGCTCTTGCCTTTGCTTTCTCATTTCCCTTACTCAAGTGGTATGATAGGCTGATTCTCAAAGGGCCATGAGTCAGGATTCCTGAGTTCTGTTTTGTTCCGATGCCCTGAGGAGGAAAAATAAGTCAAGGGCACAATTCACAAATTTATCAACGCAACATCAGTGGAAATGTACTATGAAAGTCCTTAAGGCAGGGTGGACAACCTGTATGCAGAAGGGTACATGTAGCCCTTAGCCTAATTTCATGCTGGGGAAATGAGGGAAATGGGGTGGCAGAAGGAGAGGAAGAAAGGGGGGTGCCATGCTCAGATTTTGCTCAGGCCCTGCCACCACCAGCATGCGTCTCCTGACAGATTACTCTCAAGGGAATGAGACTACAAACTGAAAAAATGTTCCCTGCTTCCCATTAAGGCTTCCAGATTTTGTGTACAAAGATAACAGACATTCCACAGTAAGACCACTGTTCCATTCCTTCCATCAATAGGAACCACAGACAACTGAGGATGGAAGTCTCAAACTAAAATTAAAAAATGGGTTGTTGTTTTTACCTGAATCTTCAATAATTCTGATGGGATTTGAACTAGTTTTACTCTTTTTTAAAAAGCCATATGGCTCTGTTGTCTTGCTGTAATACAAAAATATTCTATATTCCATATTTCCAAATGCATGAAAAAGGGAAATATGATAGACTTCAGGATATGCCCTTCCTTCAGATAACTTCAAAATGGCATCTGTATTGAGAGTTTGGTAGCAGGCATATTTAAATCCATTTTACCAATGAATTGGTAATTGAAAGCTGGATGATCAGTTAAAACTCTGTGATGCGGTGACTGTCACCTGAGTTCTCATATCTTTTTCTTCTAGCTGTTTTTGGTAGTTCATCGCCATTTCTCTCTCTCATGCCATCATGTGTTATCTCGGGGAATGACATTATTTAACAGAGCCTTTTAACTCAAGTCTCTTTCTGTGCTCTTTCTCCTCTCCCACAGTTGGATAAAGGGGATGTGAGCCAAATCAGCCTGCCTTCCAATACAAGCCACGGTGATGCTGATGGCAACTTCTGCCTTGACGTTCCAGATGGCAACCCAGACCCGCAGAGGACAAAGGCTGCCATTGACCACCTGCACCAGAAGATCCTCAAGATCACCGAGCAGATCAGGGTTGAGCAAGAGGCACGAGATGACAATGTGGCTGAGTACCTGAAGCTAGCTAACAATGCCGACAAGCAGCAGGCCTCTCGTATCAAACAGGTCTTTGAGAAGAAGAACCAGAAGTCAGCCCAGACCATCGCGCAGTTGCACAAGAAGCTTGAACATTATCACAAAAAGCTAAAGGAGATTGAACAAAATGGGCCCTCTCGACAGCCCAAAGACGTCTTCCGGGACATGCACCAGGGCCTCAAGGACGTAGGGGCCAATGTCCGCTCCAGCATCAGTGGCTTTGGAGGCGGAGTGGTTGAGGGTGTCAAAGGTGGACTGTCAGGCCTTTCTCAAGCCACCCACACAGCTGTGGTTTCCAAACCCCGAGAGTTTGCAAGCTTGATCCGCAACAAATTTGGCAGTGCGGACAACATTGCCCACTTGAAGGACACGCTGGAAGATGGGCACCCTGAGGAGGCTTCACGGACTCTGAGTGGCAGTGCCACTCTGGTTTCTAGTCCCAAATACGGCAGTGACGATGAGTGCTCCAGTGCCACTTCTGGCTCAGCAGCAGGTAGCAACTCGGGGGCGGGTGCTGGTGGCTTGGGCAGCCCCAAGTCTAACACCTTGGACAGTCACCACTATAATTTTGAGACCATCATAGAAGAACTGAGGGAGATTAAGGACATTCAGTCCCACCTTGAGGACTCCATGGAAGACCTCAAGGCCCAGCTGCAGCGAGACTATACGTATATGACTCAGTGCTTACAGGAAGAGCGTTATAGGTAAGACTTGTTGGGTGTGCTGCTGTTAATTCCCAGTGGGAAACTGTCACACTTAACCACCATATTTAATTGTCATTGACTTGTGGAACTGGGCATGCTGGCCAGTCTTTATGTTGTGGCTCTTGAAGGGTCATGCTGTGGGGTACAATAGATGAAGATGCTGGCAAGTAATGTAATTAGGCTTTATGTTCCTATGCAAAGAAACAAATTGACAGTGAATTTCCCTTTAGAAGAGGCTGTGGCAGAGAAGGGGAGATGAGATGCTACAAAGCATAAGGCAATGAGGGAGGAATTCAGCCTATCACCTCAATCCAGTCAGTTATTTAGCAGCCACAAAGGATTCTGGGATATCAGAACCAGCCCAGCAGCATGGACATTTGCTTTCCATTTCCTAATTTCCCCCAGATACTGCTATTTCTTTCTCCTGCAAAGTTCTGTTTGCTTTGGCCACAGTCCTGTGCACAATTACCTGGAAGTAAGCTCCACTGAGAACAGTACGTATTTCTTTATTTTTAAAAATAGCTATCCACTTTTCTTTATAAATCCAAAGTGGCAACTTACAGGATAACACAAACCAAACAACAACCTAGCACCAGAAACCGCATAGAAACAACAATAGATAACACCTAACACAATTATATGCATATGATAACTCAAGAAAGTAATTTTCCTTGTTATCCTTGCATGTTTACGTAGAGAGAGAGCCAAACAGAAATTTGTCTCCTTTTTTCTAAGCCAATAATAATTTTGCGGTGGAAGGCCAAAGCTTTTGGATTTATGTTCTTTAGTTGAATTTAGGCTCCCATTTAGTTGCAAACCAATATGCCTTAATTGCTATAGCAACCATGAGTATGCATGCTTGTTCAGGAAATGTCTGAATTTCAAATGGGGGGGGAGTTGAATTTTAAATAAGTGATTCAAATAAGTCCTCCTTCCTGGTGATTTAAATCATGATTTAAATCCTGCCTAGCTGTCACTAGCTTTGAAGATGTCTGCTGGAATTTCCTGTACTGTAAGTTCTCCTCAAGAAGAAAGACACTGCACTATTAACTGCTTCTATTTATAAGACACAAGAGGAAATGCATTCCTGGCTGAATGCTCAGTGCCAGCTTCTTGCTTCTCTTCCACCGGTGGAAAAATAAGGACCAAGAACTCTTTTGCCTGTGGGCTTCATTAAAATTGTTGGCAGTGAGGAAAGAATTATGTTTCCATTTTTGTGTGAGAGAAGGGCCATAGGCTCAGTCCTGGGATGACACTTGCATGCAGTTGCTATGTTTATGGTTCTCACAGATGTGGGGAGCAGAAGTCTCTTGCAGGCTTATGGTCCCAACCAGCTCTTATGTCTAGGGCGGGGGTGGAGAAACCGTGGTCCTCCCAGATGTTGCTGGACTCCAGCTCCCATTAGTTCCAGCCACCTTAGCCCAATGGCCAGGGATGATGAGAAAGGTACTTGAGCAACATCTATGGAACCACTCATTCTGCATCCCTGGTCTAGGGGTATGGCTCTTCCTCAGTGTCAGAGGTCTCTGGTTCAAAGCCCAGACAACTGTGCTGGGGGCATGGAGAGAAGGAGGCTGGTTGGACTTTTGGGGAGCTGATGTAGGTCAGTGAATGAGCACTTGCCTTGCAGGCAGAAGGTCCCAAGGTCAATCTCTGGTATCTCTACTAAGTAGCAGAGCTGAGAAAGACCGTGAGTCCTAGGTGAGCTGCTGCCAGCCAGAGTAGACAATTCTGGAGTAAATGGACATATAGCCAGACTTTGTATAAGGCATCTTCCCACATAATCCAGTCACCATAGAATAAATAGCACACAGTCTCTGTGAGTGCTTTCTCAGTGAAGCATCTCCCAATTTTCTGAGAAGTGTCTCACAGGGCCAGTTTCCTATTAGGATCAGCCAAGGCTGCATGCACTCATCCCAGATGGCCATAACAAATCTGCAGGCAGGTTACTGTATGCATCAGTTTTCCACATTGGTCCAATCCTACTACTGAAATCACACTTACCTTTTGCCCCACTATTTCCAGGCAGATGTCCACACTTTAACACTACATGTCCAATGAATTTTTTAATTTTCTTTTGCCCTGAGCTTTTCCCGTGAAAGCCTGCTCTTTAAAGCCAAATTGAAGCAAACAGCAATTCAGGTTTTCTGCAGGTTGATGTTTGCTCCAACTGAGCTTTAAAGAGCAAGTTTTCACACAGAAAGCTCTGCAGCAAGAAAAGAAAAGAAAAGAAAAATGGTGCTCGGACACAAAGCTTTAGATTGCGGACCATGCCTGGAAAGAGTGGAAGAAAGGTAAGTGTGGATAAGCCTTCAGTGTGAACAGCGTTTCATGCAAGCAGCTGTACATACAGTGAATGTGCCCAGGGAAAGCAAGGTTGCAGTGGCAAATCCTACCTCAATTCACTGGACCTTACAATCTTCATGTGCATACAAAGTGTATGCTTACAGTTTTCCTGCATGCAGTTGGGGCTGTGCAGGGCCCCTTACCACACTTGTCTTCCCTTTGTATATGCATAGAGATTGTACAGACAGTCTAGTGCAGTGTTCCTCAACCTCAGGTTCCTTGTATTTATTAGACTACACCTCCCATCACCCCTGACTATTGGCTAAGTTAGCTGAGGATGCTGAGAGCTGTAGCCCAACATCTGAGGACCCAAAGCTGAAGAACACTAGTCTAGTGAGCATATGTAGGTCAGGGAGGGGCTCATCACCACGAGCCCTCTTCTCCCCACACGCATTCACTAGATGTGTGTTTGTTTGAAGTGCTTATCTGTGTCCTCATTTATTTTGGATGTCCATTTTGTCCTACACTGGTATTTGATGCTCCCCACCCCCTGCCGTTTTGGGGTTTTTTCCAGAAGCTGGAAAATATCTCAAAATATCCTGGAAGGCAATTATCAGTGACAGCAGGGATGGAAACAAAACTCATTGTTCCCAAAGGCAGGATTGTTTCAGAAGAGACACACCCCCCTTCTCATTTGTTTTCCACTCACCCACATGTATCCCATTTGAAGGGCTGAGAAAAACCTTTAGATTGCAATTGAATAGTGACCACCAAACCAGGAAAGAGGTGGGGAGAAAAGAGGAAGGAACTGCAGGTGTTCCAGAGAGAGACAGAGAGAGAGAGATTTATTTCAGGCCTGACAAGTTCTGAAATAATCCTTCATCCAAGCCACATTTTCAATGGCAGCTTCCACCAAATGCATAAACCACTAATGCAGGTGTGAGGAACATTTGGTCTCCACATGTTGCTGACATACAACTACCACCCCTTCCCATTGGCACTGCTTGCTGGCATTGATATAAGTTGTGGTTCAGCAACATCTGGAGGGCCAAATGTTCCTCACACCTACACTACAGTAACTCTTATAGAATAGGTTATCCACTTGATAGAAATTGCTGTTCAAAACATGCCTTCCAGGGAAAGAATTATTCTGAAGTACGTTAGACCTGAAATATTTTTTTCTTTAAGCCCCACGACTTTTTTCCTCATCTCCCCCTCACCCCCAAAGTTGAATGACATTTATTCGGGAATCAACTCCGCTAAATGCATTGGGACATTTCTTTATCTATCTATCAGTTATACGTTTTTTTAATACAACGCTTCAAACATATTTCCAGCTTTGTTTACCAAAAGAAAATAACACAATAAAATGTGAGTAACAAAGGCATAATAAGGCCAGTACAATCCTTATTAGTTCCTCAAAAACTAATGGAGTTGGGTGATGTACAGCATAATAATAAAAACTCTGAAACCTTAAATACAAAATAACAGTTCTAAAAAGAAGCATTAAACCATCTATATCAGGGGTCAGCAACCTAAGGTCCATGGGCCAGAAGTGGAGGTTGTTTGACCGGCCCACAAGCCGCCCCCAAACCGACCCACCCGCTTGTGTGCTGCACTAAACCAGCGCAGCACGGGGACTTGCTCCCGTTGTGCTGAAAATTGCGTCAGTGCACGCGCAGACGCTGAAAATCGTGGGCATGCGTGCTCACACACATACGCGATCTGGCCCATGGAGAGATCTCCGTGGGACCGATCCAGCCCAGGCAAGATAAACCTTGCTGACCCCTGATCTATATGAAACTTAGTGGAAACCAAAACTCTACCAGCAGCACACAATTTCAGCTTAGAGCAGCCTGCATCAACCTGGTGCCCTCCAGATGCATTGGATTGTGCTGAAGACAACTCATGTATATATAAAAGAGCACATAACCTTAGGCAGTGCCCTAGAAACAGTCCTCCTTGCTTCAGGTGGTTAAACCATGTCCATCTACCCATCAGCTGATATCACTGGTGGTGCCAACTGTTGGTTGGGAAGGCAGGGTTAAATCTCATATTGACTGCACACACCTACAGAACAGGCTCCTGCAGCCAAAGCAGCAAGATTTAATCCCCACTCATCAGCTGATGATCGGGGTTAAATCCTGCACAGTTTTAAGCAGTCCAGCAATCTGGTTTGAGCCTCTGATTTTCAGCAGCTCAAAGAAAAGAGGAGGGGGCTGCCTGAAAGCCCTTTACAAAAGGGTCTCATCTTGAGCGGGGGAGCTGCAGGTTGCTGTATGTGACAAACACCATATGTAGGATTGATACCCTCTGCTTTCAAATGATAGAACCACTGATAGAAATTTGGCCACCACCAACTGGGGATGATTGGAGTTGTAGTCCAAAATATTTTGAGGGTCTCTGGATGGGGAAGGCTGCCTTAAAGCATACTGCACGGGGCACAGGAATGAGATGTTAAGAAACAAAGCATTGCAAGTAATCATTTAGTTGTGCTTAGGACAATAAGCCTAACAAAATGTTCAGTGAAATCTGATGTCTTCTTAGATGGCCTCCTGAATAAAATGAGGTGATGGGATATGGTTCCATGAGTATCAATGTAACATTCAAGACATGTAGCCCTTTGGCTGGTTTACCCAGAGGTAATCATCACAGTAGCTCTTTAGAGGGGCATCCACTGTCAAATTGGTTCTTCTCACAGCTGTCTGACAGCCAAATATGAAACACAATCCAATTCCTTGTTGGCATCTTCCTCTGTTGCAAGAATGTAGGAAGCTACCTTCTTGCCCTAGGTCAGATGTTTGTCCATTGATTCCAGTATTTCCTCTGGCTAGCAGCATCCCATGCCACCTGATCTTTGCCCCTCCCAACCCCCTCCAATCCTGGAGATGTAAGGGACTGGACAAAGCATGTGCTCTATCACCAAGCGGTTGCCCCTCCCTTGTATTTCATAGTTCTGCTCAGTATTCTAAAGAAAAGTTATTATGAAGAGCCAAGCCGCTCATGCAATGATTTTATTCAGTTCCTTTTTTATTGCTATATTTAACTTGCCATTTGCTTTTGAGTTCTGCTGTTTGTTTTTCTTTTATTTTCTATTTCAGTGCAATAGACAAGTCACTGGCTTGGTTTAATGCTATATAAGGTTAAGCGGTGGAAATGGGAACATGTTTTGAAGCATAGTTTTCCGTGGTGATCCAGGGGTAGCCCAAGATGTTTTGTTCCTTTAGGTGAGGAGCAGGACTTCGTCTTCCACTCCCACATTCCGTGTACAGAATTCAACTGGACTGGCTGCTGATAGAATCTCAGGGTAGTTCGCAACATAAAAGTGCAAAGCAACATAAAAGTACAAAATACTTTATAAAAATCAAGAAGAAGAAGAAACATGAACCAGTAATGCCTCCTCCCACAAACACATTTATCTGTTATTTTCAGTTACTTCCTATTTTGAGTGGCCAGATATCACTGTGCTTATTCATTTAAGCTTTATATATAGAATTGTCCAGAGTGCACTTTCATGTTTCCTGTCCCTTTGATGCTACTCTTTACATTTTCTTTCCTCTGAATCCATGTAGACATATATATTCCAGTCTACAAAGGCTGATGCCATAACACACAGAGTGCCAGAAGGTTCCTTTTTACTTGCTAAAGGACCCCCGGTTTTTTTTTGGGGGGGGGGGTTGCACTTAAAATTTAAGTGGAGGAGGAGGAGGAAGATTGCCAGAGCCACGTATCACTATTGGCTCCCAGTAGAGGGAAAGACGAGGCAGTGAGGAGCCCATTGCAGGCACAGCAGCTGAGCCAATCTGATGCACCTGTTTCTGCGCCCACACTGAGCTGCCCACTGCCTACCTCCCCCACTTGGGTAAGTGGTAGAGGTAAGTGGCATTGGGTAGGCAACTCTGCCCTACTTTCCCTGCCAGCTGCTCCTGCTTGTACAGATGACAGCCAGTCATCCTGGGGCACAGCCTTGCTCTGCGGAGGCTGTTTTCTGATCTAACACAAGGGTTGGCCAACCAGCATTGTGCAAATCTGACCTCAGACAGTCCCGGAGAAGGGGCTATAATTGGGTTGCAGTTGCAGTGAGTTTGCTTCCACAGTGGTTTAACTGTTCACAGTTAAATTACACTACCCTTTCTGTTCTGCTTGACTGTCAAGGATATAGCAACATCCTGAAGGAACGAGGCAGGGACGTTTCATAGGGATATAAGAGGAAATCCGGTCTCTTGGAAAGTAGAGAAAATATATCATTAAATGCTTTCATCGTGTAGAGTACTCCCTGGAGCAGCTGCTTCTGTGGACTGGCATTACCTTCCGCCATCCCCTGAGACCATCTATAGCTCCTGCTGGCTTTTTACTCAAGAGGGAAGAGACTGGAACATGGATTGTTACATCAGCTGCTAAGGACAGAAAGACTCTGGCATACATACAGTGGTACCTCGGGTTAAGTACTTAATTCGTTCCGGAGGTCCGTTCTTAACCTGAATCTGTTCTTAACCTGAAGCACCACTTTAGCTAATGGGGCCTCCTGCTGCTGCTGCGCCACCGGAGCACAATTTCTGTTCTCATCCTGAAGCAAAGTTCTTAACCTGAAGCACTATTTCTAGGTTAGTGGAGTCTGTAACCTGAAGCGTATGTAACCTGAAGCGTATGTAACCCGAGGTACCACTGTACGCTATTTCTAAGTGCATTCTAATCATCTTTGTGAACCTGTCAAGACTGAAAAGCAGGATATTATTTAGTCAGCTGTCAGTGTTCTTAAATGGTTGTTCAGCTCCAAGGAAAGTTAAAGTTGGGTGTTGTTTGTGGGCTGATGTTTTCATTAGCATTGGCAAGTTCATCGCCAATGAACTCAGAACATCCTTCCCTTCCACTTCCCCTTGAGGATTTATCAGCCAGTAGCAGCGGCACATGAGAAAATGGGAGAAGTGAGCGCTGTCTCTTCTCGCCTATCTCTCTGGAACTTGAAAGGTTTGATGGTCCATTAGAGATGTAGCACTGCTGTCATTGCTACTCAGGAGGGGAATAGACAGAGATCCCTCCTTCCTACTCCCTGGATGCCTCTGCTAATTCTAGCTGGTGAGTCTTGAGGAGAGAGAGGAGTTTGGGAATTGGGAAGGATTGGTGTAGGAGATTAAGGAAATCTCAGCCAGAGGAAAAATTAAGGGATTTGAAAAGTTCATGTTTTCTTTGACACCAGCATTTTGAGCCCCCAAAGCTCATACCCACACCTGAATACAATGAGCTTCCCTGACTTCTCCAGCTCCAAATTCTCACCCACTGCATGTGTTTCTCCCTCTCCCGCTACACAGATATGAACGCTTGGAAGAGCAGCTGAATGACCTGACAGAGCTCCACCAGAATGAAATGACCAATCTCAAACAGGAGCTGGCCAGCATGGAGGAGAAGGTGGCTTACCAGTCCTATGAGAGGGCCAGAGACATTCAGGTATGGGAATCCATAGGGATGCTTGTACAGCTGGCCTGACATCTTCCCCTCCCTATTGGGTATTTATTCTTTCCACATATTCAGTCTCCCTCCCAAAAACATAGAACGGCTTACATATAAATACAAATCCTAGCTGATCTGCTATACAGGCAGAGCTCAGGACCAGACCTGCAACACTAGAACTGTGGTATATTCCTACAGATCATTCTCTGAGCGTGGATGTTTGGCACTGATAAGACTAGAGAACTGAAAAGATGTAGGAGGAGAGGAATGAGACTTGCATCTGAAGAACTGAGAATTTGTCTATGGATCTTAGCTTTAGATTGCTAGTCTGCAATCTGTTCCCTCTTGTCCCTAGATCATAGAAGGGCTCAAGATCAGTAGATGTGCCACAGCTTTCATAGGAACCTTGGAATCTGCCATATAATAAGTCGCACTGTATGTCCATCTATTGTTTGCTCCAACTCATAGCCCTTCTGGTACTCTCTGGTACTCTCAGCATGCAGTGCAGATGTTCTAACACAGCTGCGATCCCTCATCCCTCAGCTAACACTGGTCCTTTTTCTCTTTCCCCTACAGGAGGCTGTGGAATCCTGCCTGACTCGTGTCACCAAGCTGGAACTTCAGCAGCAGCAGCAACAGGTGGTGCAGCTGGAAGGGGTAGAGAATGCCAATGCCCGGGCCCTGCTAGGCAAATTCATCAACGTCATATTGGCCTTGATGGCTGTGCTGCTGGTCTTTGTCTCCACCATTGCCAGTTTCATCACGCCCTTGATGAAGACCCGCATGCGTCTCCTGAGCACCACCCTGCTAGTGCTTTTTCTCTTCCTCCTCTGGAAGCACTGGGACTCCATCACTTACCTTCTGGAACACGTGCTGCTCCCTAGCTGATTCTCCTGGCAGCCAGGTATTGGGGCTGCAGGGTGTTTCAGGTTTTTTTTCATGTAGAGAGAGAGAGAGAACGAGGAGACCTTCCAACTCAGTTCCTTTGTCTATACAGAGTATGTAATCCTCACTCGCTCTTCCCCTGCACAGCCAACTTTATTCACGTCCAACACCATCTCTCAGTCATAGGGAGTGTAGCTGCATCTGAGCTTGTGAGAGGCTGAATAAGTCACTCTTCCAGGATGCCTTTGCAAGGGGTTGGGGGAAAGCAAATGAAGCCCGGAAGAATCTTTAGCTGCAACACCTTAGCCTTTTCTTTCAAAGCAAACAAAGGAAGTGAGGGCGATTGCAAAGCTTTGTGCGCAGAGCTGCAGAACGCCAGTCTCCAGAAAGCGTTTTTTGCGGGGTGTTTTTCTGCCTGAGAAGGATGATAAAAGGCTTATTTCTACATATGAAGACAACGGTTCAACACTGAAGATGAACTTTATTCTTTTTCTTAAAACTGATGCCCCTTAGAAACATGCACAGATTTCATGGAGCAGAATGATGTACATATCACACCAGTTTATCCAAGTCACATGGCTACTTTACTTTCCATTCCTGCAGAACAGCTGATGTGCCAGAAGTGCACCTGGGCATCTTTCTTATGATGGACTTGATGTGATTATAGATTTGGCTGGGTTGTTTCACCTGTTCAGTTTTGCCCAGTAGAGACAAGATCAAAGGGGGGAAAGAATCTACCACTCTGGCGCAAGTTCAGCATTTTTGGTTGGCTTTGTTTTATTTATTTATTTTTGCTTTTGTTTGATATCTTCAGGGACTAAATGAGAAATTCTGACAGTGCACCTGCGAATCTTACAATCTTTGCAAATGTGTGTGTGTGTGTGTGTGTGTGTGTGTGTGTTAATTTATTGATTTACAGATGGGTTCCTTTTTCTAAATCGAGTATTGTGTGAATATTCAGCTGCCTTCACATCTCCTGTGTACCTAGAGAAAATAGAACATGGTTTTAAAATGGTTGAATAGTCCATGCAAAATTAGTAAGTCTCTATTTGAATTTGGCAATGCTTCATCAAATTTCACCAGTAGAAATTTTGCTCATTACTTGCTCCAAGAGACAATCCTCCATCTTCATATTGAAGTGATTATATTAATAGTACATTACTGTAGTTCTTTTAAAGCAGACAAAGAAGCAGCCATCGTATGCAGGATCAGGCCCTTAGTGGAGGTTTCCTCACAAAAGAAGAAAAAGCAACTAACTGATCACTTCTGCTCTTAAGCTCCTGACATATTTCTACAATGTTTATTTCAACTGCTTATTTATTCACACCTGCTATTGTCCGAAGCATTTTATTTTACAGCAAAACTGTATGGCATGTTTTAAAGCACATTTTAAAAGGTTTAAGATGAAATGATCTGGGTGAGGAGTTATTAATATAATATCTGCAAAAATATAATTGCTGTTGCTGGCAAAAGAGAAGCTTATTGTAAGTTGAATTCAGGTGGTTATTTAAGGGAAGCTGTAAGTCATGGGTAGAGGCGCTCTCCCTCCCCAAAGGTAAATTCTAGTTAGGCCTGCAGTCACTCCCCACGTTTGCACCCACTTGCCCTCTATCAATCCCCCATTTACCCCACACTTCCTCTCTTTCATCCACACTCCCCCTACATACATAGACTCTCCATTCTCCCTTGCTCCCTTTTCTCTCCTCTCTCACCCTGCCCTCCTTCCACAAAAAAAATCTATGGGGGAGGACAGAGAGAATAGGATTTAAGCCTTCACTCCCCAGTTGTCACCTCCCACAAATACCCCACACATGGCAATTAGGCTTTTTTTGGGGGGGGGAGTCTCAGTTGCATGTTGATGTAATTTTTTTAAAAAAACAACTTCTAAGACTAATTGAAAAATAATGGGGGTGGGGAAAGAAGGAGAGGCTGTAGGCTGGATTCAAAAGTGCCACAGATGATGCCCGCCCCCCATGCAGTAAAGATAGTGTGTAATCAATGGACTAGAATTGAGGTTTTCAGTACAAAACTCAAGCTTGATTTATATGTGTCGCAAAGTGAAGTGGCAGAGTCTTAAGGTGGTGGAATTGCCTCTTCTCAACTCAGTGTCATGGGTGGTGTGTCTAAGTGTAGGGTTATATTTTTGATTGCTTGTTTATGTTAAAAACAACATTCCTGAAAGCAGAGACTCAGGATAGCAGACAGAAGGCCATCTAGAAGAGGCTCCCTTCTATGCCTTGCTAGGTTTCTGCTTGCAAGAGTCATTTTTACATAGGGTTTTCAAAAACATGATTCACCTGCAGCCTAAGTTATACAATCTGCTGTACTTCACAGGACTTTACCACCTCATTCTGTTACATGTGTAAATTTAGCCTTAGATGTGATTAAGGTCAAGCTTGCGCAAGTTTTGCTTCGGTGAGAACTTTGGGAGGATGCCAAACGGTTTTGTAGAAAGAGAAAAGGAATGTGTTTCGTTACGATACAATATCTGATATCTTCTGATATTGCTCAAACCCATGAGGATATGCACTTTATGATGCTTTCATCTATGGCAAATGGCTGTGGTGTAAGATCCTAGGATCCAAGAGCTGTCGATTACAGTACAGGACAAGAAGAGAGAATTTTGGCAGGTCAGCTCCCACCCCAGTGACACTACAACAAGAACAGCTTCATCTGCTGAAATGTTCCTCCTTATGACTGTTAAATGCAAAATAGCCTGGCAGAGTGGTTATCTACTCCCTTTATTCTGGTTCTGCCTGCAGATCTGCTCTTTATTACATGAAACATTTTTATTTTATTTTTGCTTCTCTGTTTGAGGATGCTGTCCATAAGGCATAATCAGAGTCTAGGTGACAGGTTTTCCAACCCAAGCACCTGATCTTGGCTCTTGAGAACCTACATGTTACTCTCCCTGGCACCTAAAATGGAATGGTGGCTTGAGGCATAACCTCTGGAATGTATCCCCCTCTTTGCTAAGGAAGCCTCTGATGTCAAAATTCCATCATATGTAAGTAACATTTGTGATCTGCCTTTAATAACCCCAGGAGATGTGAAGGCTCTCAACTTTTCTTGTATACATCTATTTATTTTGTATATTTTCACGAGTCAGAAAATCAACTTGCCTTCCCTGCCCAGTTATAGGAGGAGATGGTTTTCTAGTGCAATGTGCATGGATAATTTATTTAATGATGTCAGGATGAATGTTGTATGAGTTGGAAAAGAACGTTCAATAACAAACAAAAAACTGTTCCAGAATATAAAATGAAACAGATTTTGACCAAAATCCACAGTGAAAGTGTAACTGAGGTGCAGGATTTGTGCTTTCCTCTTTAGTTCTGACCTTGCACTATTCCTGACCCAGCCCCTGTCACCAAGTAATGAATAAGAGATGTATCTTGCTGCAGCAGGTTAGTCTTGCAGTGGAGAGCTAAAGAGGATGCTGTTGTGCTCAGCTTCTAAAACATATAAATGGGTCTAGGTGAGGGTTCCCATGCAGGCTTTGCAGAGCAAGAGGAGAGCATAGTCAGCTAGGATTTTTGTTTTTATTTATGCTCATGGGTTACACACACACACACAAAACACCAGACGCTTGTGTTTTGATGTAATCAGTTGAATAGTCCTTGCGAACGTTGACTGGTGTAAGAACAGCTGGGCAACATTTTCCCATGCTTGTGTGCACCAGAAGCAAACAATTGCAATAGTCCTTTGTGGCCTTAGAATCATGACTGCATGATTTATTTACTGATCTAAATTCAACTGATATAGTATCTTTGCCCCACCCCTCCTGCCTTATTGAGAATAGGTGTGGCATGTGGCCACATACTGTGTTTTCATGGAAAGCCTAAATCAAAATTAGTTTAGGACTGTTTGATGCCATTGGTCATGCCTATCGTATCCATATAAATGTAATGGATTAGTTAAAGCAACATTTGACACTTGATAGGGCGATGCTGTCACTTGCAGCGCTGCCCTAGCAGAAGGAGGGCTTGATTTATCCAACGAACTTGTGACTAGAAAATTGTGGTTGGCATTTTTCACATGATTGTTGCAATCATATAGTTTGGCATGAAAGGTGTTCCTTGTGAATTGGGTGCTAGTGGTTCCATAAGGTTTTAGAGTGCTAAGTTTCTAGCCCTCGTGACAGGCTTGAATCGGCAAGGTTTGTGGACTTCTGTCACAGAGGGCACCCAAGCCCGCTCCATGGCATAACCCTCTTCTTATACTGTTTGACTGTATTTATTACGTATGCTTGAATCTTGTCCTGCCCCTTACCCCTTGATATTATGTTTGTTTTCCATTGGGAAGCCCATTCAAAGGAAGCTCTGATTTCATTTCACTATATTTTTCCATTCTTTCTTTCTTTTTTCAAATAAAGAATTTTAAAACACTGGCATAAGAAAAGTCCTTTTTTCTTAACTCCTTCAGTGGCACAATGATGAAGCAGCAGCAGCAGCAGCTATTCAGAGAGGTGCATTCTATCAGATGATGGATGGCAAGAGTCTACTTTGCCACTAACGTGCAGACAGTGATGGCAGGCCTGTGTATTCCAGGTTTCTGTGATGATACTGCCAAAATGCAACATTTTGCAATACAGTTCCCTGCTATTAAAAAAAATAAAAGTACCAGCATGTGCACACCTAGACATACATTGAGATAAAATACGTATTTAAATATGAATTTTCACTTGGACTTTAAATCAGAGGCTAATTCACGAACAGGAGGGACTTGCGGAGAAATGTGTGTGAAATTGACACCAGCTAGAAATAGGACTGATTCATCCCTCCCTAATGCAATGAGACTTAGTCATGCATATGATGGTGCTGAGAGAGATTCTCCTGGTATTTCTAACCTGATCAATGCTCCCAGTGCAAATCTGCACCCTAGCTGCCCACCCTTGGTATACACCTGCCCTTTGATCTGTCTGTCCCCGCTACTCATTCCCCAGCAGCCTTGTCACTTGTCCAGAAGGAATCGACTCTTTGCAACTTCTGAAGAATGATCAACTTCCTCACACCCAGATGCATTGAATTCCTTCATTTTACATTAATGGCTGGGGTACAGGAAGCCGCACATTTCCCTTGCCAGTCCCACTGATGAGCCTTCATAGATCTCTGAAAATAAGTTGAATACAATAGCACAGAAGATTAATGGACGCCTTTGGTAAGGCCAGCCTCTTTCAAGGGGGTTGGGAATTTTGGGGTTAGGGCTGGTGTTTAGCTGCAATAGGAGTGTGGCCTATTTATAAGGCACCAGAAAGTGATAGGCTTTCCTAATGCTCAGGTTAGATTTCACTGTTCTTCATTTGACCTAGGAGGACATTATATATCATTCTGAAATACAAGCCCAAAGAAGAGCAGTGACTTGGACATGAATGGCTCTAGGCAGCTTATAGGCTTTGGAGACACGGCTGGTTGCATGCTATAGATACCTTCAAAACTACTGATCCATGTGGCATATTAATTCAATTAATTTACAAGCATGAGCTTAGAATACCATTCTCAGCAACACTGGCCAGTATGGGGCTATAGCACCTGCAGGGCCAGCTGCTCATCAGAAAGCATGATTTTTTAAATTTTTGTTATTTGTTATTTTTTAAATGGCCCGTATCCTTGCAGAATATCAGGTCGCTGCTTAGTATACAGGCTGGAAAGCTGTGGCCCTTCAGATGTTGCTCCCACCATCTCTGAACATTGGCCCTGCTGGTTGGGGCTGCTGGGAGTTGGAGCTCAAACGGGAGTGACCATGTGCCCTGTTCTACAGAGGACAACCCCTAATTTTGAAATTGCCCTCCATTTGAATGCTATCCAGGTCTGGCGTAAAGATAAGGAACCATACACAGGGAGAGCAGGAGACTTGAAGTTGCCTGTCAACAGCAGCTCCTGACCAGCATACTGAGCATGCTCACAATTCACCTGGTGTCTTTTCCTCTGTGGTGTAATGTATTGTTTTTCTATTTTAACTATACAGGCAACACCCAATTTGTGTGAGGGTTGTGTTCCAGGTGATTGTGCACATAGATGGAGTGGACATAAGGCCAGCCCACCCTGCTGTGCCCTCTTCTGCCCCTGTTCCACCCTTTTCTGAGTCCAAAAGGACCTGCACATCAGCAATCATGCATCAATTGTTGTTGTTTAGTCATTTAGTCGTGTCCGACTCTTCGTAACTCCATGGACCAGAGCACGCCAGGCACTCCTGTCTTCCACTGCCTCCCGCAGTTTGGTCAAACTTGTGCTGGTAGCTTCGAGAACACTCTCCAACCATCTTGTCCTCTGTTGTCCCCTTCTCCTTGTGCCCTCCACCTTCCCCAACATCAGGGTCTTTTCCAGGGAGTCTTCTCTTTTCATGAGGTGGCCAAAGTATTGGAGCCTCAGTTTCAGGATCTGTCCTTCCAGTGAGCACTCAGGGCTGATTTCCTTCAGAATGGATAGGTTTGATCTTCTTGCAGTCCATGGGATTCTCAAGAGTCTCCTCCAGCACCATAATTCAAAAGCATCAATTCTTCGGTGATCAGCCTTCTTTATGGTCCAGCTCTCACTTCCATACATCACTACTGGGAAAACCATAGCTTTTAACTATACAGACCTTTGTTGGCAAGGTGATGTCAATTGGACGTGCCTAAAATGGTCGCTGCCTGTAGCACCAAGTTTTCAATATGAGCCTGTACATAAAAATTATGGTATGCCAAATTTATGCAGATTGGTGCCCTGGTTTGTCCTCTTTCCTGGTTCTCTTGATCAAGCCACACCTGGAGGGTCAAAGGTTCCCCAGGCCCAGCATAGGATGTGGTTGCCAGTCACCAACTATCAGGAAGTTCTCTACAAGCCCTACTGAAATGCAAGAGAGCTGCCCAAGACCAAAAAGGACACACTGGAGTTTGCCCTTTATTGCTCCAGTCCCCTCATCCATGGCTAGATGGGAAAAGTGCAAATGGAGACTATGTTGTGTTGTCATACATGGGGAATCTCCAATGGGGTTGCTCAACACGCCCAGTCACTGTGTTTCCAGACATGGTTATTTCATTTTATTTGTTCTGTATCTCTTTGATGTTTAGCTGGTGACTAAGGCTAGGTTGCAACATATATTTTAAAGCAAAAAAATGAATTTTAAACAGCAGTTAAAAGTCCAACAGAAGACCTGCATATGATTCAGCGCAGATTAAAAATCTCAAAATGATTTTGCCACCAACGCTACTGTGACACCATTAACAGCTAATCTTATTAAAATGGAATTTTCTGAGATGGTAGTAACTAAATATACTGAGTCCAACAACGGCTGCACAGGTTTTTGAGGCAATCATGTGAATCAGTTGCGATTCACAACAGCTGTGGGAGGGTCTCTCTCTGGAGCTGGGCGTGATATGGAAGATACCACTTCGAAGTTTTGTTTAGCTCCTGAGTTTACAGAGCTAAGAATAACAGCAGCACAGAGAACTCAAACCCTCCATGTTTGGAAAGCGGCTTCTGCTGCAAAGCAGGAGCACACGGCAATAATTTGTACACATGGACTTCGCAGGAATCTGACCTGTTCCCCCATTCACATTCATTCTTTCCTTTTGAAAGTACATTTTGAGGTTGTGATTTTCCACTGCAAGTTGGCTAGCCTGGTCAGCAGAAGGCACCAGGAAAATCTGTGTTTGTGTCTTCATGGAACATCGCAAACTTTGTCCCATCATGGACAGTATTTCATAGGCTCAGTTCCTGTGTAACACGTTATAGAGACAAGCTGTAGCAAACCTCGAGCTCACCAACTCCTCTTCCTGTCTCCTTTGGCATGGCTGTGAAGAGAGCAAACATTTCTGCTTCCATTTTTAGATTAGCTGCAGTTTATCCTTATGTCATCAAAGTGCAAGTAGATAAATAGATACTGCTCCGGCGGGAAGGTAAACGGCATTTCCATGCGCTGCTCTGGTTCGCCAGAAGCGGCTTAGTCATGCTGGCCACATGACCCGGAAGCTGTACACAGGCTCCCTCGGCCAGTAAAGCGAGATGAGCGCCGCAACCCCAGAGTCAGTCACGACTGGACCTAATGGTCAGGGGTCCCTTTACCTTTTTTATCCTTATGTCAGAGCCCTAAACTGTTCATTCTTAACCATGGCTTTTTGGACCATCCTACTTTTAAAACTTTGGTTTGAAGTTGGCTTGTGGCAGCTAACTATGGCTAAAGATTAACCACAGTTTGTTGGGTTTGGACAACCTAGCAAACTGTGGATAATCTAAAATGGAAGTGAAAGTTTATGGGCTTTTCCTTGCAACTGTGCTTGAGGAAAAGGGGGAGCCCATGAGCCAAGGCTTATGTAAACTCAGTCTCAAAACACTGAATGTGGCTTATTGTCATATTCAAACCTGCCTGATCAAACATGATCTAAGAAATCATCATTACAGGGCAATAATTCAGGTGGCATTTGATAGGAAAGCATCATTTTGCTGTTTAGTCATTTAGTTGTGTCCGACTCTTTGTGACCCCATGGACCAGAGCACGCCAGGCACTCCTATCTTCCACTTCCTCTCACAGTTTGGTCAGACTCATGTTTGTGGCTTCGAGAACACTCTCCAACCATCTCGTCCTCTGTCGTCCCCTTCTCCTTGTGCCCTCCATCTTTCCCAACATCAGGGTCTTTTCCAGGGAGCCTTCTCCTCTCATGAGGTGGCCAAAGTATTGGAGCCTCAGCTTCATGATCTGTCCTTCTAATGAGCACTCAGGCTGATTTCCTTCAGAATGGATGCGTTTGATCTTCTTGCAGTCCATGGGACTCTCAAGAGTTTCCTCCAGCACCATAATTCAAAAGCATCAATTCTTCAGCGATCAGCCTTCTTTACAGCATCATTACAGGGCAATAATTCAGGTGGCATTTGATAGGAAAGCAAAAAGAGTGGTGTACAAAGCCAAAACAGCACAGTAATAGAGCCTTTTATTGATTTCAAATCAATTGAGGAAAGAGCTGGAAGTATAGTGAGCCCAAAGCCACCTTTCCCAACCTGGTGCCCAAACCTGAGGGCAAAAAGCTGGGTGGTCTTACTGATTTATGCTTTTGCTTCTACTTTAAATATTGTAGTGGTCACTGCATTGAAGTTACAATATGTGCTTCAGCCTTTCACATACTTGGGAAGAAAGATAAGCATTAACTGTATGTCAGCAGCACTGACCTCGCAGAGCCATAAACAATCCAGATCTGGCATCTTTTCCAGCATGCACACGGCTCCTGCTGGTTGAGAAAATAGCAAGTGATGAAATTATTCTCAAGTTACGACTTTGGACTGCCCAGACCTACATATAAGAAAGCTACTTCCCAGCCAGTGCATAGATCCTGTTTTGTGGCTCCATTTACTCAGATGTTCAGTGAGGCTTATTCACATGTGCGCTGGACTACAGCCCAAAATCTATCACAGAGAGTTGG